AATAGTATTGAGAATGCCCTCTAGCTTCTTCGAAGCTATAAGTAGCTTTAGGCGTACGAGCTCGTATCTTAACTGTTCGATAGGCTACTTATAAACTATAGTTATACGGAGCGTGCTATTAATTTACTATACTAGTACGTTAATAAAGAAGAACTATAGAGAGGCTCAGAAGAGTATAAGGAGTTCTAGAGAAGGGTAGTCTAAAGGCTAAAGGATATAAATATAATACGCCTAGAATAAGTAGTATCTTATTGCGAATAAGCTAAAAGCTATCGAAGTATAGGGAGAATAGTAAGCGAATACCTTCTTCCGTTACTTAACTACTTATTCGATAATAGAGCTAGCGAGTAGGTTTATCACTACTGGCCTTAGCTATAATTATATCCGCCTCTCTATTAATAACGAAGTTCTCTCTCGCTTATTATCGCTAAGCAGAGGTATCCAAAACACTAAAGGAATTATTTAAGGGGATCTTTTAAAGGCCCTCCTCCGGAAGTGTACCTTAGCCCTTAAATAAGAGAATCTTTTTTAGTGTAGACTATAATTAGACTAGGATAGGTACTACTACGAAGTAGGCTTTGGCTAGGATCTACCCGCTATTAAACTAGGAGGCTAGACTGCTCTTTTAGGATAGTTTATTTCTATTACTACGGTTAAGATAGAGGATAAAGCTAATACCGATACCGAAGCGATAAATAACCGTGATCCTAAAAGTATTATACCTAATAATATATAGGATATAACGATATAGCTTAAAGAGTTAGATAAGAAATATATAGCCGACCTAATATCTATTAGCGACTTATCTAGTGTGGTCTCTAATCTTTCTGTGGCCTAGTCACTTCCTAATAACTACTTATTAGAAAGTAATAAAGAATATAATATCTCGTAAGAAAGAAAGGAGACTACTAAATATAGTTATACCGCCTAAAGAGTAGCTATAAATAAGACTTTAGCCCTTCTTACGGACGCTATAAATAGATAAAAGTTAGTAGCACTTAGGCGTATTAGAAAGCTATCCCTTCCGGAACTAGATTCGATCTTTACTAAGGATATAATCTGTCTGCCTTATGCGAAGAGAGTATTTAAATTATTCGATATACGCAGTATTAGTAAGGACTACGCGGCACTAATAGTGCGAATTAATTTTATTTACCGATATACTAAGGACTAAGATACTATAATAAAGGAGAACCGGATATAATTTCTATTAGATATTAATAAGTTATAGTTAGATTTCTACCGCTTTAAGTATTAGGCTAATCCTCCTATTATCGCCGACTATCGTAGGGTAACTTAGTTATCCTTTAAAAGCCTCTATCGTAGGGTATCTCCTACTCCCGACCCTATAACGCCTATACCTATTATATTAAAGTTATAAATATAAGAGCGAGGGAGTATAGTTATTCCGTAGTTATTCGGCTAGTTAAAGGAGGACTTTAATAGGTATTACCTAGGTAGCCTTCTTACTCTTATATATAAGGAGATAGATATATATAACTACCACTATCTACCTTATATAGGTAAGCCTCGCCTTAGGTAGTTAAGGAATATATAGTATAGTATTATTTAATAGCTTATCTATTAGGATCTAGCGTACTATATATACTATATTTTCTTCTGGCTAGACTACGCTTACTAACTGATCTCCTTCCCGTACTACGCAAAGAGTACTATGCCTAAGGAACAGACTTATTTTAGGTATATTAATATAAATCTAAATAACTTAGTATAGACTAAATAAGGTAGCGTAATCCTATAGGGTAGTCTAGTATTAGATAATAAAGATAAATAAAACTATACTAAGATTCTACTTAGTATATATCGCTATATTTAGAAGTGGTGGGCTCTTATACGGGATAGGATAAATACTACGGATAGCTTTATATAGAAGATTAATAATTATCTTTAGACCCTAGAAGATACTAAGCGATATAGTACTAACTAAGTGAAGGAGATCTATATAGCTAGTGATATCCGAATTAGTTTGCCTAATATCCCCTATAGGTTAACGGGCCCCGTAACTAAGAGGCAGAGAAGTATTTTACTATAGTTTATATATATTAGAGATAACCACTTAACTCTAGATACTCTAGAGTTCGGTATATAGGAAGAAGTATCTACGGTATACTAAGACCTTATATAAGCTCTAAGAACTCTATTAGGGCTTACGAGTAGTGTATATAGCTATCTATAGTATATATTCCCTGTGGCGCTACGATTCCGCGGGGAAGATTTAATCTCTAAATACTTAGTTAGTTATAGCTATTAGATAGACCTTAGTGTATTAGCTAAGTTAGATATCCTCTTCGGATCGGATAAAGCTATAGTAACCGCCTATATTATCTTATAGAGGAAGAAGGCGCAGTAAATATACGCCTAATTATTTAGAGATATAATTAAGGCAGAGAAGCTAGTATTTAGGAAAGATTCCTTCTTCTACCGTAAGGTATTAATACTATATATTAGTCCCCCTAATTTAAAAGTTATACCTCCGGAGGATAATAATAACGAGGAAGAGATATAATATCCGCGGCGATAGGGAATAGGTATTCTGGTCCTATCTTTCTTTACTTTTATTAAAGTGGCTTAGGCATTCTAAATTAACTACGCTTAACTATAAGACGGTTAATTTTATAGGGAGGGGTGGTATATAGTGGGAGAATTAGTGATATAATAAGCCTATATATGGCCTTAGGCATAATTTAATGTCTGCAGTGCATAGTATATCTCCAGATACACTTAGAGGGAGATAAGTTATCTACCTAATTCATTCAGGATTCACCCAATTTCTTCTATCTATGATGCAGTATTAAGATTATCCCGCACGGCCGCAACAGGGCATCAGTACGGCCTCATCCAGCATCCTCTACACCAGACAGGCAGTGTGTGTGTGTGTGTTGTCCAGTCTGCATCGCCAGATAGCCATCGAGCCGTTCCCATTTCAATATATACGGATATATTAGACCTATCGCGGGTGACCTAAAGGGATCCTCGACGGGTCCGGGTCCGGGTTAGGGTCGGTAAGGTTAACCCTACCCGACGCGGGTCGGGTGGCGGTTCTTGATCTTGGACCCGCGGGGCGGGTGAGTGCCAGGTCTACAGAAATCGCTAGCTTTGCAGACTTAAATATAAAGCACACGCTGGAAGACATCCTTCACTGAGTTTCGACCTTAGAGCCGGAGTGAGTCTGGCCCTTCTTACTGTCGTAAGCACTGGGGGCAGTGCCTTATTTCGAGAGGGGGCAGATATTATGGTTACGGAGGAGGATCAGGTGACCACAGAACCTCTTATCCTGCCTACGGACACTTTTAGCTAGACAGAACAATGAACACACACTTACGTGCAGTTTCCTTCTTACTGCGTAACACTTATGGTATGTTTTTGGTCATCCTCGTCGTGCACCTCTGCCTATATCTCCATGCGTTCGCAAATAGTTGCACTGACTGATTATCTCGCTCGGTAGGTCGCCTGCACTGCTGAAGAAACCGAGTGATTGGGCAGAAAACATTGACATCTGTGGCTTCTGCTTCCTTCCTCCCGTCAGATTCTAGTTCTGTTCCACCAATCGAACTGACTAATTTCTTGAATGCTGGCCCCCCACCTATCTATGTAGGGTTCGGTTCAATTGTGGTCAATGATCCATCAAACCTTACAAAGAATGGTGGGGTGAAGGGTATGCTCAAGGGTGTGGGGAAGGGCCTCGGCGGGGCTGTAAAAGCCACTTGCAGGTATGCGAAAGCGGATTATTTGATTCTGCCTTCTTTTCACCTCACCAGACTAATGTGGACAAGGCACATACGGACTGATAGGATTTCCCTTGACTGGACAGCGAAGACATTTACTCAAGTCACTTGGCAAACCCAAAGAATATTGCATCACGCATTCGTTAATTGCACAGGGCCAAGTCGGGCTGCAATTTCCAGCAGAGCAAGAACGCAAAGAAGTTATACAAAGATGGCATGATATGAAGAAGCTGTAGGACAAATTCCATACAACTACGCAACTCAGAATTCGAGATGTGTGCTATGCGCATGATTCTCTCACATCAACCCGGATTACCTTGAGTTGTCTGACACCTTCATAGACAGAAATGAATGGCAATATGCCTCGAATCACTCATCATATTTTTGCCCTGGACTTCGATTTGCTTCATTCGCCCCACTCTTGTGGCGAAAAAAGGCTGGTTTTGGCCGGGCCGTATAGTTGCCCCTGGACGGAACAGTGGATGTAGAGGTAAATATGCAAACATAATATGACGGCTTAAGGGCCACTGCCAGATTGTTAGAGCTATCCCAACTTGCTGGAAAGGGCGGTGACGATCCTGGCCCAGTGGCCTTCTGGATCTAACGAGCGCGTCACGATTTCCTCGGTCGGCAGCGATGGCTTCCGCATTGAGAGCAAAGCTAGAGTCTCCTGCCTATCGTGCCGTTTTACGTCACCGAATAGCCCGAGGAAGTTCACAGAGTGCCGACTTCTCTGTTGCTACTTACGAGATTTGCTCTTCACAAGGTTTAGAAACATGTCGGGAAAGGGCTCAAGAATACGGCGTACAAAGATCCATAGGTTATCTTCCCGGTTAGGTCTGCATCTTTGACACAGCTGAAGTCCAGCAAAAGTGGTTCAAACGTCGGCGGCATCTCAAAATACGCGCGTACTGAATCTGTGCTCTAGGAGGGCATGTTGTGGTCCCTGACCCAACGGTTAGATCTCCACACGTGCGATGACACCATCAATGCCTCGACATTGCTCATCGATTTGCGTCTTCGTCAACCAATGTTCACCGCGATCATCTCCACTGCTTGATGTCGTTCGCTAACTCGCAATCTTCTCGGCCGATTTGGCATGATCTCCTTGTTGGACAGTCTGGTTACTATCGCGTGCAATGGGCCAAAATGATGTGCTCTTGAATAAACCTTGGGCATGTCTTATATGGCCATGCTGCGACCGACATTTCTTTTTCGAAAGATATCGTCGAGTTTGGTCCCTTTTCCATCGCCATGTCTGCTTTTGATGAAAAGGAGGCCCAGGCCAACATTGGCCTTGAATTCCAACCGTCCGGGGTTTCGCCTTCGTCCAACAGTATAGCAGAAAGTGTCGGTAACAACGAGAAGACTTTACTCCGCAAGCTCGACTATAAGCTGCTACCGCCCTTGACAATTTTATATCTCCTGTCATTCTTGGACCGAAGCAATGGTTTGCCTTCTTTGAATACGACAACAGACCGCATTTGAACTGACGGGATGGGACAGTTGGTAACGCGAAGCTTGAAGGCATGGCCACCGACGTGGGTATGACGGGAGACCAATACCTGACTGGCTTAACGCTGTACTTCATTGGCTATGTTCTCTTTGAGGTTCCTGCGAATACGGTCTTGAAATTGGGCACCCCGAAGATATGGCTACCAACGCTCAGCTTGATCTGCGGGGTAGTCGCAACCTTGATGGGTATCATTCACAATTATCCCGGGTTCCTTGCTTCGCGATTCTTTTTGGGTGTTGCGGAGAGTGGGCTTTTCCCCGGTGTGGTATACTATCTTTCTATGTGGTATAAGCGGAATGAGCGGCATTATCGTGTCGCTCTGTTCTTTAGCGCTGCCAGTCTCGCTGGTGCATTTGGAGGTGTGCTCGCTTGGGTTAGTTTCCGTTTCCTGCCGTACTGGATAGTACGCTAAGTTTGATTTAGGGTATCGCGCATATGAAGGGAGTCGCAGGTTTGAATGGTTGGCGCTGGATATTTATCTTGGTAGGTTTCCGGCAACGAGACTTGATGACAGGCATGCTAATACGACGGGGATGATCAGGAAGGGATTCTCACTGTCAATGTGTCTATCCTTGCCTATTTTTGGGTGCACAACTATCCAGCAACCGCCACATTTCTTTCCAAAGAAGAACGAGACTTCATCCAATTCCGTCTGAAGATTGACAATGATTCTACGCGGGATGAGGAGTTCTCATGGTCTGCTGCAATGGACGCATTTAAGGATCCAAAGGTGTGGCTGTACGGATTAGGTTTTCATACCATGTCATTGCCGCTCTACACACTCTCGCTCTTCTTGGTTAGTTCATACGCTGTATAAAATTTGACGCGTCGAAGCTAACGCTCGTTCAGCCAACAATCATCAGAGATCTCGGTTATTCCGCCGCTAAGGCGCAACTTCTCACCGTGCCCCCATATGCCGTCGCATTCATCCTGACGATCACTATTGCTGTGTTCTCGGAAAAATCCTAACGTCGAGCACCTTTCATCATGGGCTCTTCTGCCCTCGCTTGCATTGGATACATTATGCTGCTTTCACAGGATCGGGCCGGCGTGTCCTATGCCGGTACGATCTTCGCTGCGGCGGGTATCTACCCTGCCGTGGCTATTGTGTTGTCCTGGCCGGCGAATAATGTTTCAGGCCAGACCAAGCGCTGCATCGCCAATGCCATGCAAATCTCTATTGGCAATCTGAGTGCCGTTCTTGGGACACAACTCTATCGCACCGAAAGCAGCCCACGGTACTTTCTTGGACACGGATTCGCCCTGGGGTACCTTGTCGCCAACATAATTGTTGTAGCGATTTTGTGGCGTGTACTTAGTCGAGAGAATGACAGTAAGGAGCGTATTCGGGAGGCGCAGGGATTGAGACCTTTGATGGGCGACGTTGGGGACGCAGAAGGAGAGTTTTTGGGTGACAAGGACCCCCGCTGGGTCTTCCAATTATGACATTATATCGGTCTACAAGAATTCTGATCGTCTACCAACAATCATTGAAATTCATCGGGGTTTTCCATCTCTGTATTGGTCATTTATCCTTCTATACCCACGCTAAGCACAAATGTCTCACCTAATGTGAATATTTGCCTTAAATCTTGTCCGGCCAGTACTTCTGCACAAGAATCTTCTTGTTTACTTTGCCCATAGCATTCCGCTCGATGGCATCGACGGCCCTTAAGACGGTGGGGACTTTATAAGCCGCCATTTCGGTTTTCAGTTGTGCCCGAAGAGTCTGCAGGTCGAGCGGAGTGCCCTGAGATTTGCATTAGTAACCTTGGAAATGATGTGTTGATTCTTTCCAGAAACTTACTCGAAATTTGACCACTGCGCTCACTCTTTGACCCCATTCTTCATCCTTCAAACCGACCACAGCTACTTCCTGAATGGATTCCAAGGCCAGCATTTTGCGTTCGACTTCAAGCGCGGAAATTTTGTAGCCGCCAGACTTGATTACATCCACTGATGCGCGGCCCTGAATGAAGTATGCACCGTCGGCGTCGCGCCTGGCCACATCTCCTGTTTTGAACCATCCATCTGCCGTGAATTCAGAGGCAGTAGCCTCAGGCTTACGCCAGTACTCAAGGAAGACATTTCCTCCTTTGATTTCAATCATACCGTCCTCGCCAACTTCTTCCACAATACGGCCAGTTTCCTTGTCAGTCAATCGAATCTGGACCCCGGGAAGCGGCCAGCCAACACTTCCATCAATACGCTTCTCGACTTCAAGTCCACAGCTCAAGGCCATACCGATCTCGGTCATTCCATACCGCTCCAGTAAGGTTTGACCGGTGATTTCACCAAACTTGGTTTTTATGGGGGTCGGAAGGGCGGCTGAACCACTGACAACAAGACGCAAAGCGCGAGCTCCAGCTCGAGCAGCATCCTCCTGGGCTGTTCCACGGATGTGAGTGTCGAAGTAGTCATTTAGACGAGAATAGATGGTAGGGACAGCGAAGAAGAGAGTAGATTCTTGGGCTTGCCATCGCCCCCAGATCACATGAGGGTCAAACTTAGGGTGCATCTCTACAGTGGCACCGCCCAGATGACTAGCGACTAGTCCGTTGATGATCCCGTGGATGTGGTGAAGTGGGAGAACGTGAATGAGATAGTCCTTTGGGCTATAATTCCAGGCTTTGACGAGACAGCTGGCCTGGAATGTTATCGTCTCATGCGTAGAAACACACCCTTTCGGGTTTGATGTGGTTCCACTGGTGTAAACCATAAGAGCGCGTCTATCAAGAGCCAAAGACGACGTAAAGGATGGCAGCGACGGGGCTTCGTTCTTTGTGAATGGGTCAAGGCCCATGAAGGGGACCTCGATAGTACATCCCTCACGCAAAGCGGGTGCAATCTTGTCAAAAGTAGGATGGATGATAACTAGAGACGGGTCCGAATCGCCAATGACGTATAGCAATTCTTTGGCAGGATGACTCGTGCCTATGCCGGTAATTAGCGATCGTGAGAGACTCAAGCAATCGTGACAACGTACAGAGTGGCACACAAACTCCACCAGCAGCCCAAATTGCCCAGCTGGTCACCACATAGTCATAACCATTCGGCACAAGAAAAGCAATACGCCGTTCTTCCAAGTCGGTCAATCCTAGCTGTTCTGTAATCTGCTTTCTGAGACCAGCTGCATCCTCGAGGAGCTGAGTGTATGTGAAGGATTGTTGCTTGGTTGCGTCGAGCACGGCCACTTTCGCGGGGTCATTTTGCGCGTGTTGTTGCGCCGCCAGGAACAGCGGGAGTGAGGGGATAGGCATGAGGTCGACGGACGATATTCGATGAGCTATAAGGGCATTTGTTCTAAAGGATTAGGGAAGGGGGAGGTATTTGAAGAAGCAGAATTCAGAGAGGCAGAAGATCATCGGAGTCCGATCCACCGAGGTTCAGTGCAACTCTGATTTAGCCGGTTGCGATCAACTTTCGAAAAGCATCGCTCTACGGCTCTTCATGGGCGCAAAATCATACGCAGGATCATTGAAAGAAATGATTCAATCTGTTCATATGAAGGCAACAAGAACAACCTTCAAGATGGATAAATTGAGCTTTCTCATTTCGTTTCTGATTCTCCCCGCGATCTTTTCGGCATTCAGATGTAGCCCCGAGGTCGGCGATAGATTTGAGTCCAGCACCAAGCTTTGTGCTGCGGCTTCGAGCAACTCTGCGAAGTCTAAAATCATTGAGTGACTTCCGATAAATAGTTGGCCGATTATCATCACTTAATAATCAGGGATGGTCATGATGGCTGTATTTTTGAACGAGTCTGCTTCTTTACTTCGCATTCCTTCTTAATTGATTGCACGTGACCATCCACGACTAACGCCGCGCAAACTCCGAGATGCGCTCTGACTCTTCATCTGCCAAAGACGATGCTTCGAGCAACGCTGCGCACTCGGCCATGGCCGTTCTTACGCACCAAACGATTCGTGTCCTCAGTTCCACTGGTTCGCATCCAGGATGGAACCTTTTACAAGCAGTATCCGACGAGAGCAAGATGGTAGCTCGAACCCGCCCATGTATCGGAAGCTCAATCTCACCATTCCTTCCGGTCCTGTACCTCCCAAAAAAGGTGTAGAGCCTGCACAGCAACATTGGGCAGTAGTTGGCCCTTCGGATCGAACTGAGTTATTGAATATTCTGCGTGGCCAGCACATCTCCATCCCACCCACCGCACGGTCCTACCCTTACCTCCTCACCGATGAAGTCGCCGCTAAGGACCCCAAATTACGAGTTGTTGGAAATGCGATTCAATACATCGGGTTCAGTGGTGAAGGATCTGGAGCCATTGGTGGCACGCGGGGCGCATACCTGAGTGCTCGCTATGAAAGTCTCCGCGAGGAGACGGATTGGACCGTGGAACAATTTCTGCGAGGGCAAACCTCACTCAATCCCATGGAAGGAGAGGAGCAAGGCACAGTGCATGATGGTGCACTATTGCAGCAAGTAATCACCGACCTGCATCTGAAAAAGCTGCTTGACATGCCGGTCGCAAATCTTAGCAATGGTCAGACTCGGCGGGCGCGTATTGCGAAAGCTCTGCTGAGAAAGCCAGAGCTGCTGCTCCTCGATGAGCCATTCATGGGCCTGGATCCTGCCACCGTCCGAAGCATCAGTGATCTTCTGTACCAGCTGGCTCAAAAAAGCTCCCCACGGCTCGTTCTGGCCCTTCGCCCGCAGGATGTGGTGCCCGAGTGGATCACACATATGATCCTGGTAGGCAACTCCAATCAGGTTATTCTACAGGGTTTGCGCTCAGAGATTATCCCGAAATTGAAAGCATGGGAACATGTGGCGATGGGAACAAAGATGCGTGGGCCGGCTAATCGCGATTTGCTAGAAGCTCGCGCTCTGTTGAAGTCTGGTGTGCTTGATGAGCAACTACTCCGAGACTTCTCCAACAGCCGACCCGAAGGCCGTGTGAAGGGCCATGACGCTTTCCCTGGAGGAGAACCGCTGATCGAGATGGACGGGGTGCGTGTACAATACGGTGATAAAGCGGTCCTTGGTGACTGGAAACAGAAAGTGGACAATAAGATCAAAGAAGGACTGCACTGGACGGTGCGTCGAGGCCAGCGCTGGGCGATTCTTGGCGCCAATGGCTCGGGCAAGACAACGCTGCTGTCGCTCATTACTTCGGACCACCCCCAAGCCTACGCGCTCCCAATCAAATTGTTTGGACGGGCTCGTCTCCCTGAAGTGGGCAAGCCTGCTATCTCTATTTTCGAGCTTCAATCTCGACTTGGACATTCGTCACCTGAGATTCATGCATTCTTCCCTCGCCAGTTGTCAGTGCGTCAATGCCTGGAGTCGGCATTTGCAGAAACCTTCTTGGCGAAACCGAAAATCTTCCACAAAAATGACTTGGAAGTCGACGCCTTTCTTCGCTGCTTCAAGCCAGAGCTTGATCCAGATCACTCGCAGAAGGAGACAAATCCACCCATCGTAGACCACTCTGAGAATTTCCCTAAACTTCCCGGCGTGAGCCCCAACTCACAATTTCTCCCACCCGATCATGATGTCGAGTACGCCGATAATGTTACGTTCGGACAATTGAACACAGCGCAACAACGCATTGTGTTGTTCTTGCGTGCCCTGATTCATAGGCCAGATATCGTGATTCTGGATGAGCCCTTCTCAGGCTTGACTGCTTCCCAACGTGACAAGTGCTTGGCATTCCTTGACCATGGAGAGGCGCTATCTGTGTGGAAGAAAGGCAGCAAGTACCTGTTCAACGGTCTGTCAGATGATCAGGCTCTGATTCTTATCAGCCATGTAAAGGAGGAAATTCCTGACAGTGTCCGGTACTACATGAGACTGCCCTCTGGAGGCGACGACTCCGAAGCTTTGGATTTCCGATTTGGCATGCTCAAGTCCTTGAGCCGTCTCAATGACCCCGAGGTCTGGGCTACGGCTTGGGCTCCTCCGAATCGGTTTGAGCTGAGCAGTCGACGAACATGGCGGAAGAACAAAGAAGACCTCGAGGTGACTGACATCTCTAAATACGAGTGGTACTCGATCTAGATCTATGCATAGACCCGAAACACTGCTCAATCCTGTACATTATCAAGACATCATTTTTCTGTCAATACAACTCGCATAGATTTCAACTCCATCTCCAAACATTCGATCTTTCCCCGACTTACAACTTTTTCCTTCTTGCATCACCTCAAAGTCATGGCTCTGATCTGATGCTTTCCCTTGCCTTGGCTTTAGTTGGAGTGTGGTGTTGTCCGCAGGAGGTCCGTAGAAGACCCGCTCGTCCTCTATCGGCAGTCTTCTGGCAGGTGCAGCACGGATGAACTCGCGAGTTATGATAGATCAGTAAAGCTCTCCACACTAAGTGTCCGAAGGCTTGGATCATGGCTCATTCAACATGGAGTCATTGGCCCCGGCTTTTTTCGTCGGCCGGTGTTCGATCTCGGCATTCGGTCTCGGCGTCTGATAGTAGCCCTGCAACCCTCCATTGGAAGGAATTCCCTACCATTTTGACATGAAACGTCGACACACTCCTTCTCAAAAACATAACTCGCTCAGCAGTATATCTTTTTCCAATCATAGATCATGGAAACGGTGGAAGAGGCTCCAGATGGAGGCTATGGCTGGGTCGTTGTTGCTGCTGTGGCTGCAAATAATGCCCATCACTGGGGCATCGTATCTGTAAGTCCAGAGTTGGCAGAAAACTGACAAGTGGCTGACGATAAATTTAGTGCTACGGAGTCTTCCTCGCTTACTTCCTTTCCCATTCTCAATTCTCAGACGGATCCAGTCTAGACTATGCCTTTGTTGGTGGCCTGTCTGCATCTCAGGCCCTTCTGATTGCACCAATAGCTGCGATAATGAATCGTCGATTCGGCTTGAAAGTCACCATGTTCTTGGCGATTCTGTTTGAGACAGCTGCCCTCTTGGGTGCGCCATGGAGCAATCAAATCGGGCGGCTCTATCTGAGTCAAGGCATTTGCTTTGGCTGGGGACTGGGTCTACAATACGTATCAACAATCACCATCATTCCGCAGTGGTTCACGGAGAAACGGAGCCTCGCAGCAGGAATTGTGGCTGGTGGAAGTGGCACGGGTGGTTTGATCTATTCGCTTACGGTCAATGCAATGCTGGAACAGTTCGGTACTGGATGGACATTTCGCGTCTTGGCTATTGTACAGTTGATTGTCAACAGCTTATGCGCACTGATTCTGCGTGATCGCGATACATTGACTGGGGCTAAAACATCCACCATTACGCTTCGTCAACTTTCCAAGCAGTATGAGCTTTGGCTTTTTCTTGGATGGAGCTTTTTCAGCGTCATGGGTTTTATGGTGATCTGGTATTCCCTGGATGATTTCTCCAGGAGTATTGGATTGAGTGCTCATTAGGGATCTATTGTGACTGCTGTGATGAACCTTGGCCAGATCGTCGGTCGACCGGGGCTAGGGTATTTCAGTGACGTGGTTGCAAGGATGAAAATGGCATCGTTCGCTACGTGTCTAAGTGGACTACTGTGTCTACTTCTGTGGATATTCTCTCAGACCTATGTGGCTGTTTTGTGTTATGCGTTGCTAGCTGGAACTGTGTTTAAGGCCTTCTGGACGGTCGTTGCCCCCTCTAGCTGCCGGAGTGGTCGGATTGAAATATCTGTCGTCTTTCATGACATTCATTTGGCTATTTTGCGTGGCCCCTGCAACAGATAAGTTCAACACTAAGAAGGATTTGCAAAGTAAATTGCCCAGTACTAATTCTATTCTCTTAGTTGGCGAACCAATCGGTCTGAAACTTCGAACTACGGGAAATACGAGTATCGACACGTTCAGCTCTTCACTGGACTCATGTATATTGCTGCCACTGTCTGCGTTATCTATCTCCGCCAGTGGAAGCTATCGTTAGTCTGCGAAAAGGAGAACGGAATGGGGGGTGCTTCAGATAACACGGCCTCCCAAGAGTCAACGGTTCCTGTAATTGGGCGCATTGAATCTTTAAGGGCATGGCTAATGAGACTACGGGTGTGAGGCTGATTTGCACTTTTACTTCCGGTCCAGTAGAATTCAAACTTGGTTTACCCCCAAGACACACTGTTTCTCGGCCCGTACCCAAAATCACGATAATTCGGATTAGGCTCAGAACAAACAATCCCTCTTAGCGCTATTGCAGTATGGAACGTATCAGGCTCCGATGACTCATAAGTCACCGTGAAATACTGTATACCGACATTGGATGGTCGAAAAAGGGTGGGTGACCTGGCAATTTGGCTCGATGCCAGGATAATATTGTTCTGTAAGAAACGCAAATTGTAATTTTGGCAGGACCCTTTTGGTACGATCAAGATGCATTTTGAGTTGTCTCATATCATGTTTAAAGAACTGAAGTAGGCGGCGATGACGTCGCCACCACCTTGTCTGGCTGCACAGTACGTCCAACAGGAAATAGCTCGCCGTTCTCCTCCAAGCCCCGCGCCACCAAATCAGTGAAATCGACGCCGACTTCCGTCAGTAGATCGGCATGTTCATGGACAATATCAAGACATTTGTGCCAGACCGAGGTGCCGCGTTGTACGCTGCTGAGCTGGCGGTTCAGAAGAGCATTGAATCCGTCCAGATGATGCTTGGCCCAGCGAATACAAGAGCTGGTCATCACGCCCGGGAAGCACTGTTGATAGATACTGATCGTATTCTTGATGAGGGAGAAGTAGACGTAGGAGATTTGAAAAATGTAGAGTGGGAGATCACCCTCGAAGATGCAGGCACTATGTCGGCATTAGTTTTGCAGGTTTCCCCACATGGCTTCCAGTGAAATTGAATACATACCGGATGCGCTTGGTAATCACGTCAGATCGTGCATTGAGGTACGTCTCGCGCGCTTGGTCCTCGAATCCCAAACGGCTTAGCCAAATGACATTGGTTTTGGTTGTCACCGGGAACGAGTGCGTGTCCACGAGGGCGCGTGACAGCATGCCTGCCAGACGTGTTGCTCGTCCATCAACCTTGGCATTGATCACCTCTTGGGCGACAAGGTTGCCCTTGAGTCCCTTGGCAAGTTTTCGCAGTCGTTCAATGCTTGATACTGCTGCTTCAAATCGTTGTAGTGCAATGTCAATGTCCAACTCATCCACCTGTCCCTCCACCCAACGGAGATTCTGCTGCTTGCCATCAACATCGATACGCAACTCGGACTTATCGCGAGGGTCTTCGGCAAGATCGAATTGTTCAGACTTAAGCGATGGTGACATGTGTCGCCCGGCAAGGTACCCATACGCCTCGTGAGGCTTGCTGGCCGCCTCGTTCTCTGTGCGCAGAGTTCGTCGGAGATCCTCGACCGTCTTGCGGAATGTTGCCAGAAGCTCGTTTTTCGTCGAGGTGTCACGCTTGTCCTGGCGGTAGGTATACGGCTTGGTTCCGACCCGGATGCTGATCGCATTCCCGATACCGCGATCCAGGGCTTCTTCACGGGCGGCCCCTGTGCCCATGTTGGCAGCTAAATCGATCATGTCAATATCCTGTAGCGGCCAGCACTCCTCGGCCACGAGCTTAGTTGGCACGGGCCCGCGTTGATTGGGGTTGTTCTGGTCGACACGCTTGCGCTTCTTCGCAGCCACTAGCAGATGATCGTTCAGTAGGACAATGTGAACCGGGCGCCTTGGCTTCCAGGTTGCCGAGTCCAGCTCAGCCCAATTTCCCGTCTCCAACACGATATGTCGACCTGGAACCGCTGGCAAGAACTTTTGAGAGCCCTCGACAGTCTTCCACAAGGTCTGCAACTGAACACTCCACATGCTTTCCAGGCTGGCCACGGAGCTGCGATTCACGCTGCGCTTAGGGAGGTGATCGTCAGTCGGCGACATCGGGTTGGGCGTGTTGCCCACGGATGTCTGGCCCAGTGCATTTGTAAGCTCGGACATCAGGGTACGTAGGGTTCGCATTTCATCCTTAAGCTTCTCCGCCTCTCGACTGATTTTGATGAATTGAGTGCGGTTCTGATACACATTCTGCTGGAGGTCGGTTGAGGTTCGGTTCTTTACTTTGCGCAGCTTGTCCTGGTAATTCTGGATCTCTTCTTCAGACGCGTTGGCAAGGAGGTTGGCGACATCTGTGCTAGTGTCAATACCATCGTTGTTCTTTTACAAGCAAACGGATGAGACGTACATCTTTCCACCGGTAGACTGGGGTCTCTCAGCGCATTCAAATCTACCACGGGCGCGGGGCCCGCGCCTTCGGCTGAGGACACTTGTTTGGAGGCCGGCACTGGGACACCCAGCCCACCATACCCTCCTGGTGTTGCGGCAGGAAGAGCAGGGACCGGAGGAGCATCGACATCGAAGTCGGGGGCGGCATTGAATCTGGTCGAATAGCGTCGCTTCACCAAATCGGAAGTAGCATCGCTCTGGGGAGCTCGGTCGCGGCTCGCGGGGATGGGAGGCTGATCGGGATCCGGGGATCTCGTGTTGGCGGGCAAGGGGCCGGAAATTGGTTTGGGAGCACTGATCTGCGGGCGCTGCCGGCGAGTCTTGCTTCTCAGCGTTAAGCCTCGGCCTTCCATTGTGAGTGTAGGTGAACGCGGAGGCCAGAAGCGGGAAGCCGGAGTTGGGGAGAGTTGGGGATGGCCGCGACGGGGATGGGCGGTCACAGCTCGGTTACATTGTCTCTTCAGTCATCCGATACCTTTGATGTTCAAATATTACCCCCCTTCTCTGTTAGGTCAATGATATTCAAATGGTCATTGGGACTTGAATGTACAATTGATAACTATTGTGATTGACTTTGACTTTATCATTCGTCTTGATGGGTCTCATGCACTTCGTACAGTTCCACTCGGCCTGGGAGCTAGAGCTGGAATTCGTCACGCCCATCTTCCGAGGGTACTCACTCTATTTCCAATTTCCCAAATTTAAGTCATCATACTGATTTCTCCATTCGAGTATCTAGGAGCTGGAAAGGGCCTTGCGAATGTTCCATTGAAGAGGAATGGTATGTGGTTTGGACACATGGACGTGTCACCAATATTTAGAGATTCTTGTGGCAGACCTCTCGCGTTGTGACCTGAAACGTCACATCAAGACATAGTTTGAAGTTGCTTCACTTCGACAATCAAGAGGGCATCAGAACTTACTCTGGACGGTCTCCACGGTTACCTGTGACGAAATTGGGGTGTTGTGATGCAGGCCCGGTTCGCATGGTAAGACGACTGTCTACTAGAGGGCTCCTTGGCATGTTTGGACGAGTGACAGCCTCACGGTCAGGTGACCATCGGCCCTTGACAGCGTCTACTAAACTCCTCAACAAGGCTCCTTCATTTCCCGTGCACATCTCGTCGACGCGAGGAGCCTCACAGACCCATATCGGGAAGAGGCTGATCGGCATGTATTTCGATGCCGTCCGGCTCTGATGAGAGAAGATGCTGCTCTGGGAACGCCATAGGGTGTACCATTCTCTGATTATTGCACGCTTGCTACAGTCATCAGCTTCTAGCCCTCAAGGAGGTGCTTGTTTTCTCTTACTAGCTATTATTTCATAAATCATAGAAAGTGTTCGATCAGCAGAGGTCAGGAGCTACGGTTCGTTGACACCTTGGGCATTATGATTAGTCATCAATCATGCCCGGTAGAGAGCATCGGCCCGATCCTCTCGGCAATCTTCATGGGCTACTGGGGATGCATATATGCATTCTAGCTCTGCCAGACAGTAGTCGTAGGCCAGTCAAAGAGTCAAAGATAAACATGCATGATGTTCCCAGTGGAACGCCTTGACTCGTGATATATTATTCGAGGATTGTCGAGAAGGGTCTTGGCACCAAGAATAGAGGCGGTGCAGGTGGTGACAACGATCGCCGGAAGTATCCTATCTCACGCTGTAGCACTTTGTGTAATGAAAATCAGCGGTCCAAGAAACCAACAGCAGTGGGTGAGCAAGGGTCTCATCCAATAAGAGCTACGCTTCCTCAAGATGTGGCATTCAATGTCGAGAGCAACTGCGCTATCTCGGTATGAGTTGCCGTGATCCTAGCTACACGTCGACTCTCACGCACCGCCAAAGACGTTTATATATGCTCAGTCACACCATGGAGCAGCCCATTCTTCACCACAGCTTCCTCATCTCAGGATCTTGACTCGATCATGTCTCCCATGGCGGTGATCATCTCCCACCCGGCCCCCAGCGTGGTCAAGATCACGCTGAATCGGCCCCAGCGCCTAAATGCACTCAACGCTGAGCTTCTCAATGACTTAACTGATGCATTGCGCAAGCACGCAGACGCCCATGTTATCATTTTGGAAGGCGCGGGGGAACGCGCGTTCTGCGCCGGCGAAGACCTTAAGGAAACCCTTGCCCCTCGCACGGGATCTGCAGAGGAACTCCGCATCGCTTTCAATCTACTGCAGGATGTCACGCGGCTGACATCTTCATCGTCCGCGATTGTGGTGGCTGCCGTACAAGGCTACGCGGTGGGCGGCGGAGCAGAGATAGCCCTGGCTGCAGACTTCGTCGTTGGCGGTCCAAATGCCAAGTTTCGATTTCCCGAAGTGACGCTGGGTCATGCTGTGACAGGTGGCATTTCGCTGCGACTATCCCACATGGTGGGCCTGCTGAAAGCCAAGGAGCTTCTTATCCGTGGGCGAACTATAGAAGCCCAGGAGGCGTTCGGAATTGGTCTACTCACTGAAATCGCCGAAGACCCGAAAGCACGCGCTACAGAGCTGGCGTTGGAACTTGCGCAGCTACCTAAAGCGGCTTCGTCCAGCCTCAAAACATCCCTGGAGCGGGGTGTATTCCCAAACATGGAATCGGCCCTACATGATGAGGTGAACGCCGCTAGTTACTGCTTTGCTCGGACAGAGGCAGCCAACGCTTTTAAAAACTTCGCACAGAGAAACCAAGCACAACCAAAGATTCGTGACATCAATACGGCAATGAAGATGGCCGTCCGAAACTATCCTACCAAAGTGTTCATTCGATGTCAGGGCCTGGACGTCACTTTCCAGGATTTTGATCGTAGCGTGGCCGCCCTCGCTAGCGGGCTAGGCAAAGCGGGAGTGAAAGCGGGCAATCGAGTGCTTGTCATGATGCAGAATAGTGTCGAGATGGTGCTTACCTGGATGGCTACTAACCGATTAGGCGCAGTGTGGGTTCCCGTCAATACCGATTGGCGATCGTTGACGTTGAAAAATGCTGTCGCTGCAGCAGACGCGACCCTGGCAATCGTGGACAACCAATTTGCTGACCTGGTTGGAGCAACTGGGGCAATTGACGGCAACTCTATCTGGATCCTTGGGAGTGGCAATGCCCAGGACCTTTCCAAGCTCTATCTTAGCGAAGAACCTTTGGAGGATTCCTTCGCTGCAACACCGGCTACTGCCTCTGCATTCTTGTATACCAGCGGAACGACGGGCAAATCCAAGCCCTGTATACTCTCGCACGAATACTTCATCATCCAGGCCACGCTCCTGATAGAAAGCTGCAAGCTCCTGACCGAGGATGTGCTTTACTGTCCATTCCCATTATTCCACGCAGATGCAACAGCACTCACCGTAATTCCAGCCATTCTCCTCGGTGCTACCGCAGCTCTGTCTCCCAGGTTTACGGCAAGTCGATTCTGGGACGAGATCCGTGGGACTGAAGCAACAGTATACGATTTCATGGGGGCGACTCTAGCTTTGATCTACAAGCAGCCGCCGGGCCCACGGGATCGAGAGCATCGAGTTCGGCTCGCTTGGGGTGTTCCAATTCCAGCTTTTGCTGAGGATTACGAGCAACGATTCGGGCATCCACTTCGTACCTTGTATGGTAGTGTGGAAGCTAGCATCCCCATTGTGCAAGAAGGCCCTCTCGTTCCAGGATCTTGTGGCATGTTGCGTCCAGGATACCAACTCCGCATCGCCGATCAGGAAGACGAGCCACTCCCTCCTAATACACCGGGCCAGTTGTTGCTGCGCAGTGAAAACCCCAATGCCTTCTTCCAGGGCTATTTCAGTGACCCAGCAAATACGGTCAAGGCGTACGCCAATATGTGGCTGCATACAGGCGACATCGCGAAGATGGACGAACGCGGCAATGTCTACTTTATTGGCCGTATCAAAGACATCATTCGACGCCGAGGGGAAAACATCAGTGCCTCGGAGGTAGAAGAGGAGTTTCTACAGCATCCTGAAGTCGTCATCGCTGCTGCGTTTGCGATTCCTAGTGAACTAGGAGCAGGAACTGAAGATGATCTGAAGGTCGTGGTGAAACTGCGTGATAAGAGCACGACTGATGAGCACGCCTTGTGGCAATGGTCGCAGCAGCACATGGCGCGGCACCAGGTGCCCACCGTGATTGAGATCGTGGAAGAGCTCAAACAAACGCCCACTGGGAAAATTGAGAAAGGATCGCTGACGAAAGAGGGCGGAACGAGGTTTACAACACGTCTGGCAAGACTGTAGAGAGGCATTGTCATGGGATATTCACATGGCATCACGGTCACGTAGTATAATGGAACGATCGAAGGAGTGCAGTCAATAACAATGCGCATGCGTAATAAAGTTTCATATCGTTTTCTACACCCTCCGTTTATTTTCTGAACTGCATTCATTTGTTTACTTTAATGGTGCGATAAACCAAACATTTTTTTTTCGAACGGCGAGAACCAATTTCCATGCGAACCAGTCAATGCAGGAACTGTCTTGCATTATTCAGCCAAAATTCGGCGAGGCTTTCGATTGACAAAGATTTACATCTATATATGATGTCCATGTGAGCCATGGTGATGATGATGGTGGCGGTGCTGAACTGGCACAGGTTCAGGGTCCGTATCGTCAGTGTCGTCCGCCAAATCAACATTATTAAAATACTCCGCCATCTCCTTAAAGGGACTGTCGTCCTCAAATGGCTCGTCGCTGAGAGTGACATCTGAATGGCAAAAATTCCGTCATTAGCTGTAGCCTCGTGAAAAACATGAGGTTCGGGTAACGTACTTGTAATCACCCAATGGTCAGGATTAGTAGGGTCCAAACCTCTGGCCACCAGACTAGCTGGGGTTTCAAACTGGATCTTTCATGGCATACTTTTCAATAATTCGATCTTCAACCCTGGTGACGTCTCTGTTTCGTAGGGGAGCTCGAGGCAAAAGCCGTTGTTGTCAAGTGACTATTTTGGGTTTCCTTGCAGATTGACACCTCCCAAAACATGCATCATTCCGGTCCCTGGGTTCACAGAAAGATTGTTGTAGGCGCTCGTGTCAAATGAGCCACCCAGTGTCCCAATATTGTTCTTATTGGACCAGTAGCTGTAGAGGTTCATCGTGTAGTACCTTTTTATCTCCCCCAGTTTGGGTTGCCCATTTTTGACCAGTATCCTTCATCAATTAGTCAATTATTGATAATTGTGATCAGATGCTGGAAGGGTCGCTTACGTTGTCCGTAATTCCAGAAAATTGACTGTTGATCTTGGCTTGATACCTCTGCTGAGCTTCCGGGACACATGCCACCTCCTAGAGAACATCAAGTTAGCGCTGAATGAAATGCTCTTGGAGAGAAGAAAGGAGACTTACAGCACCCGTGCCTCCTTCTTCTGACGCATTGACTAAACTGGTGTCGTGTAAGTAAGAAGCCTCCAAAAAACTGCATCGGTCTTTCGATTTTCACATACAAGGAAATACATCATAGGACATGGTCAGGGCCCGTGGCGGTTGGTTATTCTTGGGCCAAAGTGATTTTTTCAATTTGGTGCATTCTTTCTTTTTGTCTTTGCAGGCGTCGGCCCGGTTAGTATTGGTGCCCATGTTGCTTTTCGAGCCTGGCTTGTAAGTCAGAAGCATTGAGTTCGGCCAAACATTTGATCTGCCCGAGTTTCGGTCCAGATAGTTCTTGATGTTTTCGCAAATGCCAAGTAGACTGACAAACGGCGTGTCTTCATATGTGTCAGAATTGAGGTTGTTGACAATAGCACTTTGGAACCAGTCACAGTTGTAAAACAGCGCAGGTGGGAGATAGCACTGTTCCGTCTCACGCTTGGACTTTGTCACAGTACCACCGGAATTCAAGCAACTCAAAGTATCGTTTGAAATTTGAGTATCCTTGTTGGCGCACTCGCACCATCCCCCGAAGAAAGGCGAGCCAGTTGTGTTCGCAACTAGGGCCAAGATATGGCCAAGAGGTAACGATCATCGGACAAGAGTTGCTTGTTTTGCTAGTTGTTCTCTATGTGGCCCATTTGTCTTGGCGGCCCCATATCCAAATTTCGGTCCCTGAACGAGAGATGCTCGGCATCTCATGTTATGATAGGGGCAGTCTTCGGACGGGCAGTTAGTGCAAGGCTGGACCCATTGGTCCACATGGATGGTTTGTTTTAGTGTTCAATTTGGACCACTCTTTCCCCCTCGCTTGCGGGAAATTAAATGTCGCGTAGCATGGAAAGCGGACTTGTGTCTCACATTTGAGTTGATCTTTCGCGCTTCTAGATAATTTTGAGCAGGTAATATACTCATTGATACAAGTTAGCCAATATGAAGATCGGGGACTTCCTTGCGCAAGTCGGGAATTGCGCGAAGTATTCATTCACGCAGGTATTGGTCACCCCATCTATGGGCTTCTCCGTGTCCTAAGTTCAAAGGAACAGATTCACCGTGAAAAACTCGCTGGTCACGAAAGAATGATTTCTTTGAGGACATCGACTATATTGGCAGTAGCAGTGACGCTACAGGCTCAATATGCCAGTGCCTGGGAAATGCAGATACTCTCTACATTTACACACCTGATAGTCTGGCTAGTATCTCTGCCTCTGAAGCATGTGTTAATGCCATGGCCAGCAATGTCTCGTGCTATGCAGGCTTGAGCCAGGCAGTCACCGAGACGACAGCATGGTCAGCCAGTGCACTTTCAGAACTTTGCACCGCTGATTGTTCCTCCACTTTGTCTAGCTATGTATCCTCTGTGAACGAAGCCTGCGGCGCAAATACTCAGTACAACATTTCTGGCACTTCGCAAACTGCCTCCAATAGAGGAAAAGAAATGCAATAGCGTTATGATACGACCTGTTTGACTGATCCTTCTTCGGGTACCTATTGCAACACTCTCTTCCAGAATGCGATCGCAAACGGCAATACGAACATCAAATGCAGCGCATGCTATTTGAATTATATGTCAGCTATAGTGAACTCCAAATGGGGTCAGGATACCTTGCTCAGTCCTTCTGCTTTGGAAAGTTAAGTATCCTCTTACTCGACCAGCGGATACTCTGTGACTTATACACCGAGTTCCATTACGACTTCAGCGGCCTCTGCCTCAGCCACCGTTGTAGCTAGTCGCTGTAATACGACTGATCCCTATCAAACTGTTTACAAGGTTGAATCCGGAGATACCTGTGTTTCTATCTCGGCAGCGCAAAATGTCTCCACCTCGGCTTTGATCAACTTGAACAGTCTCGATATGGGGTGTACACATATAATAGCTGGTGCGGACATCTGCCTTCCCGATGTGTGTGAAATCTATCGCGTTCAGAAGACGGATACTATCAGCACAATTGTGTCGGGTCTCCGTGCCTCAATTTGTAGTATGGAATGCCAATCTGAACTCAATGCAAAGCTCAGAGAATCTGACTTCTATTGCGGGGAAGTATATCTGCGTCAGTCCTCTAGGTACTCTCAGCCTTCCCGATACCCTAGCTCTGAGGCCCGCAACCACGGCTCTGTATGTTTTCCGCTATCCCTTTTCCGCTTCTGTAACCCCGGAAGGTAAAAATGCTAATTAGATGTGAAGCTCTGTTCCTACCGATGCGGTTACTACCTCGAACACCGATTGTGGCCACTGGTATCAGATCCAAGCTGGTGATACCTGTGAGTCCGTGTGCAGCAAATTCAGCATCTCGCAATATACTTTCGATTTCTTGAATCCCCAGGCTGCATTGAATAAAACTTTAAGCTGTGGCAGCCTGTGGAAAGGGAACAGCTACGTACGTCTCTTTTTCGTTCGATAACAAAGACACACTGTTTCTCTCAGACTAACCTGCCTACCCAAAGTGTGTACAAGCCGTGGGTAACATCAATACCTACACCAGCTACATTTCCAACACCACCAGAACTCGCACCACTCTCGCTAGCACCATGAATACCAACGCTACCCGCACAGCTAACCATAGTACCACACAACTGTTCTGGTCATTCCCTTCCGACTTAATCACCACCTCGACCTGGACCCCTGACTCCACATACCTTGCATCGCTTGCATCCTACACGTTCTGCGACCAGGTCAATTCAGTATACAATATCACCGACACCGATCTGGCAGACGAGATGTACGAAGATCAAGCCTGGATGAGCGAATACGAGCGCATTTGCTATCTGCCCATCAATGGCACCTTCCCGACCGTTGGCTTTAACTTAAGTATGACGCTAACAGATGACTTAAGCGTGGGAAGCTCAACGATGTTTATCTCTAGCCAAACGGCTAGCCCCCCACGTATTGTCTACAGCCACTACTGCGACTTCTACTACCACAGCTGCAACCTCGACAAGTACCATCTCGGAAGATGGTCTTTGTGGCGCGTCTAATGCCGGGCACTTGCTGTAGTAACTACGGCTATTGTGGGAGCTCGTCAGACTATTGTTCCAGCGCAAACTGCGATGCTAAGTATGGCTCGTGTTCGTGATTGCTTGTGGATGAAAACCGACATTCTCCTGGACTCCGCCTTCGGCTCAAGCTTGAACGGTGGGATAAAGTGGTAGATTTCAGATCTTTCTGTCGGCTCCGCACGAGGACTAGGATCATGCCGTGGCACATTCCAAGATTCTCTTACTAGTATTATCAACTGGCGTGTCGTCGAACGGCAAATGGAAAATTCATGTGAATTAGATCTCAACTACCTGAATAAGGTAGATACCTGCTTGTTTAGATGAATACTGGAAGACAATCGGTTAGACGGGATCATTCGACACTATGTCGAGACTAGAAAGACCCTAGTTTGGGGGCGATCACTTTGAAAGCCTGCACAGGTGCAAGTTCATGCCCCACTACCTCCCGATCACTAGCCCCGTTAAAGACACCCGCCTCTTTCGTCCATCACTTCTTTCCCACTTGCACCCACCTCCCACCAAACATGACGTTGACCAAATGGCACAACCATTGGCCTGGAGGTATCCCCTCCTTCATTCGCCGGCACGAAGAACCTGTGGAAAATGTGGCCACTGCCTCTCGTGCATGGAGATTTTATGTCCGTGAGCAGTGGGCGACGGCGCCGCCGTGGATGAACAGAGACGAGCTCTGATCGAGCGTTGGGCAACAGCAGACCAGGAATTCCGCGATGTAAACTTTCCAAAATCTCAGTGGATGGATACAAAATTCTCGCTTGTCTACTAACACTAAAATAGAGCTATGAATCCCGAGCACCAGAGGATGAACGTATCTTTGAAAACCCCGAAGATGTATGGAATAGCCCTCTATCGTGTAAAAACGACTCTAATTAGCACTAGGACGCATGCCTCGTTGGACTTTCGAATACCAGAATCGATCCAGTCCACGTCTGCGTCACACAATGGACCCCCGAGACACAAGCCCTGCTCGCAAAGTGTCTTATAACACTGTTCGGATGGGATGGCGGATACGAATATCTAGCCTACGAAGTATTTTCCTGTGGAAGATAACCAAGGCGATATCCTCGACATATTCAAATTCCGCCAAAGTGTCGCCCGACCCGATTTCCTGGATATGTACATGACGGTCAATGGAACTGTGCTATTCACGGAGTGCGAGCCCAAACTGATTATTGACGACTACACTCTTGAGACTGGATTGTGTCTTTGGGTTCAATTCGAGAATAATGGGACTAGGGAGAGAGCCTGGCGGGCTCAGATGGTCATGGAGGAGTTCCCCGACCATTTCCGCGATGTGCATCTCAATATGAACTCATTGGACTCCGTGTTGACATACCTGGAGGAGGATGAGGACCCGCACCCAGAGGAGATATTGGAAGATGAGCCGTGAGTACTTCTAGTGTCAGGTGTGTGAGAGTACTAATCAGTGCTTAGGGTCGATATGCGACGGCCGTTGATGGAAATTTATCCGAGGGATAGAAGCAAGCAACTGGATCGGTATGCGCCGGGCTTTCGAGAGGCAGAGGATGCGGGTAATGGCCTGCCGATTGGATATGATTTGGAACGGATAATTGCAGATGATGGAGGCCCTTTGAGGATTATAGAAGACTGAGTCGATAGTCAAGAAAAATGTTCGCTGCATGGGACAACGCCGTGATGTTTGTTGACTATTCCAAGAAGCAGTAAATAATCAGTGGTGTTCAGGGCATTCAGAGAATAGGGACTGTATGACTTAGAAGGTAGAATGACAAAGAAAGTCGAGAACAAAAAAAAAGAGAGAAGATTATTGAATACAACAGTCAGATTCAGCTGGTGGTTACCTAACAATCACGAATCGAGCGAGGGTCCTACATCTTTTACTCGTGAAAACTAAGCCTATGACTGACAGTGCTGCAGAATAGTGGTGTGACAGGGCAGTGGCCGGTCAAAGGGGCGGCTGAACATCCCAAGTTACGAGAGGAAAAGGCAGCTGTTTCTGGCGTCAAAAAGCGGTCATTTTCAGCGGCAATTCCATAGGTCCTCATGTTCTCATGTTTGGAGATCCAACTAAACCAACAAAATATCCACTCCCAGATCTCTCACCACATCTCTCCAGTCGATAGTAATGAGCCCCTTGTCCATTGTGCTTTCAAAGTGCGCATCGTCTCTCCTCCGCCAAACCTCCTCGATGATTCGTTTTACGGGAAGTCTGTTTCCGAGCCCAAAGTGAATGGACCGCTCAAGCCACTCCCGCGCCAACGCCATGTCAGCTTCTGTGTAAGCTTCGACTGCAGCGATGAAAGCTGGCCATAGCGAGAAGTTCCCGCTGCTCTGGGCACAGAATGCCGAGATGTTGTGAAATGTCATGGTCACATATGTCGTGACGCGCTTCGGCGGAGCGTCCATGAGCGACCGGTACAGATAGATGTATGTGGCGTAGATGAACGCGTTCAGCTGGTAGCGTGCCAAACTCTGTACTTGAGAGGCAGGCTGATTGGGCTCGGTGGAGAGGTGAACGTCGATGTCGGATTGGAAGGGGGGACCGTCGTTGGTCTGTGCCTGGAGGAGTCCGAGGCAGGCCAGGACTTGGGAGACAGCGCGGTCGGCATCGAACTGAGTGCTGGCGGGTGGGTCCGACCGCATCTGCTGGCTAATGGTGGCGATGGCTGAAATGCATTCGAGAAGGGATCTCTGGGCGCCAATTGTAAACCCGAATTGCGGAGTGGATGAGATGGTGGCGGCAAATTCAATTTCGGCATTGACTAGTAAAGAAGACAGAGGATCGGCGGGCATTGGGTTGACTGGAGAAATCTGATTCGTTGCAGGTGGAAGATTGGGACTGAGCGTCAATGGGGAGCCGTTGCTGTCTGTCGAAGTAGTGCTACTGATGATCCTCACGATCAGCAAGCTCTGGATAGAGAAGCATGCAAATCGGGACTGATTCCAGAGTTCATTGCTGCTGGAGTTGAGAAGAAAAGCCCACGCCCCCTGGAGGTGATGCTTCCATTTCCTGGATTGGCCGCTGTAAACCTACGGAACAACCATTAGTCCAAAATCTACTCCAGCGGGCGAGATATTTCTTACTTCTGCCATCATCAAGGTCATGATCGCTGCCAGAATGCCCCCGGAGTCCGTATCCGCAGACGTCTGGATCCCATCATTGACGTGTTGAATGGATGCATTATAGTGCTTCGCTGCCAAGCGCATCATCTTTGCCGTGTCGCCGCCCAGATGGGCCAAATTGAAGGCCGCATGGGCCAGGATAGCATGGTAAAGGGCTCGCTCCCCAGGCACGGAGTATTCCAGTGACACCGAGGGATAGTACAGCTTCCAGGGGTTCCAAGGGTGTTCAAAGGGCATCATGACCGAGGCCACATAATCGACATAGTGATGAAAGAGGAGCCTGTCCTCGCTGTCGGCGTGCCTCGTGGGAGTGCCGCCGTTGGCCAAGACTAGATTCACTGTTGACGCTAACGAGGTGGGAGGCACCGCTGGAAAGACCAGAAATGGATTGTGGTCGACCCCCACTGGCCATGGGCGCTGGTTCGCCTCGCCCTCGTCGCATTGTGCGATCAAGGTATCTAAGACGTCGGAGTCGAGAGGGGCACGATTCTCCCATGTCCGCTCTGCTTTCGGAGTCAGCCGAGGCTTACGATGAGGGGCAGAGGAGACCGAGAGACCACATACCACAGTACATGTATCGCCGGCCGGTGGAGCGATAGGATTGATTGCCATTTAGCCAGATGAGGCGGGTACTGGAACCATCACACTGCAGCCCCAGTCGTTGACACGCCGAGCATGGCGAGGCTTCGTCGCACTTTACTTTGCGTTCTCGACAGCGCCAACATCCCTGTTACAAAATCAGACGGTTCCGACCGGGATGACGGACATGCTCACCGTGAACTCTCTCCGGCGTCGCGGGGCACGAATGGCCGTCATGATGAAAGGAAGAAAGGCATGTCATGGCGAGGGATCGGGGAAATCGAGGGGTCGATCACCTTGGGTAAATGGTGTCCACATGGCGTGACGCTTAACCAGCCGCAGTCAGAGAAATTTTATTTTTTTCTTTGGTGGGAGATCAGCACTAATGATTCACGAGTTCTGCAAAGCCTATCTAATTCTCTAATTCTGATTCTTGCTCGTAATCACCAGTCTAAAGTCCGTGTCTAGAAACAGACTGTAATTCCGACTCTTCATCGGCTGCGTTGGGTCCACCGCAGCTATATCATATCGGCGGAGCAACTCCACCAGCACCTTTTGCAGCTCCAACAGTGCGACATCCTTACCCAGACAGCGCCATTTGCCGGTCGAAAAGCCCAACTCCCAGTGGCGTTTCATCAGTCGTAGCTGTTCGGGGCTGGACTCCAGCCATCGCTCCGGGTGGAAGATCTCTGCGTTTGGTCCGAAGGCCTCGGGCGATCGCATCACCCCCCAGGCACAGTATGCAATGCCCGTGCCACCTGGAATGAACCGTCCGTCGGGAAGCGTGTCCCCGCCTGGTGGCACTTCCTTCTGGAGATACCCTGTCGCCGGAGGACGCAACCGGAGACCCTCTTTGATGCACGCATCCAGGTACGAAAGCTGTTGGATCTGTTCGACCGACACGATCTCGGTCTCCATGTCTGATACCTCCCTCGGGCAGCCAACTCCATGCGTGTCAAATTCAGCCAATATTTTGCGCACCACTGAGGGTTTGGAGATGATAAACAGGAGAATGGCCCGGAGAGCGGTGGCCGTGGTGTCCGCGCCAGCCAGACTGAGCTCTTGTCAGCTTCCATCTTAATGTGTGAGAGGGAAACTTACATTTGGAGCATTACCTCGCACTCAGCCTGATCCTTGTCCAAGCCGTGACGTATGAAAGCGGCTAACATATCTCCACGGTCAGGATGGCCAGGGGTGAAGCGTTCGTCCACCGTCGCACGGGCGATGCTATTACAAGTTAGATGATCTCCCGTGGCCTCCAAACAACAGCAAGAGTGGGGAACATACCCCATGATTCGACCAATACCCATTCGGTCACTTTTGGATGGTGCCAGAAGTTTGTTGATCCATCCTACCTCTGTGAGCTGGACCAGCGAAGGGACCACTGCGGTCACGCACATCACTGGAAAGAGGGAAGCGACATTGGAGATGAAATCGTACTTGTCCTCATCAGCGTCCAAATATGAGGCGGGGCGCCCAAAGGCGATGTCGGTGATCACATCGAAGGTGAAGTAGCTCGAGGTCCGCGCGAAATCAATTGGGCGGTAGCCCTCCGATGTTGAGGAGAGATACTTGCGCTCTATCAACCCCAGCAGCTTTCGGACATGATGGTCAATTGAAGATTCCAAATGCAGGTTCTCTTTCCCGGAATACTATATATCAGCACGGCATTAGTGTTGATCTTTGATAGAGAGGAGGATTCCCCATGACTAACACCCGCGGCCATCTGTGCCCGTAAATCCTGATGCCGCTTCTCATCGCGTATACTCAGGATATTGTTTTTACCACGCTCGAGACTGAAGGCCGTGTAGGCGACCGACCGAATGTATTGACCGCGAACACTGTTGACTTTCCACAAGAAGTCGGCATCCGACACCAACAGAGTCTTGGGACCAATGCGGCAGATTGAACCTGGAAGATATCACTTAATCAGATGTCCCTGTAACAGGCAAGCTAGATTGGATCCTCCTACCGTATTTCTTCACACAGTCGTGAAGTCGTGTATTCTGGGTGCCGCTTAAGGCCGACCGTATCATCCATAGTCTGGAGAATTTGGCGATGAGAGGTCCATCAAAGGGTCTGAGTAGCACATAGCTACGAATCGCTTTTGCGATATAGAAGACTATGGCGAGAAGAATAAAAATACTCCAGGCAGAGAAGCCGAACGGAAGACGGCCTTTCCAGGCGTGGCCGACAAGGTCGGACATAGTTGCCATTGCACTTAGTCCGAGTACACTTGAGTAGCCTCAGAGGGCCATACGAGACAAGAGGCAAGTATATAGTAATCTACACAGTCATCTCTTCCATGAGCTGCGATAGCGGAGTATGTGCGTGAAACAACTGCTCAGTTCGGAAATACGTCACAGATCGTCTTGGACGTGAAACAAGTAATTTTACCCAGATTGAAATACACTAGTGTCTTTTACTAAATCATGACCTATGGAACTCGTAGCCCCGATCCCCTTTTGGCTCTTCAAGGAACGGCCCGACAACCGCCACTTTCTCTTGGCGTGCACGGTTGCAGACCACTTTTAATCTTTATTCCGAAGCCAAGATTAAAAAAGGGGAAAAAAAAAAGAAATTCCCACCATAAGCCACAGAAACCAATCGGAAGATCTTAAGCAATTTTGGGGATTAAAGCAGAGACTTACGCCAACTCCACCCGCATAGGCAGAGAGGGGTGCGAGTTGAGCGAATCATAGGGGTGTGAAATGTGTCCCTCAACCACGGGCTTACGCGTGAAGAAAATGAGCATTTCCCGCGTGGCGGGGCATGCAGGATCAACCGCGTGGACAGGGGACAGGCTGTGTTTCCTCTCGTGGTCGACGAAGAGCAATGTGTCCAGGAAGTCCCGGTGCTGGTGGCTGCCCAGGGTGTGCGCAGGGTCGACTTCATCCCAACGCAGGGCGTTCTTTGCGCGCATGTCATGCACAAACGTCACCGCACTGTCGCTGGTCATGTTCTCGCTGCCCAGGAAGGTCGTCATGGTGAAATCGACGCCATCACTGTGCACACCTTCCAGCGCGGGCTCACCCACAAGATCCTTGTTGGTCACGGTCCGCAAGTTGAAGAGGGTGCATACGAAGTTTTCCGTGTCATAGTTGAGTTTCGGGCGTTGCTTGATGGGGACACCGCGAAAGATGAGGGCTTTGAAGACAAATAGAGCGTGTAGTGTCGAGTTGCCCTGCAGATCTTCGTCGACCTCCTGGAACTTTCTGATCTGGCCGGAGTCGTGTCGCACAAAGTCTTCTTCCACTGACAAGGCGAAGGGCTGGAACTCAAGGCGGCGGACTTGCGACTGCTCGAAGTCGAAGCAGAACCGCCCGTTCTTGCTTTTCCGGAACGGAAGAGTGGGGTCGTCGCGCAAAGTGTCGCTCACAGTCTTCATCTTCTCTAGATCCTTGTCGGTGGCGCCAAGCACCTTGAGAATGGGGATGAGGCGGTCACCTTTCACGAAAATGAGACGGTTCTTGATGAATTCTTCCCGGAGCAGGATGAGATCCGCAATAGCAGCCCGAGTCTCGGCACTAATTGGTTGAATAGCCATCTTGAACGAGATTCACAAAGTACAAAGTACAGAGTAGCGACAAGGTCAGATTTAGACCAACTATCTTGAAGATGAAGAAAGAAACAGTTGAAAAATCCGCCTGACCTGCGGTCCATGATCATATAAAAATACCTCAGTGCCAAGGCACTATCCATCTCGTGTAAGCTCAGCCTCCGATCTCGGTCATCTGCGAGAGTCGACAATGAGGCCATACATCATGTCTAGAAGGCGGGACGCGATAGGTTGGAACACAGTAAGCCTTGGGATGTAACCTCAGCCGTAGGACGCCTGGCGTGATGGAGTAGTTGGCGTTCGCGTATTGTATGACGGGCTGGAGTCTCTTGATTGACCATTGGAAGACCAATTCTACGCCTTGATCGCTTTTGTAGAGGCAAGGAACTGCACATGCAGAGATGCAGAGAGACGCCACGCGCAAGGTGGCTGCATTTGCAAACCCGCCTCTAATTTCACCACGTTGCAAGAGTAAGCACAACCAAGATAGTCAAGATTATCAGTCGGGTCCTGACACATCAGAATGACTTGCCGAAAATCCCAATAAAGGCAATGTATCTCCAGGCGAGCAGGCCATGACAAACACATTGACAATCTTTTGATTTATGCATAGATAGCATTCTGAATTAGTAGACATCGTTTCAACCTGCACTTCCTGTTCAAAATTACTTTGGAATCTCCTCAAAGCGCCCAAAACGGGATTACTGTTACTTTACCTGGATCTACACAATCTCTGGATAGAGGTCCCAAATATCATGGATGCTTATTCTGGGTCCATGTATTTACTGACACCATCTGGGTAATCCACCCTTTTGAAACTATGGAATAGTATCAGGACTTTTGTGAAACCTTATATTATATCATGCAGATTAAAAGCTGTAATTTTTCAAATTCAAAGTAGGGCCCTGCGCTAGCCTATTCGCGTCGGAATTACGTTAGCTGCTTCACGTTTTTACTATTGTTACTAGTGGGTTGGCTGGAGCATCCAAGCGGTGGATCGACCCCACCGGAATCTTATCAACATATCCCCGTCACTACGTTCTTGGGACTTGGCGCTGCCTAGCAGCCGCAATTACTTTATGGCCATCCGTGCCCCTGCATTGAGTGACATTCCTCACCTCCACCTAGCTCTCGAACATACTAACTATGAAGATCCTGATGATTCACGGTATTTCCGCCCGTCAGAAACACCGAAACAGCTAAAATCTGACCACCACTACTACAGGATCTCGCCAATCGGGGGAACTTTTCCGAGCGAAGCTCCAGGCCCTGGAGAAAATGATTCAACGAGCCCTTGGCCCTCATCAGCCCCGTGGGGCTGACTTTGCTTATCCGACGGCCCCCTTCTCGCTAGGGTCGCCCGATGGTACGTCCGAATTACGGGAGCGACACGGCGCATGGACCTGGTTTAAATCTGACGCGATCGACGAAATCTATCCGGGGCTAGGAGGTGGCTTGAACTCCATCGGGTCTATTTTGAAGGATTCCGGGCCGTTCGATGGGGTCGTCGGCTTCAGCGAGGGTGCCGCTGCGGCCGCAATGGTTGCGTCGCTTTTGGAAGAAAACAGACAAGACTCATTTGCCCAATTGGAAGCGGAGGGTGGACTTCCATATCCAGCTTACTTCGCCACCCTGAATCACCCTCCTCTCAAATTCGTGGTCAGCATTTCGGGATATGCCGCCTCGCACCCGGCTTACCGGGCCTTCTACAGCCCCTCCATTCGGACGCCAACGCTGCATTTCCTGGGTAGTATGGACAGTGTCGTTGATGAGAATGCGTCAATGAGGTTGTTAGAAAGTTGCCAGGAAGCGGAGGATGAGAAGATACCAATTGTTATCTGGCATGCGGGCGGACACATAGTTCCAAGTGGAAAGCGAGAACTCGCGGCGGTTGCACATTTCATCAAGTCTAAAGGCAGCTAGGGGAGAAGATTAGAGTCAAGAAATTTCATAGAGTTGTAAATACGGCGGATGATGATGCTATCTCTTGAATCTACTCCGGAATTCGCGTGCTCTCTCCACCGTACCGAGACGAGACGACCGAGTAGAACACATTGCCCGCCGTCATCGTCAACACCGCATCCACAAATTGCCACTCTTCCGCTGTGAGAGTGTTCTCATCTCTCATTCGTGCCAGCTCCTGGTCAATTTCTACCTCGATCTCTAGCTGCATTGCGTAGGTAAGGGCTTTGGCTGAATTTTCCGTGGGCATGGAAAATAGCCTCTGAACCACTTCAACAGCATTGATCAGATGATATGTCCGACCCTGATCATAGGCTCTTTTTTTCCTTGTCGTAGGATGCAAGGTCATTCACGATAGAAACGTGGTCACTGATGAGCCGCAGGAACTTCTCCAACTGAGGGCTCTCGATCTCGACGTTCGAACAAATGGAGAACTTGACACACGCCAGAATGTAACTAATTCACTTGATAAGGCCATGGTGTCTGGATTAATAGATAGCGTAACTTACGGTACTCCGGCATCAATGCGACGATACGTGAGGTAGTCCCCTAGCGTATCGAATTTCTGAGCTGGTGGAACGTGTTTGCAAAAGTCAACTAGACGGTCAATGACTTCTTGTCCTCCATTTCCAACCAGGGCATCTTGTTCATGGAATCCATCGACCGTTGATGTAATGAGGGCCTGTAGGTCACTCTCAGGGGCCTGGCATGCGCGACCTTGGAGGCGGTCCAGGAATCCATCTCTCACATCATTTAACTAGATTCGAAGTAGATTAGAAGACAGGCATAGAACTTAAAGATAATTTCTCACCTCGCTTCCGGCCACCATCTCCCACGCATCTGTCACCGGTTGTTAGTATCGAGGTTTTGACATGCGGCGACTCTGTAACATACCGTCAAAGATCACGATGTACACGATTGAGGCGGCCAGCAGTCTCATGCGAGCTTCATCTGCCTCCGGAAACAGATACGTGGCAAACTTCGTGAAGCGATCTTCTTCCAGCGTGTTCAATTCGTGCGCCGCAACGCTACCAAGCGACTTGCCGTTCGATTTAACCGCTTGACTAACATTTTCATCGCGGGCAAACAGCTCCAAGAGTTCGCTGGAAATACTCAAACCACTTTGCCAAAACTTGCCCTGGCGAATACAGTCCAAACCCGTTGGCCATGGCAGGCCGGCAGCGACGGGGTCCAATGTGAACGCATTAGGCGTCGTAAAATGTAACCGTTGCCCTGACTTGACCGACTTTTTCAGGCCAGGGACAGTGTTATATTCCAGACCTTGGGGCTTCAAGAACTTTGGAATCTCATTGAGATAGTTGTAGGCAAACCGTACGCGAGAGATATCGCAATGGTTGCTCGGCGGGGCCAGAGCGGCTACATATGCATGTCAGTATGTAGCAGACCGATCACAATGGTCGGTCTTACCGTTTACAGACTCGACAGTGGGCGGAGGCAACATGACGATGTTGTTTCTTCTTTTCAGATTTAGAAGACAATGATATTCAGTCAGACACTCCTCAGGCGGACGTGAGTGTGAACTATATACGCTCCCTTTATCAAATTAGCCCCAAGACATTTCCCAAATCTGGCCCGATCAATCTTGACATCGATATCGACATGCCCGCCATCGGAGACGTGAAACGAAGGAGCCGTGAAAGCCTAATACGGTACACATCCGTGCATGTAACGCTACCGGTATCGATCTAACCCGAACATGAAATCCCTGCCCGGCCCCCACGAGAACCAAGAGCACTAGCTCGCCCCACTCGGGCCCACATGGAATGGAAGTTCATACCGAGAAGCTACATTAGAGTGGCGTCGCGGGACGGGGCGCTTTTTGCTAAATCATCCCTGATCTCGCCTTGGCCTTCCTCTTGTCCCTGATCTGTGCCTTTGATCTGCGAAGCCAGCAGGCCAGTATGCCAGGACATGATAGTGACAAAGGGGATGTCGGCAAGGATATGAGAGCAGGGCGCTTCACCGTCATGGGGTCGGGGAAGATTGATCGCTCAGTCGTTCTGGTTGAAATTCCCTGTATATATATTGCTTTTGAGTTTGGAGCAAAGTGAAGCCTAAACATATCATCTACAATCAGAATCTTGCTCAAGCTATTCAAATGGAGATTCGTCTGCACTCGAAAGATAGAGTCTATACAACCGGAGAGACTATCAAAGGAGAGTTGGTCCTACAGAGAACCAGCATCAAACAACGTTTGCGGGTCTCGTTGTCACTCATTGGTTTGAAGACCTTTGTCGGCCTCGAGAGCACATAAAGACTGATACATTCTGTAGGAAGGACGCGGTCGGTTGTGACGAAGATGACGCCATTCCCTGATAGCGGCAGCGCTGTGGACTACAAATTTCTCAAAATGTACCACGCCGATTATACAGAAACGCCGGAACCATACTACAAGAGCAAGATTTTCCCCGTCTCGTTTGTGGTTCCGGAAGCACTTCCCTTCGACCCGTGCTCTGATGGCCATCTTCAACTGCCCCCTAGTATTGACTACAGCTGGGACAAATTCTGCCCTGACCTGTGTAGCATAATCTATTACATTCACGCCGAGATTGAAATGGGATATGGCGAGAAGCTCCACGCAAAGAAACAAGTCAGGCTTCTTCCGATGTCACCGGAAAGGCCTCCTCGTCTTTGGGGTGAGAGCGGCGAAGTCCAGCTTTGTGATACAACCCGGCTACGAACGGGGCTATTGTCAACAAAGACAGGCAGAATTACACTCCAAGCTCGCCAGGAGAAATCCCTCTATTTGCCCATTGACACCCGACGAAGACGGGAAATCACCTCAATTCACCTCGATTTGGCCTTGGAAGGTATTGAGGCGTCAACAAAACTACCACAGCAGTGCCAGCTTCGCGCAACTATAGAGGCTGCAACATACTTGACAACATCACCAATGCGTGAGTTGCCCAGTGGAATGCATTTGCAAAATTCTACGAATGGACAGGTCTACCGAACAAGCCTATGCTTATGGCGGAACAAATGTGTTGGACTGAATGGATCGAACAGGATGGGCAAGGTACCAGCTCCCACCAGGTGGCACTCGTGGTACCGGTGCCCTTGCCTGGGGATGCATCTATTCCTCCCACCTTTTATCACTGCTACATTGCCAGGAATACTTTATGCGAATTGAGGTAGCAATTGGGTGGTCTAGAACATTGCATCTCAAGTTGCCCCTCCAGATCTACAATGCTCTTGAATTTTGACTAGAAAAATAGCTTTCGGTTTTTTGCAGTATAACCCGTGTGCGAATGATTTCTCACTCAGATGAATTTTGCTGCTATTTCTATTCACTATTTGTCAACTTAAAGTCTAGGCTATAAGTTTCTCATTCACCCTGAAGTTGTTGCCGAAACTTGCTTCTTGACCGAATAAGATCACCGTAGCGGATGAACACAAATGGGATCAAGGTCATAAGAAGACTCAAGAATCCCAGCAGGCTACAGCCCCATGCTATGCCTAGTCGGTTAAACATAGGAGCGGCTGCCAGAGGCAAAACTGCTCCGAAGACACTACGACAGCAGCTAGCGGCGGCCATCGCACTGGCAGCGTACTCGTGATAAGCATCGACCAAGTAATTGATCAGAGCCACAAAGATGAGGAAAAAACCCATCCCAAACGGTATACCTGCCAGCATGGGGGCGATCCAATGAATGTCCACAGATGCAGTCCAGCCCAGCCAAAAAAGAGCCACCACATAGAGTGGTCCCCCTAAACACGCCAAAGGAAGTCGCTGATACTCCTCAATTCGGGACCATGTCACATTTCGCAATTTCGCGCGCTGGAGAAATGAGTCATATGCTAAGAATATGACCATCCCGATACAGGCTCCCACAGCAACTAGATTGAGTTGGCAACAAGTTAGCTCACGATTCTGTATCCTTGTGGCAATGTCAATGCATACTTGGAAGAAACGCCAATCCAGCAATACCATCGCTCATCCCATATATACCTTGGAAGATCAAGGGATATGCCTCAAAATACATAACTTCTGACATTAGTTTATCAGACCGATGTTCCGGAACAGAGGTACTGACAGAAGATGGCACTTGCAAAGGACAGGTAAAGGCAAGTGAACGTGATGATTGGCTCATGGGATATCATGTACAGCGGTCGAGCTAGAGTCTTGACCAGAATGCCTTCACCGCGCTTTTGTGGCTGATGAGAGAGGGCGGGTTTGAATGTTTCGGGGAGAAACAGCACCGGGACCAAGGTGACACCGGCGAGAATTAGCGACAACCAGAAGATCCACCTCCATCCAACCGGTGCAATGAATCCCGCAATCAACGGTGCAAACTGCGGACCAGCAGTGGTGACTGCCATTGACAGCGCCATGGTTCGTCCCGGGCAAGTGGAGATCGATATACATCGGCGAACAGACCTCCGGTGACGGCAATCGCACTGGATGCGCAGATGCCACAGAGAGCTCGAAAAATGATAAGGGCCGGCCAGTTGGGCGCCACGGCACAGGCGAGGGTAAAGATAGTAAATAGAACGAAAGTGCCCACCATCACTGGCCTGCGACCGTAAAGCTCGCTCATAGGCCCAAAAGCCAGAGGTCCTGTCACATATCCGATCAGGTAGACAGAGGTGGGCAACACCTGTTGAGTCTCGCTTTTGACATTCAGGGCCCTGGAAATGACCTTGATCCCACCGCTTGGGACGGTTGAATCGAAGACGCTGTTGAACAACGTGAGGAGGCCAACAAAAACCACGAAGATTTTCTTCCGCTATAGACTTAATTAGGACGATTGCTCGCGGAAGAGAGTGATGCTGCACTTACACTTTGCCATGTCGCTGGATCTGACCGATCTTCCACATTATCTTTTTCTTGCACCTCTGGATCCCATGTGGTCTGGTCGCAAGGCATCTCCGTATTGATGCCACTCTTCGGCGGGAATGCCATCCTATTTCGCACAGACTGGGATGATTGACTAGTGGAAGGACTTGACACTTTCCCTACATTTTGACCTAGCCAATTTTCTTCTCCTCTTTGCCTGGTCTTCCATCCCAATTCACCGCCAAACCGCGAGTTCATGGACGCGGTCAGGTGGGTCCCGCACATCTGACTCCACGAGACACAGCAACCCATAGCGAGATAAGAAAAGGCGGCTGAGAATTTATCGTTGCGCGGGATCACCGGGCTTTTGATTGGTCGAAATGCTTTTGACGCTATTTCTTCGTATTACGCGGTATTTCCCGCTCAATTTGGGCTGTCGATGTATTACCAAGGTATTACAGCCTTCACTGAAATTCCCGAGGTCCAAAACGTCAAAGATCGTCATGTGCATACAGTAAGCACTAATGCATATTGCAGGCGAGTGGACCATCGCGGAACACTGTCTCTATTGCGACGATCACAGTCTATGCTCCATGAAGGAATAATGTTCTTTTACCGAGGCCCACTCGTTCACTCGCTTCTCAAGTAGGTCAGTGCGTCTCATTTCTTACTACCGGAGGGTGATAGGATTCCCCGGTTCTGCACGTAAAGTACGATGCATGGTTCTTTTGCAATCGCTACATGGTTCCGTTTCAGGTCAATATCCCTTCTCTCAGTGACCATCCCTACCATGTAGCATCTCTACCCACTCGGCGATATAATCACATGCATGTACTGCGATGTCGGCGATAAGGCGTGACAAGGATAAGGCTGTTCATGGTGCACAATTGAAAACCAGAGAGGCCTGTCGTAGCAGCTATCTCTCCAGTCCCTCGTTTGTCACCATCGCTCAATTTCGCCATGGCAATCCAAGACCTCTTCGAGTTGCCACTTTCTGTTTTTATGTTAGGGCTGGTTGGATTTTCATGTGCCATCTATATTGTGCGTTCCATTGCCGATGCCATTGTCAATGTGTTCTTTAGCCCATTATCCGAATTTCCGGGGCCTAAGTTGGCGGCTGCAACAACCTGGTGGTCTGCCTACCAACAGGCTATCCGCGGAAGATCCATGCATCACATTTGCATAGAGCTCCATGAGAAATATGGTACAAGACCCTGGGAGCTCAATTTCTGGATGCGGTAGCTAACAGCTTCCTAGGTGACATTGTCAGAATTGGTCCTAACAGGGTATTTCATCTCCTCTTTCTTGCGCAATGAAAGGCTGTCTGATCCACGTACAGCTTCACTTCAACCACCCATCTATGTATGATGAGATTTATCGTCGTCGGTGGGATAAAGATCCCTTCATGTATGCCTTGCTGGGTGGAGATGGTGCCACTGTCACATTCGTCAAGTACGAGGACAACAAGCGCAGAAAGGATATATTGCATACGTTCTTCGCGAAAAGCTCCGTGTACAACGTCCAGTGGCTAATTCAGGAAAATGTAAGTAGAGAAGCCCTTTTAAGGGGTGGTGTGCTAATTTGGTTTGTAGATTGAAAAATTTTGTGGTCATCTTACAAAGCACAATGAACGTGGAGTGTCGTCTGATATGACACTGGGATTCCGCTGTCTGGGCCTCGAGACTATTACGGCGACGTGCTTTGGGAAATCCGCGTCCTGTTTCGAGCACGAAGGCTTTGCCAGTCCCATCTTAGAGGCAATGGAGTCTATTGTGACTTGGTTCATGGTTTTCAAACATTTTGGACTGTTCAGACGAGTAATCCTGAGTATCCCGGAGTGGGTTGGATTGGCCTTGTTCCCCAAAGCTATTGCCTTTGCGCAAATGAGAAAGGTAAGTGGACTCTATTAGGAAAACTTGGTATAATATTAACTCTGATCTGCAGATGTTCTCTGACCAGATCGACGAGATAACTATGAATCTTGACAAGGCAAACCAGTATCCTCACCCCATTGTCTATCGTGCCTTAATCCGCCCGGAAAAGAAGGACACTCCCATTCCGTCTCGGGCCAGTTTACTTGAAGAGGCGGTTGCATTGGTGATTGCGGGAACGGACACAACCGGTTCAACACTCACTATAGGTACCTATCAGGTTTTGCGCAAACCAGAAATATACACTAAGCTCAAGGCTGAGCTCTTGGAGGCATGGCCGAACCTCGAGCAGCGACCCAACGCGGGCGATCTGGAAAAGCTCCCCTACTTGGTAGGCCGTCTTCAAATATGTAAGTGACAGGTACTAACAGCAATCGCACAGACTGCTGTTATCAAGGAGGCTCTTCGGATGGCTCCCACGACCACTTCGGAAAATTCGAGGGTGGTCCAGGCGCAAGGGGCCACAATTGGAGGAAAACATATTCCAGGCGGGGTAAGTTATAGAGCATGTCATTCATATCATCAATACTAAGGAGAGACAGACAATTGTGAGCATGGGAGTTCTATTCCCGATGCAGCACGAAGATGCCTTTACCGATGCACACGTGTATAACCCCGAGAGGTGGTTGAGCGACGACGCCAAGGCACTCGATAAATATTTCGTCCCTTTTTCGAAAGGACCTCGAAGCTGCCTGGGAATTAAGTATGAAGCTTCTGCTACCATGAACATAATCATTAATCTGCCGGCTAACCGGTCTTTCTCTTCAATATAGCCTGGCATGGTGTGAGTTGTATCTCAGCTTCGCAAACCTCTTCCGTCGCTTTGACCTTGCCATTGACGGTACCGAGTATGTCTCAGGTGTTTGACGATGCCAATGAGAATATGACGCTAACTCTGAACAAGGGACTCCGATTTCAACTGGGTGGACGTCGGACTGGCGTTGTTCGAGGGCCATCTGCGATGTTTCTGTACCCCGGTCAGCTCATAAAGCCTCTTCGATTGCCGAGCCATTAGCGAAAGCCCAAAGAGTGAAGGTCTACCCAAAGTCAAAGAATCAAGGGAAGTGGCCGGTGAAATGATTGTGAGACATGAATCAAATCACCTAGTATGTAAATGGTCGAAGGCACTTGAAGCAAGTAGGTAGTGTGTTCTTTGCAGCTCGTCCTTCCCAACTATCTCAAAGTAGTCGCTGTTCGTGAATGTGCCAACGGAGATAGAGATTTAAAGCTGAGGTACCATGTAAAACTTGATCATGCGAATGTAATATCTGCTTATGAATCATTTATTGATAGTGAGGCTTCCTACGCGGTCGTCGACGGTCGTCCACCTACCTCAGAGTATATTTAGCGACGCAGAGCTCGACAACAATGAACCGCAGACCCTGCTCTCATCTCACTATTTCCCCATTTCTTCGGATCGCATGTGATGTGTAAGTCATATTTCAAAGTGTGTCTAGGATCAGTCTTTCTCGATTTGCCAAGCAAGTATGGTCAACACCAAGCCTAAGGTTCACGACAGTGAGCTCAAGAGCTTGGCAGAAACGACAAGCGTAATTAAGCAGCATGTCTACAATTGGTCTTAAACAGCCGCTTGCTTCCCTCCATTCTGTGATAGCGTTTCCAATCAATCCAACACGAGCTGGGGCTGATAACGTCCATGACGAAAGCCCACGTCCCATCTCTCATGACTGCTCGAATACCTGTGAGCCTATCGTCGCACAGGCGATGGCGATACCAAGATGGCACCATAGATCCTGCCTCGCAGCTGTCTCGAGCGCCACGAAAAACGCCCAGCTCCCACTATCACACGAATGAGGAGCAGAAACGGCAAACAAGTGGCCTTGGTAACTTTGAGTACAGCCGGTACGTCGACATCGTCTTTCTCCTTCTCGTGCCTGAGACTGACTTCGTCATCCCCCACTCACCCGCACGGGGCCACGCCCACCCTCTGTTAGCTCGCGAAGTTTCGCTGCAGAACGCCCGTCCCGCCCCCTTCGTCACCATCTATTACTGCGTCCGGCCACCGGAGGCTGCTTTCCGCGCGCTGATCAACGCCCCCAACTACTGACGGTTTGTTCTAAGGGGCCACAAGGCATTATCCGAATTACCTCCTGCAGATACGATCTACACTCAGATAGGGGCGATATCGCAAGTCGATTACGTGTCATTTTTTAGACTCAGTCGTAAGGACTAGCGATCACAGTGGCGATCGTTTTTTTCTTTTATAAATGCTGACCGCGTTGCTAGATACAATTTTTTAATCAGGCCTGGCCGGGTCCGCTATGTATGCTAGGGCGGACCGATCGTTGCTAGCCGTTTCAGTCTCTGCGCAGTCGTGTCATAGAACTTTTCGTGAGCCCAGTGTAGATGATGGTGTTATTAGTGTTATTATTCATTAAATCCTCATCGACTCGTGCGTGCGCATGGCGTGGCCAAAATCTTTAACTGCCCCGGGCAAATAACAGCGCCCGTAAGTCTCCGCTATGTGATTAGTGGGTTACATCGCGCCGAGCCGGAACCCTTCAAAGGGAGGAGTGGGTCGGCCGTCAGATGTGCAGATGCGTAGATGCGGATGAGTATCGGCAGAATTAGTGTCTGCAGGAAAAAGCGTGTGAACCCTGTCAAGCATGTCAGCTCGAAACCCTGCAAGGAACGACTGCCCCGCCAGTCCTCAGAGGATGGATGCCAGGCTTAGACTTGACGGTCGACTTGGTCAAAGTATGTGATCAGCTTTCTCCTTGAATTCTCTCTTTGCTGCGAAGGGACCGCCCTCTCCCCCCCCACGTCGACAAGTTTCGCAATGTTTCACACGTTCAATGTGGCCGCACCAGCGCAACAGGGTCCTGATCAACGCGCTTTGAGCGCGGTGTCGCCCTCCCGGAAACGACAAAAAGTGTTGCGAGCCTGCGATCGATGTCGAACCTTTCGCACCAAGTGCGGGGAGAAGCCGTGTTCGCGCTGTGTGCTCGATAATGTCAGATGCACGTGGACCTTCAGTCCAGCCAAGCAAAAGTCTAAGATGCTCGTCTCAACCGGGTGAGACCATCTGGCAGTTGGGGGGTTTGGGATGATTACTGACGATTACTGACTGTGGAAGAAGAGACCAACCCGAGCCCCCTTCTAGAGACCATATCCGACCCGATGCGTCTCCAAAGAAGCCGCAACGCTCCTTGGCGCCGGTCACTGTCGCGAGTGTGGACGGCAATCGACCGCCAATGCCCTTGGCCCCTGCCAGTAGTGGCGGCGAGATGAACATTGTCAATCAGGGCCGCATGGAGCCGGACGAGCACACGAAGCTGCGCAACCGCCCGGGGTATGTCTTTGCCAAGATCAATTCATTCTTTACCGATGCCAGGACCACGTCGCGCACCGCCGTCAATAGAGCAATGGCGGACCTCAATACTGCCTATCCGGGTCCGTTTCCTGATCTGCCGCATGTCGCAGCATTGGCAGACAGCCCACCCCCTTGCAATGAACACTTAACTGAGGATCAACAAACCTATTTTTTGAGATTATTTTGGGAGGCCTATCATCCGCTCTTGCAAGCTTCCGATGAAGCGGGATTTCAAACACTGTTGGATCTGGATCGGCGACAAGTCTTCGAGGTGGGGAAATTGACCAAGGCTTTGGCAAATTGTATGACGGCACTAGGAATCCAATATGGCCATGGGGCTGGCCTGACTTCTCGCATCCTGAGCTTGCGCCGGTGTGCGGTGAACATCTCCTCAGTAGGGTACGAATATTTCCGTCGCTGCCGCGAATACATTGCTCTTCTGACCGAGCCCACGCTCCTATCGATGCAATGTTACGCTCTGATGTCTCTGTATCTCATGAATGCCAGCCACTTCAGGGAGGCCTATAGCCTGCTTGGCACCGCTATTCGCCACAGCCATAGTGTCAATCTCCATGAGGAGCCCAGCGAGCATCTTCAGCCAAAAGAGAGAATAGCTCAGAGACAGACTTGGTGGTTACTCTTCATGCTCGACATACAATGTTCTCAGCAACTTGGGAAGCCAGTCGCTGTACAGACCACAGCGATCACGTGTGCTTTGCCGTCGGCGGATGAATTAACAACGATGCCGGGAAACGCCAGGGTCTGTTGGAAGAATCTGCACGTCTCGACCTATTTCGTTCATGCGGTGAAGTTCGCAGTATCTGTTGCCGAGATTCATCGACTGATCTCCACCTCGAAATTATACGAAGACGTCCGCAACGTCACGGGGCTCGAGCAGCGAGCCAACTTGCTGGCCACGTCGCTTGCTTGTCTAGAGAAATGGAGCAATGAACTGCCGGATGACCTTCTTAGCCCCAGAAAGAATACGGGCTACATGGAATCTATGTCCACGGCAGAGAGTCCAATCGTGTTAGAGCTAGGGGCACCCAGCTGGCTCCACCACCAACGGGTCCTACTGGAAGTATACTACCATAATGCATATATCATGCTTCAGCGGCCCTTTATCTGTTTTCCACAACCTTCCAATGTCTCTCCCGTCCAGCAGCCACAAACAGACCATCATGCTCGCAGCTCACTCCAGCATGCCATAACCATGACAATCATTGTCCACGACCTCTGCTCTTCTTCCGACGTTTTCTTTGGCTCGCCCGCCATCTTGCACCCACTGTGGAATGCCACGGTGACCATTTTCGGATTTGTGATAGCGAACCCATCCTCTTCGCGATCACGTAGGGCGACACAGTGGATTTTTAAAGCCTTGGCTGTATTTGAGGCATTCGCAGCAACCGAACCTTTCGCTGCTCGAGCTGAAACTATCACGAAGTCACTTGCTGCTAAGCTGAATGACATTTTGACCCACCTGGACGAGAAGTCGGAGCAGACGAACCATGGCAGAATTGCCCTGGGGTTAACATTGCAGCCATCACCCGACACAACCTCGACAACGCCATCCGCGGACCCCGTCGATGTACTGACGGGGCCTCTCGCAGGAGATAGCATGGAGCACACTTTTGATAATACATTTTTCACAGATGACAGCCTCTGCTCTTCGATTGGAGCAGTTGAAGTTAACACATGGGCAGCCTATCAAGATCATCTTGACATATGGAATGGCAGCCACTCGGATGGAGCTCTTGAAGCAATGCACATATTGGAATAGGCAACACTGTTTGCGAAACAACACAATTTGTGAACGAGAAACATGATGAACTCTACATTTTTTCTGAAGCCCAGGAGGCTGTTTGTTAGGTGAGGTGTGTACTGATAGACGAGTATATAGTACGGGTTCTTGTTACGGGCTAGGTCCCGTCTTGCCGTCCTACTAGATAGGGACGGTGCATGAATGAATAGAGTATATGTCAAGTCACATCCACGTACAGGCGAGCGGGTAAGAGAGAAAGAGGCAAGCCATGGGGCTCTAATCGTCGTTTCTAATGCTACCTAGGTACCTAGGGGGCAAAGGCTTTAGGGCTTCGAAGTGGCGCCTGTCGCTCCGATAGCGGACAAGATCTCGAACTATAATTCGCCGGCCGCGGGCGACCAATTGACCACCTAGGCACTTAATCAAACTTAATAAAAATTGCAAACACTCAGGTGGAGTAAATATCTATCCGGCGTTGACTTTCCGTCTAGTTAGAACATAATATTGACTGCACGAAGACCGCAGTGGCGGCCAATCGGGGGACCAAAGCTGTAGATTGTCATTTCGCTTCTTAATTCGACGATAGCAACATAAGTACAGTAACGCGTAGGAGTGGGCCTGGTGCGGCTGACGGCTGTCTTACGTGCAGCGGGCCTCCCGCCATAAAAAGGCGTGATACGGGACCACACGCTGTGTTGTCCCAATTATAGTCAATGGATCCTTATACGGTTGATCCACGGGATACCAAGGCGGAATGGGGGCCAAGAATGATGGCTTGCGGTCCGTTCCGTTCCAGAAAGAGTCGTTCCGGAATCCTTCAGGCCGTTTAGGGAGTTTGTAACCGAGGGGGGCCCATTTTCTTCATCTTCTTGTAGCGCTTCTGAGGAGAGGGTGGGAACTGCTGGCTTTTATCGGGGGACTTCCGTAATCATCGACCAGGGTTTTCGTATCGAGTTTTCCCGAGGATCATTTCTATTTCGTATGAAATATTTGAAGCTTTGAGTAATGATGGTTTTATCGGCGCCACCGAATTGGTGGGAATTCCAGCACGTAGGTATAATCGTATCGGTGGTTGAAACGTCCCGTGAAGATCTTGTCTAGCGTCTACTGCTAGTGTTCAGCCAGCGAAGTGCAGGTACCCTGATTGAGAAAATAAAGTGCGTCCGGGTGTCAATGTGACAGTTTCCTATTCTTGAGTCCTGACCATTCCGTCGTCACGTCTTGTTGCTGTATTACTCACACATCCTGAGAAGGACAAGAAGATATAAGTTCACAAATTTCATCCTCATTTATTATCATTATCTTCCCCTTTGCTTCCCTCTTTTCTTCCCAGGGCGATCGATCCACTCGTCTTGATTCTCGGGTACCCCCCCCCCCGCGGCTTTCAACCATCCGTATCAAGATGAATCAAATACTTGTTTTCGCCGGCCTGGGCTCAGATTCACTTTTCTCGGAACGAACGCTGAAGACTGCGGCCGAAGACGCTACAACGCCAGAGGGCCAAATTATATTACAAGGGTGCCACGGTGTCTTTGTCAAAGAGATCAGCTCTGTCATTGATAACCAGCTTCTACTCTCGGACATCAAGCTGGAAGACTTCGTGGAGCCTGAAAGCCTCATAAGGCCTCGGGCGTGCTATCAACGGAATAGCATCATTCAACATGTATCGTTATACACAATCCAGCTTCTAAGATATCTACGATACTCGAAAGAGACCCCTGGCTCACTCCTTGGTGTGGCTGGATTTTGTGCCGGGCTGCTGCCTTGTGCAGCGGTGGCCACGTCCACGAATATCATCGAACTGCTCTCTCGGGGCCAAGATTTATTCTATGTAGCTCTGCGTTTGGGCATCAGGATCGAAAGCTACAGGAAGGCCATGGTGGCCAAAGAAGCCTGTCCACCACATCTGCCTTGTAGTTTGGTCGTTGACGGGATAACGGCCCAGCACGCCAAGGAGCTGCTTGATGAGCATAACAGACGAGTATGACATTTCCAAAATCAGAGAGACTCAAGTGCTGACTTGACCTTTATAGTCTCCCCGCTTCTTACGTTTACTTGAGTGCTATCAACTCCAATACTTGTGTCACCCTGAGCGGTAGAGGCGATCATCTTCAGCACTTCAGCCAAGGCAGTGTGCCCTCCCAATGCAAGATACGGCCAACTAATATCTTTTCCTTGTATCATGACCGGCGTCAGCTCGAGAATGTGCGAAGGGATGTAATTCAGGATCTCCGGAGTAATTTACCCTTCTTTTCAGCACCCTTGCAATTGATTACCCCACTTTTCTCGAATATCGACGGGAAGCCGATGGCTTCGAGCCAGATGGAAACGTTCGAAGAACTCTGCGAGAAGCTCCTTGACATGATGCTTCTAGAGCCGGTAGACTGGGTAGCGGTTGAAGATAACATTCTTGCTGCTGTCAAGCAATCAACCAACGCCGTGAATACTTCCAAGTGTGAAATTTTGAATTTCGGCCCTGGATACGGCATGTCGGCAGCCAGATATACCCTCCCAGATAACGTGAAGATTGTAGCCGCTTCAATCGCTGAATCAAGCTCCTCACCACAAGACGCTTCCGGTTTGTTGTCATCTGATGATATTGCTATCGTGGGCATGGGTGTGGACCTTCCAGGAGCTTCCAACGCCGATGCTCTTTGGCACAACTTGGTCAACGGCATCAACTCTTGCACCGAGGTAGATTCCAATGATCCCGAACGGCTTTTGAACGCTTCTGAACTGACTTGAGCCCGGCAGATACCTTCTTCAAGATTCCATGTTGAAGATTTTTACCAGAAGAATGATGCCCGTACATTAAGAACAAAGTACGGCAACTTCCTAGAGAACCCGTTCATGTTTGACAACGAAGTCTTTGGGATTTCCCGTCGGGAAGCCCACTCAATGGACCCACAACAACGAGTCATGCTCCAAACTGCCTATCGAGCACTTGAAGATGCGGGTTATGTGCCTGATTCAACCCCATCATTCTCCAGGAAGACCTTCGGTTGTTTCATCGGAAATGCTACACTCGACTACACCGACAATCTCAGAGACCGCATTGATGTCTACTACAGTCCAGGTAGATTATGCCATGCTTGACCCTTATCAATACGGTGAGATGCTAATTGAGTCTCCCAAGGAACATTGCGCGCTTTTCAGAGTGGACGTATATCCTACGTCTTCAAATGGAGTGGGCCGTCCATAACTTTGGATACGGCTTGTTCGTCATCGATGGTAGCCATTCATCAAGCAGCACGAGCAATTCAGGCCGGAGACTGCCGGGCAGCATTGGTTGGAGGTGTTAATGTCATCACTAGTCCGGACGTGAGTAAAACCTTCCACATTCCTTGGTCTGGCCTTCACCAGAAAGAGCGTCGTCTACGATGCCGTCCAAGCCAATGGAGCCTCTTTCTTGGAATCATCATGAATTGACAGCGCCGTAGATGTATCTTGGTCTCGATCGAGCACATTTCCTGAGCCCTACCGGCCAGTGTAAGCCGTTTGATGATTCAGCAGATGGCTACTGCCGGTCTGAAGGCTGTGCAGCTTTTGTGATCAAGAAACTTGGGGATGCGATATCAGAAGGTGACCGAATACTCGGCGTTATCAGGGGCACTGAGATCAATCAAAGCGGCAATGCGCATTCCATAACGCATCCTCATTCACCAACGCAAGAGGAGTTGTTTCAAACGTTACTTACCAAAACTCAAGTTCATCCTCATCAGGTGCGTAATCCGAAGCGGGCAACTTACACCAACCTCATGAAATCAATACCTTCTCCACACATCTCCCATTTCCTTGCTATTATCAAAAGCTGACTTATTTTATTAACACCTTTACAGATTACTGTGGTGGAAACACATGGAACAGGCACACAAGCCGGAGACCCAAATGAGCTTCTCAGCATCCGCGGAGCATTATGCAACGGTCGAGATCCGGCGAATCTTCTCCATTTTACATCTATCAAAGCAAACATCGGCCACTGCGAGGCCGCTTCCGGCGGTGCAGCATTAGCGAAAATACTTTTGATGATGAGACATGGCAAGATACCCCCGCAGATATCTCTTACAACTTCTCAATCGTAAGATCAGAGATCTTGGCACAGACGGATCTATCATTGATCGTGACGGCGCCACTTGGCCTCAATCTTCGAACCCGAGACACCCGCGGCTTGCTCTACTCAACAATTTTGGTGCCGCTGGTTCAAACGGTGCTTTGATACTGCAAGAATATTCCAGTCTCAAGGCTCTCCCAAAAGACGAGGATCAGTGCCAGACCAACAGCTACTTGCTTGGGCTCTCGGCTAGGAGCCACACAAGCCTCCTTGCCCACAGGAATGCTTTGATCTCTTATCTGGAGGATCCTTCGTTGACGACTTCTCTTCGTGATGTGGCTTATACAAGCACGGCTCGTCGTCAGATTTTCGATTATCGTATCTCTGTTACTGGTTCCAAAATACAGGAAATTGTCGATGACTTGAGAAATGCAAATGTTTACAACATTCGCGAGTCGGCAAATCCACAGCCACGTGCGGTATTCGCATTCTCAGGTCAAGGATCACAGGTGAGGCTCTATTACATCATAACTGGTTTCCAACGTCTAACGAATATTGTAGTACCTGGGAATGGGCCGAGAGCTTTTGACTGCTTACCCTGAATTCGAGAAAGTCGTCAAAGACTGCGAACAATGGCTATTGAGCAATGATTATCCGGGGTGTCTCAATATTATTGCATGCAAAGACGACCAAGAACGGGAATCTCAGTCAACTTCCCTACTCAATCAATCTCTTCAAATATCCATCTTTGTCTTGGAGGTAGCACTGGCGCGAGTCCTTATCTCTCTTGGGATCATTCCAACCATTGTACTTGGTCACAGGTATACTCACACACCGGATAACTCCTCTTCGGCTCTTTAGCTAACTTGGTCTTTAGCCTAGGAGAGTACGCTGCCCTCGTCATTGCTGGTGTAATTGATCTACAGAGTGGTCTGAAGCTGGTAGCACATCGAGCAAAACTTATGATGGAGCTATGCCAACTTAGAACTACGTCGATGCTCGCGGTCAATCTCAGTGCAGAGACCGTGAGACAGCACATAGAAAACAGCCCAGTGTTTCAAGACTTGGCTATATCTTGTGATAACAGTCAGACCGATTGCGTTGTTGGGGGGGCCAATCGGACAGCTTCAGACACTGAAAGCAAGACTCAGTGAGATGAAGACGCGGTCGAAGATTCTCGACGTTCCAATGGCCTATCATACAAGCGCCATGGAGCCCATATTGGATCAATTGACAGAAGTCGCCAAGACACTCGAAATCTCAAGTCCGAAAATCCCTGTTCTATCCAACGTGTTTGGCCGCCTTATCCGACCTGGCGAAGAAGCTTTCACTTTTGAGTATTTTGCTCTGCATTGTCGCCAGAAAGTTGCTTTCAACGCAGGCATTCATGAGCTCTCTCGCTGTGAAATGGGGGCAGAAATGTCCCGATGGATAGAAATCGGACCTCATCCATCGTTGCTGCCAATGGTCAGCACTAAATTGGATAAAGAAAAGATAGATCTTCTACCCTCATTGCGAAAGGGAACTTCAGCATCTACTGCAATTGCTAGACTTTCTCTGCCATTTCTACCAGACCACTACTGCGTTGAAATGGCGAAACGCTTTCGATGAGCGAGCGACTTTGATCACTCTACCGGTGATGCCGTTCTCAGAGCAAGAATTTGGCAGTTACTATCCACATGAGAGTACACAAATCGACAAGAATGAGTGCGATCAAAACAATGATTCTGAAACTTCGTTCACCTTCCTGTCAAGGATTATTCAACGTCCGTCAGACACGAATACCGAGGCCATCTTTGAGACACCAATTGCGGTCTTCAAGGAATACATTATCGGTCATCGTGTCTGCGATCATGCTCTCTGTCCTGCGTCAGTATACCATGAGATTGTTCTAGCTGCTTCGAAGTGGACACAGCTCCATGAAGGTGAAGGATTCATTAGGACGCTTTCGAATTTGCGATATCTAGCACCTTTACTATACACGGAAGACTCTTCCATGATGGTTAGGGTTTCCATCAAGCCTAGCAATGGCCATAAGGCGGATTATTGGTTTAGTGTGGCCTCATACAACGCAGACTCGGATCAGCAGCAGCAAGTGATTCATTGTCAGGGACAGCTGAAGACGCGGTCTGCTGCTCATGCTCAGAAGTATGCGAAACTAGTGCCGCTTATGCAACGGCAGAAGGAACGTTTTCTGCACACAGGCCAACCCAACACCCAGGTATTTCTCCGAAAATCCATGTATGAAAAGGTTTTCACGCGAGTTGTCACGTACTCCGAATTGTTCCAGATGGTTCAGTCATTACGCATCGACCAAGATGAAGCACTTGCAGTTTGTCGTTTCCCAGACCTGCAAGGAGAGACATCAAGGGCGAACACGGTCCTCATGGACGCCCTCCTTCATGTTGCTGGTTTCGTTGCCAATCTCAATATTGGGAATGCAGAGGTTTGCATCTGCAAGGAGGTCAAATCTGCTACCATGACTCGAGAATTCCCCTTCTCGGATGCGACGTTCGAAGTCTATTGCAGCAATGTCGAAATCGCAGCCCAAAACGTGATCCTAGCAGATGCATATGCTGTGGACTCACAAGGCGTGATTGCTGTCTTCAAGGGAATGGCCTTCCAGCGAGTAAGATTAACGAGAATGGCTCAATCTCTCCGGTTGACAGCTGCGAGATCTAGTCACTCACATCAATCTGTTCCAACAGAGAAAGTGAAACTGGTGCCCCCAAAGACCTCGGTTGCTGACTTGAAGCTTCCGGACTCTCCTGTTGACAGGCGACCAGCGATCAGGGAGATCATCGCTACAACTTGCAATCTAGAAGCATCAAACTTAGCTGCCGACACGAGTCTCCAAGCCATCGGCTTTGACTCGCTCATGATAATTGAACTTTCTTCCAACCTGTCTGCGAAGCTTCATATCGCAATTGATATATCCGCCCTGGAAGACTGTGAGACTGTTGAGGATATTGAGCAGCTGTGCAGCGATGTCGGCCGATTAGGACCCACACCTGCCTCGGAAGCAGAGACTGTTGAGTCTGTCACTATGCCAACGACACCGGCAACGCCTCCAGATGAGCCACGTATTGCGTCAATAATCGCTGAAACATGTGGTGCTCATATCACCTCAGTCAAGTCAGATGTCGAGCTCGAGGCTCTGGGCATTGATTCACTGATGATGATCGAGCTGGAAGCCCGTCTGCAAAGTCTATTGAACACCAAGAAACTTTCGTCTTTGGAACTCTCGGAATGCAGAACAGTGAGAGACGTTGAGAAATTAGTAGGTTCATATATAGCGAACTAAGCAATGGCAGCTATTGAGCAGCGTACAGTTAGCCCTGACATGTTACAGGCCAATCTTGATGACGTAGAACCAGCCCAGCTTGAAGTTGAAACTCGTTCTCATTCATCATCTCAAGTCCATGATGGTACAAGACCTCCAGTACTAGGTGGCGGAAAGGAAGAAGTCTCTGCATCAATGGATTCGAAAATTGCAACCATACTCAAGTTGCATGAGCAACCGGAATTAGTGCATCTTGCTCAGGACAAGACCTCTGAAAGCGCCCAGCTTTTTCTCGTTCATGACGGCAGCGGCATCTGTGTTCAATACCACCGACTCAAACCCTTCAATCGTACGGTCTATGCAATCCACGACCCCAAATTTATGGATCCAGATACTTGGTCGGGAATTCCTGCCATGGCACAATCCTACGCAAGACTTATTGAAAGGACAACCTCCGGCCCTTACATTCTCGGTGGCTGGTCTTTTGGCGGTGTTGTTGCATTTGAGGCTGCTAAAGTGCTCATGGCAGGAGGCCACGACGTCACTGGTGTTGTTCTCATCGATTCACCGCCGCCACTCAATCACAAGCCGCTCTCTGCAAACATCATAGATGCCGTCACAAAAGATGATAGAAATAGAGGTGGCTTGGTCGGTGAAACAATTCGAAGCCTTGTCAGGAAAAGTTTCACAGCCTGTGCGGGTATGCTTGGGACTTTCAAACCACAGGCTACGACAAGTGCCAGTCGACCAATTCCACGAATCTTCTTGCTCCGATCAAAGGAAGGTTTTCGTCTAGATACGGGTAATGGTAGTGGTGGGGTGGAGAACATTTGGTTGCAAGATCGCTCTGAACCCAAGACTTCCATTGAGGGATGGGAGACTCTTACGAAGGCAAAGGTGCCCTATGTTGATATCCCAGGCGACCATTTCCAGGTGTTCGACGTTGCGAATGTAAGTTGAGCTGCTACTATACTTCTGGTGGCAAAAAATGCTAATTCTCATCTGTGTGAATAGGTACACGCTGTATCAAAAGCTATCGCCCATGCGTGCAGTGAATTAGCGAAGGACTTCTAAAGTTAAAAAGCTTCATTATGACGTGAAGATTTTCTCGAGGATGTTTGTCAGATGAAGAGTCTAATCATAATTTGCTTGCTCTATTTCCCGATATTTGTTAGTACAGTATGAAAGTTGAGAGAACTTTGTTGGAAATGTCTATCAAGACTTGGGAATAATCTCTCACATGTCTCACATGTCCTAGTCGTAAACAAGCTCCTGGGAATCCACTACTGGTGGCCTTGACCGGGAAAGTGAAAAAATCATAGTGTCTAGGAAAGAGCCAGAACGAATGTTTAGGAGATAGACGTATTAGGGAGAAGATTACTTTTACAACGTGAGGGCGAAGAGAGTAATAGGATGAAATATCGAATGCGAGTTTGGAGGATCTGGCGAAGAAAGTGGTGAATGGGTGGTATTCCAGATTGAAGTATTTGAAGGAATGGCATGAGGAACGGTGTGAGGAAAGGAGGCATGATGAGTGGAAGTGACTACAAGAAGCTCACCGTGCCAGTATCTCTTATGGTATAAATATCTTACACTTCGATGTTTGTTCTGCCTAGCAGCTTATGGGGAGCAAGAGATTCTAGAACTTTCTATTAATGAGGAGCTCTCGAATCATTTTCCTCTTCTGATTCCCTTAATCAACTTCACAATGTGGCATTGATCACTCAGAGCCCACATGCAACAACTCCCAAGTTGAAACCCGGTGCATACAATACGACTTTCTTGATCTTTAGTCCTACCGCTCCCACAAGATTTGCCCATTGTTCCTCCGATCGCTCCATCGAGCTATGGAACGCCATCATGGTCAGATCCGCTTGCGTAGACGCCTCATCCACGTGCTCAGACGGCAGAACCATTTCATCAAGCAGAATCAGAGAATCCTTTTCCAGAGCTGGTACTAGATTACTCAAAATCTTTTTGCTATTCTCGTCTGTATGGTCATGCAATATCATGCGCATATAGTAATACTTGGCACCTGTCTTCTTATCAGTCTCAACAAATAAAGTCTCTCAATTGATCATTTCTTACCTTTGATAGGCTGGGGTTCGAAGAAGTTGTGCACCATTCGCTCGACATCTGTCGGAACTACCGATTTCGCGTCCTCGACCGGCTCCGGCAAGTCCTGCAAGACAACACGACCAGGTAGATTCGGGTATTTTTCCTTAAAGGCGGCAGTTTGATATCCGGCACCGCCACCAACATCCACAAACAGGGGCTTATCAGAAGGCCAGCCCTTGCTTTCCTCGTCAAAGGGATAAAGTCCGAAACATTTGGTCTGGGACCCGCGTTGTGCTTTCATGAAATGATTGAAGTGAGCGCTTCTGACAGGATCGCCATGGACCCAGGCAAATGTGTGCAAATCGGTCTTGTGTGCTCTTTGGAAGATGCCGTCTGTGAAACTTGTAGGGTTCTTGTAACCGGTTTCCGCAAGGTAATGAGGCATTTCTTGATACGTTGGGTTACACATATCGAAATACACATACAACCCGGCCTGAATCTCGGGTTTTTGCGAGATTGGATGTATATGGCGTCGAGGAAAATGTGTCTTTGCCAATTTCTTTGATCACTCCAACTGACGCAAGATACCGTAGAATACGAGCTATCTCAAAGTCAGGATTATTGGCCCTTTCAATCCTGAATGACTGGGGTTCTGGTACTTGCCGAGAAGCAAAGGGTCTGCAGAGTGCTTGGCTGCTAAATCAGCAACAGTTGAGGGTTCGGCGTTGTCAAGAATATCATTGAAAAGGTTCAAGTCAAGAGCCGTGCGGATTGAAGCAAAGTGAAGATTCTAAGCGACTTGTTTTAGCTTTGAGGATGATAATAGTAAGATAAAGAACAAACTCAACAGAGAAATCAAGGTACTCTGCAATTCCAATTGTTGGAAATGGGTTCTCAGACTTGGGAAGCATACCATGTGTATCACTCTCTGCATGGCATCCTCCGGCGTCTCGATGCTGTATTGCAGGTCTCGAAGGGTGTCTAAAAGCTTTTTACGCCCTACATAACTGGCTTGAGCAGCCTCCTGCTGAATCTTGGCGATCAGGCTTTCCATTGTGAAATAATGCTCCCAATTTCAGAATGGCTTTCCAAAATCTTGGTCAAGTAGAAAGACGCAGGAAGTCTTCTCTCTAAATAGCACATCATGACAGAAATACTTCTCAATGTCTGTCTAACTAGCAGGCCGCGAGCATTCACTGCGAATATACCAATCAGTCCGTCTGGAGGCTGTATGTGGCCAATCGGAATATCACTATATTCGAAAATATGTATCACAAAGGTATCCGAGGGCGAATGCATGATTCGTTGTTTTGCTGAGCCTTGATGAGGCTGTGTGAAGTCGTAGGAGTCACTGTCCGCCGATGTACGTCATCGTTTTTCCCCACAAAAGTACGATGAAAGAGCAAGCTGAGACTAGAAGCAGATGTTTCAGAAGGGGCCATTGCCAAAGGAGGAATTCCGGAAGGGGATATTCCAGAAGGAGCTCTTCCCAAAGGGGAAATGGAGCGGAGAATGAGCACGGACGCGGCACGGGCCGGATGATCCTTTCCCTTTCAAACGTGTGGCTGTGCCGAAGGCGCGTCGTTAGGTCCTGCAGGGCCGAGTTACGAATGCTCGTATCTGTTTCAAGATGAGCAAAACTGATTAGTTCACCAGTTTCACTTGGTTGAAGGAGTAGGGAGATGGCGGGTTTCCAGTACTCTTGGTCGCGCTGAAGAGGCCTGACAATGAGCGACCTCTGATGCTCGGTTTCTTATCAGAAGTTGGCTTCGAGCCCCTTGCGGTCCATTCCTGGCAGATACTGTGGTGAAGACTTAAAGAAAGCCCTCCGCTTCTACCCTATTGGATGCTGGTCGTGGCGGCATCTCAAGCAACTACCGTAAGCGCTGTTGCTGAGGTCTTGGATCGAAACAACTTTCGCTGCTTGATGAAGACTTGTTTGTCAAAGGGTTCAGCTCACGCTGGTGGTTCGCCTATATTCGGAGGCTCATACGCTGCAGACGACTCTAGGGTCTTTTCTTGGAAGTCTACTTCGCATGTGTTTTTTGATTTTTTGGGAATGAAAAGTAAGGAAGGGTAATACCAAGATGCCTGAGTTATTTTTTTTGATTGTGTTTAGCTCAGGTGGTATGATTTGACATATTGCCAAGGTCACCTTCCTTGCTGCTTCAATACATTAAATCTTCTTTTCGGTTGTCACTGTGCCTTTATACGAAGCAATAGGAATCCATCAATCCTCAACTCAATCGATGATGGTTTTATTTAGACACGATTTTTCATTCCAATATTTAGATAATGTAGCTGCGATATATCATCACAAACGATCTACAATTAGATTCAGAAGGATAGTAGGAAGTGGGGGCTAGGATTAAAGAAACCAATGTACAGGCGGGACATGACAAAGCAATGGCTTGCGGATAGGTAACCTACGCAGGCCTCGACAATATCCTCGGTTACCGATGGCCCGGGGCGGGATCAAAAACATTTGATTCAGACTTCACCGCTTCCGAACCTGAGCAGCGCCAGACTTCAACCCAGAAGAAATGCCAACAGTAGTCTCCTCTTCTGCTCTAGAGACCTCACCGGTTTCAACGATTCCATTGCTTCCATTGCCATGTAGCCCGTTATGCAATCCATTTTCCGCAGCCTTAGCCTTAGCAGCTCTTGTAGCTGCTGTGACATCCTCGAGTAGATATTGCAGTTCCGCATTGGTCGGTTTAGGTCCAGCAGAGAGGTCTGCTTCTCTATTCCAGCGCTCCTTCGCGCCCCAAAAGTCGTCAATTGATCGCCGAGTCCAGAATGAACTTTTCATTTTGTTGACAGCAAACTCCCAATCCGTCGTATATTCTTTGAAGAACGGCTTGTAGCCTAGCAAACCCCCAAGCCACCGACCAATGATCACACTGGTCCAGTAGCCAAAGAAAAGCCGGAAGGGCATCCACGCCGGCGCTGGCGTATAATGGCCGCCTGCATCTAACATCTATGGTTGATTAATATCGGTGCGATGTACAACGAATTTAAGAAAACGAACTTGTAATTTTTGAATGAAATCAAGACCACCATCGTAGAGCAGTGCGTCGTGCCAGTATCCGTACCAATTCTCGAAGAAGACTCTATCAAGCTGGTTATCAATCCCTGCATCGGAACCGCTCAGAAGCACTGTCATGTATTCGCCCGAATCGGGATGGATGGAGAAACGATGCACGCGGTTCGCTTGGAGGGAGACTTCCCCGTCTTCTGGAGTAAGATTGCGCGACACGCCATCAACCTCAGCCACACAGATGCCATGCTCGACGTGAAAGAACTCATTCTGGTACCGATGGAAGTGCATCGCAGGGCCATCAGGCCGCTGGGGACTATCGATGAGCTTCCGTAGTGTAGGCGGAACAGGTCCTTCCACGTCCAGCCTGTAGGTCTGACGCATCATGAAACTTCGACCTGGGGGCGGCTCCAGGAACTCAACAGTAAGGAGACCACCAAATCTGTAATACGGTGAAATTAGCATCTAGGATTCCTACGGGTCAATCCCTAGTGTTTTTGGTGGGAGTGTGCGGGCGGGGCACGCCACACTCACTTTCGAATCGTACTCGAGCCAGCAGACGTGTGGTAGGGCACAAAGGGGGTTAGGAGACCCATCTTGTGAATTGAACAAGTGAACTGGCAGGATTTTTGAACACGACGAGTACGTGACAGATTAGAGATCACGATTCAGGGTTTGGAGATTGGCAACGAAATAGAAGACCGTCCACCGTCCGTGACAAGAGACTATTGCCGGGCGGCTGGACTACCGCATTTACGTCCTCAACTCGCCGTCTTCCTTTTTCATCGTAGAGGGCTTTCCCCTCCACTAAAAGGGTGTAAAATTAACGGTTAGTAGAAAAAGCAATACCATCAGCCTGTTCCTACTGGTCGCGTTCCTAACCTGGGAGGTGGGGCCATGCTGATCCACCATCTGCTTTACCCTGTCCGATGCCTGTTATGGAAGTCTCCCAGCATATTAGAAGCTTAGTTGGGCATCTTCTTCAGGCGTCTTGACCCCCTTTGAGATCTGAATCTCCACCTTTTAGCCGTGGGTGATTCGTAGACTAGAGATAACCCGAGAAGCGATATCATTTGAATGTCTACCCCACTTGCATGCATAGAGAGGCGGCAACGGTGATGAAGGGAAGTTCCGGCCCCGCGCAGCATTATATGTGGGCATTTTTCAATCAGTCAGATGGTACGTCAATAATCTGCCGTTGGTGCTTATCCCGCCTGCGACTACAGCGTTCAACGTTCAGAAGGGGGGGCAAAATGGTGCGTATTCGTACCCCAATTGTGGTCCAAGACGTTGACACCGGTGCTCTCAAGGAAGTTGAAAATATCGGGTTACATATCATCGTTGTCGGCGCAGGTTTGGCTGGTCTTTCTGCTGCAGTATCATGCGCGTTAGCCGGCCATTCTGTCACCGTCCTGGAGGCAGCAAAGGAACTTGCAGAGGTATGTTCACTTCGCCAACACAAGATCAAGTAATGACATCGACTTGCTTAGGTTGGCGCTGGCCTTCAAGTTACCCCTAATGGCTCGCGCCTTCTCAAAATCTGGGATCTTCCTCAAGCCATGTGGGACCAGGCAGCTGAACCAACACAGTTGACTGTACACCGATATTCCGGGGCAGTGCTGGCCCGTGAGGTTGACTTCGATAAGAATATTCGAAGAAAATATGGGGTGCCTTTCGTTGATCTACATCGAGTTGACTTGCAGCAAGCCTTGTACGAGCGAGCTCAGCAGTTGGGAGTGAAAGTCCATCTGAACGAACGCGTACAACATGCCGATCTCTCGGTGCCGTCGCTAACTACTACTTCGGGGCACGAATATCACGGTGACCTAATAGTTGGAGCCGATGGCTTGTGGTCACGAACTCGTGAATGCTTTCTAGGGACTGCTGATCCGCCTAAGCCGACAGGGGACCTGGCATATCGAATCGTTCTATCTTTGGTTCAGATCAAAGAGCCAGCTTTACAAGAATGGGTTAGCCATCCAGAAGTCCACTTTTGGATTGGACCTAAATCTCACGCTGTTGGATACTCCTTAAGGGCTGGTAGAATGTATAATCTCGTGTTGCTTGTACCAGATGATTTACCTCCGAATATCACCAAGCAACCTGGAAATGTCGAAGAAATGAAATTGCTGTTCGAAGGCTGGGATCCCGTGTATGCAGAGTTTGACCGGTCTCTTTGTTTTCTGATTCCAATGACTAATTCAATCACAGTCTCACTCAGCTTCTAGGCTACGTTGACAGAGTTGACAAGTGGAAACTGATGCATAGTAAGGAGATAAAGAAATCGCTGCTATTACAACAGACTGACAGTGTTGTATGACAGGAGAGGAGCTGTCATCTTGGATTAACGAAGCCGACAATTTTGTCTTAATGTGAGTCTATTAATATCATTTCCACAAAGTTGAGCATTTCGGGACACCAAATAACATCTGACAGAGGCGATTCCTGCCATCCCATGCTTCCATATCTTGCACAGGGCGCTAATTCGTCCATGGAGGATGGAGCGGCCCTGGGGACGATCTTAAAGTCCGTCACAAAGAAGGAGCAACTTCCAAATGCGTTGCATATGTTTGAAAAACTTCGAAAATTAAGGAGTGAGGCTATAGCTAGGGAGACATTCAAGCAGGTATGCACTACTTCCTATGTCGAGCTCTAACCTCATACCCTCCATCATTCACGTATACAAACTGACTTCGGAGGCTATTGGCTGTAGAGAAATGATTTTCACATGCAGGATGGCCCTGACCAGGAAGCACGAGACGAGATATTCATATCACAACTCGCCAAAAGAATCACTGGTGCTTTTCCCAGCCGATGGTAAGCGTCACTCTTGGTAGCCTAACAGGCGTTCGATTCTAATTACGTACAGGACGTGCCCGGTTGTCCAACCATGGATATATGGATATGATGCGATAGCCGAAGCCGAAAAAGTGCTCAAAAGCAACGGGCTCCACAAAATTAAGGAAGATTCCCTGCCTAAGACAAAGTCCTTGGTTCAAGATGAAGCGGTCAAGGGGAAATTTATCATGGGCATTTGAGCTTCATATTCACCACTTAAATCCGCAAGAATATCTCTGCTTAAGGCTATTTGGGAGGTAGCATTATTAAACATGACATTGAGATTGATTAGAAATATCTTCGTGAGATGAATCACCAATTGAATTAGCACACTTCCCCTACTGAACCGGTAATCATGGATTACTGTGGTCGAGCTATATGATAGGATCAGCCAGAACCAATCTCGCTCGCCATGAATGAGTTATCCGCTTGAATTATGGCATTTCTCGCTAGTGCCTTGTGTATATGGTGGGGATCCAAGAATGAGAGAAAAACGTGAAGAAATTTGGCGCTACCCAAGAGCTTACTTCGAATTATCTTCCTGACAATCGTAAGCATGTGTTCTTAATCCAATCCTCATAGTGCTCTGGACATCACCGCTGGCCGAATCTCGGCAGTACAATTAGAAAGTCCTAGTACTTCCATCTGGACGACTAGTAATAATCTGTTTCCATGATCAAAGCTCACTACTGGTCTTTCTTCTCATTTCTAGCCTGAAGGTCTATTGTTTTCAGCGATGTTGAAAAATTCAGAGAGGTATTTATTTTCTCATGTCCTCTTTGAAAACTCCCACAAAAGCATCCCCATGGCCTTCACCCACCCCAAGCTCCTCGGCTACGCCATGTATGCTTGTCAAATTACTTCCGATATTGAGTCCCCTTCTCTCCCCGGCCACAAACCCAGGGTCTGTCTTCCAGCCCAGAGCAATTCTCAAGATGTTCCTGATCCGTCCTTCGTTCAGCTCACAACGTTCATCCCTCGCCCCTTCTTTGCCTCCACGCCAGGCGACGTACCCGTCCGGACGGACTAAAACATAATCGTAATCTTCCCATACGTCCTTGACGTGCTTCTCTCCGGCATCCAGCTGGACATGCGTCAATGACATCTTCATTGCCTTGGCTACAGCTTTGAATGTCTCCACCGGGCACGTCGTCTTGTCATCGAAGCTGAAGAAGTCATTGGTCGTTTGAAAATCACTTGCAACCTTTGAGAAGTCCATCAAAGACCACTCTGTTCCATAGAGATCCACAATACTTGTCTGATCATCCCTCAAGAATACATGCGGCGCCCTGTGTCCGGGCCGTGTACTCGGGGTATAGTTCATGTTATCGAATCTCGGCTCCTTCGTCCCGTCGCTCACGATAACTTCACTATTCAAATATCTCAGGTCCAATTCCACTCCACGGTCAATGTTTTCGGGTCCCACGCTATCCAGGTGCCTTGCTACCTCAGCTCGTGCTTTTTCTCCTTCCTCGCTCTCCTCGAGGAAAGTTCCTGTGCTCGGTGCGGTCATAGCACTCATGATCATAGGGGTGAACTTGCCGATATGGGCGTCACAACGTTCGAGGCGCATCATCATGTTCGGTCTGCGCTCATTCGTATATGAAGTAACAAGATTGATTCCGCCGATGCCTTTGTGTAAAGCAGAGAGTCGCCACGCTAGCGAGAAGGCGTCTTCTACGCCGCTGTTCATGCCATAGCCACCATGTGGAGGGTTACGGTGAGCAGCGTCGCCGCAGAGGAACACACGGCCGTGTCCATCACGACTGACATAGAAGTCTGCAAGACCAAAATTCGGACGCCAGGCATTGGCCAGCAAGACTTCGTCGATTTCAAATTTGTAAGGCTTGCCGAGACTGCCAAGGACTCGATAAGGGATTTCCTCGGGATGTTTCTGGAGCTCTTTGATGGCTGCGGCATCAGCAGAGCAAGGTTCGTGGCAGGTAAAGGTGTCGACGTCGTCTTGATTAATCATGAAGCCGCCGTGGAGGCCAAAGGCGTGCCACCACTTGCCGAATGGGCAATGCTTCGCGAGTTCCTTGGACCGAAAGTGGACCATGAAGAAGGCACCTGGCCTTGGTAGAGAAAATCACCGCCATGTTAGCTGGTAATGTTTGATAGGAGGACGGAATACCCACAGAGGTCTCCCCTGGAGTTTAATACCGACACTGTTCCTTACTTTACTCTGCGCACCATCTGCGCCAACCAAGTAAGGCGCTTTAATCTTCTTTTGTTGATTATCCATATCTGTGAAAGTAGCAGTGACTCCATCATCGTCTTCCTCGAGCGATATAAATTTATAGCCAATGTGACTCGTGATGAGGGGTTCGGCGAGGCATTTTTTCTTCAAAAACGCTTCGAGCACTATCTGCGAGCAACGCTGACCCGGCTCTGCAGGTTGTGAGCCATCGTTATTTGCGTGAATCTTGGCGCGATAATCGTCGTTGCTTGGGATATGCTACCAGAAGAGGTCAGTGTGATCATTCGTGGAAGTTAAACCTTCTTTTCATCAAGTCCAAAATCACTGGATCAAGACTCTTGAATTGAAGACTTTTTACTTCGCAAACGGATTCTCTTATTATATGACGGACATACCCATCGACTAACAAGCTTTTTGTTCGGCCCGCAAGTGTTGAAAAAAACTGTATCCCACTCACTATGCTGAGGTACAGACCCGGGTTGTTGTCGATATTCCTCGACAAGCCCCATTATACGCAAGATCTCCATTGTATGGCAACTGTTGTTGTCCATCTTGGGCCAGCGTGTTGTCTCGGTATTCCTTTCGCATAGTGTGCATGGTACCCCCCAGTTGTGCCAGCCTAAGAGCTGTCAACATCCCAACCGGGCCCCCTCCTACTATGAGAGTGCCTTGGAAAAGTTCTGTGCCTCCTGCCTCGATGGAGCCCATTGTGAAGTAATTGGAGAAGGACGACAGATGTAGTATACAGAACTATTACAGATTGAAGTTTTGCTCAAAATTGCTTTGCGTCTGATATCTCTAGATCTGCGGGTTGAATTGACCTTTCAACACTATGACTGACTGGGCATAGCTGATGCTTGTGGCGAAGTTTTGGGCTAGGAGCTTTTCTACCTCCACAAGGGGAAGATGGAATCTAGCTCCCGCTGGAATCGTATCCCAAAAGAGTACGGATTTTGGCCAGCTCCGATTGGACGTCTGGGCCATGGCCTTATCAAGCGATTCCGTCTTCGTAGCTTGGGCAACATTTACCAGTTACAGTTTACTGGTAATTTTTACTGCGTTTGCTATTGGCCCATTTTCTTACCAAAGATATTTTAACTCAATTTGTACTCGCTACTTTCATTATTCCGTCGATCAGCACGACTACGCCGAAAGAATATAGGCTACTTTACCTGTACAAATGGCCCCTAGTACAACGAAGATGAGAAGCGTGCATGGGTTGCATGGGCTGCCATCAACTCAGTCTGCGTCTTCCAAGTTTTGCTCGTACTCTACAATGTGGCGAATTCAAAGGCGGGTGATTGGCATGGTACAAGGATCCTGAAGGATTCCAAGTAGTGGACCAGCTGAATGTACTGCTACTTACCGGAACCTGACTAGTCAGTCATCCGTATTGGCGTATACAATAGGGACCCACGGCCTAAAGCGGATACGCTTCCGGCCCGCCCCTTTCGATCGTCGCTGTAATCTCCGTACCCTGTGAAGAGAATGCCTGGCGTAATACACTAGTAACTTCCGGCAGCATGTTGAGTGATTCTTCATGGAATTTTCATGAAAAAGCTGTCATTACAGAGTCGGTGATCACCGTGCTTTCTGGGACGTGCGGAACGCGCGGACCGCGCGGGCCGCCATCCACTCGCTGCAGCTATGGCGTTATTAGTATTCTGCTTTTGAACGGCGTGCTGAACTTATTTCTTGACGCCATCTAGTCTCGGTGAAGGTGTTGCACAGTCACCAGAATGCCCGAATCTACCATGCCGTCGCCCATCGGTAACCAGCAAGATGAAGAGAAGACCTTACAAATCCCTGTCTCTGAGAGCCCTGTTTTGGACTCAGCTCTTCCACCAGAGGGCGGCCTTCGAGGTTGGCTATGTTGCGCCGGCGGCTCCTTAGGTTTGTTCGCTACCTTGGGCTTCTTGAACGCGTTGAGTTTTTCCTTCCGCGAAAAAGCTTGATGATCGGTCCTTTTGCTGACCTGAACAGCATTGGTATCTTCCAAACCACCTATCAAGAGACTCTCTTGAAGGACTACAGCTCTTCCGATATTTCGTGGATTTTTACAGTCCAGCTCGCTCTCATATGGGCTCCGGGTTCCCTATTCGGCCGTATCGTAGATACCTACGGACCGCGCCCGGTCATGCTCCCATGCACCATTCTTTGCCTGTTCTCACTGTGCATGACAAGTCTTGCCACCGAATACTATCAGATCATCTTGGCACAGGGAATTGGCTATGGCCTCGGAGCGGGAGGAATTTTCACCACCTGCTTGGTCTGCGTGAGCCAGTGGTTCGTCAAGCAGCGAGGTCTTGCTATGGGAATTACTGTTGCGGGCAGTAGCATTGGTGAGGAGAGGATTATCCTATCAGCGTCAATCATGTGCTAACCTAATGTGTGACCAGGGGGCGTTATATTCCCATTCTTTCTGCGACTGGTGATGGAAGACGTGGGATTCAATGGCATGGTACGCTACACAGCGCTGTTCATAGGCATAATTTTAGTTGTCGCCTTCTTTCTGGTCACTGCGCGTCTACCTCCTAAGAAATGGGACTCGGAAATGGCATGGATTGACTTCAAGCTGTTCAAAAATCGAGGCTTTGCCTTCTATGCCCTCGGCTCATACTTTGTGATGTGGGGATTATGGGCACCTTTCGATTATCTTCCTAGCATGGCCCAATTGTCGGGAATGTCGGATTCGCTGGCCCTCTACCTGATTGCTATCGTGAAGTAAGTTGCGTCAACCTTGTTGTTCCTGGCTGAGCTGACTCGAGGGCAGTGCTGCTTCATTTTTCGGAAGAGTTATCCCCGGGCACATCGGAGATAAGGTGGGATACTTCAATGTCATAGTTGGGTCCGCCTTCCTGAGCTGCATCGCGATTCTCTGTTTATGGCTGCCTTTTGATTATCATTCTTCGGATGCCGGCCTCATCGTTTTCGCTGTGGCCTATGGCTTCTTCAGTGGCGCCTTCGTTAGCATCATGATGCCATGTTGCGGAAAGTCCGGCAGCATAGAGACCCTGGGGAGACAGATAGGTACTTATCAGGGTGTTATAGCTATCTCGTAGGTCTTCTTTGGCCCACTGAACTGATTGGCTTTGTTTTCTGTACTGACATCTAGCAGCACTCTTACTGGCCTACCGATCATGGGAGCCATCTTAGGACGACAGCATAATTCGACCTACATGGGCATGCAAGTATTTGCCATTGTGACCATGTTTGTCGGTTCTTTGCTCCTCTTGGTCTCTCGTAACATCCTAGCTGCGGCTCACGGAACATGGAGATACTGAGCCTGTGGCGATCCGCAACGTCGTCAATATCATGCATATAACAGTAATGCTCAGGCAGTTCGAGCATTCTGGGCTGGGGCGGGCCCCCGACCCGGACCTTGAAGGAACAGGCCTAGCGGTCATGGAGGGATGTGGAAGATGAAGGTACACAGCCACGACCTAACCCCGGAGAGAGAAGCCGGGGAATACTGCGAAAAAAAAAGGTTTCGCGGCCAGGCACCAGACCTAAATGAACGTAGCAAGAGATGATTAAGGAGAAAAGCGGTGGAAATGCATGGAAGCGGTTCTATTCTTATCTTTGGTAATTATATACGCCATCGCAAGCGTGGCTTTTATGTCTTGTTTATCTACCGGGGCGTTCTGGATGGCTCATCTTCGTGCTTGACAGACGAAGCGCCTGCATAGTTCGAGACCCTCACAATTGAGCCCCGAAGGGTTCCTAGAAGGTTGCTTGTTTATTTATATTGAATCTACAAAGTATACAAAGGTCAAATATGGCAACACATAATATAGGAAAGTGCCTTTTGTGGTCTTTCTTCGCATGATAGATAGGGTCAAAAGAGGATGTTTTGATCGGCGAAGAGGGAACCGGTAGAATCGTCTGTATAGTTTTGCGTTGCGTGACTCCAAAGCGAAGCCTTCTTTTCGAAAATTAGGCTGGTTGGTGATATGGATCGAAAGGCTTGGAGATCATATTGCTAGTATCGCAAGAAATACTTGCATCTCAAGTTGAGACTGGTTCGAATGCCATGCAGATGATCATTCTCCCGAGATCTATGGGAGCAAGTTGTGTCACAATTAAGGGCCCCTTACAGTTACGAAAGAGGCATGAACGCAAGTCACTGGGGACCCGCATCGTTGACAATCTCAATATTCAGTAACTAGATATTCAACACGGCATGTGAGCCTACCTGCCGGCCTTCTATTTCTCCGAGACCCACCCAGCGCCCTGTGGAAAGATACTAGGCGACCTTTGCCTATCACAGATGTGAATCCACTGCGCTTCATGTGGGTCCACGTATGAACTGAAATAACCCCTTGTCCTAATTCAACATACACTCCCTGACTCATCACAAAATGATATTAAAACGCCGAAATACCCGAACCCGCGTGCAAGTACTGCGCCTACAATTGCTCGCCCTTCGAAGTCTTCATCCGTGCACTTGACCCAGCCGACGTCAACACCATGGCACCAACATGGAGAGCCACACGTCTCCTCCACGGAGTCCGAGCCATAGTTGGCGGTCAAGGACCCCCCTTTGATTCTCATGCCAGGCTGGCCACAAACAGCGGAGGCGTTTAGCGGAATCTTTGAGCCCCTTTCAAAGCATTATCAATTTTTCGCGCTCGACCCCCCCCGGCTTGGGTGATTCGCCTCCTCCCCTCAATGGCTATGATACTGCGAACGTGAGCAAAGTCATGGCCGAAGCTGTTCACGATATTGTGAAAGAAACACCGTATCATCTGGTTGGCCATGATGTGGGCGGCTGGATTGCTTATCCTTGGGCCGCTCAATTCCAATCGAGAATCAAATCGCTCAGTATCCTGGACGCCTCAGTGCCGGGTTTCCTACCCCAGTTTCAGTTTCCATTGACTCATGACACCAACAAACGTCTTTGGCAATTTTCATTCAACGCTCTCCCTGAATTGCCTGAAATCCTGACTCGCGGCCGCGAGCGAGAGCTTTTGAATTGGTTCTTCAAATTGAAGGTTCATGCAAATGATTTCCCCAAGGATCAATTTGAACGCTATATCCAGGTTTACTCAAGACCAGGAGCGATGAGTCGGGGGTTCGAGTACTACCGAGCTTTTGGGACAAGTGCGAAACAGAATCTGGAATTTGCAAGGAAACCACTCGAGATCCCTGTCCTAGCTTTAGGTGGCGCCAGCTCCGTTGGTTCGGATATGATTAATTTGGTCCGAAAATTCGCGACCAATGTTTCCGGAGGTGCAATCCATGACTGTGGACACTTTCTCCCCGAAGAGCAACCATCTGCTACCGCGCAAAGACTGCTGGAGTTTTTGGAGGCGAACCGCACAGAGTGAAATTCCTACAAGATGTCGATTGAACTATGCTCTCACTGGGTGATGCTTGTTGACGTGAATTGCTGTTTATGGATTTGATTGCGGTTGCGCTCCCCAGGGTGTGTGTTTGTACTGTAGACACTGTCATTTCTTTTTCTACTTGGGTCAAAAGTCGCTGACCGAGCAATGCTTCTGAATGTTGATGATGGTGTTGGTATTCGAACCAGGGTTTTTCCAGGTGGTTTGACATTGTGAATCAAAATGGGAAAACGCTTTTTGGTGTGGGTGTGTTCAAAATAGAGCGCAGTCAAGAAAGCTGAGTAGTGGGAGAACGAATGAGCTGCGGAAATTGGGGTCGACTTAAAAGGATATGCAATGCCATGTCATGATGGACTAACTCAGATTCGAGCTCATCATTATATGCAAGATAATCGTGAAAGTTCACGAGATAATATGGATTCCACTTCTTTCATCTAGTTTGCGGATTGAATGGCCGCGCGTTTATATATATCCTTCTCCTTCATTCCATCAGTATACAACGTTTTCAAAACCCAACTCAACTACCCATGAAGCATTAATTGCCTGCAAGAATCAAGCTTGCCTACCATTTAAGCTGTGAAGAGAGCGAACTGCCTGTCGCAGGGGTACTTTTCCTCCAGGACGCTCGCAATCGTTCACGTGGTCTGTGAGTTATCTAGTCTTAATGATTTCATTCAACACTATACTTCGATACATAATCACCTGGGGTTGATGCCCATTTTTGAAAAATTTTCGGACCATTGTAGACTTGCAGTGCTTTTGCACCTGGTGCATACTGGTTGTTATCTAGCAAAAGTGATTCTTTGCTAGCGGTATCTGAGCTCTGTTGGATAGGCGATGCTATACTCAATCCAAACGGGGGCAGTAGTGCCTTAGGGTCAGATACTATTCATTTTGTCTTACCTATCATTTTGTCCTCAAGAAGTTTTCTCTCCCTTTACCGAACTGAAAAGCTAGCAGGTGCTGGGCAGACTCTGGGTTCAGATCATGATGAGACTGGGCAAACAATGGAAAGAAAAAACAATTCAGCACAGTAAACAGACAAAATTGTCTTATATTTTACAAGAAATAAGTGCTTCTCTTTGACAAATTCCTCCTGCCAGTGGTTCATCACGCATATACAGCTCGCTCATAGCAAAGGACGATATCGCTACAGACAACGCAGACAACGCAGACAACGCGGAAATTCCTGAAATGATGTTCACATGTCAATTGCGTTTTTCGTCTAGTATTCTCCGTTATAATTGATAGCCCAGCAGACACCAGGGAGATGAGGTTCTGCCGAACGATTGCACACTTTGTGACTAATCATAATTGGACGCTCAGCAGCCCACTTTCGCTTCTTGAGATTCACTTAGTCTATCACTACCGTTTAATCATATGTAACGTGATAATTCCCGGGGACAAGCTTTTAGGTCATCTTTCGGCAGGTTAAGGTGTTATTCATGAGAGTTGTGATGATGTCGGAATGGATGGAGTAACGCCACAATACACGACAGGTACTTTACCCAGCATTTGGTTGACCACCAATTATGGTGTAACTTCTCACGATTCCCACTAGCTTCCATGAGTCTTAAGAGTGTTGTTTTATCGATTGACCATCAACCATTTGACTACTAACCACACTGACGTCGCGTCGCCAGAGCGGGAGAGAAAGGCCGACGGAAGAACGTAAATCCCCATCAAATTTGTCGTCCAAACAAGCGCATCATCGGCCACTCCCATCTCCATCTTATCCTTTCCTCGCTCTCGCCCTTCTGTTTGGCGTGTCTTTTGTCGTGTCGATACCGTCAATCCACATTCACCTTCCTCTCATCATGCGGACGTCTCTTCTGGTGGCTGCTTCAGCCGGCACGATCGTGACCGGACTGCTCGGTAAGAGCTCCTCGGACTCGGGAAGACGAATCTCCAGCACCTTACTAATGGCCCATCTTTTGCTGGAACGATAGCCTATGCCGTGTACTTTGATCACAAGCGTCAGACTGACCCCGAATTCCGCAAGTCTCTGAAGCGCAACAACCGCCGTCTCGCCAAGGTCGTCAAGGAAGAGGAAGCCGCCCAGGGTGCTGAGCAGCGCGAGGCCATCAAGGCTGCCGTCCAGCGCGCCAAGCAGGAGGGATTCCCTGCCGACCTTGAGGAGAAGGAGTCCTACTTCATGAGCCAGGTCGCCAAGGGTGAAGGTCTCTGCGCCGAGGGTACGTCATCAGCGCCTCGAACTTGGGGATGAAATCAATCGACAACCTCACATGGGATGCTAATGTAAATCTCTACCTTGATAGGCACCGACCAGATCGAGGCCGCTCTGGCTTTCTACAAGGCTCTCAAGGTCTACCCCCAGCCCAAGGATCTGATCTCCATATACGACAAGACCGTGCCCAAGGAGGTCCTGGAGATCTTGGCGGAGATGGTGGCTATGGACGCTGGTCTTAAGCTGGGTGGCTCGTTCACCGGCGAGGGCAGTGCCGACAACCACGGTGTCGAGTAAACGCCCCAATGTCCCAATTTCAGGCCGGTTCGGTCCAATCTAAGCGCGCCTGGATCCGACTTCACATTGGAAAAATTCCCTTGGCTCGCCTTGGCTGTAATAATCCTCTCTCACCATCTTTCTCATCCTCCTCTTTTCTCCCCTCGATCCAAACGCCCTGTCTCCGATCTCCACTATTCCCTTTCTTTCGTGTGTACTCTTGTATAGGTATTGGGTCTTGGCCCGAGCCGGTGGCATCAGGGGCCTTGGTAGTTCTCGGCGCCAATGATTGATTTTATTTTCCGTTCCCCGTTTTTGTCTGCATTTTTTCATGGGAAGGAAGGTGATATACAGGCTGTATTTTAGAGTGAATGAAAAGAATTTTCGAGCAAAGGGCTGCGAGATAACGCGTAGAGTAGATCATCGACACGATGAAACAAGGGTACTCAGGGGGGGTACCTGGCACGCGGTATGAAGTCAGAGCATAACGCAGGTCCCCACCATGTATCAGAGTATCAGATTGGAGACGGGACGCAGAGCCCTAAAGGGCACTTGTGCTCTAGTCGCCGTGGTTGGACTCTTTGACCCTCATGAACTCCACTTCTTTGGTTTCCTCCGATCCCTTTTCCCTCTGCTCCTTTTTTTAAAGGCTCTTTAATTTAACGATACCTGTTTTGTGATCCTCTGCGTTCAGTCACTCGTTCCTTCCGCGCTTCGCGCTGTCGCTCTCTCCAGCCCATCGTCAATCGGTTCTTTTGTCTTGATCTCTCCTCCAGTTTACCGTCTTGACCGTCTGACTCCAAGTTTCACAATGGTTGCGGTACGTGCTGCCTCTGGCGCAGACGGATGCGCAGAGTGCCCATGGTCCTCTGATACCTATGGTGTCAACAGTTTTGATTTGGGACGAATCAGTATACTAACGCGGCCTATAGTCCGCCGGTCGATTCTTCACGGCCGCCTGTGCCCTAGCTGGCTCCGCATTCGCCCTGAAGGCTCTTGAGGTCGATGGCAAGGACTTTGTCAACTCTGATACCAAGGAGCGTTTCCAAATCATCGGTGTTGAGTGAGATCGCCCACATTCGCTCACCCGCGCAATCTACATTTTTCCCGCACTCCTTACTTCCACCCCCGCAATGCGCTCTGGCATCTGACGTGTGTGCTATCACAGTTACCAGCCCGGAGGCACCAACGCTGTCAACACGAAGAGCGATCCGTTGACCGACAGCGATGCCTGTATGCGTGACGCGGCTTTGATGCAGCGTCTGGGTATCAACACCATTCGTATCTATAACATCCAGCCGACCCTGAACCACGACAAGTGTGTTTCTATCTTCAGTGAGGCCGGAATTTATATGATTTTGGATGTCAACTCCCCTCTGCCCAACGGCTCCCTGAACCGTGCTGAGCCCTGGACCACCTATGACGCCGCCTACTTCGAGCAGGTCTTCGGTGTCATCGAGGCCTTTAAGAACTTCGAAAACGTGTTGGGCTTCTTCGCCGGTAACGAGGTCATCAATGAGGACGCTACTTGGCTCGCCCCCGCCTATGTTCGCGCCGTGGTCCGTGACATGAAGAACTACATCGCCAAGAATGCTCCCCGCGCCATCCCCGTTGGTTACTCCGCCGCTGATGTTCGTAACATCCTTACCGACACCGCTCACTACTTCGAATGTGAGATGAGCAACTCTACCAACTCCCGCATTGACTTCTTCGGCCTGAACTCCTACTCCTGGTGTGGTGATGCTTCCTACAAGTCTAGCGGCTATGACGTTCTAACTGAGGATTTCACCAACGCGACCGTGCCCGTTTTCTTCTCCGAGTACGGCTGTAACGAGGTGACTCCCCGTGTTTTCACCGAGGTCCAGGCTCTGTACGGCGAGGAGATGACCCAGGCTTTCTCCGGTGGTCTCGTCTACGAGTGGACTCAGGAAACCAACAACTACGGACTGGTGATGATTAACAGCACCGACGTCGTCACCACCCTCGTCGACTACGACAACCTGCAGGCCCAGTTCAACAAGATTGATATGTCCCGCATTGAGAAGAGCAACAGCTCCCAGACATCTGTCAAGGCGGAGACCTGCAGCCCCTCCATCATCACCTCCGGCAAATTCCTGGACTCCTGGGATCTGCCTGCCACCCCCTCCAACGTCTCGGACTACATCCAGAGCGGTCTGCCCAACGCTCCCACTGGTACTGCTGTCACTGTGAGTGGCGGGGCCATCTCCCAGACCGTTTACGACTACACCGGGAAGAAGATTACTGGTGTCGAGTTCAAGGTTCTCTCCGGTGATCAGGTGAACTCTCCCTCTGGCAGCAGCAGCAGCAGCAGCAGCAGCGGCACGACATCGTCTTCTTCCTCTACCGGGACCTCCACCTCCACCAATGCCGCCTCGCTAACCGGTCCCTCCGTCGCCATGGGGGGCCTTGGTGGTCTCTTCATGCTGATTGCGTCTCTCCTATAAAGCGACGGACGATTCGATAGACAGAGCATACGTATATGACTGGATATACGAGGCTCGTCGAACGTTTGCGCTTATTTTCTCATTCTTATATTTTTCTTTTTCATTCTTAGTAGATTATCTTGTTTATTATTCGGGCATGTCTCATTCTGCCGATTTTCTCAGACCAGTCTGCTCTATTCATAGAACGCCCGGATTTAATGTTCCCTCCAACGATTGAATAACTGGACCTGCATTGTGGTCGAAACAATGGTTCATCATGTCCATCTCTACTCCAGTTTGCTTGGTCAAAGCGCTTGTATGAGGACAGAATCTCGCAATAAAATCAGATCTGAGATATGCAACAGATATATAGATATAAACAAGATTGACAGAAGATAGAAGGGCTTGAAATGACCGGGTAAGAGATCGTATGGAGAAACGAGTTTTCAATCGCAAAATAACCAAGTAAGCGCGCGCAACAAACATTTACAACGCCCTAGCCTTCCCTTTCCCCTTGCCAGAGGACTGAGACGTGGAGAATGCCCCCGCTTCAAGAGCTGGAAATTCTTCCCATTCTTCGCCAGTCGCCCGGCTTTGTTCTTCGGCCAAGCTGAGCTGAATGGCAAAATCCAAATCAGTCATTTCCTTCCGCTGGCTACTCTCGGCATTGCCCTTCCCTGGAGATGACAGAGTACGTCGTCGCATTCCCTTGGCGTACTTGATTGGAATGGACGGCGTGAGATCGACAGGTGGAGAGGCAGCCACTTCGTCGAGAAGACTGAGGCGGATAGCTTCGGCTATATCATCATCCACGGGGTCATCCGCAGCATCGTGGTAGGGAGAGGACGAGGATGATAACTCTGCCACCCCGAACGAACTGGGGCCAGTAGTGTCAGGAAAAGAGCTGGCAACGGAGCTTGCCGCGACTGTCGAGTCACCCTGCTTGATCGCGTCCCCAGCATATGCTTCTTGACTCAAGAGTTGGGCATACTGGAGCAGCTGTTCCTCGTCGATATCTGGACCGAGGAGATCTACGCCGAACCTTTGGCTCAAATGAATTCTTTCCTTCTCGTCTGCGATCTTCTGCCGCTCAATTTCGACGCGCTCATCCTCAATGAAATCGTTGATAGCACCTCGTCCACTGTTATTAAATCGCTGTCCATCACCAGCTCCATTGTCACCGCGCATTGCCCGGCGAAGGCGTCGCTTGCTAGTCTTGTATTGTTCTGCAGCGGATGAGCTGTACGACCAATAACGCAGATGCGTGCCAAGAGAGACCATTCCCCGAAGGTTTGTGGGATCAGGATCCAAGCAGATAGCACCAGTGGCGAAAAAGTTGTTTCCAACCCCAACCATGGATGCTTCTGCCTGTACGAGTCGGCGACGAGCGCGAGATGAGAATCGAGAATTGATAGTCCTGATCGGGCGGGTGGAGGATACTAATGGATCCCAGGCTTGCACCAGGCCATCATTTCCACCATGCACAAGGTACAACGATGTCAACGCCACAGAAGAAACCTGAGGCGATTCGGTTTGGATAACATGGAGCGGAGGGATGGAGTTAATCACATCCACATTCTTGGCGGCAAGTGCGCGTATATCCCAGACAAAGACAGTGCCAGCTTTTGTTCCTACTGCAAGATATCGCGCTCGTTGCCCAGGAACTTCGAAATCCGATCGTGGCTTGTCCATGTGTGGGAGCATTGGCGAGGAGGCAGTGGAAGAAGACAAGGAACTTCCAGACATTCCGAGAAGAGGATCCTCCTCCGCCGTGAGGATAGCGAATGAAGAATTGTCCAATGCACTAGTCGTGACTTCCACCGACTTAACATCGCCAAAGGTGAGATCGGAGATCCGCCACAGCGTGTTGACGTCAGAGATGGGCTCATTTGACCGAACTGACGATCGCGACAGGGGAGTGTCAGGGGCGGTTGGGCTCGGCAAATAGATGGGTCCTCCGAACAATGAGGAAGGGAGTTGTTCGGCTTGTGATTGGGAAAGCGGCGGTATCGAGTTCAAGTCGGTTCTGGTGACAGAGCGAACAAAGCGTCGGATCGAGGCTTTCTCGGGCTCGCCTCCTCCGCGAGCAATGAGGAGAACTGATTCACCAGAACTATGTCCATCATCGCCTGCGAAATCAACGTGCAGATCACATCGCATGTTCCAGCCTTCGCAAACCTTGCGGAAGTGCTTCGGTTTGTACGAGAAGAATTTTTCGATTTCCTTCGTCTCCGCCGCGATCTGCTCTGCCTGGAGTTTCATAGAGTCAGACGAAGATCGTGGGCTGTAACTGCCATCAACCAGATCTCGGCTAAAGGGATCTGGGCGTGCTGTACGTCGACTCAATTCAATAATGCTCCACCGCGTAGTTCTTCCAGTCTTCCAAGCGAGTTCATCCATCTGCTCGGGACTCAGCTTGACTGTTGAGGGGATGTCAGGTTGGCTGGGAAGATCCGTGAGATAGAAAATTTCACCGAGGGCATTGAGGGCAACAGCCCAAGCTCGTCGTTGGGAATGACGCTTGGGTGAATAATTGTCGTCCACAGCAATTCCAATAATAGGAACACCAGGACTGAGGACCCATTTGGCAGTCACTTGCCCTCGTTCGAACCGTCGCTCATATGCTGGATGAGGACCCAGCGCATACGCTGAAACCACACCGGATGACGAACCAGACATCATAGCAATCAAACCGCCGGTTGTCTTCAGAATAGACGATGACTTAGCAATCCAGACGGAGCAAACAGAATGCGAAGCCGTCTTCACGGCAGGAATACCCAGGTGAGGGCGAGATTCCAAGTCCGAGGAATCCAAAAAGCGTCCCCGCTGCTCCATCGTCGAGATAAAGTAGCTCCGACCACCTGGGCAACCCTCGCCATATATCATGCCATAAGGTTGGCTCACATCCATTGAGTTCGGCACGCCAACCATGTCGCCAGACCCAAGACCGTAAGGTACATCCCCCGGAAAAATGTCCGCAAAATGCCGGAACATCTGGAGATCAGATAATCCCCAGGTGCTGACTTTCACTGCCGACGGATCGCTAGCAGAAGCGACGCCCTGCTCGGAGGCGCCGTGGATGAAACTTGGGTCCTTATTGGAGCTGTTGAAAGTCCCGTGCATTTTACTCACAGGGAACATCAACTGCGAGGTGTATGTTGCCACTGCACTTCCGTTGCGAGCGTTTGCCGAGCGTACAGTTCCATGCTTCTTGGATGGCTGAAACTGTGCTGGCTTGCCTCGAGACAGCGACCGCATCAGACGGGTTCGCAGGATATACTCACTGCGCCACGATGCCAGTGCTGTCAGTCGCGCAAAGAATCGCCGATCTGACATCAAATCCACGCCATCTGCTGCAGGACGATGTCCATTCTCCGCTGCGTGGGGACCCGGGAAGAACCGGGAGAAGGCGATCCTCCAAGCATGGGGAGTGGTGACCAGGGCGTGAAACCGACGAGATACCAAGGTGATGGCCGAGAGGGACTGGGGAGGTAGGTGCGACAAGATGTGCGTAAGAACCTCTGAGCACACACGTTAGCAGTGGCTCTTCTGCGGGGGCGGGGCAGTTTGGGTGGATTCATACCATTCGGCAGAGACTCCAAAGGCACATTGAATTGGCCTGTTGATGCGACGACTCGAAAAGCTAGATTGGCGTCTTTTTTGGGAGTTCCAGCATTCTCATACAGGCTCACACGGTTGAGTGGCGAAGATGGCGGGGCTTCCTCAGCCTCGCTCAGGGGCGGGTGATCCGCGCCTGGCGACGGCAGGTCCGAGCCTGCAAAGTCTCCGGACACCTCATGGTGGAGGATTCCAGAGACTGAGCGGCCATCGAAGTCATTTCCATGCTGGGTAGAGCTGGTTTTGGCTTGGGATAAGTCAGGTGAAGTATGTTGAGATACGACGGTCGAGTCTGATTGCATAAAAAGAACTGGGGGTTGAATCGAGGTGGAAAGCGACTGAGCCAGTAGCTGAGCCTGGACCAGTCGAGACAAGGCAGTTAAGTGTAGAGGGCGTGGGAGGCGTAAACAGGCGAGGCGTTGCAGGAAGAGAAGATATGAAGGCGGAAGAGCGAAGAGGCAAGTTATAGCGGCCAACACGCAAATACAATGAGTCACGAAGATTCATCGACCAAGTGGTCCCGTAGAGTCTGACACGCTAACATATCTTATTGAATCTTCTTGCTTTGATCACTTCTATACATTGATTTTAAATCGATGAATATTGCTCCGAGAGTGAAACGTTGAATTTGCTGCTTGGCCGCACTTGAACGCGTCGCATGGCACGTGACAGCGCGAGGCAACACCCTGCAAGCGCAGACTCGAGCAACTCGCAACGTCACTCGTCGTAAATGACGGTCGGCTAGTGATTTGATCATTCATCGTCGTATACTAAAGAGCAGGCTCTGTCATTACGCACAGCCAGACTTCCAGGTGGTCCCGCAATCCCGACAGTTGGCGCGCGCATATTCGCGGCCAACGAAGCAACATGCCGGGCATCAATGGTGAGTACCTTTTTACACTTTTACACTTTAAACCCCTTCTATTTTCTACAAAAACCCTGACCCCATCGCTAGATGCGGAGACCATCCGGATTCTCGTGGCAACGGACAACCATGTGGGATATAACGAGCGAGACCCTATCCGTGGGGACGACAGCTGGAAGAGCTTTCATGAGATCATGTGTTTGGCCAAAGAACGTGATGTCGACATGATTTTGCTAGCGGGAGATCTATTCCATGAGAACAAGCCCTCGCGTAAATCTATGTACCAAGTCATGCGTTCGATCCGGATGAACTGCTTTGGCGACAAGCCCTGCGAGCTGGAGATGCTCAGTGATGCGAGCGAGAGCTTCCAGGGCGCATTCAACCATGTCAACTACGAGGACATGGATATGAATATTGCCATTCCAATCTTCTCCATTCACGGGAATCACGACGATCCCTCCGGGGAGGGCCACCTGGCCGCCCTGGATCTGCTCCAAGTGTCAGGGCTTCTCAACTACTACGGACGAACTCCTGAGTCGGACAAAATTGAAATCAAGCCAGTCTTGCTCCAAAAAGGACGAACAAAGCTCGCTTTGTACGGCATGAGCAACGTTAGAGATGAGCGACTGTTCCGCACTTTCCGCGACGGTAAAGTGAAGTTCTTCCAGCCCTCTGTGCAGAAGGATGACTGGTTCAATCTGATGTCGGTGCATCAGAATCATCACGCTTACACGGAGACCGGCTACTTGCCCGAGAACTTCCTGCCCAGCTTTATGGACCTGGTTATTTGGGGGCATGAGCACGAGTGTTTGATTGATCCTCATCTCAACCCAGAGACAAAGTTCCACGTCATGCAGCCAGGATCATCTGTTGCAACATCGCTAGTCCCGGGAGAAGCGGTGGCGAAACACGTCTCGATTGTCAGCGTCACAGGCCGCGATTTTAAGTCCGAATCTATTCGTTTGAAAACAGTCCGGCCTTTTGTGATGCGAGAAATTGTATTGTCTGAGGAAAAGGGGGCTCAAAAGCTGAGCCGGAAAGACAACAATCGTACCGAGGTGACTCGGTTCCTCATGTCCATTGTCGAGGAGCTGATTGAAGAAGCTAATGCCCAGTGGCGGGAGATGCATGGTGAACCTGATGAAGGGGATGGGGAATCGCAAGAGACTCCCCTGCCACTTGTGCGCCTTCGCGTCGAGACATCCACGCCAGAGGGTGGGGTCTATGAATGCGAGAATCCGCAGCGGTTCTCGAACCGTTTTGTGGGCAAAGTCGCGAATGTCAATGATGTGGTACAGTTTCATCGAAAGAAAAAGACCGCTACATCGAGAAAGACGGACGCTCATATCAATGAGGCAGCTACCTCAAAGTTGTCAGCTCTGGATACAGTGAAAGTCGAGCAGTTGGTGAAAGAATTCCTCGCTTCACAATCGCTGAGTATTCTCCCCCAAAACTCGTTCAGCGATGCGGTGGCTCAGTTTATCGATAAAGATGACAAACATGCCATGGAAATGTTTGTCAATGAATCCCTGGAGGGACAGGTGAAGCATTTGATGTCCTTGGACCGTGACGCAGATGATGTGGATGACGAGGAAAGGGCCCACAGCTCCTTGGTGACAGCCATGGAGAAATATCGCACACAGATGGAAACGATGTTCTCCAAAGGGACTAGGAAACGTACCACTGGCGGAAAAAAGCGGTTCAAGCCCAAGCCGGACAACTGGGACTCTGAGTTTGACGGTTCGTGGGAAGATCAGCCGGGCGCTCTTATTCATTCCGATAACGAAGGTGGAGATCCAGCTGAAGAAGAGGCTGGCGAGGATGGCAGTACGCCAGCCCGCAGCCGTGCGACAACAACCACGACGCGTGGCCGCGGCAGAGGCCGAGGAGCTGCGCGAGGAGCGGCAACCAGTTCCCGGGTCACGTCAACCAGGGGTACCACTGCCAAAGGACGCAAGAAAAAAACCATTTCCGATGCATCGGCGTCTGATAACGACGTGATCATGCTCGATGATGCTGCAGACGATAGCGAAGCAGCCCACGTCATATCCGATGAGGACGACGACGACGACTCCCAGGCATTATTTGTGAAGCAACCCCGTGCAACGGCTACCTCGAGGCGGGGAGCCAAGACAGTATCCACCACTCCTGCTTCCGGACGTCGAGGCGGCCACAAGGCTGCTTCTCCAGCACCCTCGTCGGCCACTGTTGGTGGGACCGCGCCTCGTCGAGCGGCTGCGCGATCTGCCAAGCCGACTCAATCAACATTGAACTTTAGTTCGCAGGCCAGTGCTCCTCGATCATCACGGCCAACTCGCACCACTCACAACCTCAGTGTCATCAGCGACGACAATGACGACGATGACGACGATGCCTTTGAACCCATGCAGAGCTCGAGCTCAAGGCGGCGACGGTAATTGTCACCTTGCATTTCAATTATTACATTCTAGCGCATTCTAGCGTTGATATACTCTGATATGATCCTTCACGAATGCATACACTATGATACACTGAAGAATTTATTTGCACTCGTTCCCATAGTAATGATCTCTTATGGCCCCGAGACAATTGTGAGACTCACGTCCCACTTATAGAACATTGAAGTAGTTCTCGTGAATCCCTCGCACATCAATCAAAAACAGACATCGAATCCCTGTAACTCAAGATCTAGATCAGATGACATGTACAGACTCTATGTTGAATCATTGTCACCATGTACGTTATCAGATCGTGCAACCCCGCATTCTCCGCATTTTCAGCCGAGCTGCCTCGGTGCAAACTTTGGCTGTCACATCCTCCGACATCCTTTTTCAACTTGGAGGTAGTGACCTTCACAGGGTTCATAAGCCAGGGTGAGTGCATCACTATGGCATTATCAGGTCGTCCCATTAGAATCGCAGGTAGGGGGCTTCAATTGCAGTCCAATAGTCGCCGCTGACCCATCCAGGCGCCTCGGGGTCTGCCTCAGACCGTCGACATGCGATTGCAGAATTCGCACGCCATTATCCCACAGACCCTGTGGATGTCATCATTGCCGATTTCATGAGCGAATTCAACATGGCTACTGCCGCGGGGCGACGAGTGAACCAGCTAACATCCCTTGATACAAGGGCACCAGCGTATGATGTTTCGTTCTTGGAGGCATTGGATCCGGCACTAGAAGACCTGGCCAAGTATGGGATTAAAGTAGCAGTGAATGCCGGCGTCACGGACACCAAGGGTCTTTACGAGGTGGTTGTAAAGATGGTCCAAGAGAGAGGGCTGGACTTGAAGGTCGGGGGTTTCTTCCTTTTCGATGATTTCCCCGATGATTGCTCAGTGCTCCTAACGTATGCTACGATAGGTCGCATGGGTCTCTGGAGACGAGGTACTTTCTACCGTGCAAACGTCCTTGGCGGCAGGGCAATCAGAATTTCACAACATCTACACCGGTGAGCGCCTGGCAGACTGGCCCTTCAAGCCCATCTACGCGCAATGCTATCTTGGAGGATTGGGGATTGCCGCCGCCCTCGCCGAGGGAGCGGACCTCGTGCTTTGTGGACGAGTATCAGATGCATCCCCCGTCATTGGCGCGGCCTATTGGTACCACAGCTGGCAACGTGATGAGCTGGACAAGCTTGCCAACGCTTTTGTCGCGGGGCATCTCATCGAGTGCAGTAACTATGTCTGTGGCGGGAACTTTACAGGTTTCAAGGCCCTCGAACAGGGCTGGGCCAATATTGGATATCCAATTGCCGAGATCTCCAAGGAAGGCGACGTGATCATCACCATGCAGAAGCACGCAAGTGGTGGTGCGGTGACGGTTGATACTTGCAAGTCACAGCTGCTGTACGAAATTCAGGGGTCCTGGTACTACAACTCGGACGTCACCGCTGTTCTGGATGGTATCCATTTCGAGCAGCGAGGTGTCAACCGAGTGGCCCTGCATGGGGTTCGGTCTGGGCCCCCACCGCCCACCACCAAGGTGGGTATCACTGCTCGTGGTGGCTTCCAGGCGGAGGCTTGGTGGTTCCTCACTGGACTGGATATCGACGACAAAGCGCGCATGCTGGAGATGCAGATTCGCCGGTTGCTGAGTCCGTACTCGAACCGGTTCACCAGCCTCAAGTTCGATCTCCTGGGTTCCAGTCAGCCTGATGCACGCGATCAAAACCGCGCCACGGTACCCCTGCGAATCGTGGTACAGGCTCCACGAGCAGAGGATCTATCCCCGCCGCGGTTTTTAAAACCCATCACGGACAACATCATGGCTGGGTATCCTGGCGCCACCTTTCACTTGGATCTGCGCCAAGGCTTCCCACGGCCCCTATTTGAGTACTACGTGACGCTCTTGCCCCAGCAGGATGTGCAGCATCGCGTACATCTTCCCTGGAAGCCCACCGCGCATACTCAAATCCTTGAGGTTGCCCCTCCACCGCTCACTAAGACGTACCCATTGCGACAACCTACACAGGCGATCACTCATACTGAAAGACCGGTCGACTTGGCCAGCGATTTTGGACCAACCATTCGCGGACCGCTGGGCTGGATCGTGCATGCCCGGTCAGGAGACAAGGGGACCGACTCCAACTGCGGCTTTTGGGTCCGTTACGGCGACGAGTACTCATGGCTCCGCACACTGTTGTCGGTGGACACGGCGCGGGAATTGCTGGGTGATACGGGCCGCGCTCAGTCGCAGCTTGCGATCGAGCGTTTCGAACTGCCCGGGCTCCATGCGGTACACTTTCTATTCCGTAACTTATTGGATCGAGGGGTGGGAGTCACTAGCACCGTAGACGTGCTGGGGAAGAATGTCGCGGAATTTGTGCGGGCGCGGAACGTCGATCTCCCCCTCTGCTTTCTGAACCGGGGCAAACTGTAAATTGGCCACAACGTCTCTTGGGAGGGGAGAACCGAGTGAAGACCTCCAACTAGCGACAGTACTGTAGAGAGAGAAAGAGACCAGCTCGGTATACAGAATTGCCGGATAAGGAAGCAAAGCAGAGGATCTTTCGATCTAGTCCCAGTCCACCCAGACGAGCTACAGTGCGTCTCGAAATTGGTGCCACCACCTACACTCTTTCATTGTTTCTCGAACCGTAATGCTAATACCCGCTAGTGTATATTAGGAATAGGTTCGGAATATCAATATTCCTGTATAAGTATCAATACAGTGACTTACTCCAATATAATACATTGCTCTGTCTTGTAACTAAATCGGCGATCCAAGTCAAACTAGACTTTTCCATGGGAATGCAAATAAGTCAAACACCACAGCCTGGGAGGGCCTTGAGAATCTGGTAAGGTCACTTCCCTCTACCACTTCCTATGTCTAAGTGACGGTGTGGGGGGGCCACTCGGTACCAGACATTGCAAATGATGACTGACTTACATTACCTTGCTTACCTATAGACTACTCATGAACCTGCTATTACACTACTCAGCCTGTCAGCCACAGCTCTCTTTACTTTACGCTTTGTGACACCTCTTTGTAGAAGCTGACACACAATAATGTTACTAGATCCTCAGTGGTATCTCCTGCCTTGGGGGAATGACTTCCTCTCCTTTCAACGATCGATGATGGTACCTTCCGAACTGAATAGGACGATCTCTGGGAACGAACTTCCTCGTATGCCCCTACCCCTAGTTGCACAGACCGCGAATAGACGCTATTAGTAATCTGCCCGTCACCCGATGCCGAGGATATAGTGAATGGTCAACCTCCTTGCGCTAACATCCGTCCGACTAACTAACTTTTAATCTAGCGGTAGAACGTCAAGATGGAAGTGCGTAGGATGAACAATCTCTAGACTGTATTTATTACCAGATCGAGTGGAGGTTAAATTGAACAATCGGGTTATGGTGAAGGATACGGAATAAGACCTGACTCTCCCCCTAGCTCTGCTTGGGGACAGATCAAGGAGGACGCCGGGAGTATGGTACGACGGAAGATAGCCCGTAGCCGACGAGTCAGACTAGATGATACTACTCTAGTGTTATCTATAAATGACCATTCCTGATAGGATATTACTAAACGCTTCGAAGGCACTAGTATTAATAAGATACCTCCCTGCGTATGCCTAAGATGGAATTGTTCTTTCTCGCGTCTTCCGCGGATTGATGCCACTCTCTAGCCCTCTCTCCTTAGTCAACGGCACTTTGCACGCGATAAGCCGGCGGGCCGTTTCCAAGCGCAAGAATGGTGAATAAGAACATTTTCGTCATCCTGGGTTAGCTATTCAAGAGACTGAAGGCAAATGATAAGTGGAACATATAGCTAAATTATGCTTTTTTGAATTACCATATATCTGAAGTGAATATTCTCAACCATCTTATCGCGGCCTCTCTATCTAGTTCGAGTTCGATCTTCAAGAACGTGTCCGGCCTCAATAGGAGCAGCGGGATCAGGTTAATCATTTCGATTTCTCGTAATCTCTCTAGGCTTGTTGTTTTTAACGCCTCTATTAGAGAGAACCGGGGGAACGATTTAAGATTATTCTACCTTAGGCCCGAAGGAGGGCGCTCTATATAGGATATGTCTAGGAGGAGTATGGAGTCTAGGGATAGGTTTTTATGCGTGATAGCGTGGACGATAAACAGGCCGTAAGTGTGCCTCTATATCTAGCGTCGCCGTGACCACTATTCGAAATGCAGATAGGACACGAATAAGTGCCGTCCGCTGCACAGTACGCAGGTGCTGCATATAGGTCATGTCTCGGAGTTGACCACGCCAGACAGTCGACGCGTAGTCGATGACCGGTACGACACATACGTCGTACCGCTGTCGCATTGATCCCGGACGGCGATGTCGCAGCCCTCTAAGCGCGGTATTGATCTAAGTGACCCATATGACGGCTTGTCGGACATGTTCCTTCTAGCGTAGCAACGATGATTACTCTCAAGAGTTCGGTGGTCGTGAAAGGTTAGATAGTATTTCCATCTGGGACGAGCTGGCCCTCCTACGTCATGTTGTATAATACGTGAATTTTATAACTTTAGTTAGATAGAAGAGAATAAGGTAGAAATTACAAGAGGGATTAGAAGAAGGATAGAAGGAGACGGAAAAGAAAATGGAAAAGGAGCGGGACAATGAGAACCTACATATAGTAAACAAGAGACGAGAAGGATACACTTCGCGACCCAGTATCGTAGCTATCAAGAATATCCCCTTCGAGGGTAGACGACGGGCAATTGATAGCATATGCTTAGGAGGGCCATAGGTATGAAGGGGGAAGAGACTAGGATTCCAACATTTGAACACAAAGACCACTATATGACTGAAGCCATTCATCGCCTGGGGCTTCGAGAACGCTCATCTCTTTCACCTCGCTTACGTCGAAGGTCCTGCATTTGCTTATCGTACCACTGCACTTCTGTCTGAGACTTCGCAGCTTGTTCCTGGAGCCTGCGGAACTCATCCCGAGACACTTGCCTCCTTGCTTGGAGGTCTTGAAGGTCATCCATCCATCCTCATTTGCTGCTCCGCCATGGGAAGAGGGGGGCGGGCCAGTTACCGTCCGCTGTACCTTATTTTCCGTCATTCTCCCTTTTTCCCGCCAATTTCCGTTTCAAGTCCGTTTTTCCCGTCACGGTCCGTCCGCGGATGCATCGGCACAGTATTTCTAGTCAATGTGAAAATCTTGTGTTGTTCTGCATTTAAAGGACTCATTTCGCGTATAAGTAGCAAGAATATTCCAAGCTTCCAATAACACAGTCTAATCTATATTCGAAGTTCACGATTCCTTTGATACTAAAAATGGTCTCGGCAACAGATCTCGCTCTCCCTAAAGGTGCCTTGATCCTTGTCACGGGTGCTAATGGGTTTATTGCATCTCATGTAATCGATCAACTCTTGCAAATAGGGTACCGGGTTCGTGGTACAGTGCGGTCTGAAAAGCCGTGGTTGGAGGAACACTTCCGCCAGGTGTATGGTCCTGAGCGGTACCACAATGTCATTGTAACCGCTATGGAGGAAGATGATGCTTTTCGAGAGGCTATGGAGGATGTCTCGGGGGTCGTTCATGTGGTAAGTCTGGCTATTGGCCTTTTCGGTTCGATATTCGGGAGAGTTCTCCTCTTTGTCAAGCTAATTCTTCGTGGCTTCTGAGTGCCCGCTGATGCATGTCTGATAGGCATCGGACATGTCTTATGACCCAAGGCCAGACCTTGTCGTTCCCCGTGCTGTTGCCGGGACAATGAATGTGCTTGAAGCCGCTCAAGAAGAAGGCACTGTGAAACGCGTTGTCCTGACATCTTCATCGACGGCAGCTTTGCGTGCAACTCAGAATTCCGCTGGAATTGTCGTGGACGAGAGTGAGTTTCCTGGTGATATGGCATTATAAGCTACGAGAAATTGACACGTCATCTTCGGTTATACAGACACCTGGAACTACGCCAGCATTGAAGCTGCCTGGAGCGCCGACACTCCGGAAAAGGAAAAGCCCGGGATTGTGTACTCTGCTTCCAAAACAAAACAGGAACTTGCGGCCTGGGAATGGTACAAGGCCACAAAGCCCGGTTTTGTACTTAATGCAGTGCTGCCGAATGTCAACGTGCGTATTCATCATCCGGACGTGACTCACTAAGACGGAAACTGACCGATTTACTATAGATCGGGCCTACAATCGCACCGGAAATACCTGGCTCAACGACGGCTTTGATTCGCAGTCTTCTTGTTGGAAACACAATGCCTATAGATCTTCTGAAGCCCCGTAAGTTTATCCACGTGTGTTCATTAAGCAAACTTGGTAACAATCTTGAACTGACTCGATGCTGTTGTCGAATCCAGAGTACTTTATCGACGTTCGAGACACCGCACGCTTGCATGTAGCCGCTTTGCTTGACCGGAATGTGACCTCCCAGCGAATCTTTGCCTTCGCACATGCTGCTAATTGGAATGACATCATTCCAATTTTGCGCAGATTCCGACCGAACAATCACCAAATTCCTGACGCCCCCGAAAATGAAGGGCGAGATCTATCCGATATTAGACCTCGCGAGCAGGCGAGACAGCTCCTGGAAAGATTCTTTGGGCAGCCCGATTGGACTACCCTTGAAGAAAGCTTGAAGTCTTCCATCGACGGTTTCTAGGGAGCCTGCTGTGAATCAACTGAGCCCGGAATCCATGAGCCGGCGTGCGGCTGAGATGATCTAGATAGACCTCTTCAAAAGAAGTGAGCCTAAGTAATATCTAAGATTATGACATAGCGCGTGAATTCAAACATACCTGCAGACTTCCAATTGTCATTGAGGCTTCGCAATGTGCCTTCTATTACGCTCAAGCTTGGAAAAGCTCTCCGTCTAATATAGTGAACCCCAGCCAAATACATCCAGGGTAGCACAAACGGAGGAATTCCACCGTAAGTGGAATCAGTAATAGCACCTCCATTATACCGATACGCTACTTGCAGCGCAGCTTCCGCAGCATTGTCAGATGAAGCCCACGCATTTCGCCGCAGTGTAGGGTTTTCGCTTGAAAGGTATGGCGAGTACAAAATTAGAAGACCACTGTCAAGACTTTAGTGGATGACTCAAAGATGATTTTTTCTTACTTACCAGAACGAGATGGCGGTTTGATAACATATTATGGAATACGTGGTTCCTGTGTTCGATTCCGAGTAGGTAATGAGGGCGTGTAATGTTCGATCTAGCTGAGTCGATCCCTCTTGCTGAATATGAGAGGGTGCAAATCTGTCTGATACATGTTGAAAAACACGGCCGAGGAGATAAGAAGCTTGCACGACGCTTGCGTAGCGTCCATGTGACTCTGGGGGAGACGCGAGAGTTGCAGAGGCACTCGTGCACTCTTTCTGGTCCCATTCAGACTCCAGGCAGGGAATCTGAGCGGATATTTCAGGCTCAGGAACCAACATTGTTCGAGCGGGGTTTCCAATAGCGGCGATTCTATCAAGGCAGGGGATGATTAGCGACTATCATGAAGCCACACACCTAGATCTTTGGAGGAAGGAATCAATATCAGACGGACCGCTCAAGGACAAATATAGCCCACCATGTCCTCCTCTGCTCTTCAGCTTCAGCCCACGTCTGCAGGCCGGAAGTTGTGTTTTTCGGGTTCGGCCAGTCAATATCAAGCGCACGAGCATAGCCGACACATACGCCAATTGAGATATGTGCAGCAGGGTACATGGCATGCCCTAACTCATATACAGTAAGTAGAATAGCCCCTTGGAGCGTCTCCAAGGACAGCAACCCGGCTGTCTGCAGGTCAGAAAAAAGCTGCCGCGTTGTATGGTATTCCGGCGTCCACGCGTTTCCATCTTTCGGGCTCCGCGCGCAAAGCTCCATACAGAGACACAAAAAACTCGCATCTGCTCGGAGAGATACTAGGGGATTCAGTAGTCGATAAAAAACCCTTTGCCTGGATATGATTGGCAACCATGGATGTACAATCTGGAAATACCGGGTCGCTACTTCCTGCAATGTCGTACGATCACCCTCGACAGGCGCTAGACAGACCGGGTTTAGAGCGGAATCTGAACTTAGCAATAATCCCGATCGGCTCAATTGGAACAGTTCCCGATCCAAGAACCGGCTTGCAATGGCACGCCTGTCGTTCGAATTTTGTTGTATGAGAGACCTGCGGTGCGATTCGGAGGAACCGGGGGTCTCATATTGCTCGATTGCGTTTTGCGCACTTTTGTTGTAAATACAAAGCTGTCGATGACTTGTGCCTCATTGAACTTAGGAGCTTTCATTTCGTATCTTAATAATAGCGCGTCACTTACCGCTTGCAAGCCGAGCACTCCGGTATATCTTTCGTGCATTTAAGTTTGCGCCTGTGACAAAATTGACAGGCGCGGCGGGCACGGCGAGCCTGAGCATCCAAAGCAGGAGGTTCTACTGGCATTTTCGAAAACCGTTTAACGCCGCCTATTCTGACTTGTTCGTTGCCTATAGTGAGAAAACGGCAGCGGACGGAGAAAGAGATTTGCCGTCAATTGATGACACATCCGTGAAGCGGAGAAACGGAGAAACGGACAAACTCCGTCGCCAAGCGGGATCCTCGGGGTGACTGACAAATCAGACCTCCCGCGAAAATCTTTAGGAAATTAATCGTCACATATCTAGTATTTAGAGTGGTAATATTCAGTGGCCGTTAGAAGTCGTGGAGACCAGGCTCCTATATTGAAAGAGATTCTTAGGATGGTATTCCTATTGCAGCCAGCGGCCTGTGCCATCTGCGATATAGATAGATCACAGATCACCACTGTGGATCATGTCATAGATAAGCTCATGCTTCGGAGGAGCTAGGTTTTAAGCCTTCTTGGTTCGACCACTGGTGATTGATTGTTCAGATGTACCCCTCCGTCGAGCGGCTGTTTTGGAGGTGGGGTATAGAGGTGTCGGATGTATTGAATTTACAAGCGAATACAAACTTGAAAGTACTACTGTAGTCTACGTAAGAAGCAATACACGGCCAACCGACAGGAGTACTCCGGGAAAAACTCCCAACATAGACTAGCGGATCTTGGCATTACGGTTCGAGAAACAATGAAAGAGTGTAGGTGGGTGCGCCAGTTTCGAGACGCACTGTACCAATTGCCCCCACTCATCCAAACGTGAATGAAAGGTGGAAACCCCAGCAGGATGGTGATGCTAGTTCCACTGTCCCTAGGCTGTCTCTTAGTCTCAACGTAGAGAGAAGTCCCCGACGAGAACCCCCACCGAGGGTAGCCGGGCAGACATTGCTCCGCGGCATACATCAGGATGATCGGTTAGGTTTCACTCGCCCCTCCCTTTGGCCCGGCCCTTGGGCATATGATTGCAAATCAGAAAAAGCATCAATGGGTTGGCCAAAGCTTAATTCAGCCAGGACAGGTATCCCGAGTGCGAGTTGGGCGGATTAAGGTAGCCCGTTCCTCGGCTGAGGGGAACGGGGAAAGCAAATGTCCCCGCCCCAGAAAAAGGAGGGGGAGAGCTCGGCCAGCGGTACGCAAAGGGACTTGCTCCGCCTGGCCATGCTGTGCGGGCCCGCGTGTATCTTCCGGTACCTTGTGAGCCCCGCGCCACTAGGTCAACTTGAGGAATGCTAGTCAAATACCGTGGCGCTGGAGAACCCCGCAACTTGCAAAGATGCAGTAGTCCTCGTATAAAGAGCTCTCTCCTGGCCCCTGGCTAACCCCCCTTGTTTTCTTCTTCTCATCTGTGAGCATTCTCAAATCAATCATGGCGCTTTCTACCACCATCAAGACTCCCAACGTGACTTACGAGCAGCCGCTCGGCTTGTAAGTTCCACTTGGTCCAGCGAGTAGCGACAAAAGCTACAGTGGCGAAATTTCAAGTCTAATCCGTTTCCAGGTTCATTAACAACGAGTTCGTCGCTGGTGTCGACGGCAAGACCTTCGAGACCACGAACCCCACTAACGAGCAAGTCATTACCTCGGTCCACGAGGCCACCGAGAAGGATGTCGATATTGCCGTCAAGGCTGCCCGTGCCGCCTTCGAGGGTGTCTGGCACACTGTGACCCCGTCGGACCGTGGCCGTATGCTCACCAAGCTGGCTGACTTGTTCGAGCGTGATATGGAGACTCTGGCCAGTATTGAGGCCCTCGATAACGGCAAGGCTGTGACCATGGCCAAGGTGGATATTGCCAACGCCGCTGGCTGCCTGCGCTACTATGGTGGTTGGGCCGACAAGATCACCGGTCAGACTATTGATACCAACACCGAGACTCTCTCCTACGCTCGCCACGAGCCCGTGGGTGTTTGCGGCCAGATCATTCCGTGGAACTTCCCCATCCTGATGTGGGCGTGGAAGATCGGCCCTGCCATTGCCGCTGGTAACACCGTGATTATCAAGACCGCTGAGCAGACTCCTCTGTCGGGCCTGTACGCTTCCAAGCTGATTGTCGAGGCCGGCTTCCCTCCCGGTGTCATCAACGTCATCTCCGGCTTCGGTCGCACTGCTGGTGCCGCGATCTCCAGCCACATGGACATTGACAAGGTTGCCTTCACGGGCTCCACCCTGGTCGGCCGCATGATCCTGCAGGCCGCCGCGAAGAGTAACTTGAAGAAGGTGACCCTCGAGTTGGGTGGCAAGTCCCCCAACATCGTCTTCGATGATGCCGATATTGACAACGCTATCTCCTGGTCCAACTTTGGTATCTTCTTCAACCACGGCCAGTGCTGCTGTGCCGGTTCCCGCCTGCTGGTCCAGGAGGGTATCTACGACAAGTTCATCGCCCGCTTCAAGGAGCGTGCGGCCCAGAACCAGCTCGGCAACCCCTTCGAGTCTGACACCTTCCAGGGTCCTCAGGTCTCTCAGCTCCAGTTCGACCGTATCATGGAGTACATCAACCACGGCAAGAAGGAGGGTGCCACCGTCGCCCTCGGTGGTGAGCGTCACGGGACTGAGGGCTACTTTATTCAGCCTACCGTCTTCACTGACGTCACTCCCGATATGAAGATCGCCCAGGAGGAAATCTTCGGCCCCGTCATTGCGGTTCAGAAGTTCAAGGATGAGGCCGAGGCTATCAAGATCGGTAACAACACCAGCTACGGTCTTGCCGCCGCCGTTCACACCAAGAACGTCAACACCGCCATTCGTGTCTCCAACGCCCTCAAGGCCGGTACCGTCTGGATCAACAGCTACAACATGATCTCCTACCAGGCTCCCTTCGGTGGCTTCAAGGAGTCTGGTCTCGGCCGTGAGCTCGGCTCCTACGCCCTGGACAACTACACCCAGGTCAAGACCGTCCACTACCGCCTGGGCGATGCCTTGTTCGCGTAGAGGCATTCTTCTATGAGCAATGATGAACGATTATATTTGTCTTTATATACCAAAATTTGAATGCACCTGAGGCTTGGTACCGTCTTCCGTCTTCAACTCTTTTCAGTGTCTCCGTAGCTCTGAATCTCTTGTCTCTGTAGATCTTGATTTTGCCCCTTGGGTTCCAGGGTTCCCCGCATCGTCGTATCCTCTGTCAGGGGCAAACGTGTCACGTCCCAGATGTTGCATCACCTCGGGAGATCTGCATACGAGATAAGCTCGGTCTTTTGCTCCGAAATGGAATGTCATGGCCCGCGGGGTTTGAATTGCGAGTTTGACAGTGCAAACCCTGGCTTTCCGAATGGCGGGGCCGGGTGAAGACTGTCCGCTCGGGTCATTCGACCCCGAGTGCATGTCCGCATCCATGTGGGACAAGTGCAGCGCGATGAATTCCAAATTCATGTTCCACTCGGTTTCTAGAATGGTTCGACCGGCAAAATTTGACCATCGTTAGGAATCACTTACCTGATGTCACTCGTACAACAGGAGCCCGGCCTGTTCCACCGACCGTGAGACACAACGTTTCAAAGAGCGGATCACTGAGCCGAATTCGGACTTAGGAATTCTGGAGAATATGTGACATTTGCTATACAACTCTAACTGATTTCGATGTTCATGACGGTCATGCTGATGCTCCAATAATGATACCGCTGGGCAATTCCAAGCCAATGGGCAATCCGCAGATGAATTTGCCTGCAAATTCATCACCGCGTTTGGCTGCTAACTTCTCCTCGATGTCTCTGTACATGTCGTATCTGCAGGCTGTAAGCGTATGAACTCTTAACTAGTGGGTGGGGGGGGGGGGATAAAACATCGTGACTTACGCATTCATCTCTTCGATCGTCAAGATCTTCTTGGGGTCTTCGACCTTGTATGTGGCGATATTTTTGTTAACCGAAAAACCTTGGGAGTGTTAGCTCTAGAGATCTATAGAGAGCGATTGCATGGAATGGGTGGCTCACCAATTCGCTCGTTGATGTTATAGGCGGCCTTGGCTGCGGCCGCCTGCACTCGAGTGGCACGAGGAAGACGGACTTCTTCGTACACTGCCAGGGCCTGGGCGATGTCGCCATTGAAGTATTTCTTATTGAATAGGATTCCCAGCGCAGCTGCATCCTCGATGGCCATACAGGCTCCCTGGCTCTGATGAGGCATCATCGGGTGTCCAGCATCGCCCAAAAGGCAGACGTTGCCCTTGTGGATGTACGGATATGGCTCATGGACCCACAAACGCCAGGGCTGAATCTCTTTGGCGATGGAGAGATGCTTGAGCACCTGCGAGTCCAGGTTGGGATAAGGCTTCAACAGTTCTTCAACAGGGCGACCCTCAGCACCCCACGCTTGCGATGTATAGTCACCCTGCTCGCGAGGGAAGAAGCAGTAATATGACAGCAGCTTGCCGCCGTTGCATGGTGACAGCACGATCTTGTCCCATTTACCCTCCTGGCCACCCCAGTACTCCAAGGCACTGTCTTGCGAATAATCGACGAGACCCAGCTTGACGGCTTCATCGGTATCCACGTTAGCATGCAAACAGCTCGAATCGGAGGGCTTTTTTTCGGGCTTGATGCCCAGGATGCCTCGTACGGCGGATCCAATGCCGTCTGCACCAATAATGAGGTCGTGTTGCGCTGTGGCTCCATTCTCAAATGTGATGGTATTCGTACTCATGTCAATATCCACGCACTGTTTCGCCATCAGTAGATGTTCTCGATTTCCTTATCACCGGATATACTTACGCGGTGGTTCACAACTAGCTTCGCCGGCATTCCCTCGCCTTCTCCCATTGCCGAATCCTTCAGCATGGCATGCATATACTGTCGGTGGAACATATTGTAGACATGTCCCCAGCGCGTCTCATAATCGTCCAAGTCATACACACTGACGGGTTCCCCAGTCTTCCAATCCCGGTTGATGAGCTTCTTCAAGACGACTGGGTCACCTTTGGCGACATCCACCCTCCACTCATGTAGCCATCGAGTCCCGTTGGCTGCACAAGACACAGAGGCCCCAACTTCGCCGGCAAAATCGGACTTTTCATACATTGTCACGTTGTGACCTGCTCGACGCAGAGCCACCGCCACGGACATGCCGCCGATGCCGCCACCAACCACGCCGATGTTCAATTGTCTCCAGCCGGACATTTCGCCTGATAGTATGTTCGGGGTATCTGAATCTTTTCAGTTGGAATCTTGAATGGCGCATCTACACTTCATTTATCTGGGTTTCTCTCGCCCATCGGATAACGCACAGCGGTTCGCAGAACGCGGGCCGCGCACCGCTTATCGTCGGAACCGGTCGTGATGATTCTGTGGCGTAGATAGGAAAAAGAGTACAGATTTGTTGAAAAGATAAAGATCATATTGAAATGAGGATACGGCTATGCACGGGTCTCTGGGTTTACATAGTGTTGTGTTGCATCTCATAGCACAGACGATCCCGGTTCGGTGAAAGGGAAACTGTCCCACATTGGTAATTCCATGCCCTGCCAGTCCAGAAAAACCCCGTCCATCACCGGTGGAGTAACCGTCCCCGGACCGTCATCCTGCGGAATCCACGGACAGAATGGCCCTCCCGCAATCAGCGGAGTCGCGGCGCCTCGGCCCTCGTCTTCACTCTGTACTCGCGCGGGTGCCGGGCTACCGGTTAAACTGAAAATGCGACTCACGTACTGGCTGCGACGCTGTCGCGCCTGAGCAGCTATCTGCCGTCTTTGCTGTGTGACAGCCGCCTCGAGTAAGGTCAATATCTCAAGGTAGTGGGCGGCCTGCGCCGATTGGTGAGCGAGCATTCGCAGAATGGTCAGAGCACCGGTAAATGCGCCGTCGATTTCCGGATCCACGTCGCGATGAGAGAACATGGAGAATCCCAGAACTAGAGCTGCAGCGAAGACAAATGCCCTACATATCATTCACGTTACTTTCACATTCCTTAATGCAGGGAAGTCACTTACTTCATGATTCCCATATTCCGCAAGAGTAGCTCTGATTGGTGAATTTCTATGCAGGTCTGAAGCATGTAGACTGCTGAATCGGTACAAGCAGCTGCAAGCCGTGAATGCGCCGGGTCTTCCTCTGGTGCATCAATAGCCACCCCCGAGAGGGTCTGGTGCAACCGGGCCAGCCGGACACTAAGTGTGGAGATGAGAAAGGGGCGAGTGACTAGTATGACGGCAAAATGATAGGAGCAGGCCACGTGCATATTACCAATAATGCGCTCTTGTGCCATGATGGGCTCTTCATTCTCAGACGAAGTACGGAGCGAGTTCGGTAGATGATCACTCCAGCGGTTCAGCTTGGCTAGCAATAAATCGGCTGTTTCTGTAGATGCCGCTTTCTCACTGTACAGGCAGCTAATAATCTCATCCAACAAAAGCGACAATTGATACGAGGCAAATACACCGGCCGAGGCCGGTGTAACTGCCATTTGCTGGATCGCCTGTTTGTTATCCCGAAGTAAAGACGATGTGGCAGCTGGACGTCCAAGAATTGAGCTCGCCAGTAAATCGATGATGCAGAGGCTCATCCACAATTGTGACCTGTTGAATTTAGCCAATACTCCTATCATGAATTGATTTTATTTTTTTTCCTCCTTACCGCTCCTGTTGCTCGCTTCGGCTCAGCGACCCGTAAGCATCTGTATGCAGGCCCAATGCAACAGCGGATCGAGCTGCCACGCCCAAGTACATGAACGCTGCGTTACGGCGGCATGCACCAAACATATAAAATGACATCAGCAGAAACACACGAACAAGATCCATACTCGGGTCTTCCAAGAAATTAGCAAATGTCCTTTGCTGGCCCCGAGTAAAGTAAAAGCGCTCTATCTGGACAGTTTCGGGTTTGTTGGGACATGACTGTGCCCCAATGGCGATCATGAGATCACAAATAGCTGCTCGAGTTTTTTCTCGGTCAGACTTTGGTTCCACATTGTTGGTTAAACATGATTCTATATTTAATCCAAGGAACAAGAAACCGCTTGTCTGTTACCAGTGTTACTCTGAGAAGTTCCACTTGTCGGCTAGAGGACCCGACTTACTACTATGTGGAAGGTCTGAATAAATCGACGCTTCTCATCATTGACCAGACGTTCTTCTGAAAAGTTCAACGAGTCATGGCGGGCCTCCGTCTCCAGCATATCCTCGCTATTGAAGTTATGAGAAAATTGTGAGGGTCCAATATGCTGAGTCACGGTATCTCGAAGAAGCTGAAGAAACGAAAGAGAAGCGGCCTTGCCAACGTAGACTACGAAGAAATGTCAGTTGGACAATCGCACTGGACATGAACATCCTCAATACCTCTTTCACCCTGCAGGTTTCGCAGCATGCGCGGAAGTGTGCGATGTGTAGCCTCTGGCGATCGCGAACCCGCCTCAATCACTCGCTCGAGCGGATGACCCGCTCTATCGGGAGTATGTAAAGCTGTCGGACTTTGTAAGTTAATACTCGAGCTACCCCACGCCGGAATGTCCTCAATCGCAGATCGAATCGTCGGCGATGGTCGACTTTGAGGACTTGTGTCCGGTATCGACTTGAACGGAATACAGGTGCGGCCGCGGCCCTTGTGGATGCAATTGGTACAGGGAAATGACCCACTGCATCGCTTCTTCGAGGCCCGACATGTCGTACAGGCCGTATTGGCACGCAGACGATTCGCGGGATGGACCTTAGGACGCCCCATGTTGGAGATGTCGAGGAATTTGGGGTCGTGTGTCGCGCCAGTCTGACCAGAAGACAGGGCCGCGCTTATCGTCGGTGCTCGGGCCGACACTCGAGAGCGTCGGAAAAGGCACCGCCTATCTCGAATTGGCTCAAGCGGGGTCAAATCATTTTGCTCTAACCGTCTTGTTTATTGTATTTTCTTTATCTTCTTAGCTGGGCGTGTCCAAAACCTATCGTGGGGTGCAGAGTAATATTGTTATCGGGATGTGTATTGAACAAATCTATTGCTCACCTGAAACCTACTAAATCCCGACGAAGCTCATTCAAGCTGCGGAGGTCTGGAACTAAGCTTTGAGACTTTAAGATCCATGAACTACTTAAATATGTCGAAACGATGAGACTGACTCGTCGAGACTCCGTCAACCCCGACTTGGTACTATCAAGAATTGGTGGTGGAAATACAGGTATAGAGCATGACTGTGTAGATCTTAGGTCAATCGAGCGAGTCACCCCGGGCAGATCTCTAGATACCATCAAAAGTCAATGTGGCTCGACATCTAGACATGGAGAACAACCGCAAGTAGAGATATCCGGGCTGGCCCCGAGCTCCACGGCAACAATGGACGCAAGCCGAAAACCCTTTCTGCCGAGGATCATAGAGGCGGTGGGAAACAAGCCAATCTGATTTGTCTAGACAAGCGAGCGCCCCACTCAGACAATGCAAACAGGCCAAACCCAGATCAACTCGCTTAGTGGCTAGCGCACACCGCCCGCACACCCCCAAATATAAAAAGGCGCTGGCCTCCGAACCTTTCCTCTCTTTTTTAAGCGACTCTACGTTAGTACTCCCTCCCCCATACATTGGAAGAAAAAGCCTTCCAGCCTCTGAACACCTTGCTAACAACGGCCACAGTTCAAAGAATCACTTTAGAGTAGACGTCCCACCATTAAGCTCTTTAAAAGAGCCACAGAATCTCCACCCTTGCTGATGACTGCTATGTCCTCGATGCCCTAAAGTGAAGCCATTTGGACTCCCGCCTCGACTGGCACGCGTGCTGCTTGCAGCGTCTGCGTGTTCGGCCCAGGGAGTGGTGATGATCTTAACCTGGTCTCGGCGTCTGACTTCGGTCGGCTGGTCCTGGTGGGTGTCGAGGAGGTCTGAAAGGTCCTGATTTCGCTATCTCTTCTCTTTGATGTGAGAGTTTGATCTAGTGGGATGACGGTGTGGATTGGTTCTGTGTTGGTCTAGCTATGCAGTTGCAATGACAAAATCTTTAAAATATCTCAATTTCCCAACATCTTCGTAAACACTGTAGTCGCGGCCGCTCGATCGAACCGACAATGTCTTGGTTAGTGGCGAAAAAATAATAATTTCGATCAAAGAGAATCTTTCGCCGTCGTTCCCATGGCATGAACGCACCGCCTCGGGTGTACTGTAGGTTTGGCAGTGCCTGACGCGAATCCATGGCTCAACTATGGCTCAACGATAAATCTTGAAGCTATCCAGCTCCATCGTTTCACGCCCACCAATTCCACGCCCACCATGCCCTATTCGTATGCAGCCATTGAAGAGCGTATCCAGGCCGCATGCGAGGCTGCCAAATGTCGAAAGGGCGCCAAAATCACCTCGCTGGCGCGTGAGTTCGATGTTCCAATGTCTCTGCTGCGGGCGCGTCTCCAGGGTCCTTGACGCTGAGAATATCAGTATCCTACAGGCTTGGTATAATCGTCTTGAGCCATTCGTGAAGCGTATCCTGCCATCGAATATATACAATTTCGACGAGACTGGCTTCCAGCTTAGCAAAGGAAATCCTCAAAATGTTATCAGTCGTAGCGAACAGCGTATAAGGTCATTTTCAAGCGAACGAGGTGGTCTGTTAGTCGGAATTGAATGTATCGCAGCTGATGGATGGTTGATGGAACCATACTTCGTGGGACCAGGCTTAGTGCACCACGAACGATGGCATCAAGGCGGAACACTCTCGGAGGAATCACGGATCGCAGTATCCCTATCTAGCTATTCAAGTGATGCCCTCACTAATTGATTGGCTTCATTTCTTCCAGCAACACACATATAATCGCGCTCGTGGTGGACCGCGGCTACTGCTCTTCGATGGCCACTCCTCGCATCTTACCTTGGATTTTTTAGATCTCTGCGAGAAATGGAATATTATTATTTTCGTTTTCCCTCCGCATACCACGTATATCGTTCAGCCTCTCGATGAAAGCCCATTTCGAGCATTAGAAGAGAAATTCCGCGCGAAGAACAATTCCATCACGCAGTGGGGGTGGAGATTCTAAGGAGGTAGGCGTCTTCTTTCGCGAGATCACTAGCCTACGAGAGCAGGTTTTGAAGTCGCGTATGATTCGGAAGGCATTCGCGGACCGGGACATTCATCGTTTCAATCCAGCCCCAGTCATTGAACGCCTCGATTCTAGGAGATCACCTACGCCGGAGCTTCGCTGGGCAACCGAGAGCACCCCGCCGCCTCAGTCATCCAGTCTCCTAAATTCTACGCATGATATAGTGTCTCAAGCGCGCCGTACGCAGGGAACAATGGCTACCATAGCTCATTATAAGGCTACTCAGCCGGACATCCTCCGACAGATCAATCGACTCTCCTGTCAGGTTATGCAGATAGCAGAGGAGATCAGCCTTCGAAGCTCTTCTATTCAAGACCAGCTTCCGCCGATGCCTTCAAACGCTAACGTGCCATAGAGGTAGGTCGGTAGATTCGGTGCTTCTTACTACGAGACATGCGAAGCGCAGCTTAACAGAGAGGAAGAGAAAGGATCATAAGGCAAGCGTGCGGGAGGCTAGGAAGATGGCGCCCCCGAGCTTGTTTTCAACACTTACATCGACTACGGATGAGGCCGAGGCTACAGAAACACGAGGCAGAATACCCATGGCACATAGAGACCAGTTCAATAATGGATATCTATAGGAGTGGAGGGCACAGTGGAGCTCAATATCTTCGAGATTTACGTTGAGCCTCGGGTTTGCGTCAGACACTGACAGACCAACACCCGCAGTGGTGTGGGCATCCACTCGAACCCCGGTACACGAAAGATCAGTTAGAGGCTCACTGCAGTGATGCAACTGTAAATTGTAGAGAAAAGCTCAGTATTGACAATTGACCGATTCATGGACTGCGGTGGTTGTCAGATAGCATCAAAACCTTCCAATCTGAATTCTGGACACCGGCATCTTTGATCATAATATGTGGAGCTTCTGATTGTTTGAACATTGGGTACCTACAAATTAACAAGATAAATTCTGTGTTGTCCATTTCCAAATGAGCCTCTCCAAGCCTCGGAAATGGGAGACAAAAGCGGTCGCTACTGTAATAGCTCCACTTAGATAATCCTATGGCTACCTGCTCGTTCTGATCTTGGTGATCTATCTTGGTGATCTATCGGGTGCTTCTGGTATCGTATCATTATCATTGTCGTCGTCACTAACCATTAGCCTAGGGCCATGAATATCATGTTACGACTTAGACCCTATAGCTATTGCTATCATCTTATTTAGCTTCACTGCCTGTCTTCTCTGATGCTCCGGCACCGGCACCGGCAGCTGCAGGTGCAGCTGCACCTGTAGCCCTCGGTCCCTCGCCTTTCCCGCCTTCACCCTTGCCTTTGCGCCCTGTACGCGCTCCACGAGAACCTCGGGAAGATCCCGTCGTCCCGGTCCCTCCCCCAGGAGCATTGCCGTCACCCGTCTTCGCTTTTCCGTCCTTGGCATCCTTGCCCTCCTGGGGTTGCTGCGAACCGCCTCGCGCCTTTCGAGCCTTCTCGCCTCCGGGGTTCGCCTTGCGCTCGAGAACCACAACCTGACTCTGCGCCACAAGGACGGGACTGGCGGCCATGGCCTTCTGGAGACTCTCGGACTCGACAAAGTCCACATATCCGAATCCTTTCTTCTTGTCCATTTCCACTTTCGCTATGGCGCCAAACGAAGTAAACGCTGCCGTCAAGAGTGCTTCGGTCACACCTTGAGAAGGATTGGCGTGCTTGAGGAAGGCCTGAGTGGACCCAGGGGCTGGTTTCGAGGGAGGCGCCGGCTTCGATTTGGCCGCTTTAGGTGGTTTAGTTGGTATTGTGTTGCTCGTCGTAGACACGCCGGCATCTGATGTCTTGGAGTCGGTGCCCTTTGCCTTGTTCGAGTGGGCTGTCGTAAGTGTACCCTTAGGAGGCTTGGAAAGACTTTCTTTCTTGCTCTCCGCTGCGGCCGCGGAGGAATCGCGCGAGCCCTCGGTCTTGGGCGATCCTATTTCGGACGTGCCACCTTTACCACGTCGCCGGCCTCCGGAGGGCGAAGGTGAAGGTGACAGTCCAAGATCGCGCTGCAAAATTTTGGTGGCGATGGTGGCATTGCCCCGTTCCTTCTTTCTCTCCGTAGCAGAGGTTGAGGCCTCCTTCGAAGGGTTGGACGCACTTTGTTTTCCGGTTTTGGTAGCAGCTGCCTGCTTGGCTGCTTTGCTGGATTCCTTAATTGGCTTTTCGCCCTTGGTCTTTCTGTCAGACAAGTTGGCTGCAATTTCTTTATCAGTTCGCTGGAGGAGCTTCTTGGGCTGGACCTTCTCCTGCTTGGACTCCTTGTCTGCTCGTTTGGATGACTTGGAGGAGGAGCCATCTTTTGCCTTGCTCGCCTTTTTGTCCTTGATATATTGCACAAGAGGCGTGGTCGTCACGGTTTCCTTTCTGTCATCGTTGTCGGCCGAATCCACCAGTGCCGGTTTGGTGAGTGGCTGCGTCAGGCTTTCGAGGAAAGCGATAAAGTCGGGATCTTGGTCAATCGTGCCCTGACGAGCATCCTTGCGCACGCGAGTCCCGGGTGTTTTGGCGTAGGGAGAGAACTCCAACGACGGAGGCCCCAGTAGCACTGGATCATGGGTCGTGTTGCGAGCATCTTGGAATGAAGTCTGGCGCACCAAATCGGACAATAGGGCGATGTGCTCGTTGGAGGTGACATGAACGTATGCTCTGGATGGACGGGATGGTTTGGCAGGACTGTAACGAGAGTAAGTGAGCTTCAATACAGGTCAATTGCCTCCCGGAACCATACTCTTTCGACACCTTGCCAGGCTTGTACTGCAGCCAGTCTACCTTGCCCCCACCGACTTTCCAGTCTTGCCCGAGGGCATTTTCCAGTTCCGTCTGCGTCAGCCCCGGCGGCAAGCGACGGATCAGCAGTTTCAGGCGGGGTGTCGGAGGCTTCGGGGCTTTCTTCGCTGGCGCGCCGGCTTTCTGGGTGGCCGCCGCGGGGATCTGAAGCACCCCGGCGGTCGGCTTGCCGGGCTGTGTCATGTTGTGAAAAGAAAAAGACGTTGTAATGTATGTATATGAGGGATTTCGGCCAGCGATTCAGTAAGGAATCATCAGCGAGCAAAGCTCCTAAAGGGCGAGTCTATTGCATCCCGCTTTGCGCCCAACTTGGGGAACTTTCCGAGACGCGGAATCCGCTGAGTCAGCGGTCGAAGGCCAGTTTCAATCTGGTGGCACGTTACCATGTGGTAGTGACAATAGGCAGGCAAATGGCGAAAAGAAGATGCCGTAGAAGCTCTAGTCATTTTTGTACAGAGTCCAGATCAATGAGTATGACATTAAAGAGCAGGTCAAAGTAGCTGGAGGGATTCGGGATTCCTCACGAGGGAAGTAAAGCGGAGCAATATTGACAACATTGACAAGATTTACTTCCTACCCATACACTTGCTAGACAATCCAGACCAGAGAGGCGGATAGATGATAGTTCGTACTTATCTACAGACTGCTAGACTAGGATTTGATCATGGAGCGGCACCGGTTCAAGCTTTCGTGATTGCCGCGATATGTGCAGGGGCTCGACCCTCCGAATGCAACGTCCCTTGAAGCCTTTTGGCCACCATTTGAAAATGTGACTTTCGCTGCGGGTCTTGGAGACTATTTCAAACATCGGATCACCAACCTGGGCAGTAATGACGAGTGATAACAAATGCTTACAAAGACTGGCTATTCCTCTGATTCATCTAGCACGTCCAGGGAACCCCGTTATCGCCGGCCGGATAGCGCCCGGACTTCACCTTCGACACTCCCCGCAATGGACGAGAAAACACCCCCGATCGTCAATGATGCATCTTTTCAAAAGTCCAAGTCATCTCAGCGTAATTGGGGCAACTGGGGCTTGGTCATTTGCACGCTGCTGGCCGGTGGCTGGTTCTTCGGGCCGCATTGTAACCACACACGCGTGCTCACCATCGAAGAGCGAGTACACAATATCCTGACTCAGACTCCTTTAATCGGTAAGAAATAAAAAGAAGCCCCGAGCTCTCAGGAAGACATGCCTGATAATCCGAATAGACGGTCATGATGATTTCCCCATCTTTATTCGGATGTTCTATCACAACCACATCCACGAGTCCAATTTTACCAAGTCCTTCGTCGAGGGCACTCTAGGTGGTCATGTGGACCTGCCTCGTCTCAAGGACGGACAAGTCGGGGGCACCTTTTGGAGCGTCTATGTGCCTTGCCCCGCCGAGTGGTCCGACTTTTCCGATGAGAACTATGCGGCGAGTACGTCAAAGTCCGTTGCGGTCGAGCAGTGTGTATTAATCACTTCTGGACAGGTGTTCGTATGACCGCGGAGCAGGTTGATGTTATGAAGCGCGTTCAACAGGCCTATCCAGACGTCTTCTCCGCGCCTCCCAACGGCACCACAGCTTTGAGCGCTTTCCAGAAGGGCAAGATCATCTCACCTCTAGGTATCGAGGGCCTCCATTCCGTGGGCAACTCATTCGCTCATCTCCGCATGTTCTACGAATTGGGTGTCTCTTATGCGACTCTTACTCACAACTGTCATAATCGCTATGCCGACGCCGCACTGGTCGAGCAACCGGACGGCAGTATCCGCAAGGCGGATCCTCTGTGGCACGGCGTGAGCCCAATGGGCGAGAAAATGGTGTATGAAATGAATCGACTTGGAATGATCGTTGATTTGGCCCATGTGAGTGAAGACACTATGCGGGATGTGCTGGGATCTGGTAAGAACAACTGGACCGGCAGTCGTGCTCCGGTCATTTTCAGTCACAGCTCGGCTCAGGCCCTGTGTCCCCATCCGCGAAATGTGCCGGACGATATTTTGCAATTGGTCCGGGAACGAAACTCGATCGTCATGGTGAACTTTGCGCCCGACTTTATCTCCTGCTCAGCATCCGATCGCGATGACGGTCTGCCAGACCTGGACGTGGATCACGCTACGTTGGAACGAGTTGCAGATCACATCATCCACATTGGAAATGTCGCGGGCTTTGACTCTGTCGGTCTAGGAAGCGATTTCGATGGCATTCCCTCGGTGCCGCAGGGGTTAGACGATGTATCGAAATTTCCAGCTCTGATGGCTGAGCTTCTACGCCGGGGATTGAGTGATGAAGAAGCAGCCAAGGTGGCTGGAGGCAACCTTCTGCGAGTGTGGCGAGAGGTTGATCGGGTTGCTCTCGCCATGCAGGCCGAAGGTGCTCTGCCCGCGGAGGACTAGATATTTTACATAGCGTGGGTTGCTTTCGCATTGAAGTCGAAAATAGGAATTTATTCAGTTCAACACTATTCATTTATCACCACTTTTCAGCTCTTGTTGTGTAGCTCCCTGTACAACTCAAATGAGCGAAGAATGTTATGTGCTTGATGGCCCGTGGACGGCAAAGGCAGCTGGTATCTGCCGCCACTTTGGAGAGAAAGTCGCATATCTTCTTCGGTCGCCCAGTCAAATGCCTGGTGCTCGCTTTCCATCAAGCGGACGGGAATTTCTTCTCGGGACACCTGCTCTGCGGATGGTCGCGCTGATTCGTGGACTTCGACGATGAATGAATATTTGGCGATGCGGAATTTGCTGCCGTTGCGACGCGTGTGCGTCCAACTGTCGACCGCCACCAGCTCGGTGATGTGTGATACATGAAGCCCGGTCTCTTCGAGCACTTCCCGAACCACTCCATCTAGCAGGGTGCCATCCACGTCGGGTTCGTATGAGCCCCCAGGTCCTTCCCAGCATCCGGGCATCGAGTCGGTCAGCGCGCGCTGAAGCAGCAGGACGCGCGGGGTCGATGCGTCGCTGAAAATGTAGCCACCGACGCCGAAGCTATCGAATTCGGGACGCGCCGCAGTGAAATCTGCGAGAGGAAGCTCGAAATACTGTAGATGAGATGCCACCGTGTAGGGACGAGCCATGACTGCACAGATGACAAGAGTTGGAAAGCGTTGGGTGCGCCAATGCTGAACATGAGGATCTCTAGGACTTTCAGTGACTCATGTCAATACGAGAGGAATTGTCAATAATCAACTCGGAAGACTCCACAAAATTAGCCTGGACAATAAGAGTTTTATCTGAAAGATGGTACAATGTACAATGGCTATGAGGGTAACATCAAAGTCGTGGATAAATGCTAGACATTGGAATTCTGCGCTATTCTGTCATTCGAAACAGGAGGCTTCTTCAATCGTCCATCTCCTTTAGATTCCAGGTTAGACATCACAAGATAGCTAAGAGACTTCCACTAAAGTTCTCTCCGGTTGCAAGATTATAGAGCGCTACACAATCACCCAAAATGGATTAACGATCCCTGGGCCCCGGGATAATTGGAGAGTCGGTAAATGAGATGCGGAGTATTTGCCGACTAAGACATAGAGATTCGGGAGACGAAACATCACCCTATGTGCCGAAATTGAGGATTATAGATCATGAGCATCTACTATTGGATTCGCGCCTACCCCTTCAGTCAAGAGGGTGAATCCAAGCTTACCGATTTTCGTCTTGTCCTGTCTAGTTTCACCGCCTCAAAAGGTCGCCAAGATTCGGGTAAAGGACTTGACATTGAAAGTCGTGAGTTGAGATGTCACCACATATGCCGACGTTCAGGAATTTAGATCATGAGCATCTACTATTGGGCTCGCGTCGATCCCTCGATTACGCTAGTTGAGTGATCCAAAATTACTGGTTTTTGTTTCGCCCTGTCTACTTTCACCGCCTCGAAGGGTCGCTTAGCTTTCTTAATCATGAGAGCTTAGTCAATATCGTCTTAGGTTAATCGGCAACGATCAATGTATGTCTCTATGTCCATGACCTCAACATGGCATACTTTGCGCCGGTTAAAGCATGTAACACCTATCGGAAGTATACCCAAGTTCGATCCTCGTCGTAGTCAATCGTAGAAAGAGTACAAGTATGGAACCGTTTCGACTCGTGCGCTGCTTGACCGTCAACAGCTCGCCCTTATATCTTCTCGTACAAGTCAATTGCTCAAAGAAACCTTTCGCCATGGTCTTGGACCGCTACCCTACCAACCAGCCCGAGGAAGGCACATACGCCTCCCATGCCCTCCGTAATAACTCTAAGGGCACCGATCTCGACAAAGAAGCTCTCGAACGTTTCAAGATTCGTGAAATTTGTGAAGGATGGTTAGCTATCGTGACGCGGCTGAGTAAGTCTGCTTCAGTCATACAAGGGGTCAATTAGATGCTCAAAGTTGAATTATTTTTGATTAGATGGCAAAACTACCAATCCATGTTCTTCGACGACGCCTACATCGCCACCTCATGGAAGCAAGGCAACATCGACGAATTCGTTCAAGCATCCAAGGATGGATTCGCCAAGGGGTCTAGCTTCATGTATATTCTGCATCGCATTATCGGCTCATCGGTTGAGACGAACCCAGAATTGACTCTCGCGGTGTGTAAAATGAAGATCACCATCACTTGCCGCTTCACTTTTGACGGAGTGGAAATGGATAATGAAGCCGATTGCCGCTTCTTTTTCATGCTAGAGAAACGCCAGGACCGCTGGGGTGTTTGTTTCTACACTCTTCTCTTCGACAAGGATAAGTTCATCCCGGTCAACCCGGCGAAGACCTTCCACATCCCTGAGGAAGACGTTGAGAAGTTCCCCTCTGGCTACCGTTACCTTGCCTGGGCTGAGAGCAAGTTCGGCACACCCCTAAGATGAACCTGAACAGCCACGGTCCGTAGAAAAATATCCTGTACCGCAAGTGTAAAGATTGGTTGGAGGGCAAGGCCATCAAACCAGACTTGACCGGAGAGGATATCCCGAACTGGATAATCATGATTGCATAGGAAGACTCGCCCACAAATTCCAGCAGTCTATCGGCAAGCATATCTATTATCTGCATCTTCAATAGGCTCAATTCTAGATCAATTACCTGTGGGGCTTCGTCGTTGTATTCTTGGTCGCTTTTAGTAACCTAGATAAACATCTCGAGGCGTCTCTAATTATTTAAATATTTCCAATGCGCTGAAGGTAGGTCTTTTATCGCCTAAATTTGTCTCAGCGACCGCAAAACCAATGCGTGACTCTATATTGTGCTGTTTCACATCTTCAAATGAGCCCAATCAATAGCCGACGTGTAAAGTCTCACCGGATATGTTGACATTTATACCTGTGTCCCGGCTCCGTTCACTGATCGGTCTCGTTGAATCAAACTACAAATTGCTAGTGGAACGTGTCTTCATACAAAAGTGATACATTCTGTTGAATACACTGATAGCAAATGAATTTGATTTATTTTCCGAACAAAGTTGGGTCTGCAAAAATGCCCCGTTGTAAGGTCCGCACGCTGACGCACATTGCTACTGCATATGTGAAGCTAGGTATGGGCTACAGATAGTTTTACGCCAGTCTCAAATCACGTCAGTCTCCATAAACGGTTGAGAGACATACTTAAGTCAATAGCTTCAAAGGCTAGTGTTGGTGCAAGGCGAAATTTGGCCTAGTCGAGATTTGTATATCATTCCTATTGGTGTTGCGTACATGCTATGCTTAGAAAATACTGTGATGAGACAGACCCATAGAATGAGGGTGTGGTAAACATAGAAAATAGTGAATTCGTTCAATCGATTGCTACAATACGGACGACAGTGGTCCTGCTAAAGTTTGCTCGTAACAGGGTTGGCAGCTTGATCACTACCAACGGTACTTCTAAGAGATGCCTCAGCTGCTTTTCATTCTTGTCGAAGAGGTGAACAACCTACAGCTGTGATTTGAGGAATCCGCTAAAGAATTTGCCAATCTCAGGGTAGTCACTGATGCTCATCACAGCGGAGACATCTGTGTCGGAGGATTAGTATGGATCATGAAAATCGGATCTTGATGGTATCCACTCACATTGGTCGGGACGGACAATGATAAGGGCGCCTTGTGCTGGATCAATGCCCAGGGATTGGTAAGCTTGGCCGTGGCCGGCGTTATAGCTCTCGTCATCGTAGTAGATCTTGTGCAAGTCTGATGCAGATTAGAATATACCCAAAGCTAATCGGGACAAGGAAACTGACCTCTTGTCTTGTTTCGGCCATTCACTGGATAGTAACATTCAGGGATTTGCTCCAGTTCGACGTCGTGACGCTTTCCATGACCCACGACAATAGTCTCAATCAAGCCATCAACATCATGAGAGCTTGGCGTGAAGGTGTGGACTGGTCCCTCCTGTGAGTAAAGATAGTCTCCGAGCTATAAAGTCAATTAGAAAATGCAAAACCCTTTTTCGAGTGGAAAAACAACTCACATTAGTCAATTTTTTCCGGTTGTCGGCGATACTCAAATCTCCCACAAAGGCCATGATGCGCCATCGTCCATCGGATTTAAGTGCCTTCATGAGTTGCTGAGGCTTGGAGTCACAGAATCGGACAACTTGTGCGCTGGGTAGTCTCATGCCAACAGCTACATTCGAGGCAAGCTGGGTAGACTCCATGGATGTTGTGATTGACGAGACTCCATATTTGGCTGTCAGACCTGCAGTGTATTTGCCGGACTTAATGAAACCCTGTTGAAACTCGGCAGGGGTGGTTTTGGCCCCGGAAGAAAAGAGCTTAGAGAAGTACCGGTCGAAATCGATCAGATCACTGGCTACCTTTTGTCTCTCGAGGACGTAGGTTTCGAGAAGAGATGGAGTGGCCAAACCAGTCAGAACCTCTCCCAGCTTCCAGCCAATATTGTACCCATCCTGCAAGCTGACATTCATTCCCTGGCCAGCCTTGGGGGAGTGGGTATGGCAGGCGTCGCCGGCCAGGAAGACTCGATGGTCTTTGTGGAAATAGTCAGCCAGACGCTGACCGATGGAGTAGGCCGACCACCATACTGTCTCGGCGAATTCCACCTTGTAGGGATGGAAAATAGCCTGTGCCTGTTCATGTAGACTCTCTAGCGTCACATCCTTAGGGTTGGTGCCTGGTGCAAGCTCGATATAGAAGCGCGTCAAGTTGTTGTTCTCACCCTCGCGGGGAATGATTAGGATATTTCCAGCTTTGGAGCGGAGAGTGGACTTTTTGCGAATGTCAGGGAAGTTGGTTCGGGGAACCATATCCATAACACCCCAAACGGCGTCGCTGCTATCACCGACCATTTTATAGCCTAGCGCCTTGCGGACAACGCTGTGGGCGCCATCGCATGCCTATACAAGGTGTAAGTATACGGTCAAGAATTTCGTTCCAGGATCACCTACCAGAGCATATTTGGCGGCGAAGGTCTGAACTTTCCCGTCTTTCTCTGCAGTCACCGTGACTGGATGAGCATCCGGGTCCGTGGCCAAGGTGCTATTGACTTGGACATCCGTGACGTTGTATCCATAGTCGATCTGTTGATCATTGTACTTCTGCATGAGCTCAATGAGAAGCCCATTGATGCGAGCTTGATTCAAAATGACGTGGGGTTGGTGTGATAGACCTGGCTGTGTGTCCGCGGTGCGTCCTGTACGCTTGAGGTCGCCAGAGCCATCATCTGCCCAGAAGTTGACCTCAAGGACATGATAGGCTTCTCGTAGAAGCTCCTCGCCAATGCCGAAACTCTCGAAGATCTCCACAGTACGGCATTGCACGCCATCTGCCTGTCCCATCTTCATAGGGCCATCACGTCGTTCCAGCACCTTGCATCGAACACCATATTGGGCCAACCAAGCGGCAGCGCAAAGACCAGCCGAACCGCTGCCACAGATGAGGACATCGAATTTTTCCATTGCTGTAACCATAATGATCGCCTCAGGTCTTTTGTGTTTCGGTTCCCCGCGAGGGCGTCTTTTATGGAAATTCGGGATGCATCCCGCAGGCTGTTCGGGATCAGCTCCGAGCCTGCATCCGTCAGCACGGCAGTCTCGGCACCGAGATACCCCAGACTCGGCACACCTTTGCCTGCCTTGTCGGGTAATGTGCGGGTAGTGAATTGTGGCATGATCGGATCTGGGGGCCTCTTCACTTCCGAAGAAATTGGAGATGGCGTCAAATTGAGTTTGACGCCAGGTCGTGGTGTGTCCTACGTCTACATTTAGGGCAACATGTACAACTTCATATCCAGTGTCGACATCTGATCATTTCGTGTCTAAGATTCATTATGTAATGCTAATCATTTCCCGAAATCAAAACGCCCGCGCCCGTGCAAAGCTTGCGAACCATCTTACAAAAAGTACTCGCTGCGACCCGGCCGCGAGGTGGGCACATGTCGTTGGTCGTCACTGACAGCGCTGAACAGCTTGAAGGTCGGCTTGAGGTCCTCTCCGACCTCGCAAACCGAGGCCAGATTACCACATCGGTAGCAGTAGTTGGGCGCACTCCACACAGTCACGACGTTTTGGTTGGAGAAATGATATTTGTAGCCCTCGTTGACCAGTTGATGAGCGCGAGCAATCAATGTGAGGTCGTTGACGTGACAGAACTCGTCTGCGACACGATCGCCGAACAGCCATCCTAAGAAAAGGTTTCCAAGTGAGTCGGAGGTTCCCAGCACAGATCGAACGAATCATCTTACCTGCTCCGCGAGGGCTGACAGCCCACGTCTCGACGTCATCGGGATCGGACCACACCAGATCACAGAATGCACCCTCATGCGGAATTTCTTGTGCACGAGCAACCACGCGCACTTGGTCCAGAGTTCGGATCTCTGGGCTCAGTCCACCGTGGACACACAGGACCTTGCCGTCAATAATGGCGCCCAGGGTCATAAAATCGAAAACCTGGCAGCAGGCCTTCCATACCGACGCACTTCCGTATTTTTGGAAGCATTCCTCGTAGAACCCATACACTTGTGTGATCTGACGGGATTCGTGATTGCCACGGACCAACGTGACCCGATCAGGATACCTAGGAAGGGGGCGATGTCAGCCTCGGCCGATGCGTTCGTGGAGAACTGGCACTTACTTTGCCTTGAGACAAAGCAACAATGTCAATGTCTCCAAACTGAAATATCCTCGATCTACGTAGTCACCCAGGAAGACAAAGTTGCGGTTCACATGAGCCTCAGATGCCTGGCCGCGCTGAGTCTCTTCCTCCTCCGGGTCCTCGTTCTCGTCTTCGTTGGGAGCGTTGGACCCTCGTAACTTCTTCCGGATCTTGGGGTCTGTGATGGTGGAAGGAGGTTCGATATCGGTCGAGGAGATGATGGAGGGGGAGGTTTTCGGGGCGTCGGGTTGCGAGCCATCGGGCATCCCACCAGAAACGCGGAAGAGCTCGAGAAGATCGTAAAACTGGCCATGGATATCACCACAAATGGTCACGGGGGTGGAGACGGGCTGAATGTTCGATTCTGGCATATGCCGTCAGTACCAGTCAGGAAGCTGTGCCAGGGCCCACGTACCCTCCATCATATACTCCTTGACCATCTCACAGAGCTGCTTCATGTGAGCCTCGGACAGATATTTGCAGTCCTTGGCCGCCTCGAGCCATTCATCAGGGCCGGCATTGCGCTTCAACTTGGCGGGTCCCGGTTGAGGGACCTTACTGTCGGGCATGGCGCGTAATTGGGGAAGGGGGCAAACAGGTGAGAAGAGAACGGAGAATGCGGGCGGGGAACTTGCGCCCTTGGCGGGACTCGGGCGCCGCACACGCGACGTTGGCAGTGGAAAGTCACATTTACATTTGGATCCTTTGACACTTTGATACTTTGATCTTCTGATCTTCCGAGCCTTCGATCTCCCTGTGATCTGGTATCTGCGGCAATTTATGGTCATCCAACATCGCTTCGCAGTATGTCCTGGGTCCAAACTTCTTAAATTCGGTAGCGTACCTAGGTACACATTTGACCAGCGCACCGAGGAACGGTGCGATATCAATGACATTCATCCCGGGCTCTCACTGCTTCATCATGGACTCTGGGCTGACCTTGTCGATGGTGCTCAGCTCAGTAGCACACAGCGTAGCTGCCATCTTCTACATCGTACGAAGCCAAACGTCGATTGCATCCATGAACCGACGAGTTGCCGACGTAGTATACACGAAGAGCACCTTCCACGTTGATACATGATCAGTCTTTTAGTCTTGGGGTTCGAGTCCAGAACCAGTTAGTGTCGCAGACGATCATCCCATGCGCCCGAGAAACAGAAGAAGCGAAGTGGGACGGAGTAGACTACGTTGGAATCCAGCACGTCCACGATAATCTAACCACCATTCGCACAGCGACGGCTAGGAATCATGCTCATCTTACGAGATGGTAGCGCTGCTTATCCAGGCGAGAGAAAGAGTCGATAGAATGCTCCCGGAGTGACTAAGCACCACTGGAGCGGAACTAGTACATGATTTCGACTCCATCTTTGATGCCATCTTTGATGGGTACGAATGGGTACGAAGGAATCAGCACTGCCGGTCGTGGCAGACAAAACCCGGCGTGCTCTTGTTGCTATACCGCGATCAGATGCGGGAGGGGGTGTGACTTTAGCATCGATAGACGGTGCGCCCAGGATATGTATAACCAGGCGCGCCATTGAACCCGAATTGGTAGGGAAAAGTTCAAGATCCGAGGGAATGTGCTGTGGCGCGGCAGATGCTTTAGCCGCTCGGGTAGCTTCTCCCGCCGCGACAACCGGTTCGCACCGTCTCCGCGTCGGAGCCGTGGGGTAGCACGAGAACTTCTCTTGATGTATACGCCCAGGCTCACCAGATTACCCCGGTCTACTATCTTGCTTTGGAACAAACACCAGGCCCGCACCATGCGTCTGCCTTATGCCCCCTCCACCCCCCCGGCCGATGCGCCTGCCGAGACCGCGGACATCTATACCCGCATCGCGGCGCGTAGGAATCCGCGTCCCTTGATTCCCCTCGATCTGTCTCTGTTGCACAGCCCACCGGTCGCCGACGGCTGGAACAGCTTTCTCGGAGCAATCCGCACCCGCACCATTGTCGACATCGGAATCCTCGAACTGGCAGTGTGTCGCGTGGCCGTGCTCAATCACGCTGTATATGAGTGGAACGCTCATGCGCCGCTGGCTTTAAAGGGGGGAATCAAGCCAGAAGAACTCCAGGCTGCTCGTACTTTGCCCTCGACAACCGAGGGGGACCTCGCCCAACTAGAGAGCAGTGCACTCACCCCGCGGCAGCGTGCGGTCCTGCGCTACACCGACCAAATGACCGTTTCGATCAAAGTCCAGGATGATGTGTTTGCGCAGCTTCAGACCGTCGGTTTCAACGACCGAGAGATCGTCGAGCTCACGACCGGCATTGCCGGATACAACTGCGTGAGCCGTTTCCTGGTCGCCCTAGATGTGGGCGAGAATAATGACCGTGAAATGAAGAGCGTCGAAGAATTGGCCGCTCTGCAGTGATGAATCAAGAAGGGTACCCGTTTGCTGCCGGGGAGAAAGGGGACTCTATGTACATATCCTCCCAGAGTTTGGGAGACTTTGACTGTACATAGAGGAGGCCTGTTCTCGCTTCTAGTCCCCACCACATGATTTATGAACCCTTTAGATCCTTTTACAACTAGAATATGAGGACCTAGGTAAAGGGCCGCTTTGACGCCAGAAATCGCTACGTTTCCACCAGTAATTTTGGTCGTCCAGTAGCCCCCTGTCCACCTACGGCCCTGTAACATAACTATTCTACACCCGCCTAGCACTACCTGGTTATTCTCCGGTCCCATTGCTATTCCTGATACCCTCCTCTTCTTACTTATCGCTATTATCTACGCCCTAAATCGAGCTTAATATTATCGTTTCCTATAATATAATCTCTTTACCCTAGTCTGTATATCTTACCTCCCCTATAATATCTACGCCTATATCTTTAGCTTGGGCCGATAAGTACTGATAAGACTAATCCTAATCTTTACAAGGAGGTTCAAGCTAGACTGGAATGTTACTATTGTCTTAGATAGCTCCCTCCAAAGTTTCAGCAGCTGGCATTTATGAAATACAGATTCAACCAGACACAGATCTTTGGCTGGGGTTGAGATTTTCTGTCATGAGGAAGGGTACTTGCGAGTACAATGGAACTGTCTCTTGTCAAAGGCAAAGATGACACATACCCCCCAGATAAGCCCAAGCTTGATGTGCCCCCTCATTTCAGGCCATGGGCGCCCGGCAATTCGTTCCGAGCCTTGTCCTATAACAACGCGGAGCTCGATATCCAGCAGGAGCCCACTTGGCCTGAACAGGGTCTACCAATTTAAATTGTGGGGACACCAACAGGAGCATCAAGGAGATATTCTCAGCGAATATGAACAGGCAGTTCGGATCCGCGGGTTTTTTTGGTCGCGGCATAGTCCGAGAGGTACCGAGAATAATGCGTACATGCGGGGGAAGCCCAAACACGTTCCAAGAAAGGTGTAGAATCAAGGCTATACCGCTCAACAATATGTTTGAGACCAGGTCAAATGACCGCGTCCTCCCGAGCATGCATGAAAATTAATATTTCTTCATGTACCGAGGAACGGTTGGTGGCTTACGTCGGCGGAGGTTTTCTCCGCGTGGCGTCCCCTGCATGACTCCATGAACTCGGCAAGACATTGCAGGCTAATGCAGGGATGCGCCACAAGTCTCTGTTCGATCCGGGGTATGCCGTGCGAGGATAAATCTTTTTCTGGGCCATTTGGCACCTTAGCGCTGATTGCGGATTGTGGCTTGCGGTATTGCTCGGTGGAAATGAAAACGCTTAGACCGACTTTCCACGACGAGGAAAAAGAATATGTACCCAACATATCGAGGACTTGGACCAAGCATTGAGTTTTCTTAATTGCCGATAATCATGCTTAAGTAAAACTCACGATCCAAGAACGCCTATTTCCGAAACGAATTTGAATCGAAGGTCTAATTGAAATGAGAGAAGTGACGCACGAGGGGAAAATTGGAGCGAGTAGAGCCTTCATAATTCAATTGACTGGAGCGACTGGATAATCTTCAACTAAAGTTCCCCTGACATCCGCTGGAAGTAACAAACATCGAGATGTTTTAACTATCAACTTCCAATTTGCCTTCTTTCAAACTCATCCTGTCGGACATGACCATCTACAAGCACTGGGAGTAGTAATCGTTCTGCTTAGTGCAGGTGTACGGGCTGACACAAGTGGTTGCGCCAGTCCAGCCGATACCGCCACACTGGGCGTAGTGAGCAGCACCAGTGCTGCCTGAACCAGTCGAGGTGGTCGTGCTTGTTGTCTTTGAGGTTGTAGTTGTCTTCGAGGTCGTAGTCGTCGTGGTGGTAGTACTCGACGTCTTTGTGCTTGCCGTGGTCGTGGTCTTGGTCGTGCTGGAGCTGGAGCTGGAGCTGGAGCTGCCCGAGTTGAAGGTGGATCCAAGCGGACCAACCTTAATATTCGAGTAGATGACATACGCATTCGCATCATTGGCCTCCACATCTGCGGGGACACCAGATGAGATATCACAACTGCCGCGTGCAGCCCCGGGGGTGGTCGAGGAGTCGGTGGTCGGGTAAGTGCTGTCAAGCCAAAGCATGTTGGAGTTGTGATCATCCCAGAGACTCATGACTAAAACCATGCCATCTGCAAGTGCGGCGCCCATGCCCTCCAAGCCTCCATGGGTAGTGAAGACATCTTCATCCCCAAAGGCTTTCTTTTGAGCTGTGCAGAAATCCGAGGTGATCGAGTTGCCACTCACACCACTGATAGTGGACTGAGACTGTGGAATCACCTTTCCGTTCTGAACATAGAAGCGTTTGATTTCGCTCAGGGCGCCCGTACTGGTACCATCGTCCGTAATGAACTGAGTCACCACAGTGAAGGGAGAAGTAGTATCAACAATCATACTCGGTCCGAAGAACGAATGGTTACCCATGCGGTAGGGGTTGAAGTCACATCCATCCGGGTCACAAGTACCGCCATAGCGATCGGCGCTGTATGTGCCACCGCAGGCATCTCCTCACACATGACCTGAGTGGGAGTATCGCACGGATGAGGAGTCACGGCATTCGAGATGGAGTTGGCTTCCCAAATATCCATCTCTGCGCAACAGGAGCCATGGTTACCAATGCCAGAATTGACATCGTTGGTCGATGGCACCCACCCCTCAACATTAGCTTGGCCGTCGATGAATTTCAGGTCTCGTGGGCACTGAGAGTCGCAGTATCCGGTTCCGTATTTGGCACCAGCCTTGTTTGTGGGGAATCGGGCCATACCACCATCCGAATCCATTGCCACGAAGTAAAGGGCGCCATTCAGACCGCATGGGAGATTGGAGACATCCACATCAAAAGTGAATTCTTGACCCAGCAGATCAAACATCTCATAGGTACTCTCATCCTCCATCAAGTACAGACGGGAGCCAATGTTCTTGCTGGTTGAGGTGGTGACAAAGTTCAATCGCAGCTCGTCACCACTGGTAGTGACGCCGTAAGTTTGTTCGTAGTTGGCACCATCCACAGCGCAGGCAGCCGCGCAGGTCACATCGTCTGGACAGATCGAGGTGTCCCACTTATTGCCCGTATAGCAGTTGGTGTAGCCGTTCACAGTATGGACCCAACGCCAGTTCGCGTCGACAACGACCTGACCGGTCACTGTAGAGCAACTACCACCGCTGGTGCATTTGGACCAGGTCAAGGATGGGTGTGTTTCGGCTTGCTGAGTGCCCACTTGCTGGGCCCGAGCAGCGGTCAAGAGGGCAGAGAAGAGAAGAGCATTCTTGTAAACTCGGTAGGAGAGAGCAGCAGCCATTTTGAATTGAGTACTGTGCAATTCGAGCTTTGCTTTGGAATTGTGTGATACTTGGAACGATTGTTGGGAGATGTTGATGGTCAACAGCGGAGCCCCTTTTATACCAATTTCAAGACGAAGCTGCGATTTGGAAACATGGGCAAAGCTCATACTACGCGGACTAACGGTCCGTAAACCCGTGATACAAGAGTATGAAGTTATTCCTAACTCAGAAAGGCATTGAACACTCCGCGGACACGGAAGCAATTCCCACACCCCACGGGCATACTCCCAGGCCAGATGAGATCAATCTCTGCACCGGCACACGGCTCCCCCATACTTCACAACGAGCTAGCGTTGAGGTCTGTGCTCACTTGCAACCCTTTTCAAGGTAGCTCAGACCCCGCACTAGAGTGGCCATTGTCCTGCATTGACTTTGCCCGGCGGCTAAATGGGGTTTCATGGCCCCCAGCCTAATCCGTGAGAGATCCGATGATACGGGCGAATTCTGCATGATCCGTGCCAAGATCATCAAATGCCCGAGTTCCGCAAGCTGTCGTAGGTAATTACACCCTAGTTCGTTGACCTGCAGGAGTGGGCGCGTTAGCGTGGCAGGTGATGCAGTGGAAGGGGGGAAAGGGGGCCGATGAAGTGTTTTCTAGTTTCTTCAGGGGGTGTTTGATCCAATGTTGAGGAAAAACAAAAAAGCCAAGAAACAAAGAAAACAAATGTTTCGAAGAGACTTCCAACATTAGGTCTGATCCGGAGCTACCGAGAAGGGAAACCAGAGCATAGTACGCTTAAACCACTTAAGCTCGAGAAAAACAACGTGCGGAGTGGGGCCTGGATGAGTCATCGCCGCGATCGGCGGGTTCGTGGGATGGCGGGATGGGATTTTCGGTTGCGTGGATTTATCCTCCATTGCGAATTGTCAATTACCCGAGGGATTCAACACCCACCCTTTGCTCAATTTCAACATGGCTCCCAGCTTTATTCTGACCCTTTCGGGCCCCGATCGCCCCGGCATCGTCCACGCCGTGACGGCCTTCCTCGTCCAGCACAACCTGAACATCATTGATTCGTCGCAATTCGGCGATTCCACCTCTCAGCGCTTCTTCATGCGAATGCAGTTTGCGCCCGCGACTAGTACCGAGGATGCGCCTGATCTTGAGAAATTGCAGGCCGCCTTTGAGCCTACCGCCAAGTCCTTTTCGATGGACTTTGAGATCCATCCCACCACCCAGAAGCCTCGCGTGCTCATTATGGTCTCCAAAATCGGTCACTGTCTCAACGATCTCCTTTTCCGCCAGTCCAATGGTCAGCTGAACATTGAGGTGCCTCTGATCATCTCTAACCACCCCGACTTTGCGACTCTCGCGGCCACCTACAATATCCCCTTCCTCCACCTCCCCGTCACTGCCGATACCAAGGCCCAGCAGGAAGCCAAGGTGTTGGAGTTGGTGCGTGAACACAACATTGACCTGGTGGTCCTGGCTCGCTACATGCAGGTCCTGTCTCCCAAGCTGTGCGAGGCCATGTCTGGGCGCATCATCAACATTCACCACAGCTTCCTGCCTTCCTTCAAGGGCGCCAAGCCCTACCACCAGGCCCACGATCGCGGCGTGAAGATCATTGGCGCCACCGCCCACTTCGTCACCAGTGATCTTGACGAGGGCCCTATCATCGAGCAGAACGTCACTCGGGTCAACCACGGTTTGAGCCCCAAGGAGCTCACTCACGCCGGTAGCAACGTTGAAAGCAACGTGCTCGCCACGGCTGTCAAGTATGTTTCCGAGCGCCGAGTTCTGCTCAATGGACACAAGACTGTTGTGTTCAACTAACCTTAATCGAATATCGATCTGCATATGTACACAGAAGTGACCGTCGCGCGGACGGCGTCTGGCTTGGTATTTCGTGGTTTCAAAATTATGTATAAACATTTTGGGACAATTGAAGGCGAAAATAGATAGTTTGCAGGCCAAACAAGTCCTAGGTTTTTGTAACTCTCTCGACTTTGACGACGCATAGTACCTTCCATTGATTTCCAACAGCAAGTGCTGCTTCTCCAACCGACATTTTGAAGGTGGCTTTATTGAGTATTATCGTTTAGAATGCTGGAAATTGCCAGTCTGTCAGCAGTCAAGCACGCGTGCATAGTCAGTTGTCACAATCGATGCGTCCTTCAAAAAGTGCTCTTCTCACGAGTACTTAGAAATATAGAATCCCTCCGTATCGTAATACCACGTTCAAAATCCGGGCCTTCTTATCAGGTATAGATATCTCCCCGTCGCTAAAGTCATTCAGGGGCTCTGAGATCGGTGTGTGATTAGCCTCGGATCGATGCCGGACTAGGTTATTCGGTCTTTGTGCCTTGTACATGATAATTTGGCTCCCCCCCTTTTTTTTCGTGCCCCCCCAACAGCGCAAACCCCACCTGGCGATGAAAATGCGCCCCAGCAATAGCCAAATTCTCCTCTTTGGCCCAAATCTTCCCTAATTGTTTGTCTTACAGCTATTCCCGCCCAACATGCCAGTATTCTCCAAAGCTCCAGAAAATCGTGTTATTGAGGCGTGCGAAGCCGCCCGTGCCCAAGAAAAGCCGAATTTATCAAAGATCGCGCGGGAATTTGGTGTTTCGTATGAGGTGCTGCGGGGACGCGTCCGCCAGGGTAAACAGGCCCGTACTGCCCAAAAACCCGTGAATAAAGTACTTCAGGAGGATCAGGAGGGAGCTCTGACTCAGTGGCTATGTAATATGCGTGATCGTTATTTGCCAGTGACCCCTGCGTTGCTAGAACAAATGGCCAACCTCGCGCTCGAGCGCGCTGGTCTCAGTCGACAGTCTGGCAAGATGTGGGTATATCGCTTTATCAAACGTATCCCTGCAGACCTTCAACTTGCCCCATTGAAGCAGAGGACGAAAGAGCATAAACGGATCCAGGCGGATGATAGTGGAGTACTCGAGCTGTGGTATAACCGATGGAGGAATGTGGTTAAAGATGCAGTGCCGCGGTTGGTATACAACGTCGGTGAATGTGGCTTCTAACCCGCTAGAGGTGAAGCGCAGACAAAGATCGGTGGGCGTACGATATATGTGCCTGGTCTCTGCGAAGCTGACCGTGGCGAGACTATCAGAGCCGTCGAATATATCACTGCCGGTAGTTGGCAGATGGATCTATTGTTTATCTTTAAGGGCTTAATATTTGTAGAGACCTAGTATCGGGACACCGAAGCTCTTTCACTGCGATCGCTCGCGGATATATCTCCAAATGGCTGGATCTCTGATGAATTAGCTCTTAAATAGCTTCAGCGCTTTCATAGTGCGACAAATAGCTGCGACCGTACGCAGAGAGGCGAGAATCGTATCTTGCCGTTCGATGCCTATGGTTAAAAGAGTTTTTGCAGAGATGCGAAGATTACAATATTATTTGCTTCGCTTTCGAGCCTTGTTCGACTCACCTCTGTCAACCTCTCGATAGCAAGCTATTCCTCAGCTATAAACAGCAGTTTTACAATATGAAAAACAAGCTTACGCTCCTGAAGGGGCAGCCGGTAGGAAGGGCTGACTTCCTCTGCTGCTTCGCCGACGTGCGACGACGAGCCTTCAACGCACAAATGATTCGTGATTCCTTCGAAGAACGCGGTATCTGGCCACCAGATGGCTCGCATATTGTTGAGAAGCTTTTAAATAGCCAGAGAGTGCTACCAGAGACCTCGGCGCCTGATTTTTGTACTTACGGGGAAACAACATTTCCACTGCCGCCGACATCCTCAAGCGTCGTGAATTTGCCTCCAAACCACATTCACAATCAAGCACCCGAAAGGAACCACAAGAAGCGATCGAAGACAGACAAATTCTCCCCGAAGCAGCGGCGAAGCCTACTACGTATTTTCCAACACAACAAGGTCATCGCGAAGCACGCAGCTCTCGCGAACAGAATAATCCGCCAAATGTTGGCCCCTCGCGCCCCTCTCCTGCGAAAGTACAGTAAGCGACATATAAAATATTTTGGCTTTGACCGATTGCTTTCCCCACGAGACATCAATCGATCCACTGAGGACAGGAAGACAAAATGATGCCATTGGGCAAAAAAGGCGGCTGGAGAGACTACACACGAAAGTCTTTGGTAAACCGCCACCAAGACAGCCAACGCAAGAGCATGAGGCATCAATTGAAGCAACAGAGACTGCTGCACAGGCTAATAAGCGCCCTCAATTCGATTCGCATCCGGTTTTTTTGATATATAGCGAGAATAGCATCAACTTTGGGCTACGGGTGAGAATTGGGCTATCGCGTAGGCGCACTCTTACAGCTAGGCTGGGGGTGCTATTACGAAGATAACTCTTGCCGATCGAAAACTTCTTTGAGAGAGAGTGACTCCGCTGCGAATACTTTTTGTTTGCTGTATGCGTTTGTAGGACATTTCCCGGGTTCAAATTCTTTGCTTCTCAGTCTCGGTGGTAGTGACCTGCCTCTTTGTCCAGAAGCGTTATAGTTTCGCAGTCATTGCCTTGTCAGTCATTTTATTATGGCGACACTGAAGGGGGCTTAATCCATTTTGGCCTCGATAAAAATGTCTAGTAGCGATTTAATCGAGGCAATCTCGAGGCCTGTCATCTAATCATCCTCCCTTGCGGTCTATTACGAGCAAAGCAACTTGTCATTGTCGGCATTATTAAAGATTCAAGCCCAATCTCCGGTCTTCGCATTCCAGAGCTGTATTTCGACAATATGGAACATATTGACTTTCGGATCCTGATCATCCGAGATCTTATTCGAGTCCGCAACGTCCCAGAGACTCTGCTCGAAGCGGGCTTTTTTACACTCGCATGAACCTACAAGACCTATATGTCGCCGGCGGTCCGGACGGATCCTGGCAAGGTACACTCGATGGCAAGTTGCGTTTCTTCTTCGGGTTGGAATCAAGAAGCACTGAACCACTTGCTAGTCGCTCTACACTCGCTCGAGTCTGCCAAGGCCGACCTCTCGTGGGACCGGCCGGGCGGGGACTTGCAATTGACAAAATCCCGATCGGGCACGTTCGGGACAAATGTCAAGAATTTGGGCGGAATCACTAGTCTTCTCCAAGGGCAAAAGCGATAGTTCGTAAATCGGCCATGGCCCAGTCCATGGTAGTTCCTCTGACATACCCGGCGGCAGATGGAACTCTGCCGGGAAAGGTTCCAGTGTTTGGTCCCCACCCGTGCCCCATAGTTGACGTCAGATAGGGTGAACTCCCTGAGAGTCATGGGCTTTGCCTGCGAAGTCGTCATTCGACTCCCAGCTGAATGAGGGGCAGCTGCTCCGCTTCATCATCAGGTAACTTCGCCGCATCGGCCCAAAAACCACGATTATTAAAAGCACTTCAAGCGTCGCAGGTAGTCTTGGTCATGTGGAAATCGTTGAGACACCGAGCAGTGTCGTGAGTCCGAGCCCAGTCTGGATTTGTACCTAGTGGACCGGACTCTGAATGCGCCTTAGAAACCAGCAGTTCAGAAAGCTCATTCCGGCAGAGGAAGGCTGGAACACATCGTAACCTAGGTATAACCACGGCGATCCACCGTAAGAACCGAAGTGGGAGAGGCCTGAGGTTCGCAACCCCTCACTCTTCTCTACCTGCAACCTCTAGACAAGCTAGACAACCATGGAGACCATCGCACCCCCGCCGAAATTGAGCCACCTCTTCACTCTGCGCTGTGCGGTTGATCCGCCGATGGAGATAGGCCATGGTCCTTATGGTCGTCGGCGGTGTGTGCCGATCAAGTCGGGTACTGTTCGTGGGCCGCACTTCAACGGGGAAGTTGTGCCGGGAGGAGCAGATTTTATGTAGGTCCTGCGAAAGACTTGTTAGAAAGAGTCTAATGCGTTTCTAGGTTGGTGGAAGAAGACCAGACGACGCACGTGAATACCAACTATGTGATCAAAAGTGACGATGGGGCATACCTGTACATTCGGTAAGACGCGATATCCTTTCCCCTCCTAGTTGAATTTCCCACTGACGGGCATGGCCAGTACGGAAGGGACTCGAGCCGGACCTCCCGAGGTCCTCAAAGCCTTGATGGAAGGCGGACCTGTTGACCCCAGCCAGTACTGGTTTCATCTTCACGTCAAGATCGAGACCGGCCACGAGAAGTACAAATGGATGAATGATCGGGTCATCATTGGGCGGGCTACCCGAGCACAGGGGGGAGGTTGCGTACGATGCGTATTTCTTGAAGAATGGCCCCTGAGGCAGACATTCCTCTGGTCCCTGGGTGCTTTTCATGCCCGGGATCATTAAAGGAGGTCTATATACATTACAGCGAAATTATACAAAGGCTCCAAGACATAAGATTACACCGGAAATCGCTGGAGCAGCAGCTCGGCAAGATTGACGTAGACGCCCCGTGTCACGTCTTGCTGGACCAAAATCTGATCAGCCAGTTCGTTGGCCCAGAGGTACTCCGAATGGAAATCCCGAAATTCGAACAGGCGTTGGCGGCACCACGCCTGTTGGGTAAAATCATCCGTTTCGATAATGGCCATCAATAGAGGCCAGTGCAAACGGCGCAATAGTCTTGGATCAGATGCGAATTGTTTTCGGGCAATGTCCACAATACCAGCCGTGGCTTGTCGGTGGATGGCCGAGGCAGACTGTCTGCACGGAGCAGCCGGCGGTGGAGGATGATCTGTGCATAGAAAGTACAGACAGCCATATAAATGGTGTTGAGCGTACGCCGAGCAGAGACGGTACCGGCAAACTTTGCAGTAATGAAGAGATCGGAGTATTTCTACACCCAAGTCAGCAAGCCAAAATAAAGCAGAGGACTGACACCAAAAACACGTACATCACGAGTAGCCATCATATCCCGGAAGAGTGACTCTTCAGATTCGGGTCCAGCCCCAGAATCCACAAGCACCTTCCAAGTTCGATAGCGCATATCGAAACCACTATGTAACAGTTCCAGTGCTCGATAGTTTTCAAGGTCATCCAGCACCTCCTGATCTGGATACTGCTCACCCCAGAAACAACGACCCCACAGGCGAGCACATCGATGTAAATGATCTGGTTTCAGCGCTGGATTCTTTGATTGCATGACGTAGTCATTCAAGGACTCGGTCAGGCCCATTGGTCGGCAGCTGGAGTCGATATATCTAAGCCAGGTTAGTGATGAACATAGTGTATCAGCCGGGGTCCTCACAATATCCACAGCAGAAACTGTTCTGGAATGAAGGAAACTTTGGAGATAGACCTCTCGTCTGTGGGTGAACTGTCGTCGGTACTCCCGTTAGACAGAAAGACGTCGTTGACATCCTTGAGTCGAAAGAGTTGTGGATGTGACTCCAAAAGTGACCGCACTCCGTGCAAATGAAGCTGGAGATGTCGTACAGAATGGCCGAATTGCCACTCATAGGTGACCATCAAGAACATAGTGGCAAAGATAATTTCCAGCTCTTCGACCGAGACGTGCCGCCGGGGTGTCTCTAGAAGCTGTCGAAACTCCTTCACTGCCAGACTATAATGGTACCTCCCATGGTCCTCGGCCGTTGGACGGCCCGGAGATCGCACTACCAACCCGTGGCGATGCATGTCGCTGGCAGACAGAGCGAGGATCATCCGCATGATCACTTTGTTGTTGGCGGCGGGGCCTTTGTACAAATAGCAGAAGCTGCTCCATTGCCACCCTTTCATGTAATAATAGACAATTGAAGAAGAAGGAAAGTATTGGAAGTACTTTTGGTCATGTTCCGTGAGCGTGAGAGAGTTCGCGCACGCAATATCGTTGGCGCTCAACGGCGGGTAGAGGGGGGTCGGAACTTGGATTGGGGCGATAGGCGGGTAAAAAGGCACGAGTTGCGGATGCTCGAACAGAGCCATGTCCTCCAACCAAGAGACCGGAGATAGACTGGGGAGCAATGCATCTGAGATATCTACAACATCACCGACCTCGGGCGCGGGCGCGGGCCAGATGATCTGATCCGTCGCACCTGGGGCCGGCCGGAGATGTCGGACCTGTGCACCGCGACCACGCTTCACCGGAATCCCCCATTCGCAGCTCAGACGAAGATTTAAACATCGTTGGCAGATTGGGCGCTCTTCCCCGCATTTCACTTTGCGTCGGCGGCAGGTACTGCAACCTGAGTCAAAACCAGAATCGCGTTAGTCTGAGAAACGGATTTGCAAGGCAGAGAGGACCGACCATTCTTCGAGCGCGGCGCGTTACGTCCGGACATGGATACAATCCCCCACCACACTCTCTTGAGGCTATGGCCAGTCTGGCATCCGAATTTCAAGCGGAGGAGCCCCGGGGAGGGTCGATTATATGGAAAGGAAAGAAGAGCGAGAGAACTCAGATAAGAGATAACGCGGGGGCAGGGCCTGAGGCACCCACTCAACTGCCGATGTCGCCGAACCTGACATCACCATCCCCAACACATCTACCCTACGTGTTTTGGTACGCGAATGCCTTTGGAACTGTTACACTATACATTTCGTTTGACATCTAATCCCGTGCAATCTCCTCCTGCCACTGACGGTGTGCCATTTCATACAATCCATCATTTGTGATCATGTCCCACCCGGTCAAGGCGAGCGACTTGCCCACGGTAACAGCCTCTATGTGTGCCTCGTCTGTTCCAGCCGAGGCGGCAAAGTTGGGGTGATGCGGGAAGGTATTGTCCGGAGTCGGAATTCCAAACATCGTGTGCAGTGTGGGTGTCACGTAACTGACGTTTCCTATCGAGAATTGTCAATTATGCTGGGATCATGTTCAAATTGGCATCGCTTACCAATATCTGATGAGGCCGTCAACACCTTGTCGTGGCGCTTCAGTACCTTTCGGCCATATCCGCCCATATGGACTTGATATCGTTCGCAAAGAGTATCGTTAAGTCGCACATCAGTGTAGAGCTCCTCTCTGAAATCAGATCGCGTTAGTGACAGCGCTGGGAGAGGAATAAGGAATACGAAAAACACTTACTCCTGAATGGCCACCTGACAGCCCGTCGCCAGCGCGCCGGCCTCGATACAGTTGCGTACTTTGGCCACGAGGAGTTTCAGACCCTTGAGCGACGGACTCCGAACCTGCCAAAAGGCCGTGGTACGCTCCGGGATCACATTGGCCACTTTCGGGGTGTCCATGAACGCGCAGTGAATCCGTTGTTCGGGTAGAAGCTGTTGCCGTAGCATGGCAACATTGTTATAGGACGTCACCAACGCATCCAGTGCATTGATTCCGTCCCAGGGGTTGCCGCCTGCATGTGCACTTTTCCCTGTGAACTGACACTGAATGTTCATACGAGCATTCATCAGGGTTCCAGCGATTCCATCAGCAGGCCCCTGGTCTGGGAAGACTTTCTTGGGACCACCATGGCTGTGTTCAATCAGCATCTTACACTAAATGGTCGGAAATGCAATCCGGGCTTCAACATACGCCATGAGAGAAATATCCACGTTTTTATATGCCCCCGCGTCGATAAGTTTCGCCTTTCCACCTCCGTTCTCCTCGGCTGGGGTGCCTAGCAACTGTGTTCGGCCCGGAATCCCATATTTTTTCAATGTAAAGGAAAGGGCGAGGAAGGCGGCGATACTGCTGGTGGCGATGAGATTGTGGCCGCAAGCATGTCCGATGCCGGGGAGTGCGTCGTATTCCGCATTGAAATTGATCAATCTTCCACCCGACCCACTCAATGCCTCAAACGATGTATCTAGACCATACGCGTGGCGTGTGACGGTGAATCCCTGTTTCTCGAGGAAATTGCAAATGGTATCGTGAGCGTAGTGCTCCTCGTAGGCAAGCTCGGGGTGAGACCAAATCTATCACGCACACCGTTGATCAGTTGTCGGTAACTCGCAATCCTTGGAAAAACCCAAGCTTTAGATCGGAAAATTTACCTCGCGATTTATTTCGCGCAGAGAATTCTCGAGCGTTGCCAGAGCCGCATCTACTGACGCCCGTACGTCGTCTGTTTGCACCGTCGACAGCGTCATAGTTTGATGCAGAGGATGCGATGAAAAGGTTCTGGTAGGAGTGAACGTGGGTTTGTGGCGCTTGGGGGAAAAGACTGCTTTTGCCTTGATAGGATTTGAAGGGAGGGACTGCTATCTTGTGTCCCATTCGAGACCTCGCATCTGTCCTACAGTCTTCTACCTTCTATCCGCTGGCCTCCGCCTGAAATTTGCCGACGATCCACTAAGATCAGAGGGTCGCGATAAGCGATACGATGGGTGCGGAGATTCCAAGTTCTGACAAACGCATAGACGATAACTCGGCACTTTGAGGATCGTCCTCCCCGCAATTGTAACCGTGGGGAAACTACGGCCAACCCACGACGGACACCAGGTTGCTAATTACGTCGAGTCAGCTACCCATGCAGATGGGGAAGTGGATTTGCCGATGGGAGGTCTGGGGTGGATTGCCGAGGGGATCCTCGCATTGGCTGATCTGCCGACGCCGAGCTCTAATCAAAGCCCGTCAGGTACGAGGTTATCAAGATGAAAGCCAAACAGGAGGTGACTGAAAGGTCAGTCTGAGGGGAAAATTTGCCCTGCAACTGCCGACCATATCAACCGCGACGTAACGCAACGATCTGATCGTCCTGCGGCGTATGTTATCGCTGGGGATTGGCAGATAGGCGACGACGGCCTTCGTATGTGTCATGACTGAGCATTAAGTTTGCCCAGTCGGGGGCGACGTTTGGATTCGTGATAATTCGCATACTGCCACCAAGCTTGTCCTCGCTGGTCATATATTGCAACATCCTGCGCACTTTCAGAGATACTCATCAACTTATAAGTTATCAACAAACTCCTTGATTCTCTTGAAAGAAAAGTCCCCATCCTCCATCCACCTTTCTGCGTGGCTTTTCGATTATTCAATACATCCATCTCAATATGGAAAAGCAACAGCCTCCCTCAGGAGGCGGTACAGTCGATCTCGATATGCTGAAGATTGATCCTAACCAGCACAATGACTCTCGTGACGTGGATTTCGGCCAAGTGCTGGAAACATATGCAACTCCGAAGATGGAAAGGAAAGTTCTCTGGAAGTTAGACATGTTGTAAGATGAAACCTGGCCGTTACTTTCCTCTTATTGAACCCTGACTCATTCCAATATAGCCTTATCCCTCTCATGGGTTTCTGCTATATGTTGCAATACATGGACAAGCTGACCTTGAGTCAATCAACTCTATTTGGCCTCCGACAGGACTTGGTATCATCTCTCCTTCTTCTCATCCAGTCAAAGAACAAGAATATTTTCTAATAAGACCTTCTCAATTTGCAGCACTTGAAAAATAGAGAATACAATTGGGCATCTGCTGTATTCTACTTTGGATATTTCGCCTGGAGCTGGCCCAGCTCCTATCTGATCGTTCGACTCCCGCTTGGAAAATATTTGAGTCTCGCTGTTTTCATTTGGGGTGGGGTTCTGATGTGTCACGCCGCCTGCACTAATTTCGGTGGCTTGATGGCAGCGAGATTCTTCCTTGGTGTGGGCGAGGCGTCCATTGCCCCCGGGTTCGCTATTATCACGGGCATGTTCTACAAGCGAGAGGAGCAGCCTGCTCGTCAAGCGGCCTGGTTTGCTGGTAACTCAATTGCAACGGTCATTGGCGGAGTCGTTGCATATGGTGTGGGCAAGATCAACATCAGCACTGTTGAGCATTGGCAATTGCTTTTTTTGATTCTCGGTGCAGTAACTGCTGCATACGGCATAGTGCTCTTCGCTTTTCTGCCCAATTCGCCAGCGAAGGTGATTGTGCTGAACAAGACCGAAAGCGCCATAGCCCTGCAACGGACACTGAAAAATAAAACCGGCGTGATGGATAGTGGGAGCTTCAAGTGGAACCAAGTTCTCATGGCCATCAAGGACCCCCAGACCTGGTTTCTGGTTTTATACACTCTCTGCGTCAACTTTTGCAATGGCGGAATTACCAGTTTTTCGTCCATCATCATTCAAGGATTCGGGTACGGTGAGCTCAAGGCCCTGCTTATGCAGATGCCCCTCGGAGCCGCACAGCTGGTCTTTCTCTTTTTGACCTCGGGGTTCGCGACATTTGTTCCTTCATCCCGCATTTGTATGATGATCCTGAACACAAGCGCCTCAATGGTGGGCATGATCCTTATCTGGAAACTCGCCGATGACAACAGCGTGGGTAAAATGGTTGGTCTGTGTTTAGGAGCGGTCTTTGCTGCCAACATCCCCCTATCACTAAGTATCATCAGCTCAAATGTGGCCGGATTCACCAAAAAAAGTACAGTGAGTGCCATGATGTTCGCAGCATACTGTATTGGCAATATCGTGGGTCCTCAATTTTTCATCCCCTCCGAGGACCCGAGCTATCCTGTGAGTGATCCAAATTCTGTTCTATTTCTGCAATAGTTCTCTGAAATTAACGTACAACAGACTGGTATCAAAGCGGCCATGTCAGGATTGATATTGGGTATATTCTTTCTGGTTTGCCTGTACTGCTTTTACATGTGGGAGAATCGCCGTCAAGACCGGCTTTACGGACTGCCAAGAGAGTTGACCGAGGCAGAGGAGCTACAAGACGAGCTGTCCAACAAGACAGATCATGAGATTGAGAGCTTTCGATATGTACTTTAAAACTCCAGATATTATGACCCTACGAATACCCTTACTTCTCAAGTGTCTTTGGCTTTGTTTCGCCGGTATCGCGTCCCATGACAAACCAGCAAGTATTTGGCAAAAAAGTCCTCGGCAAAGTCGTCGAATGGCTCATAAGCGGCCCCTAATTGATACGCAGCCGCGATGCCGGAAATGCAGGCAATCTCGTGCATGTTCTTAGAATTTGAGTTAGCTTATTTCATAGCCTTCACAATGAATAAAGAGAGAGAAGAGCAACTCACCACCATAGTCCAACTTCCTGCAAATAATGTCCGATTATGACCATTGATGAACATCATTCCAGGCACAACACGTAAGTAGTGCTGCCATCGGTGACCGAACTGATGCCACCATTTTCTTCCGATGATTTTAGCCTGATCAATATCATTCCAGGTCCAAAGATCTTGCTGTTGGTCGTTCAGGAATATAGTTTGGAAAACATGCTCATTGAGGGGTAGAGCTGTCTGGCCCTGGCCAAGCTTCTCGCGGAATTGATGCTGATAATTAGTGCAGTCGAATCCCATTTCAATCTTGTCCGGGTCTGAGGCGAATGAATGGGTGTAATACATCGGCCTGTACCCCAACCACCCGTCTTTTTGACAGACAGGCTTCTGCTCGGCAAACTCCAGATGCTCTTTCCGCTCATTTGTGGAAGGTTGGGCACACAAATCTGGATCATATTGAGCCTCAAATATCTTCTGGAAATAATTCGAGTCGGAATGGGTAATAGTAATGTCATTGAAGAATTTGACCCCTCCTAGGACGTATTTCTCACGCCAAGTAGCATGTATTCCGAGAAGTTTCTTTGCTTCGTCTGCGGGACAGCAGAGTACAAGTTCATCAAAAGCCTCGGTCTTCGCTCCGGTACCGTCATGCTTTTGGGTCTGCAAAACAACTCCGTCCTTACCTCGCTCAAGCACCTTGACAGAAGTATTCAATCGAATGTCAATGTGTTTCGAACCAAGATCTGCGGCCCAGTCTTCATAGAACCTTCCCAGTTGAGGGAAGGTGTACATAGTCGGGAGATTTGGCAGTAGCGTGTCTGGGTCATACTCCCATAATTTCATCTGTGGATCGTCGAACAGGCGTTCCAGAAGGACGCTTGACACATTAGGCGTTTGGTTACCTGTCCCTAGAAACAACGCCAGAAGGGGCAAGACCATCTTATTGCTGAAGTCTTTGCTGAAACAGAACAGGCGCAAAACAACCTTGACCGGTAAGATACCGAGGAAAGGCATCATATACTTGATACATTTCAAAACACGGCCAAGCTTTTTGATTTCTCGTGAGTGCCGGTCCACCAGAGGACTTGGGAACACATTGGTCCAGAAACTATCCCGGCCTTTGCCAAAGGATACTTGAAGTTTGACCGGTTGAGGCTCGTAGCCGTAGCGACGAAAGAAGCGAAACGTATGTCTGAAGATGGCCGATCCACCCTGGACACCGTCATTGAGCCAGCTTGCGCCGTACTTGGACTCGTCGAGAGTGATCGAGGTTGCTTGGCCTCCGGTATGGGAATCAATATCGATCACCATCACATCAAATTTGTCTGGGTGATTAGCCAGCGTTGCTGCGCATGACTACGATGGAAGTCAGTATGAGAACACTGTCCATTGACTCGACGGCTACGTACCATGCCAGCTGCCCCAGCCCCTATGATAGCGACTTTCTTCCTTGTTTGGCTTGCAGACATCATGAGAAATTATTGTAGATGGATGATAACCAATGGAGCGCTGTGCATTACCCGTGAGGATTATAAATGGTGGTACCCCTAGACGCGTCCAAGGATGCGACGCGATCGCGATCGTGGTGATGGTGATGGTGATGTCAGGTGCGAACATTCTTCACGATGAGCCAATCATCGGCTCAAGACACCGAACACCCCTAGGACGAGAAGATCGTCAATCTGAACTCAATCTATTGAAAAACAAGTTTATCACGATCTGACGACAAGATGATCGACCACTCGTGGCCTATCCGGATGCTCTTGAGATCTCCAGGCAGGGGCCCGGATGGGGTTATAATCCCATAATCCTTGCAAGTCTCAGAAGCATGTATGTGCGTTTGCACGCTTCTCACGTTCGCAGTCATGTAGTGATTGAAAAGGATGTAAATCTTAACATTCTATGGAGTTGTAAGATTCAGAATGATTTTCCTTTCCGATGAGATACTATTATTCAAAGCAGCATGGCCACACATCTCGACGACACAGACATCAAACATACCGTGTAATATCTGGCAACTCTTGGCTTTCCCTTTCCGTTTTAGTGCTCTCCCCTCCCCGTCTTTTGCTCAATGAGTGAAATTGAGCACACCCGCAGTCCAAAGCCGAGCGGGATCTAGAAAAAGTTGACGGGAACGCAAAAAAAAAAGCAATCCTGGGTCCCTGTCAACTCTTAACACCGAGATGCGACCCAACGTTCTGGCTTTTAATTACGCCCTCTGATTTTCAACTTATTTCTAGAAACGAGTCATAACCCCTAGCTTCTTGACCCGAGCTATGTTTCCGGTGTAGGTCCAGGCGTCTTGCACATATGAAAGCATATCTTTGGCTCTTGGTAAGATAGGCCATTCACGTGAGGTCTGTCGATATGACCACGTAATCGTAGGTTAATTTCTGGGGCGTACCCTCCGAGTTGTGACGCATGACTATCTTGAGACCTGAGGGGGAACGTGATCTGGAAGGAGCCGTTGGGCTAACCCAATTTGCGATAGAAATGGTTTTGTTTCGTAGTTGCTTGTTTCCCTCTTTCTCTCTTCTTCTTCTCTCCAGTTTAGTTGCTCTATTAGTGATACGTGAATTCCTCCTCGCCTTGGTTGGTAACACGAGTCACATAAAGATATCTCTTAAGACTGGAAGTCGATGTCCGCGACCTTCGCCTGAGTGAAAGTCAAATCAGATCGATCTAACTTGGCAAATCCCATCTACGTTTCCCACAGCCTATTCATTTGGGCAGGTGCGACGTGGGCTAAAGGAGCTCCGACGCTGTGAACTGGTGGTAACGGAAGATTTTATCATTGGCAATAATGGAAAGGACTACATGCTATTGTGATTTGCAGCTTTTCAGGCGAGCCTTATTCACATTCTCCCACTTGATAGTAGCAAATCTTATGTTAGAGCTATAGAATATCCGCCCATGGGAATGCCGTCGGAGATAGCCATTGCTCACACGAAACCTTGAACATAACTTGTTCCAGGTCCTCTGAGAGAGCCCACGTATCTGGAGGATATCCACCACATTCTTCTCCTGTATACTTAGCCATAGGCTGGAAACTCGGTTCCTCAGAACTGCCGATTCCCGGCGTAGCTGACTGTTGCCCAGATGACAAGCCAGGCTGGTAAACCTCCCCAGTAACTAAGGGAGACAAAATTTGGTATGCGCGATCGCAAATCTCACTGAACGGAGTTGCTTCTTTGAACCTTGTCAAGCAGCTTTGTACAGCTTGAATGATAGCCTGCTCTGGTAAAGCGCCTTCTTCGGTCTGGCCTAGCAAGATCATCAAAGTGGTCATTGCGAAGAAGGCATGAAATGCTCCAATGCCATGTGTATACCAGCTGTAAGATCTGAACTCCTGCAAAGTATGGAGATTTTCGTAATTAGAAATGATGAGACAAGCCGCCTGCTCACATCGCTCCCAGCTGATGCTTGTGTTCTCAAGACTCATGGGGTCCTGAGTAGCAAGACTTGGTCGATGCAAAAGTAACAGTAGGTGGTTTGTATAGTTATTCAGAATGTATGAGTGTGCCCGATGGTACACTGGAAGATTGGAGTGCCCACCAAAGCGCTTATTCTGCTCTCTCATCTCGGCATGAAGTCGTTCGTCCAGATTGCGAATGTGGCTGAACTGAGGCCATGAGGACTGAGCTGAAGCCAAACGACAGATGTCAGATGCAATTTTGTAAAGCCTAAATTTGAAGAGAATATAAGACATTTTGGTGGGCGGTCTGTTCTCCGCCTGTATGTCGACAATGTCCATGTCGTCCAGAGAAAATGACTGGGACGTTATGTCTTCATCTTCCATATCTAATGGAAGTCGCACATCGTTATTGATATCAAATGGAGCTATGTTGCCTAGGCAAGTGTTTTGAATGGTGAACAACATCATCAGACCGGCCCAAGCTCGCCGTCTCTCTTCGGCTTCAACAAAGGTCACGTTCAGCCGAGCAGGATCAACATGACACCCGATTGCCACGGCAATGTTGAGCGTTGTTCCAAGTAATGACCACGCTGGACCCTGAGCGTGGTTGATAGCGTAGATAAGAAAAACAAGACATTGCAATGTGTACAAATTGTGCTGCCACAAGAAGTCATCTGCTGCTAGACATTTCATCGCTGCCGACCGATATTTTAGTGCTAGTGATTTGGCATTCGCTGCCGATGAGCCCCCCCCTCCCAAGTCCGATAATAGGGGGTCTTCTGGACGGAGTGCGGTTATAGCAAGTGCCAATGTCACAAAGAGAAGACCGATGAAAGCTTTGGGAGCAGCTTGGCGATTTTTTTTGAACTCGAAATATGCGCATTGAAATCTGGGCTCAACCACGATGTGGAAAAGAGGAGAAAAGACTTGCAGAAATACAGTAAGGAGCTCGTCACATTGGCGCGATGGTGGGAAAATATCCAGAATAGCTTGATTGAACCCAGATGTTTCGGAGCCGAAAGGAAAATCCGATGTGCTTCCTGAGGGAACAGGATTCTGAAACCGATCCAGGAGATCCGCGTCGTTCCTGGAGTTGGAAGGAACATAGCGAATGTGGCCTGTAGAAGAGGTGATAATGCTACCCGCCGAATTTTGTTGAGACTTAGGGGGATCATATGGCTGACCAAGACTAGCGCTTGGGATTGACGTGGGTGTCCGGGAAGACGTATTCTGTTGCACAGAAAGATCAATCTGCGCATCAGCCGATTGCGAGGTGATGTTTTGTTGCAAGGTAATCGAGGTGGCCGTTAGGTCAATGTTTTGCTGTAACAACTCCTCCAAGTTCGAGATTCGCTGAAGGAGATCATCATGAGAGTTTTCTGGACCTGAATTCGGGAGAAGGTCGCGTTTAAAATGACACGTAAGTGCTACCCCGCGTCTTTGACAGGTGACACATGGAACACCTGAGCCTAGACAGCGAATTTTTCTCTGGCGACAATTTTCACAGCTGAGAGGGAGTCGCTTCACCATGCCTGCAACAATGACTCGTTGGATTGCCCGATCAGAATTGTACTTGGGTAGATTTGCAAAATTAGACAAGACGATGAATGAGGGAATAACATAAGGGAAAATGGGCGCGGTCCAAGGTTTTCTGCGTTCCCGCCCCAGGTATCAATGCTGATCCGGAATTCCGACGCTCCATATATAGTTTGGTCGGATGCGGGGTAAAGCCCCAGCATCATGAGATCTATTTCATTCATGTGTAGGGTAATCTTCCCCAGCGTTAATAATTAAATGTTCCTAGCACTCTGAGCTACCATATCACACAGTCATTGCAGCACCTGCCTGAGGCTTTTGGCAAAGTATTTCTATTCCTAAGTGGTGGAAGAGCTACTAGGGCTAAAGGCGCTATCTTGAATGCTGTCCATGTGAACACTTCACAGTGACTGACGAGATAAAGCTTCAAAGCTGCTCTCATTGTACTTTAGTTATCAGAGACGATAAATCAAAGGAACTGATAATAAATCTTGCTTTGGAATATAAGGTTGTGCGCAGCGAATTACTATCGCTTGCGTCAACGGAAAGGTCGCGGTATAGTTGATCACGATAATTCAGTTGTAAGAAATAGGAGAAAAGGGGTAAATGGAGCATTCAGTCGCTAGACTGCTTCCTTCGTAGATATTTTGAGATTTTGGAATGGCGATATCAATTGTGGAAAAATTAGAGAAGTGATAAAGCGAGAAAAAAATGGACACAGGAAGAAAATAATCTCATTGCAAATTGCTGTATGTTTAAGAAACAATAGGGCGTTGTACTTGCATCTGAACCATTTCATTCGTTATAGAATGAATGCCAGTCAAATCCTGCGTGGGAATGACGTACTCTTTAACTTCTGCCTTATGGACCCTCCCATTGATTATTATGACATGAAGAAGATCGTGATCCTGCAGTATAGTTATATCCTTCAGTGGGTTTCCATCGACCACTAGGCAGTCTGCGTAGTTGCCAACTTTGATCTGACCCATTTCGTGGGAGCGCATGAACAACTTAGCCATACCATAGGTTGCTGCAATGATAGACTCATGCGGTGTGAAGCCAAAACGCTCCACGAAATGAGCGAGGTCACGCGCGTAAGTGCCGTGTGGTGTCCAGGCAAATCCGTAGTCACTTGGATCGATGTCAGAAAATCCACTTGATACCTGTAACCGCTCTTCAGACTTACCCCCCTGGGAGGATCACGATTCCCCTCCGATGCATCTCTCGCATGGCAAGATCGGCAGCATCGAGCTCCCTCTTGTAGCCTACCTGCTCAGCCTTCTCAGTGGAGTAACCGAACATGGCCGCATCATAGAGCGTAGCAACAAGCCAATTAATGGCAGGTGCCACAATAAGCCGAGACTTCTTCATTTCAAGTGAATTCATGCCTGTCTAAGTCAGCAAGGTGCGATGAGCACTCAAATCACAGGCAAATTACCTTTTTCGTCAATGAAGGATGCATGATAGATAACGTCAACTCCAAAATCTATTGATTGCTGGACAGAGTCTCGGGCTCGTGCATGTGAGCATACCCGTTTATTCAATTTGTGGGCCTCGTCAACACATGCTGCTGTCTCCTCTGGGGTGTAGTAGCACACCTCTGCATCTCGGGTCTCCGTGATCTGACAGCATTACGTTAGCACTGAGCACTTATGAGGTTCTATGATTGCCCTACTGATTCTCCGGACATTGAAAGCTTTACTTGATCGACTCCGAGCTCGATATGTTCACGGATACTAATGTCGTGTCAGCAAGGTCCAAGTCCTTCATGTCATGTGCCGTACACTTCACGCATTTCCTCGGGTCCATCAGCGTACGCAGTGATCCCTCCGACTAGCTCGCCTCCTCTTCGTGCCATTTCCTGACCATTAGCCAAGAATCGAGGACCAGGGATATCTCCAGCGTTGATTGCGTCTCGAATCACGATATCCAGGCGTTTCTTAGCAGATGCAGCTCCAAAGCACATAGTGTACCCGGAATCCAGAAAACATTCGGCGCTTCTGGCGGTAAGAAGAGTATGCTCCTCAACACCGAGGTCCCCCAGCTGATCTAGATTGCCGCCATTCCAGGTGAAGTGGGTGTGGGAATCCCCCAACCCTGGCATCAACGTGCGTCCATTTCCGTAGAAAACTCGGACGCTAGAATCTTCCAGGAGTTTGTCTTTGTTGGGAACCTCGCCCACATGAGCGAATCTCTCGCCTGCAGGAAATCTTCGTCAGCCTGCAGATTCAAGGGAGAGAGTGGTGGAATCTCATACCTACGATGTGGACATCTCCTCTGTAGGGCTCCCGGCCGGTGGCTTCCAGGATCTCAACGTCTAGAATGAGGATTTCCGACGAGGCGCTTGTTCCGGCGATCTCATACTTGACGGGCCGAAGATTGCATTCAAAATCAAGATCATCAATGTATGCGACGTTGCGCGGTGGCCCATCGTATTGGTCAATTGGGTAGTCTTTTGACATCCATGACACTTTAGACATGGTGAATGAGGTGCGCGGGTAGAATTCGTTTTCCAAAAAGAAGGAAAGATGTGCAAGTCAGGTTAAGGCAATGCGAACCTAGCTCATATGTGATTTTAGTCGTGCAGTACTGATTTATACAATTTCCCCACATGGTATGATCTTCTTGGGTCGAGTGGGCGCCAATCAGAGCAATGTACTCCATATTCTTGGATTTACGGTCCGAACTCTTTTTCCCCTTCTCCGCGTTTCCCCGCGATCTAGAGTCCCAACAAGATGGAATCTTGCCCGACCCCTCCTTCGAAGGTCTTGTTACCGCAACTATCAAGGTCATCACAATGGGCTGGCTCAGTCTTCGAAGCCGACTAAATGGGTCTTTTCCACATGTTACAAGCTTCAATACCTCCACTGCACATGTTGAACACATAAAACACGCCGAAGACTTTGAGTATGTTGAAAATGTCAAAGAAATCCACCTCAAGTATTCACTTCAGGACACCTTTGTTCCTGATGCCGATTTGCCCTTTATTCCGGCCGCGGTGGTCCGAGATCAGAAGTTAAGCCACTTGGACGGCCAAGGTCGTGCTTGGATTGTTGTGGACAATGTTGTCTATGACTGTACCAAATTCATCAACGAGCATCCAGGGGGCGAAACGGTCATCCAAAGCTTCGTAGGGGAAGATTGCTCCTGGCAATTCTGGCGATTTCATGACAAGACGGTCATGGAACAGTGGGGACGACCGCTGCGTGTTGGCCGAACAGAAGGGATCAGGAATCGATTCAAGGAGATTCCGAAGTACTTTGGACCCTCTAGGATCCGATAATCTAAACTTGTGCAGCCTATTCATGTCAACCGCTGGCAATTCCGCAGAAGTAAGGCACATGTATATACTCATTACATGATATATGAATCGATGTGATACCAAATGAAACTCGACGCTCCACGCATACAATGTCATTGTTTTTTCACTTTCCCCGTCATATCTACGATTTTGATTTCTCTTCCCATGCCTAGCCTGAGTTCATGGCAGAAGGAAGTGTCTCTTTTCCACCGCTCTCCGGGTCCTCATGGAAGTCTATATCCCGCCACTCAGAAATCTCACATCTATGTAACCGAAATGGATACGGAACAATGGCACACTTGTAGCGATTTAGCCCTGATAGATTGGAGTCGGACTTGTTGAAACGGACGTCGCGGTGATGCGCGGGGATACGCGGGGAACGTGAAAGACGACGACATCTCCGGGTGCGGGGCATATCCGATGTTGGGACGCCATTGCCTCAACAGCTTGGAATTTATAATAGTGGCAGCATCAGAATGAGACTTTAACAACAACTCAGCCTTGATAGTCTCATCAATTGTTCCAGGATGACGATTAACAGCCTCACCAACTATATCGCCTACCAGGAGCCCAACAGTGGCCCTAGAATCGGTCATCTTGACTTCGAGAACTCAACCATCATCCCCCTGTCCTTCAAATCCGGCACCCCGTTGTCAGACCTTTATCAAGTCATCACGGTTAGCGGGCAGGGAATCAAGGCATCCGGTGCACAATGCTTCCCTCTTTCCAGCGTGAAACACCTCCCCCCGATTTCTGGCCGTGATGTGCTCGCAGTTGGAAAGAACTACGCTGATCACGCCAAGGAGTTCAACTCTTCGGGTTACGACGCTAGCGACAAGACAGATCAGCCGACTCACCCGGTCATTTTCACCAAGCGTGCCACTTCCATCATTGGCCCCGAAGATCCCATTCTCCTCCACCCAAAGTTCACTAGCACAGTCGACTACGAGGGTGAGATCGGTGTCATCATTGGCAAACCAAGTTTCCAGGTCTCAGAGAAGAACGCGTGGGACCATGTGTGGGGTTATACGATTGTAAACGATATGACCGCGCGTGAGCGCCAGCGCGATCACAAACAATTCTTCCTCGGCAAATCAGCCGATACCTTCTGCCCAATCGGGCCTGTCGCTGTTCCTAAAGAGTACCTTCCCGAGAACTTGAAGATCCAGACCTTTGTCAATCAGGAGCTACGCCAGGAGGCCAGTCTTAGCGATTTGATCTTCAGCGTTCCTACGCTGATCGCTACCATTAGCGCTGGCCAGACTTTGCAAGTCGGCGACGTTATAGCCACTGGTACACCGGCTGGTGTGGGCTTTGGTTTCAGGCCGATGAAGTTTCTGCAGACCGGAGATGAGATCAGCGTGTCCGTGACAGGACTGGGAACTTTGACAAACCGTATTGCGGCTGCAGACGCGGTCAACACCACCGCCAAGCGCGCGGAGTCTCATATTCCTATTGCCAATCAGAAGGCGCCCGCAAACTCGGGATTGACCAACATCAACGGCAAGAACCTCTTCTACCAACGACGGGGCTTGGAGAGTGGACCTCCAGTCTTCTTCATTCATGGACTTGGGGGGTCCTCAAGTTACTTCTATCCGCTTATAGCGAAGCTGCAGTCGACACACTCCTTGCACCTCCTAGACCTGGAAGGGCATGGTCTCTCCCCGACATCAGCGCTTAGCACTCTTTCCATTGCCTCTTTTGCAGACGACTTTTACAACATGTCACAATTGGCTGGTGTCAACGAGAGCGTGACCGTGATTGCCCACTCAATGGGATCTCTAGTAGCTCTCAAGCTTGCTCTGGAGCACTCTGCCCTGGTAAAAAAGCTCATCCTCATGGGACCTCCCCCGAACCCACTTCCAGAAGCAGGTAGCCAAGGCTCTTATGCCAGGGCTGCTCTCGTTCGGAAAGAGGGAATGTTGTCTGTTGTGGATGCAATAGTGCAAGCTGGAACATCAGCCTACGTTCAGCAGAACAAGCCTTTGAGTATTGCTGCAGTACGCACTTCGCTTCTCAGTCAAGACGCTGAAGGATATGCCAAGGCATGTGCGGCTCTTGCTGAATCCGCCACTGACCCCATGGATCTCAAATCTCTCCGCATCCCTGTTTCTATCGTGACCGGCGAAGAGGACAAGGTTAGCACGCCAGCCCTGTGCCAGAAGTACTCTGAGGCGACTGGAGGTGGACATGTCCAGGTGCTCAAGGATGTAGGACACTGGCATCTGTTTGAGGATGTTGAGGCAACGGTGAAGGCGGTTTCGGCGCAGATTTAAGAATTTCATTTCCTATGATTTTCTTTGACATATTTGTCATGTAGGCGAGAAAAACCTCATATATAGTCTGAATAAAAGAAGAATTATCCACGCAAGGCTACAAGCGCAAACTTAGAAATATCAAGATCCCCTTGAATATCAATGGATAGGAAAAGGCGTGGGTACGAGAAGCGGGTATTGGGGGACCGGCAGGGCACAGGAGAGCAATTGGATACTACATTCCCCATGCATGTAGAGATATATCTTGCGGACAACTTCCCATACCACAATAGGTCATTTCTGAGTATAAACTAGTTTGATCTTTCGAGATTTGCCGCTACGCGTGACAGCACTACTTTCCCAAGGTTGCCATCGAGCCACAGAGGGAGGCGGGGTGTCCGATAGTTTTGTGCACTAGCCTGGTTGCGGAAGCCAGCAAAGGTCACCAAGGGATAAAAGTTTCCTTCGTCCCCATCGCCTGAGAATTCGGAACTTCACTGATGCTTACCACTCTCCTTAGCTACGTATACGAGATGCCACGTGATTCAACGGAAGTCCGCGTAAGTCCGCCACCTCTGCTCTGCTCAGTGGGGCCCAAACCTTAGATCTACGCGGAGAACTTCGAAATGCGGAGAGTGCATGATGTGGATCCGGTCATGCACTTGTCTGAGTAAACAATATTCCCAGCTATGTAGCGTAAAGTCATTCCAAGCTGTAGGGAACTCCATTGCAGAGCTAATTAATTCCACGGAAAATATAAAGCGCACATGAAATATGCAAACCTGGAGCATTCATCAATTCTTCTAATCATCTGCCAAGCACAATGGACTCGAATGACTTTGCAACCACGAAATCTGAAGAGGCAAACATGCCCTCTTCATCCCAGGCAAATCACATTTATTATGAAAACCTTGAACGCCTCCACACTGCTGGTGGACACGCAAATGACAGAAGTCAACCAGCTCTTCCGATTTATCATCGCACATTCGCCAATCCCTCTCCATTGGGATTGATATCATTCGCGACAGGTGCAACACACTATCCCCGGTAATGATATGCGACTAACTCTCTAGACATCTTCCTCATCTGCGTCTTCGGACTTCAAGCTAGGGGTGTGACTGCACCAAATGTAATGGTTGGGTGCCTTGTATTCTACGGCGGCGTCGGTCAGTTTATTGCTGGAATCATGGAATTCATCACGGGAAACACTGTAACGACCCTTTGCATGAGTGAGCCCGAACAGCTACTGAAATTTCACAGTTCGGTGCCACCGTCTTTTCTTCCTACGGCGCGTTCAACTTGTCGTATGCAATGATTTATCTACCCGGGACGGGTATACTGGCCGCATATACCGATTCTACAACCGGTGCCTTAAGCCCTACTTTCGATCAGGCTCTATCGCTTTACCTTTGGGCATGGCTGATTGTAACGGTGGCATTCACCATCGCGGCGATACGATCCTCTTGGGTTCTTTTCATGGACCTTTTCTTCTTGGACATATGCCTTCTCCTACTTGCTTGTGGGTTTATGGTCAAGGTCCAGGGTCTCTTGACAGCCGGGTACTCTTTCGGCCTCGTGGTGTCGTTTCTTGCTTGTGAGTTCTGCCCTCGTAGATTGTTGATCCCTAGTTGATCCAAATTAATAGTCTGGGCAGACTGGGCTGGTTGTGCTGGTTTATGGGGTGGAGGAGTAACCCCTATCAAGCTGCCGACATTTAATATGTACACGGCTGTTTGATCCACCATTCCTCTGGTCGTTGAATACCAAATGCACAAAGCATCGATTGACAAGGCCGCGGAATATAGTGGGGAGAAATATAGTGGGGTGTTATTAGGCAAAGGTATTCGAGTGTGATGTGAAAGTTCGAGTGGTCTTAGTCGGTATCCACGGTAAAAAATTAATCTAAGAGCCTAGGATGTTATACATTGAGCCTAGTAGAGCATAAGGCTAAATGAAGGCCTCTAACTAAAGTTTTGTTGGTGCGATACGAAGTTGTAATTTATCAAAAATGCTATAGTGTTTAGAGGGTCGCGGGCGGGATTGCTCTAGTGGCTAGCTTGGTGTGAGTTACGTTATGTTGCGATATTCGACCACTGTAGTGTAAGTAGTACATGTGACAATAATGATAGTGTGGCTGAGGCATCCAAAATGCTGCGGCCCCATACCACACCTTCTTTATGGAGTGGAGGCTAGATCAGAAAACTATCCAATGCATTGCAGGTGTTTGGCCACATTTGTTAAGAATAGTTTTGTGTGCGTACCCTTATTGGTGCCGCTTAGTTTGCGTTGCCAGACTGCCATTGAAGCGTCCCCACTTCACCTAAGACATGATACGTTCCCTCTGGTCATTGGGGCTTGCAGTTTCAAGGTCGAGGAAGATCAGCGAGGAGGGGGAATTCAGTCCATCTTTAGCCGCGTTCACTTGGTCAGCATGAAAATTCCTCATGTGCAGGAAAAATTTGTCTTTGTGAGGTGGTTGCATGTGTATTCTTATAAATAAATAGTGAAGTTGGAATGGCTCGATGGCTGTCTGACTACGCAGACTGGGCCACACACACACACACGCACATACACAAGGAGGAGGACTACAGGGGAGGAGAACACATAGGGATGGATTGGAAGAGGAAGCGTGTCTGTTTTGCCCACCCTGCGCCTGGAAAGTTTTGTATACACAAAAGCCTCAGTCATCCGATAGACCTCTCCTTCCTGCAGTCAGCAGTTCCCCCACTACAATAGTTACAGGAATCGATCTTCCATTGATCGGATGATACATCGGAATTTGCCAAATCATTAATCAATTGGCCGCTTATCACATTTTGACATGAGCATGAGCATGATCACTGTGCCTGAGTCCGTGATGAGGTTCCCTTAGTAGCCTGAACCTGAGCGCCCTCACAAAAGCGGCGAGACTGCTAGAAGAGGAATGTCCCACTCCGCAAGGAGGATCCGGTATGTATAGCCGCATATGTACAGTTATACGATGCAGGGCATCGTTGATGGGTCTAAAGCGCACGTTTCTGACTACCTTTCGGCAGATATATCTGATTGGCCCGCAGATCTCTCCCTCATTTCTACAGATCGCTCGATCTCACCTGGGAACGGTTTGCGCGCCCATACGCGTCGGCTGCCAGCCCGTCAGTTCAGGGTATAATATCAATTTCTTTTCCCCGGTGGAAAACTTACGCGCGCTGGTAGAGATGGAAGCGCGGGTCCTTGAGCTCATTGCGCAGCCTGGCCACGTAGACAAGAACTTCATCTTGGGTCCACGGCTCCGGAGCGCCAAATTTGGTCAATAACCACATGCTCCAGCCCTCCATTCCAGACATCCAGTGCTGGAAGTTGACAGTACCAGCCTCCTTGTAGCGCTGATCGCGTGCCCAAGGCCCAATCGGCCATTTGTAGGTCTTTTCCCTGACATCCACAAAGCCGGCCTTGCGAATGGTTTTGGACATCGTATCGATAGTGTCACATCTACGACCGGCAGCTTCGCCACAGGCGAAGATGTTCGGGGCCCAGGTGTGAAGAATGTTGTCTTCAGGCAAACTGCCATCGTCGCACTCGACGCGAGGACTGGCTTCTAACTGTTCGATCCAACCGCCCGGCTGCAGCTTGCTGTTGAGATGATTGTTATTATCATTCAGTCCCTATGGCACGCAATTAGGCGACTTACTTATAGCATTCGTTATAGACTCTGTCCCACTCAGCCGGGCCGAAAGAGCCGATCATGCTCCGCATGTGGATCAGGTCGAAGGGGTCCCGCCAGGTCCATTCCTGGAGGACGTCGTCGACCTCCAGCACGCAATTGGGCGGCATCCAGGAAATCGGGGGCGGGAAGAGGTCAACTCCTCGAATGGTCGCTAGAATCAATTAGTATGTTGACTTGTTCAACAGATGTTGCAAATGATGCACCGCTAGCCTACCATTAGGGAACATATCGGCAACATCACTGAATCCATGTAAGCATCTATCGAATGTGAGGGGCTGAGTCTATAGAGATACATGGCCCAGATACCCTTGCCAGTCCCAAGATCGAGAATATGCTGCGGATCGTGAACAGGAGCCCAGAAAAGAGGATTCGTCCGGTCTGAGTCCAAGACGAGGGCCACCAAATGACTGTGGGTGAGAATTAGATCTGGATGGAAAGGCCCATGGTCAGGCCGAGGTCACATAGATACCCGGCTTCGTAGGACTCAAACATTTGCTCGTCCGAAGGCATGCTGATCGAGTCAGATGAGCATTCCTGGAAATGTAGAAAATCACAACATTTCCTCACAGATAACCTTGGCGGCGCAGGTTTTGATATCTATTAGGCGCGATCAGCCGTTTTGTAAGGTCTGGCGACCGTTGGCCATTGCGCCGAACACCTACCGTCGACCATTTTCGATCCGACCCCGATGGATCGAGGAGGAACCGATCGAGGTAGTTTCCCTGACTGATTAGCTGCAGAGATGACAGGGGTGAATGGCTGACTTACGAGTGCCAATCAGCCGGACAACAAGGGCCCTCGGACGCATACACGTCCGGATCCTATTGAGGTCAATCACGACCCAACTGAAGACACAGACTCCAAACATACCACGGCGATGCGATTCGTCGCAATCCGCCTGTCTCCCATGGTGTGCTAGGCGATAATAGCAGGGTGGGGGGATTCAAGGAATGGAACAGGAGGTCCGGAGTGACGAATTTGTCACAATGACCCGCAACTCCCTGCACAAATCACGAATAGCAGTCCCGCGTCAGCAGAAAGAAGGTTCATGGCCGGGTGCACTCGAACGGAGCCACTGGGCACTCGACTGTTGGGAAATCCACTTCGAGGCGAACTGGGCGGTGTAGACCTCGGGGTTGGACCCACCCGTTCCTGAAGTCATGACACAGACAAGGACCGGCAAAAGATATGCTACCTCCATATCAAACCTTCGCTGTCACTTCTATGCCTCTCCGTTCCATTAGCGTGCTCATCCTGACGGTCAGTGATCGTTGAAGAGGCGGTCTGATTCTACGATAACGACTTTTGATTTCCTCGCGGAGCAGAACTTGGCCTCGGAGTGAATAGCCCCCGAAACGACCTTAATTGAATGCGCCACGCTCCCCACGCTCATGTGCAATCTTCCCTCAAACTGTCTGTTCCTTTTATTCCATCGGAGAAGCACTTGCATTGTGAGACGCTGTGAGATTGGAACGGATCAATCGATTGTCCCTCCGGGAGATTAGTCGGTCTAAATACTATCCATCCTATGCACGTGTAACATAGTGCCCGCACGGGCGTGGTGGTCTCCGGTCAAGGCAGTACGTGCTGTGGACAGACTGTAGTATTCCCGCATCTCGTCGTAGGCCTGGAGCATCAATAGTGGCCTTGGTACCACAATTGAGGAGCTAGTCCAAATTGGGATTGCGGGAGGGGTGGGATCGTCCTCTAGCAGCTCACTGTCTCATCTCCTTCCTTTCCTCAGAGAAAAGCTCCTCTGCAGGGCACATAATGCTGCGTACGGGCCTATCGCGGTAAGATGCAGCCTGGGACACAGAAAAACAGGAAACCACCCTGGAAATGCTTCCAGACGGCACCTTAGTTCCTACAGCAATCGAGTCCGCTGAGGATTATAAGAATCTACTTTTGGAGTTTTAAACAATAGCTGGGCGAGAGACAAGTCGGCATCTTACTGTTCAGATGATTTGGAAGAGTACGTTTTTGATTTTGACTATGTGGACAAGAATTATTGCACTGCAGCCAAACAAAACCTGGCAGCCACGCAAGACCAAACGATTCCTAGTACAGTCACGTTGAGTCGAAATACCCTCGAAAACCCGAAAGCCCTGGAAGGACTCGGAGCCATGACACCCAAGAAAGGCTTGTCGATTGACAAAATCCATCCGCCGCAACCCTCTACCATGAGCTGTTTCATCTCGTACTCTTGACCCCTGACACTCCCGATATGACATGTAAGTTCTAGCGAGATCATCTCCAGACCAAGCCGCTATCTTTTTCAAGATGACTGGAGCGGTCAGCTAAGGGACCTCAGGACACCCAACAAGGTACCAAAAGGTTACGAGGAGAATCATGCGCAGCTTTATCGCCGCAACCCTGAAACCTATGTCTTCTTCAGTGTGGGTTATTGGTATTTCCAGCAGACTGAATGGGACACAAACGGAAATCCCAGATGGAGCTGGCATTCAGGGGCGGGTGAGCTCGTCTCTTTATAGGGACAGGTAACGAGGCATGGGTATCGGAGAACGTTGTAGTACTATGAAGAACAAATGAGAAGAGATAAAGTGGAAGCCATATTATCGCGAGTGTCGAGTTTGAGATGGAATCAGAAGAACACATCTGTGATAGAGGACTGAAATCAAAAAAGAGGAAGTTGTTCAAATTCACAAAACTCCTCTTTCCATTCTATTGAACCTATCTCTTCTAACCGGGTCCCAAATTTTTCCATTGAAGTTTGAGTCCCGGTCTGAATGCTAGTCCCAGGCTTTATCAGTGATGTGTAATTATTCCTAAAATCGGCCTCCTTTCCTTGCCCAGCGCCCCCCCCCAACCAAGGGAATGCGGCCACAGCATTAAATGGACTTCTCGGTTGTACAAAAATTCTGTTTGGGTTGCCCATACTTGCTCAAGAAGATGCCTTCGGAACAACTGACTGATAGGGATTCCAGGCACTATAGCTGCTGGACGAATACCTCTGGACTTTGAAATCCGGGCAAGCTAGGCCTCGTCTATAGGGGCCTGCCCTTTCAGGAGTGCTTCCCCGCATTGGCACCGTTGCCTATCGACGGGTACAGGCTGTTCAAATTCCCTTTTCGAGGCTTGTTTCTTCTTCTTCGGCGGGCCCAGTTCACGCCGTTTTAGTGTAGGTTTGGTTCCCCCATGGCCATGGGGACTGGCAAGGCTGCTTGGCTGGCCTTCTCGGCTGCTGTGAGGCAGCTCTCATCAGGCGATACGCGGTGAGGAAGTCATTGACGAGCTCATCAGTATCCCATACCGTGTCCTTCTCAATGATGTCATGAAATTTTTCCTCCCACCATACCGGCGTGACCTCTTTGACTGCTTGCAAAAAGTCTCAGTTGGCGCTAACGAAGTCGGGAAATTTTAGCCTCAGGCTTTCTACCCTGAGGGCATTCCACTTGTCAGCCCAAGCTTCGATGTCCCCGGTGGGCTTGTCCATTGAATGGAGCTTCCATCTAACCCGAACCTCTTCTTTATAGGAGGTGTCTAGGCCGAAGCGGGCACTGAGGCATCTAAGCTTCTCGTACGCGGAGTGCTTGCCTATCACTAAGTGTCGATAGTCATTGGCGAGGTGGCGGACGATGTATTGGTTCATCGCCACAAGCCCCTGATTTTGCATCCTCCACTGATCATACTGTATGTTGAAAAGATCCAGCCTGTCTCTCCACTCTTTCTTTCCCTGTGTATCGTCTTCCTCGGGATAGGCAGGTTGTTTCGGTTTCTGTAATGGTACCTCAAGCTCATTGAAGGCGAGCTCTGGATTACACAGATGCCACACATGCAGTTGCTCAGCAAATTCCCAGACCTGATCTATCCACATGTGCCATTGAGAGGCATGTTTCAGCTTAACGTCCATCTGGCGGAAAGTGCTGAGGCTATCTGGATGCTCAATTGGCGCCGGCGCGTTACCCGACGGAAGGCCTACCAATGCTGTTCCAATGGGATAGGCCTTGCTGGTCGACAAGGAAGGCTTTATATGAAGCAATTCGGGCTTTCGACTGTCATATTCAGGGAGCGGTCACCTCATCGGCGATACTGAAAACCTCTCATATCGTAAATCCTTAACGTGGTCGGTAAGCGAGTGAGCCATGTAAGCGAGTGAGCCACCTAACCACCTTTCCTACACTTTTATATATATTTATCAACCACAACATATTTATATCAACTAATCTCTAGCTTTACATACATTCCTTTTATGTCCGATCTGTCCGCAATTAGTGCATCGCGGTGGACGCCGCGTCTTCAGTGCCTGTGTGTCCCGCGGTAGTAGGCTTGGTGGAGCTAGTATTACCCGCGAGGGCTCCTTATGAGTCTCCTCGAGCTATAGTGCCTCTCGTACGGATAGACCGTCATCGCAGGCTATCTATTTAGTTGTACGAGCACGCTTTTGCCTTTGCGTGGCGTTTGCGGTACGTAGCTGCTTATTTTCTTGCTCGAGAAGGATACCGTTTTGCATTGCGATCTGACAGCCTTTAATAAGTTGGTTTAATGCAGTTTGCGAAGGTGAAGGCGGGCTTTTCGAGCGTCGCTTTAAGAAAGCTTTGATTGAGGATGCTTGCTTTAGAAGCTCATCGACATTCGCGGGTGTATGAGGGTAGAAAGTGCTCGATTGACTACCGCGGCTTATGGGAGGTGTTGGCGTCCGAAGTTGAATATTTAGCTTTGATAGCACTTATTGAGGATCAATTAGCACTAATCCTGCTGCTCGGAAGCTATTTTATATCGTACTTATTTTATATGCGTCGACGCGAGCTTATGGGTACGTAAAAAGGAAGTTAAGTTTATCGATATGGTTGATCCTAAGCCGCATCTTTTGGTCGATTAAACTACCGTACGATCGCTTTAAAACAGCGAAACATCCGATATCAAGAGGCTAAAGTAGATGCGAGGAATGCGGCGGCATACAAATTGGGATAATCTCATAATCCGCGCAGATTTGATCGAACTCTGGCGTTAAATGACTTCCGTGTCCGTCGAGGACTAGAAGTCGATATCTTCCACGCGTACGATGATTTATTGACGGAATAAATTGTTTTTGAAGCCAGCGAAGGCCTATCTCGTCAGTTATCTATCTATTTGCACTAACTTCGAAGCGCCAGTCGGGTGGAAGGTCTTTAAACTATGCTTGATTATATTGCTTACCTTTAAAGATAAGCGTTGGCGGAAGCGCCTACCCCGAGGCGTTAACTGACTTAATCGCAGTTACCCACTCGCGGTTTCCTGGCTATAAAACTGATCTCCGGCCGTAGTATTCTGATCGGGTAATCACTTTTTGGGCCGTACAGAGGCCTATTGCGAAGCCAGTCTCGTCAAAGTTATAGATATCGTCTGGTAGGATACCGTATTGCTGAATTGTGGCTTGTACGAGGTCAAACCACGTACGAATAATCTTTGGATCCTCTTGTTCTGCCCGCTAGTAATTATATCGTCGAGAAAAGCGAGCTTTAAGCTCTGGATATCGTTGGGTGAAGTTATATACCCATTTTTCGCCGACGGTCTGGATAAGGGTAGAACCGCGCTTCGCAAGTAGAATATTCGCTATTTCTCGTACATGAGCTTGCGTAGGGGCTGCACCGCGTAGATCTAGCGATAAAATCCGTTGCTAGAGTATATCCTCTTCGATTTGGGTCATTTTATGACCATTTGCGCGAGATTCAGCGCGATTTGTGGTACCGCGAAGCCGACGCGTGAGCGTACAACGATTAACTTGAAATCGATCTGCAGCCTTCCGAATAGTGCTGATTTCTTTATTTTTAATAGCCTGTATAGCAAGTAAGAGGCGACCTTCTTGTTCGATATAATCTTGGCTTGATCTGACACGTTTTGGAGGCATAGTGGTTGATAGAAGATAGAATGTTGCGGGTGGACGCGAAAAAGTGGTTGGGTGGCTCACTCGCTTACATGGCTCACTCGCTTACCGACCACGTTATCTTGAGAACATGCAAACAATACAAACACATTTTGAGTAACACTTATCCGGCATCTCAAAAGGCCTCATTTTGACAAGCAAATTCGCGCGAGATCAGATGCGATCGTTGCATCTCGAAGCCATGGCACAGCCGGGGATAACAGGGAGAACACATACCAAATTGGTAGGTGCCCCGGACTATGACGACCCCGAATTCTGGGACTCTCGATTGCGACCGGTCGCGATGTTGGCGAATGGCTCAATTCGGGCGAGGCTCTTCTGGACGTGGTCCTGTCCGACTTGGATAGTCGTCCCGGCTTCCAAGGCGCACCGCGTGTCTTACACTTGGGCCCCGGCGTTTCACAACTGGGCGTCAAGCTCCGGGATGCCTGTACGGAGCGGCAATGGATGGGGAACGGAATTGTCGTAAGTCGGATCTGATAGATGCGATACTCAAAGTCCGGTTGGGACACTTCTCACATACATTCCTGCAGAATGTTGATTTCTCTACCGAAGCCGTTCGACTTGGCCAAGAAGCTGAACGACAACAAGCTCCCCACAGGGCCATGCATTGGCTACGCGCCAACTTGCTTTCCTGGGACCATGTGTCCACTCTGACTCCCTTTGCGCCCTTTGATGTAATTCTGGACAAAAGCACGAGCGATGCGATCGCCACTTTCAGCGATCAAAGGATCTCGACCGAAGATGATCGGTCCTGCATTTGTCCTACAGTGCGACCGTTTCTCTCTAGCGAACGCACCGTCACCTTGTCTCCGGTCGAAGCGCTCGCCCTGCACCTTGTGCCATTGACGCAATCGAGCACCACATGGATCGCGCTTTCATACTCGACCTTCCGATTTGACAGTCTACCCTTTCTTGCCAAATACTGGTCAGCGCGCTCGCGAACGCCACTGAAAGCGCCCCCCGGCCACGTCTCCTCCTCGGCCCATACCCCGGAGGTTTTCCACTGGGTGTATATTATGGACCGCAAGTAGTCGCGTTCTCTCCAAGTATGGTGGGGATAGCGGTAATCTACTAGGTGCGTGATGCATTGCGGCGTCCTGGAACCTTGATGAAATGTTGAACTTCGTTTCTAGGTCTATCCCCTATGGGCCTCAGGCTTGTGAACCTTGACTTGGACCTGCAGCTACTCGATAACATGATACATAGAAATGACAAAAGTACCCGCGGGTAGGCACAGGTGTAGGAAGTGGGGGGGGTATTTTCTTTCCCGAGCTCGAATGGTACGACTTACTACATCTTGTGCAGTGGCAGACTTAGCAGCGACTGTCATCTCCAACGGCCCTCACTCATTGCCAACCGCAGATCGACATGATAAAGAAGCATTGGAATTTGCCCCACCTTCACCAAGATCGACCTGATCTCTAGTGAAAACTATTGTCGAACTGACTTGGATAGGAAATGAGACTGCAGGCAGAGAAATTGAGTCAGTAATTGATCCGCTCAGTTTGAAAGACCGCATCATTGTTTGAATGGCCGCCTTGTTACACGGAAAAGAGTGTCGACTTCGGTCTCAACCCGAGTGAAATTCAAGTAAGTCGCCCTGCGTGAGTCAGACAGAGCGTATCTGTCAACGCCACCCTCCTTGTCTTGATCCGTCAGGTCGATTCACTGGATTTACTTTGCCAACTGATCCAGGTCAGCATGTGATGATGCAAGCACATTTGGAGTTGAGTATCCGAACCGCAGGAGCTACCCAAAAACATTAAGAGTAGTAGGGACTTGATTATTGTAGTTCCAAGGGTTACCAAATTGTGAGTTGCTAGCATTCCAGGTGGAGTCTGGGATCAACATTCTCTTTCGTAATTTCCTTCATCTTATATTGCCTATGGTTCAAATCCAGCTCCATCTCTCACGGACGTGCCGAATAGAGCTGCTGATTTGATTCGCTGATCCCGAATCAGCTGGAAGGATCTCCGTCAAGGCTATAATTATGCCGACACACACACACGTAGAGAGAGAGAGCGAGAGAGAGAGAGAGAGAGAGAAGGGAGGGAGGGAGAGAGGAGGGGTGGGGGAGGAAGGGACTCGGAAGTATAAAGCCAGAGCCAAGCTGGCTTTATACAATATTGGTACACCGCAACCATAGAATTATATCGATCAATTTCAAGACTGACGAAACCTTGGAAAATGAAGTGAAATGTACGAAAGAGAAGGAAGGCGTACTTCCCGAGTCAGCAATTCGGGTTCCAACTGACGGGGACCCAGAAAAAGCTGTCGGGGTCTTGGAGCGACGACTGGGTATGATCGCTGCATTGTATCCATGTGCTTAGCATACATTCAGCATATGAGTTCTTCGTGCACTTACTGGCTCCAGCTTGCTCTCGGCAGATGTGTCGGCGCATAGAAGGCCCTTCTGGAAGAATACAAAAATAGCACGCAGCTGGCTTCTAGCTAGGGTCATTGTTAGGTATTTAGCACCTATCCAACGACTATATTATGCGCGTAACGCGTATCGTTACTGGTATTAGTAGCGTTCAGAACTGATTTATCAACGAATATAGCCTTACTAGGGCCCGAGCAAGGACGTTTAGCAAGATTTGCTATGATGATAAGCTGAGGACTATTGATATATCTTGAATCTATGCAAAGACACGTCAGAAATGAAAGTAAACGTACGTCCTTAATGTAACTAATGGTGATGGAGGGTGGGGATAGAAGTGAAGTAGACAACCACATATTTCCCAGTTATTTGATGACAATCTAGACAAGAAGCTGGACTTTCGCTTTCTGTGTACGTATTCACATCCACTAAGCCAAAATTTTTGTAATTCATTAAAGTAATAAGTTTTTTGATGTATATTCCGTCAAGGTGTATATAGACATAATGCGGAGTAGAGTGGTAGGGGTTCAGTTTTAGTTGAAATGTTAGGTAATGGTCCACATCTCTTAGAATAAGTCTACAAAATCATTTATAGACGCTGAGGAGTTCCTGGGTTCTCGTTAGCTGGGTGCCCTTAACAATTGCACGGACTGTGACGCATGGAAACAGATGACGAAGGGACTCGAGTGAATGTGGTGGACACAGTGCTCAGAACTTAGTTTCCTCCTCAATTTCGTATTTTCGGTAAATACTACATGTTTCCTAGCACTCTGAATTGTGACATAGACAATGCTCGCACTTGAAATTAATGGTCAAGAATCTGACCCAGGGCATTGACTTGGTTTTAAGAAAAGCTTAATTAGTAGACTTCACCTCATAACGTAACTCACAAGCGATCCGCCACCACAAGCAACCCGCCATCTTCAAAACACATAGTAAATACGATAAATTACCACTTTATATGTTAATAACTATAACTAATTAGAATGTGATATAGTAAGGTATAATATCCTAGATAGTATCACTAGTCCACTAGTGTGCTATTTTCTTAAAAAGAATTAGGATAATAGAGATCTATATCTTATTATTTTTGATAACTAAATTATAGTATATCTAATAGTAATACTACTAAATCATAATTTAATATACTTATAATTAACGTATTCCACGGCAAACCCGCCACCACGGCAAACCCGCCACCCCACCCACTTAGTTCTATATCCATGAAGCATTTAGATAACCCCAACGCCTTTATATTCAATTTAAACCCTATCTGGACATCTATTAGCCCTATGGCCAGGCTTTCCGTATACACTGTATTTATATTGCTGTCTGTTGGTGCTGGCACCGGGCACCGAAGCAGTCTGTGTGGGTGGTGCGGTGGACTGCCCACCACCTTCTAAACTACCTAGTAGACCAATACCTTACTTATGGGCTTCATGAACAAATAAGCCCTTATCGCGCTGTATTTGCCTTTTAGATAAGGCCTTTCGTCTCTTCTTTTTATAGTTTTCAGCGCGTAGATCAACCACTTCTTACTCTAGTAGAAGGATACGCTTTATGACCTTTTCGCAAGCCTTATAAGCCTGATCAACTACCTCTTTCGTAGGCGTAGGTGGGCTATCAGACCGGTACTTAATAAGGCGCTTTGCTAATACTTTATGCTTCGAAAGCTGTTTGATATTGCTTAGTGTTTTAGGGCAATAGATGCTTGATCGGCTTAATGGTCGGTCTGGTGGTGTAGGCGGACGAAGCTAAATATTGAGCCTATTAATAACTTCTGCCGCATTTAGAGGAATTAAACCGGTCGCTTTGAATGCATTTTGAATACTTCTAGCCTGAAATGCGTCTTCGCGTACGCGTGGGTAGGCTGCAAGGAAATCAAGCTTGTCGATATAGTTTATACCTATACGCGTCTGTTGGTCTACTAGGCGACCGTATGACCGCTTAAGAACTGCGAAACAGCCTATATCTAGCGGTTGTAATAGATGCGAGCTATGCGGTAGTATATATATCGGGATAACGTTATGCTTAGTGCATACGCGGTCGAATTCAGGCGTAAGGTGGCTTCTATGACCATTAAGAATTAATAGCCTATACCGACTACGTGTCCGGCTTGCGGTTAAGGGAATAAAAAGCTTTTGAAGCTATCGAAGCCTAATATTATCAGATGTCTATCTATTCGGAGAAACCTCAAAGCGCTAGTCCCTTGGGGTATCGTGGAACTATAATTTAATATAGCGCTTGCCTTTAAATATAATTAATAGCGGTAAAGCCCAGCCTAAAGTATTGACTGCTTCCACTACGGTCACCTATTCACGATTGCCTGGCTGTAAGACAGATCTACGGCTATAGTATTCAGCCCTAGTAACTACCTTTGCGGTAGAAACGAGGCCTATTGCGAAGCCTGTTTCATCGAAATTATAGATATCATCAGGCGGAATACTATAGCGCGTAATAGTGTCCCCAATAAGCTTAAACCACTTATTTAATACCCTTGGATCCTCCTGCTCTGCGCGTGAATAGTTATATCGACGCGAGAAACGTGTTTGAATATCGGGTGTGCGCTTAATATAGCTTCTAACCCAATTCACGCCGACCGTATCAGATCCGGTTGCCGCGAGGAGAATATTAGCCATTCTGCGTACTATAGCATGCCTCGGGGCTGCACCGCGGTCGTCTATAGACAGAATCCACTGGGTAAGCGTATCCTCGTCTAAAATAGGTTATCTTATAGGTATGGGCGCGTGTGGTAGCCTTTGAACTGCAGCCATTAATCCGGTCCCGTACGGTCGACCGCGGCACATTGTAGACGCGTGCAGCGGCAGCAATAGAGGGAAGATCTTTATTCTGAATAGCCTGAATTGCAAGCTTAATCCTACCTTCTCGTTGGATAGAATCCTGCTTCTTTTCAGACCGTATTAGTGGCATAGTGGGGGATTCAAAGTGGTGGGTGGTGCATGGGGACGCGAATATTGATGGGGTGGCGGGTTTGCCGTGGTGGCGGGTTTGCCGTGGAACACGTTAAGGTATATTATTTGAAACGCTAATAAAAGCCTACACCACAATATTTAAGTATAAATAACCTATGGTTATTAATGTTCAAATTGGTAATCCATCGCGTTGACTATGTGTTTTAAAGATGGCGGGTCGCTTGTGAATTACGTTAGCGTTCTCTATGTGCACTTCGGCAGAGAGGATTCATTATAGCAAAAGGGGTGATTTGCATTGACTCTGTACTAGGAACATGGTTGAGACTGCCAAATACAAACAGACTTGACAAGATGGTGAATTAATCCCGTAGCTCCTTCGGGACGATCAAAAAACTAAGGACCAGCCCCGTACTTGGCCACTCCAAGGCCAATTGAAATTGTCCAGTGCACCAGGATGCACCAGGATGCACCTTAGACGTACTTCACCACAACAGAGTTACTGGTGACAGAGCTGGAGGTGAGTACCTTGTTGCTCTGTTCAATATCAATCAGGGTAGCACCAGAAGGACCGACGCTGGAGCTGCCATCGGTAGCCTTGGCGTTGGAGAAAGTCACAGTGCCGAAGTCAGCAAAAGGAACGAGGGAGCTGTTCTCCTCGAAGTCCTCGACAATCCACTCGGCATTGTACTCGCAAAGATCACCATCAACGCCACCAGTGAAGGTGTGAGTCACAGAGGTACCAGTGGACACATTCTCAATAGTGGCAGTGCCGGTAGTCTTGGAGGAGGCATCCACAGTGACCTTGATCACATTTCCAGCGGAAATGCTGATGCCACTGAAATCGTAGGCATAGTCGGGGTACCACTCGTACCAAGCGTCATAAGACACGGTACTACCCTCGATACAGAAGTCGACTCCAGTCTGGAGAATTGCGGTGCCGCAGGTATCTCCGTCAATGCCAACCCAGGCAGAGGCACAGTACTGCTCCCTGCTGGATGCACCGCTAGGCAGGCTGGGAGTAGGAACCGTGAATTCCGCAGTGACTGCAGTATATCCGGTGCCGATGAGAACAGCTCCCGCCCAGTTGGAGCTGTACTCCTCGTGCGAAGTCTTGTTCAAGTGGAGAACACTGTCAGTTCCGGGGATGAAGGGAGGGTTGCTTTGACGGCCTTTCAAGGAGCGAGCCATGTTGCGGGCCTGGCGCTTCGCAGACAGCGGTGCGGCGAAGGCCGCAGTCGCAAGGAGCGAGGTGTGGATGACAGCCGTTGAGAACTTCATCGTGAAAGTAACTTTGATTTGACTTGGAAGGTCTGGCTTTATGGAAGAATGGAATGCTGAACGAGGAAGGCTGAGGGCAGGCTTGCTTGGAAGAGAAAAGACCAGAACTGCCCTGAGGCACAGGCTTTATATAGTCTCCATGGCTTGTTCATGGCCTACGTACCCTCAATATCGTGATAGATAACCAAGATTGCGAGAAGTCAAAAGGACCATTCCGACTTCCATTCCGGCGATCCAAGCACCATGAGACTAATTGTTGATGCAACATCATGTACAGTAGGTCCATGCCACTAGGAACCAGCATGCAGAAGTTTCCTCCTGCCCATACGGCACTGGTGTATGTGGCGCCGTCGGAGACCGATGGGAAGTTTGAATTAATCTGAGAGATACAATTTGGGCCGGCCTGCAGAGATTCATGAAGAAACTCTAGCTCACATGGAGAGGTCATCAAGCTTGGACTAGCCTGATCCACAGTCGAGTATCTACCAGTTACAAGCCTTGAAACTCTGCCCAGCGTGACATCTGATGAATGAAGACTTCTCTGGTGGCTCCAAGTGTATTTACTTCCAGGGTCAAGGCGGGTATAATCAAGTATCTCGTGCTAAAGTTGGTGGATCACGGCCGCCCTTCGCGTTAAGACGACATTGTCAAGGACAAGGAGGGTCATTGTCAACTGTCTTATCCCTTATGTAAGACTCACAACAATTTGGACATCGATATCTTCCGACATGTACAACTCAGCTGGAAGGTGAAGCACCCCACATTCGTCAAACAAGATACACAGTCAGCCACAGGCGCTTTTTAGCGCCTCCACTTACCATGAACACAACAACTGCGGATTTCCGACGGGGGTGAGTATTGCGATAAGGAAGGTTCACCTGACAACCCAGTAAAGCGAGGCCAGGATTGCTTTGTATACCGGGGTTTGGCCGTGTCCGGATGAGCCCACGCGAACAAGGCAAAGATCGCCCATTATGGCTCTAGACTGTTGAATGATTTTCGATACGCGATGTCGATACGATGTTACTGTGGCGTGAGGCTAGGGAGCTCGTCTATCATCCATGTGTTGATGCGCACACTAAGCTTTTGACAAGCAACAGTGCCGAGCACGAGGCGGCCCCATTGTGCGAGGCACAAAAAATCATCATCAATGACTTCTGCTTGATAATGTCAACTTCCCCACAACGGTGGTGGCGGGGTTATTGCTGTGCTTAGGATTACTCAAGCGAAATTGGACTATAGCAAGTTTGTATCTTTATCCGTCAAGAGTGTTGCGGAGGATTAGATTGGACGCCACTACTGCAGCAAGCACGTTCACGCTAACTAGATTCGAAAATCACATCCGAAGTCCGCGATAGTGTTAGCGATGATTTTTGCCGGGATGTTGCCCCCTCCCCTAATATGCCGAATGATACCGCTCAGATAATTCTGGTGGACCAGAAAAATACACCACTACTTCAATTTCGAGGACAAGTTGACCTGGAAGCCCAGGTCGTCTGAGTCATGAAGGCACACCCAACGGTCGCAGCAGAAGCCCATCGCATATCAAGCGAAAGGGGGAACACGACCACAGCGAAATGGCCGAGAAGAGGTCCGACCGGCCGGACATGAGGGGAAGGCAGCCTCAGGCACTAACGGGCGAACTGAGTTCCACTCACTAGTTAAGGAGCTAACTACTGCTGGAGCTACTATCCAGTGCAATCTCCGAGACCTGGAAATTTCCCTGTCACAATCAAGGGATTTGATTTAATCGGCATTCGCGTGCATGATTCTAGTGAAAGGCACATCGATGTGCTCAGTTGCTGTTGTCATGCGATTCGACTGCATACCGTAACACTCGGTTTCTTGTGTGCCATCGTGCCATCCCGGTACGCCCGAAGCAGGATTCATGACAGTGCAGTGAAGTCAGCAGATTCTGCAGTCGTAAGGCCAGGTTCGATGTGATCGTCCCACTGAATGTCGAATGGAAGCGGGGAAAACATGCCCACCTCAAATGCATCCTCCAATGCCGGTCAGTCTGCCTCACTTTCGATGACATAGGAGGACTGAGGCCTCTCTCTAAGTTCGGGTCATCTGAAGAGGTGCTCTCAGGCTCTGGTGTATGATCAATATTGGTGAAGAAGTAATAGAATTAGGGATCCCCTTGCAGATGTTGGAGACATACAGCTAGGTGTTGTATGCGAGGCTGAACCTTGTCCACCCAGGCTCTCTCTTCAGTTCGCAGTTGTTCATGAAGTGGACCACGGAGAACAAACAATGCTGCCATGGAGGCTATCCGATAATATGATGCAGGTGAATCTTTCATAAGGTCAGACGTGGTGTCAAACCGGTGAAGCTTCATAATCGGACTTTCAGTTAGCCCGCTTCACAACCAGAGAATCTCCCGAACCAAGCAAGTAAAACACGTCAATTTGCAATTCGATGCCACTCGAAATTATTTGGATTTCATTCGCTCTGGCTTAGCCTACATGCTCATTTAGTGACGCACAAGAGATTGAAACACGTATTCACCTGGAAGTGAGTGACTTGTTGAACTTGATACATCCGTGGACTCCTGATCAAGGAGGCCCAAGACCGGGTCATTCATGTAAAGGAAGCCCATTCGCGCCTCTCAAAGTATCTTAGACATTTAATTGTTGACCCGACCAGAGAACCGGTGCAGTGAACCCGATCGGGGCTCTGTTTTTCGCAGGCGAACAAGAGCCTATTCGGCAGCTAATGGCGGAGGCCTCAATTGATAGGCTCTCTGCACAGGTCTGTCATAACCGCCCACTGTGGGCCTGAACCACGAGGCCCAGAAATCTTATAAAATACGTAGAATATCCTGGTTTAAAATTCACTAACCTTCAATAGGGATCCGATCGAAAAAAGCCTACCAGTATCCGGACGGGCGTTTCTACTGGTCTCTGGAAATGTGCTCCTATAGTTAATGAAACCCTAGCCTACTAGGACGTATATATCCCACTTACCCCCCATGGGATAGGCTAGGGTCGTAATTAATATGAGCTGGTGACTTGTGCCTACTAGTTATTCCTCGCTGAAGAAAATTAATTGCAATGCTCTATTTCTAGCGCGATGGGGTGTAACAAGATTGCCAAACCTCTTGGTTAAAGTGATATACTCACTGGCCCTGTCAACACTCACTGCCATCCAAAAAACAATAAAAGATCCAAATTAACTCAAATCAAAAATAAATATCAACACAATTCTGCCTGGGAAAGCAGCCACGTTGCTTTTTACTTGGGGTTAGTGCCATGCCCCATCACAGTCACCCCTTTCCACATTTCTCCACCCATATACAAATTCACAGCATGCCGGTCGAGACAAGACAAGGTCGTCATGTGTGGATCCTGCTAGCCACCCTTGCTAACCGGCATTGGGTAAACTTCGAGAACAACTGAATGGTGGCAACCAGCTTCTCCAATAGGAACTGAACACTATGCTGATCCATGTTCTCCTCAGTAGCTGAGACCATGAGCTCTAGCTGGGATCCGTGTTCCACGGAAATGATACCCAGCTGACCGTGCGCCAACTTGGAGCTGGCCCAATTGCAACCAGGCGACGAGCGAACACCACCAATCTCGACGGGCTCTGTGGCTTCTTCGCTTTGGTGGTGAACAAGGCAAGCCATTTTCGAGCCAGCTTGCCACCCTGTGCAACATTCTGCGATCGCATCAAACGATGCGTTGTCATGGGCAGTGATTTGTAGCTGCTGTACCTGAACATGATGCAAGAAATTCTCAACCGTCCAGTCAGGTTCAATCCTGATTCGAACAGGTAGATGATTCAAGCAGGGCCCAACGGCTGTATTCATGTCCAAAGGGGAACTCTCACGTCCGTGAACAACCTGACCTAAGATGATATCCGATTGCGCAGTTTGCTCAAACAGGACCCATGAGAAAGCGGCTTTCACGAGCGTTGACACAGTCATGTCCGGTGGAAGAGAGGGCATTGTCGTTTGGCTCTTTTCGGTTATGTCATTGTCCAAAATCCGTGCCTTTCCAGTTTGATTCAAGGGATCGAGAGCAGCGGACGGAGCACCTTCAAGGTATCGTCGCCAGAATGAAATGTCGGCTTTGTTCATTTCACCAATTCGGTTATAGGCGACATCTTTAAATTGCGTAGCCGGTGTGAGAGGCTCATTATGATAGGCTTTTTTGATTGTCTCCCACAGCAATGGTATGGAGGCCCCATCATACTGCGCATGGGATATGCGAAGTATCAATGCAGAGCATTGTTTGACGAGGCTAGTCACGAGAGTGAAGCTGACTGGTATTGTACCCTGGGCTGTAGAGGGTGGACCCTTTTGTTTGGACTCTCGAGCAACATATGCTTCTGGATCATCACAGTGAACAACATTCAGCAGAGGCCCGACTTCCCGGAGGATCACCTGGAAGAACCGGCCATTGGCCTCCACAAATACTGTGCGTAAGATGCTGTGGTGAGCCACAACCTGGCTGCACGCGCGTTTCAGTCTATCGATGTCCAAGGCCGCTGGGAACATGTGTGCCATGGAGACTGGCGATGCGTGGGTTATGTAGAAGACTTGGAATGGGAGCGCCGGGATTATATCTTCCACATTCTCTTTGACCAACGGATGTCCCGGTGTGGAATACGAAGCAAAAAGTTCTGCACGCTCGTGATCCGTAATCATGGAGTAGGGTGTATGGTACCGCAAGGAAGAAGCTGCAGTCTGTATCCCATGTTTGATATCGGCGGGGTTCACGGTTGCAGCATGTTGGGTAATGCGCATGATTGTTTTCCACTGGAACAAATTCTCCACTGAATGCACAATCCCAGCTGCCCGAGCCCTGGATGCGGCTTTGAGAGCCGAGATGGAATCACCTCCCAATTGGAAGAAGCTGTCCTCAGGGCCAATCTCGTCGGCGGCAATATCAAGTACTTTCGCCCAGATGTGCTGCAATTTCCGCTCCTTCCCCCATGGCGGGCACTCGCTTCTCTGAAGGGGCTTCAGCAAACAATGACTGCAGCTGCACTCGCGTTGCGCTCGCCGCCGAGTCTCTCAACCGCTTTCGGTCTATCTTGCCACTAGAGTTGCGAGGTACCCGTCGAAGGGGTACGTATGCAGACGGTACCATATAATCTGGAAGGATATCACCAAGTTGACGTCTGACACTCGATATTTGGGCGGCAAAGTTGGTCGTGGCAACGATCTCCAGGAAGGGATCGGTGAGGTGGATACCGATGAAGCCGTCTCAGCAGCTTTTGAAGCGACAAAGACAACCAAGCATTTGGAATTTATCGAAGCCATCGGAGTCACAATCTCAGCGACGATATCTGTCAGATCTTCGGGCCAGACCTCCTGCAGTCGCTTCTCAACTTCTGCGAGCTCAAATCGCTGACCTCGTAGCTTGACCTGGAGGTCTTTTCGTCCTACGAACGAGAGAGATCCGTCCTTCTCATAACGAACAAGGTCGCCTGTTCGATACACCCGGCCTTCCTCTCGACCAGCGGCGAAGCCAACACGTCGCATCCATGTTGGAGATGAGATGAAATTCGTAGCTGCTTGTTCTGGACTGTTCAAATATCCGCGACCTACGAGAGGCCCCTGAAGAAGAAGCTCCCCCACAGCACCAATAGGAGCGATTCGGTCAGGATTTCGTGGATCGGTCACCCAGCAGGCGCCTGCAATCGGGAAACCAATATTCCCGCCTTGGGAACTGGAGTTGATTGGGGACTGCACAGTAAACGTGACCGTGCACTCCGCTGGACCGTAACCGGATACGATCCGTGCATGTGGCACCCACTGCTTAATATCGCTTGGCCGAAGGGGTTCTCCACCGAGCATGATTGTCCGGAGTGACCCCAACTCGTTTGGCATCATTGCGCGCAATACACCCGGGGTTAAATAGGCGTGAGACGGTCGTAGTCTTTGTAATGCCTCAGTCAGCCGGCCTCTGCGCTCAGGCTCCATCAGAATGCAGATGCAAGCACCCGCAAGCAATGGACCGAGTATTTCCAAAATACTGACGTCGAAAGCATAGGAAGAGAAGTTCAGGACGCGGTCACCTAGACCAATACCCATCCGACGAGAAACTTCTTTAGTCATTGTCATAAAGGAACCGTCCTCTATCACAACTCCCTTGGGTTTACCGGTTGAACCAGACGTAAACACCGCATAAAGAGCACGAGATGGGCCCAAACGGGACGTCCTGTAATCTGGCATCGATGCACACTCGGATTCGATGCTCTGAGGCATAATCACAACATTGCGGAACAGAGCCTCGGCTTCGTGACGATGCTCGGGTAATGTGAGAATGAAAGGAGGCTTTACTTCTTCGCATATAGTCCGAAGCCGCTCTAGTGGATGCGAGGTGTCCAGGAGGACGAAGGCTGCCCCTGCCTTGAGCACGGCCAACAGCGCTACCACAGTCCAGCATGACCGATCCAAGTATATTGGAACGAAGACCTCCGATGAGACTCCCTGCAAACGCAAAAGTCTAGCGGTATGGCTCGAAAGAAGGTCTAATTCTTTATACGATAGACTGAAGTTGGAAGACGAGACGGCTAAACTCAATGGTTGCCTCTCACAATGCTGAGAAATCACATCAGTGACCGATGCCGGACATCGTGATGGGATTCCAACGTTCCAGGCTTGCAACTGCTGGACACCTTTGTCATTCAGTGTAGCAATTTCGTGCACCAGCTTTGCTGGATGACGGTGTACCTGCTGCAAAATGTGGCTGAATTGGTCTAGCATATGTTCCACCTGCCATGCTGGAATGACAGTCTCATCAGTGGACACTGCAACAGTCACCATGTTTGGCTTGAGCATGACGGCGAGTTGGATGGCGTAGGTGTTTGACGCAGAATCCCCGGATGATGTTCCCATGGGTTCCATAGGACCATTGACGGTGCCCAAGTTTTCAACCTCTCCTCTCCCTTCCACAAGTAGGGTTTGGAATGAACAGGCCTGCTTGGCCTCGGGTCCTGATGGCCGCAATTTCAGGTAGCCCAACTTGTTCGAGTGGAATGAGCTGTACTGTCCGCTCTTGCAAATTTCTGAGGGCATGCGAGACGGTCGCATTATTATTGATTTTCACGCGCAAAGGAAGCGTGGCTATTGTTGGACCAGCCATGCCTTCAATGCCATTGACGGATGCTGCTCGGCCAGGGGACACAATTCCATATACCACATCGTCATTACTCTGGTAATGAGACTGAACAAGAGCCCATGCGAAACGAATGGCGGTGGTTCGACTGACACATTCATCCATCACCGGGCCGGTCTCAACCGTTCGTACCGTTTGCTTCGAAGCCTGAGGCCGATATGATGAGGAGGGAAGTGTGGGAAATTGCTCGGCAGTAAGTTCATGGAACTCACGACGCCAGTGTTTGAGCGCATCCTTTTGTTGGGACATGGAATATTTGATAAAATCTTTGAATGGAGTCATGTCGGAGGGCTCCAATATCTGGCCCTGATAAACCTCTTGTGCACGGTGCACAAGGAGAGGCAGTGACCAAGAGTCATACAGAGCATGATGAATGGTGATCATCAGATCCTGTCGCTGAGCTTTAGTGGGATCTTCGCTCAGCACCGGGATGACTTCGAACTGCACAAGTGGCTGGCCTAGAAGAACGTTCCAATGTAACTTTTTCTCTTCCTTCATGTCCCCCGAGATCCAGTGAAGCTCGATATTCTGTACCAGGACCTGCATAAAGCCAAACTCCGATTGAATAAATCGGGTGTGCAAAATTCCGTTGTGTTTTGCTACCGTCTCCCAAGCAGTTTTCAATAAAGACAGGTTAACATCTGGCTCTAGACGGAAACGATGGTATGCGATATATGACCCGGGACGCTCCGCTGTCAAAGCTACCATACCGGCCTGCAATGCGGTACAGGGGTATATGTCCGCGATTTGCTCCATCGGGAGGTTGCATTGTTCCATTGCCTGTGCTTTCAATTCTTCCCGGTGATTTGCCGGGAGCATTGAAAATGGGGGCACGGAACCATTCAATTCTTTTGGTTCGGAGTTTGGCCATTCCTTCGGCCCTGGAAGCGAGCAATTCAGTGCGAGGTCGCTGAGCTTAGGATTCAGGAAGATATCTGAGACACCTAGTTGAATCCCGTGCTCACTGGCCGTGGCAGCCAGCCTCATTGCTGCGATCGAGTCTCCCCCCCAAGCGGAAAAAGTTGTCGTCAGGTCCGATCGTCTCTGCAGGGCGAGCCAGAACTTCAGCCCAGCAACTTTGCAATGCAAGTTCCCCCTTTGTCATTTCTCTTAACTGTCGCAGGTGGTGGCTGGTCGCTTCTCGACCAATCTGTGCTCGTAGCGCTTGAGATGCTGCATGGCGCAGTTCTTTTCGGTCAATCTTTCCATTCACCAATCGTGGTACCTGATAGACAGGAATGAATGCAGAGGGAATAAGAGAAGCTGGAACATCTGCCCGAAGACGTGATTTCATTTGCTCCACGGCCGCCTCGAAGTCTTGAACGTCGCCACTGTCTTCTGGTTGAACAATGGAGGCAACCAAGTGTGCATCTTTGGCATCATTTGGTGTGATCAAATCTGCAAAGACTTCGGGATCGTTGATAGGGAAGCACTCCTGAACGTGGTGCTCAACTTCGGCAAGTTCGATACGCTGTCCACGCAACTTGACTTGACGATCTTTCCGTCCGATGTATTGTATAGAGCCATCCACAAGACGCCTCACAAGGTCACCTGTTCGGTACAAGAGGCCCTTTGGGGAACCACGGATCTTGGATAACCAGATGGGATGTGGAAAGAATGCCGCTGCCATGGCCTCCGGACGATTAACATAACCGCGACCGACAATAGGACCCTCGATGAGCAGTTCTCCGACAGCACCCACAGGTACAAGCTTCTCTGGTTTGTTTGGATGCGCCACCCATGCGACACAACCAACAGGCTGTCCAATATTAGACTCATCTTGTGAAAGGTATTGCGGGGATGGCTGGGCCGCAGCAATGACAGAGCATTCTGAAGGGCCGTAGGCATTCATTAAGCGTAAATGTGGTGACCAGCGACGGACATCATCCCTAGTCATACCCTCTCCACCGAGCACAAGTGTTTCCAAGGTCGAAACATGCTGCGGATTTAGGATGCGTGCCACAGAGGGGGTCAGCAGAGTCCAGTTCACTCGCATCTCGCGGATTGCATGACCCAGTCTCTGACTTCTGTCTTCATCGGAGGGAATGCAGATACAGCCACCGACCAAAAGCGTGTCGAGCATTTCCACAATGCTAGCGTCAAACGCATAGGAGGCAAATTGAATGACCCGAGCGTTTTTGTCAAGACCAAGTACCTGGGTATGCGCGGCTGATGCTGACAGGAAAGACTGGTGCTCGATGACGCTTGCCTTTGGCCTGCCGGTCGATCCAGATGTAAATACAGCATATGCGGAGGACTTTGGACTAGCCACCGATGGTATGTTCTCTTTTCGAGCTCCTGAATTCGATATTTGGCTAAGGTCCTCCACGATGATGGGGTTCGGCGCTAGACTGGCTGCAAGTCCAAGGTACCTCGATGAAGTGATGATAACTGGACACTGGAAGTCTAGTTGCACCATCTCTTGCAGTCTCTCTGCTGGATGCGATGGGTCAAGCAAGATGAATGCTCCACCTGCTTTCAAAATGGCGATTATGGCGACAACTGTCCATTGGGATCTTTCACGGCATACTGGCACAAATACCTCGGGACCAACACCAAGCCGGGCCAGCTCTTTAGCCAGTAGCGATGAGATAAGGTCGAGGGTCTCATATGTGATCCGACCATCCCAAGAATCGACTGCAGGGGATGTGGGTTGCGCCGTCGCCATTCGTTCTATGTCAGTGTGAATACAAGATCGTACAGATTGCGGCAGGTTGTAATTGAAACTAAGCATCTGATCCTCATTCTTCCCCATTGACAGGTTTATGTCGCTTAGATTGACGATTTCAGGATCAATAAGTTGCAGAACGATGTGAAAAAAGGTGTCGGCCACCAATTCAGCCTGAGCTTCAGCCACAGCGTGCGTCCAGTATGTCAAATCACAATCGATGGTCTTTTCACGCGCAGTGATATTGATAGTCAAGTCATACTGTGATTTGGTAAGTGAGTGCTTCTCTGTTCCAAAGGCATGTTGTTGGGTGAAGATCTTGCCAAAGGTAAACCACACATACCTCAGTTGAGTCAATCCCATCTTCTGGTTGTAATTTAATCCTTTCAGACTGATCAGAAAACAGACTGCCGGCGTCCTTTTGTAACGACATCGCGGTGTTGAACAAAGGTTGACCCGAATGATTCAAAGAATGCATGACCTCTGCCAAAGAGCAATGTTGGTGATCAAGGCTTTGGGCGTAGGCCGCATGATTTTCGGCAAGCGTTGACAAGACCGATGATTCATCAGCCAAAGATAGGCGACAAATCAAAAGATTGATCAAAGGACCAGAGATATTGTGCGCATCTTGCACTGGAATATCCCGGCAAGCATTCAAATACCCGAAGCATACAGACTCGCTTGATGTGTATACACGAAGAACAATACCCCAAGCGACTTGTAGCAAACTGGAAATGGTGATGCCATGATTCTGGCAGAATGAGTAGAGATCTTGTCCATGATCCATTGAGAATGGCAACGATTTTAGGGAGCGTGATGCAGTCCTATGCTCTTTCAATCCAAGAGATGGAAAAACACAAGGGTGAACATCAGTCAAGTACTGCTTCCAATAGGACTCCGAGGCCTTGGAGTCCCGAGTGTGCAGATAAGCCAGATAATTGCTATAGCAGTCCGCAGGCTCGGCGTCTAGTGTCCCATTGCATGCTTGGTGGAATTCTGACAGTAATCTTTGCTCCGTGATACCGTCAACAAGGATGTGGTGGATAGCCAGCTGGCAGTAAGCTCCACCATGAGGCTCAATTGCGATGGTAAGCTGATGAGGTGGGCGACCCTTTGTGTTTGGCGATTTTGGATTCAACAGGAACTCGTCCGAAAGAGACGGAACTTGGCCCTCCGCACGCAATTCGGATCCCGACACCACCTTGATGTCTGCCTCGGTAGTTCTTAGAACTACTTGGACAGGATGACCGTGCCCTTTGACACCATCAGTGAAGACAGTGCGCAAGATGGGTTGACGGTCAACAACCTGCTGCCATGCTTGCTTCACCTCGGTGATATCGATTGAGGAGTTGGCTGACGTCGGGTACAGAGACCACCGGATATGCGACCAGTATACTTGAGGGTTTCTTAATTGGCTCAACCACATGCCTAGTTGAATAGGCGAGCAAGGAAACATATCCTCGATTCCAGACGGAGACACATCGAATCGACCTGAGACCTGATGGAGTAGGCTGTGAAGGTGCTCCTCGCTTGCAAGTGATAGCAGCGGAAAATCGACAGCAGCGAGTCGCTGTTCCTGCTGCAGATCCATGGGGAGTTCCTCAAGGGTTTGTAGGCAATTGTTGATCCATTGCTCTAGTCGTTCCTGGTGCTGTAATCGTTGATTATAAATAAAGGACAAGTTGAGAGAGCCGTTCATGACGGTTGCGTTCACATCAATGAGAGCCATGCGCGGCAAATCAGCTGCCATGGGGAGAAGGGAATCATCTTGGACCGATGTCATCTGAAGAAAGGCACCAGGTCTTTCTAATTGTTGGAAAAGACCGGTGTAGTTGAAAAGAATCTCCATTGGGAAATGATTTTGGAATACTTCCGGTCCCTCAGGGTGGAGAAATCGGGACGCAAAGTATGCCCACCCGTTAGTGGATATGCTCCGGCGACCGTCTTTTGTGAGCTGCAAGACCCTCCTGACGTTGTTCTCTTTCTTAACATCCAAATACACAGGGGCAATAGTGGTGAACCACCCAACTGTACGGGATATATCAATTTCTGAGTCCCAGGGTTCTCTCCCATGCCCTTCGGTAAACATGGTGGGTGCAGGTCGATTGTCAAAGGCCTGAACAAAGGCGTAAAGAACGGCTGCCTGAATGATTTCCACTGGCTGGGTGTGAAATGCGCCATTTGCAGCACCGATTATCGCCTCTGTTGTTTCCTGCGATACTGTGATGGTTCGTCGCGTTGCATCCGCCCAAGTATTCGCACTCAAGACAACTTCCGAGCCCCAGTAGTCCATTGAGGGACGTGGAATTTCTGTCTTCAGGGTTTCACGGGGATTAAGAGATACGCTGGCATAGCTTTGTTGGAGCCGGGACCATTGCTGGAATGACATGGAGAGAGGTTGTATCGTACGGCCCGTGCTGAGGATATCTTCCAGGTCCTGCAGCAGGATGCGCCATGACACTAGGTCAATCACAAGATGATGGGCCATCAACACCAAGAACTGCTCCCCAGTGTCTGTAGCGATAACGTCAACAATGATCATCACTCCCTGGACGATATCAAGCGTGCTCTGGCTGATTGACAAAATCTTCTGCAAAGCTTTACGGTCATTTATAGAGGGCACCCGATGCTCTCTATATCGAAGGCTTCTAGACACATCAGGGCTAATAATCTGTCCCCATTGACCATCGGCTCGTCGTTCAAAACGGGCACGGAGCATTGAATGAGTCGTGACGATCTTCTCAATTGCTCGTTTAATCTTAGGAGGTGGAAGTGGTTTACCGAGCCGAAGAATGAACTCGAGAGTAAACTTGTTGTGACCATTTGGCACTCGCTCAAAGAAGAGCTTCTGGATCGGGGAAAGTTCAAACCACACCTCCGTTTGTTCATCCTCCCCGACCGAGGCAAAAGAGACGGACCCTGAATCTTGGATCCTTTCCGCCAGTTGCCTGATGCTTGGAAACTGGAAGATATCGGCAACAGCTACTTTCAATCCGACGGTGCGACATCCTGCAGCGACTTGCATCGCGCTAACGGAATCCCCTCCCAGACGAAAGAAGCTTTCCGTAGTGCCGATTTCTTCAACAGTTCGATTTAGTGCCTTGGCCCAGATATGTTGAAGCTTTTCCTCGCGAGAAGTTGATGGCACCTCCGGATGCATTTTCACGGCTCGATATGCCTTCATCTGCTCCAAGGACAGCTTATTGGCCTGCTCCTGGATGGAACGTCGATTGGTCTTCCCAGATGGCGTCAGAGGTACATGGGATATGGGTAGGTAAAACCGTGGAATCATGAAAGATGGTAGAACATCCGACATGATGGTCTCTGCCACAGCACATGCTTCACAGAACTCGTCGCTTGGAGGGAGAAACTCGGCTTGATGATTGCCATCGTCACTTGGAGACGCAGGGAGACATATAAACGCTACCAGTAAAGCGTCTGGTCGATGATCATTGATACTGTTTGGGGCAGAGGACCGGAGAACGTCTGCAAGGGTCTGGCGGGCTTTCGGGAATGCTTTGTGAAGATGGTACTCAATGTCCGCCAGTTCTAGACGCTGTCCGTGTAGCTTGACCTGAGTATCCTTCCGTCCGAAGTATCGGAAACTGCCATCACCGGTAGCTTGCACCAAATCTCCGCTTTTGTATAGTTTTCCAGATTGAGGGGAGCCAAATTCCAGGCGCCAGGGAGGTGCTTCAACGAACACCCGGGCCGTCTGCTCGGGATTCGATAGATAACCCTTGCCAACGACTGGTCCTTCTATCAATAGTTCTCCGGTGCATCCCAGCGGCATGAGCACCCGATGATCCTTTGGATGAACGACCCATCCAAATCCCCCCTGTGCTAAATCCTATATTCGCTGGATCGTTGCTCTTGAGACTTGGTTGTACACTGAACACTGCTGAGCACTCCGCGGGGCCGTACGCATTTCCAACGTGTACAAAGGGCTCCCAGCGGACAACGTCGCTAGCCAGAACTGCTTCTCCGACAAACATCAAAACCTTTAACGACTGAACACTGTCAGGGCTCATGATCCGGGTGACACTGGGCGTCAGGCACGCAACGTTCACTGCAAAGCGGTTCATAGATTCCACAAGATGACTGTAACAGTCTTCCGTTGACGGAATGCAAACACAGCCTCCCTGAATCAGCGTACTGAGAAATTCGATAATGCAAGAATCAAATGCTGGAGAGGCAAATTGTAGTACACGCGACTGCGGTGTGAAGTGGTATAGCTTGCCATGGGCCATAGAACTTGAAGCAAAGCCCTCGTGATGAATAATTACTCCTTTGGGGGTTCCCGTGGATCCAGAGGTAAATGTCAGATAGACGGGATCCTGTGGGCTGACCGAGGGCTTTTGGGATGAATTAATGCAATTCAGCTGCTCTGAGTCAAATGTATCCACGTTAAGCAACGCCTGGATCCCCAGCTGGGCCGCCAGATCAATATGCCAGCCGCAAGTCAACACCAGGGGGGGCTTCAACAGCTTCACACATATGCTGTAATCGGGACTGTGGGTATGACGGTTCTAACAGCACAAACGCAGCACCAGCTTTCATGACAGCAAGCATGGCGACAGCCATCCACTTGGTCTTTCCCAAGAGAAGTGGTACAAATGCCCCAGGGCCAACACCATGCCAGCAAAGACGGTCAGCCAATGCTGAAGACAACTCATCGAGGGCTAGGTATGAATAGCTGCCGTCCCAGCTATTGATGGCGGGGGCAAGAGGCTGTTGCCGCGTGCGACTTTCAATTAGAGAATGAACACACGACACGACATCAGGGCGCTTTGTCAAGATGTTCTGGCTGCGGAGATCGCTCAAGTCTTCGGGGCTCACGGCATTGATATTGGAAAGTGTGAGGCCCGGTTGAGTATCGATCTGCCCGTAAATATGGCTGAATTGGGAGAGAATCCGCTCCATTTGACAGACATCGGTTGCTGCCGGGTCAAAAGAAGCCTCAATCCACATTGTCATGGTCGAGGGACGACATCGTAGGACCAAAGGATACATATCGTACGTCACTTGGGTCGATCGACTTTGGGAGAACATTTCGGGAAGTTGATGGCCATCTCGAGGCTCGACCGAGATCAGGGTCCGGAAATTACACGCTGCGGCTGGACCAGGTCCAAGGCGAAGCAGATTTTGCAATCCAACATGTTCGAACTCCATAGATGCTGCCCATTCGTCCTGTACTGCAATCAAGGCATCTGCAACGGTATTCTGCCCGCACAGCTTGATGCGCACCGGTACACTAGCGAGTGCAGGACCGCTCAGGTCCTCAATTCCCGCAACGGACACTGCACGGCCCGCGTTGACTGCTCCAAATAATGTGTCGTCAGAACCAGTATAGACCGATTGCAGGATTGCCCACGCCAACCGAATCTTGGTGCCGACAGTGCTTGAGGAACCATTGCCAGATTGGATGCTAAAGGATCTCTCTAGCCGCTCGGTTGGCCTGGAAGCATGGCCCACTATGGGTAGTTGGGGAAACACGCCCATCGTGCCTTTGTGAGCATCACGGAACATGGATTCCCAGAAATCATTGGCTTTGTCTTTGGTCCGCTGTACATGATCCACTAGAGGCCGAAAGGGGTGGGAAGACAGTTCCTCGCCTCTGTAGGCTGCGTCGGCTTGGCGCAATAACAATGCCATAGACCAGTGGTCGCAGATGGAATGATGGATTGTCACTTTCAGCTTATGTTCGGTGACATTGAAGAAGAAATACGCCAGCGGACCTCCTGCTTGCCAGGAAGGGCTGGTGATCTCACCATTTATGCTGTCGTCGGTGTCCTGCACCTGCCATGGAATGGATCCTCGCACTACTGCCTGCACACAGCCGCGCTGACTAGTTGGAATCATCCGAGTCCTCAAAATCGGGTTCGCTTGGGCCGTCGTAATCCAGACCTCCTTCAGCTTATGGTGGTCAATCTCCCGTGGAAGGCGATATTCGTGTTCGATGGTGTATGCTCTCGGGTCTTTGAAAGTGAGGGCTATCATTGCTTCCTGGAGGGCAGTGCAGTCATATACATCTTCAATATCTTCTAGGGGAGCAATGGCATTGATCGGCCACTTGTTGCCAGATTCCATCTATTTCATTCTCCTCCTCGGTCGATGGAGACGGAGTAAGGGGTTCTTTGTTGAACGAGATCCATGTTTCCTCCAATGAGTCTCCCGGTGGGGTGATGGCCCTTGGGGCCGGGAGATCTGTTGGTGCCCTCATACTGTATTCGGGATGCTTTGGTACCGTAATCTCAGATTACTTTGCTGTCCATTCAATCAGAAAATATACCTATGCTGTTGGGGTCCATATTGACATACCTGTGTCCTTCAACCGTAGCTGTCTTGTGTAGTTCTGGGGGTTTTTTTTCAACGCAGGAGCAATCTCGTCGGCATTGTACCTGCTATGAGAATAGGGAGTTCGTAATTGACAGCCAAGAGGCGAGTTGAAATAAAACTTATACTAGAATATCAGCGACATCAATAGTACCCAGGGCTACACCTTCGAATAACCTCGCTATGGCTCTATAGAGTTTCGGGATAAATATAATGCGCCTTGATCAAGATTAGTTCGCATAAACCGTTGGTATACGCCCATTGGCAATGTAACATAATAGCTTCCTTTGACGCGCACAGTAAACTCTACATCTAAAATTAATATCTTTCACGACGGCTTCTTCTTTTCCGGCGATGTTCGCTTCTGTTTGCGTTCTGCCAAGCACTCACGATGTATATTCATCATCGATTGAGCTTGTTCCATAATTTTCACAATATGCTACCGAGATTGGCAATCTGAAAGTCCTAGAATAAAGAGGGTTTCATCCCGTCGGAACTCTAAGTTATCCCCACACCTTGACATCACCACTCGCTCGCCTTATTATACCATTTTGGCCAATGCAATAACCAGAGAATTCTGATGACTTTGAGACTATGGAGCTTAATCCTTGCTTGAGGGCCTGTGACGGCCTTGAGTGGTTCGCGTCTTACTGGGATCTGAGCGCTAAGAGCCCCCCTTGATTCTTGGCGTCCGAAAGATGACCCGCGGTGTTCTTCAAACGTAAATTCAGTTTCTCAGTTACACAAGAAGCTAGAATTCTCCTCACACGAAACTAGAACCCCGAGATGTTGCAGAAGCCCTTGTTCGACAAACAACCGAGAAACAAAGGGGTTTCTTGCATCAAAACGTTGGGTTGACAGGGTGAAAATGCATTCTCCGTCAGCTTCCCCGCATCGTGTCGAAACGCAGGACATACCAACATCGCCAGAGAATAACTCCATCGCCAGTCCAGATATGGTCGCTCGTTCAGCAAAGTCAAAAGATGAGACAGCCAAACCAGCAAGTCTCGGTAGCTATGCGGTAGGCTTTGATTCATTGATGGACCTGGCTTTGTCTACTATCGCTCACACCTCCTCCAGAGGATTCTATCATATGGTGCCTCTGATGGGGGTATATATATTATGATTCTAGGCCTGGTTTGTGCCATGGCTTCGGGAATTGTGCGTTAGAGCAAATGTCGAGCAGTACTCATGATCAACTAATGACATTCCAGGCTCTTCCGTTGATGAACATTGTCTTTGGTCAACTGGTCGGCAGCTTCAACGGGTACTTTATTCCAGGATCGGGTATCACAGAGCAATCGTTCAAGTCTTCGGTCAACCAAGACAGGTAAATATCGCATTCTATTGCTCATGGCAGCGAACTTACCGTCTTCTTCTAGCTTGTATATTGTGTATTTGTTTATCGGCAAATTCGTTCTGACTTACATATCCATGGTACTGTGATTTTTCACCTCCATAGCTCCGTTGTTACTGAGACAAGACAGATTTGTTTTCGATTGATCAGTTTTCGCGCCTCGGGGGCCTTGCGCCTGGAGTACACCCAAGCTCTCTTTTCACTTCCTGTGAGCAAGCTGGACGAGATGTCAGTCGGAACTGTCACACATGCGATTACAGCGCTGTCAAATACGATCCAGCAAAGTGTTTCTGATCGACTTGCCATTCTGTTCCAGTCACTCGCCTTGCTCATCGCGGCTTACGCAATCGCATTCCGTTATTCCTGGGCACTGACGCTTGTTGTCAGTGCGGCCATTGTATTTGTGATCCTTGGGTTTAGCCTGACAATGCCGTTTCTGGTCAAGGCGCAGCAGAGTGTGGACAAAGCGGACGAGAAGCATGCAGCCCTCGCCGCAGAAGTATTCGGCTCTGTTCGGACAGTGTTCGCCCTGGGTGCTGAGCAACCGCTATTCAAAAAGTATACACGGTGGGTCGAGGAAGCACGAAAACGTGGCCTGCGCATGTCTCTAGTCAGTGGAATTCACCTGGCAATGCTCTTCTTTGCCATGTATGTCAGCTTCGCCCTGGCCTTCTGGTTTGGGTTGAAGCTGTATCGTGAAGGTCACATTGCTAATATTAACACCGTGATCACGTATGATTATTCCATCTTTCCAATCCTTATGATGCCGAGTTCTGACAATCATTTAGGGTATTCTTTTCTGTGCTCCTCGTGGTCACTATTTTGGGAGGCATTGCGGGGCCATTGATGGCTATCTCGAAGGCCATAAGTGCATCAGGTGCCTTTTTTGGTGTTATTGATTCCAAGCAGGATAATCCACTTGGAATTCGTGAGCCAGAAGTATCCAGCCATGCTGATATCGTGCTTCAGGACGTGACATTTGCCTATCCAACACGAACAGAAATGACTGTGCTTAAGGGATTTCATGCACGCTTTGAGCGGAATAAAACTACGGCTCTGGTTGGACCCTCCGGTTCGGGGAAAAGCACAATTGTCGCTCTGATTGAGCAATGGTATCAACTTCGGTCGGAGGAAGAAGAAGAGGCCACGTCGGGTCATATCCATGTGGGAGGTCACAACATCAATAACTTGGATGTGAAGTGGTGGCGATCCCAGATTGGACTTGTTCAGCAAGAGCCGTTTCTGTTCAATGATACAATATACAACAACGTTGCTTTTGGTCTGATCGGATCGCAGTGGGAGAATGACACAGAGCCTGTGAAGATGGAACTCATCACCGCAGCTTGCAAGCAAGCCTTTGCAGATGAATTTATCGACCGCCTTCCCATGGTATCGTTACACCTTTTTCGCTACATTCCTTTTTTATTTCCATTTCATCTGATTATTCCATCTATAGAGCTACTTGACCACTGTTGGGGAAGGTGGAATCGCATTGAGTGGCGGGCAGCGCCAAAGAATTGCCATCGCGCGAAGCATCGTCAGCCAACCCCAAATTCTTATTCTTGATGAAGCGACCAGCTCGATCGATATCAAAGGAGAAAGGATTGTGCAAGCAGCCCTCGATCGTGTGTCCAAAGATCGCACTACAATCATGATCGCTCATCGCTTGTCCACCGTCCGCCGCGCGGACAAGATCATCGTCATGAAAGACGGCCATAACGTTGAAGAAGGTTCTCACCAAGACTTGATAGACAAGGAAGGAATATACCATAGCTTGGTTCATGCTCAACGGCTGGAGCCACTGACAGATTTGATGGAAGCCGACGTGCCGGGTTCGATTTCTTCCCAGAAAGAAGACGAACTCAGCCCTCAAGATTGCACCACAAAAGAACCCGTCGAGCAAATTTTCCAGGATCCTCCCGAGCCTGAAAGAGGCTTTGGCTTTTTCCACACCTTTGGGGTGCTCATTTATGAGAACCGTAGCCATTGGGTTTTATATGCACTGACGCTGATCGGGGCTGTAGGGGCAGGGTGTAAGTATTAACCATACTCTTCCGCACATTTCCAGATATACGCTTACAGGGTCCAATAGCCGGGTTTTCCCTGCAAAGTTGGCTATTTGCCAGACTTGTGCAGGTTTTCCAGTTCACAGGCGAGAAGCTCGTGCACGCTGCAAACTTCTGGGCGTTGATGTTTTTCATCCTCGCCCTTGCCATGGCGACCTTCTATTTCATGCTAGGATTTTCGTCGAATTCGATCTCGATGGTGAGCCTACATACATCCACGGACTTCAACCAAAGCTAATTGTTCAGTTTGTCGTGTCCAACGCTCGGATGGATTATTTCTACAACCTATTGTCCAAACCGGTGTCATACTATGACCGCGAGGAGAATTCCTCAGGTACTCTGATGTCCAGACTCTCCACTAATTCAAAACAGTTACAGGAGATGTTTGGTCCCACTGGCGTTTTCCCTCTTATTTCGATCTTCAACATCATGGGATGTGTTGCAATCTCCTTCGCCTTTGGATGGAAGCTGGCAGCTGTCACTTTTTTTGCCGCCATGCCATTCTTATTTTTCTCTGCCTTCATGCGCATTCGATATGAGATCAAATTCGAGAGCCTAAATGCCGAAGTTTATGCCGATAGCTCCAAGTTCGCAACGGAGGCGGTCCGGGCCTTCAGAACTGTCACTGCTCTAACCATGGAAGATACAATTTTGGAAAGATATTCAAAGTTGCTGAAAGATCAGCGTCAAAAGGCCATCCGGAAAGCGTGGTACGCAACGTTGATATTTGCGTTTTCCGACAGTGTTGAGCTATGTGCCATGGCGCTCGCCTTCTGGTACGGCGGTCAGCTCCTCGCGTCCCACGAATATGATCCAGTTGCATTTTTCGTGGTATATATTGCCATTATTCAAGGCGGCCAATCGGCTGGGCAGTTCTTCAGTTTTGGTCCAAATATTGCCCAGGCTAAGGCTTCTGCCAATCGCATATTGGCTGCACGGCTACCCACCGCGGGACAGCTTCAGCATGTTCCGGTGGGGCCGCTCTCTTCTTCGGAGTACACGCCGAGTCCCTCTGTTGAACTGCAAAATGTCTCTTTCCAATATTCTTCTCGGGAGGTACCGACATTTGTGAATCTGAACCTCGCCATTGAGAGTGGTCAATTCGTAGCATTTGTCGGACCTTCAGGTTGCGGAAAATCTACGCTTGTCTCGCTACTCGAGCGCTTCTATGACTGCACTCAGGGAAGCATCCTATTTGGTGGCCGAGACATTTGTTCCATCGAACTGCCCTCTTACAGAAGTGCTTTGTCGCTTGTCGCCCAGGAGCCGAAACTCTTCGAAGGCACCATCCGTGAGAATCTCCTTCTCGGTCTACAAGCCCCCAACAACCCAAATACCGAGGAACAAATGATCCAAGCATGCAAGGACGCCGAAATCTATGACTTCATAATATCCCTGCCGGATGGCTTCTTGACGGAACTTGGCGTCAACGCTCAGTCCTCGCTGAGTGGTGGGCAAAAACAGCGTCTTTGCATTGCGCGAGCCCTGATCCGAAAACCGCTACTTCTCCTTCTTGATGAGGCTACATCCAGTTTGGACTCTCTAGTCGGAAAGTCTCGTGCAAAGCGCTATGGAGAGATTAGCAAGCAAGCGCAACATGACTATCATTGCGGTCGCGCACAGACTAGCAACCATTCAGAAAGCCGATGCAATTTTTGTCTTTGGAGAAGGGGCCTCGGGGAAGGGATCGAGGATTCTTGAGTCCGGAACGCATCATGAATTGTTGCGCAGAAAGGGGGCTTATTGGCAGATGGTATATTTCCCGCTGAGCCATATCTACTTCTTATAACTAACGTGATCATAGTGTCAAGCGCAAGCTCTAGACCGGTGATAGAATGAACCCTGCAAGCAACATTCATTCATTCATTGTCTCCTTATATCTCATACTTCTCTGTATCTCGAAGACTGGCGCAAAATACGGCATTATTCTTCAAGGACCTACTAAGCGCCTCTATACCCTCTCAAATCAGATCCCTAACATACTAAAACTAGCTGCAGTGTTGGTCCCCCTAAAGATATTTTACATATCACAACAAAGTAGATTGTATTGCGGTTGATTTTTCCAATGAAAAAGCACTACATAGGGGTAGTTCTGTGCTACCTGCAGTTTAAGAATATTACAAAAACGAATAGGTCATGGCAACCTCCAAGATAAACATACTAAGCTCCTTTCCAGTAACCCAGCCAATATCTACTGGTGGTGCGGGACGATGTTGTTGCTTTCATTGCTGTCGTGAAGGGCGAGGTGTGATGCGGGTTGAGAAACTTAAAGCTTCCGCACGAGGAATGAGTTTCAAGATGGAGGTCAGAGGGTATTTGGAAAGATAATGGTCCCATGTTGGATAGTCATTCCCTCGTAGGAGGAAGAAACAAGCCTGGTGAGAAAGGAATAGCACCGGAGGGGTATCGATGATTAAGGCGAGCACGGCCTTGTGCCGCGTTTCTTAAATGGACTCGACCTGATTCAATATTTATTCGGCAGGTGCCTTCTCTCCTCCGGTCCCATTCAGTGGAGTATCAAATTTGAAAACAAAAAGGGATTCGGGTGAAAAATAGATGGGCTTCAGGGTGTTCAGGGCGACGGGGTAAATATTAATTAGGGCGACGAGGGCACTAAACACGAATCAAAAAAAGAGGGCGAGCAAAAAACATACAACAGCAGGGATTCGCTGGTGGTCACCCACCCAACTACTAACCTGCCGGCGTGTGGCTTAAGTACGGCTGAGCGGACGGGAAGCCCTGTTCTCCACACCCTATGGTCGTATGTACCATATGCCTCGTGATAATTAAATATATTCTATTTCAAATTAGAAAGACAGGGTGAAAATGTTGCGCGACCAGGGGTGAGAAGGGTGAGAACCAGGTGAGAATCCTTCGGCTCGTCGCGACCGCCGCACTGACCTTCTAGTTGAGCAAGAATAGAACATTATTAGGCTACGAGCCCCTATCTGAAACAGGTGCTCGATCCATCTATGGACTGCGTTGTAGATGGGCTGTAGTCCTTGAAACGTGGATCAAGCGCTCGACAGTTTCGCAGCGGAATGCGCGATAGAGATATATACTTGAATGTGGCAATTTGTAACTAACTAACTAGTTAAATAAGTAATTAGGGAATATCCAATTATATAACAAATATATCCGATAACCACTGGCGTATTCGTTCCGACGTTTAGTGAAGGTGATTAACCCCCATCCCTGCAGTTGGTCCCAAGTTGATTGGGTCCCGTGTTCCTTCATTCTTCCGCGCTAGCAGTTAGTGCAGCGGGGTTCGGGTTCGTAACATTTTGTACCTTGCATCTCTGTCTGTTGAACGTAAGGTGATGGCTGCATTGGCACGATTGCAACCGGACCTAGCACACCAGTCATACTGACATGGCTAAATCAAAATTGACACTGCAGTCCACTCCGGGCTCAACACCTCGTACCGTACTGTTCCCCAATCATCCGTCGCTTGTCCGTAACCTTTGAATTCTTCTTCGCTATCAGCAAGCGCTGTGTAGAATTTTCCGGTCGCTTTTGCGATGGCCTGGTCCTTCTCTGAGGTCTTATTGTAATACAGATGAAACTTTGAAGCAGCGTAGATAATCAGGCTTTCTTTATTACCCGGCTTAAAGCTGAGTAGGTAGGGTATATGCGAAGCAAGAAGCCAGTCCCGAGTGTGATTCATAGGCAGCGCCTCGATGAGCTGTTTCTCGGTGTAGGCGAGCAGACCCTGTCGGGAGGCTGGAGGCTCAGCGTAAAGGCAGGGAGGTTTGTTGACCACAAATGCCTGGTAGTAGTTTTGTAGATAATTGACAGCCGTATGCTGGGGGGATGCGATGTGAATACACATGGTCACGCAGTCAAGAAGCTCCTTAAACGTGCTGATGGTCGGGAAATATGGCAAATCGGCACCATCGGAGCTCCGCATCTCTGCAGACCAGGCCTGAATGCGTTCGTCATACAGTACTTTGTGGTCGGCATCAGGTCCTGGGTAGTCTAGAGCAAGCATGTCTTGTACGTAGTTCCTGATCTTATGCCACATGCTGTGAATGCATCTAGCGTAGGCGTAGTTATGAAACTTCGGACTGTCGAGTTGCTCTGGAGGGAACCCACGTTCGCTGAGATCTGTGGGTACGTAGCGTTTCTTGAAGTCAAAGTTCTTGTACGCGTGCCGGATAAACGCATAGGCTTCGTTTGCCTGAAGCCCGACTAGTTCAACAATGATATGGGGAACCAGCGTGTTTCGGGCAGCCGCATTCAGTGCCAAGGTCTTCTGCCAGTGCGGATAGAGCAACTTCAAAACAGGGTGGTCCGGGTCGAGTTGCCGGTGAGAGGCGACAATGATGGCTTCTTCAATTAAATGAGTATTAGTAAGGTGCACGGTGACTTCATGCCGAAGCCAGTCGCTACATTGCACGCAGGTCTTGGCTATAACCGAACCGGCAAGTCAGTGAACAACGTAGAGGACATGATCGGTTGGGGGGGATACCATATCTCCAAGCCCAGTCATGAGCCTCGTCTGTTATCTTCTGTTTTTGGTCCTGCTTTTCGCTTCCTGGGCGGAGATCCTTCCGCTTGATCAATTCCCGGTTGTAGATTGTCACAGATGTCTCGGCACTGCCCCGCCAGTCGATAACAATAGCTAGCGGGTAAAGCTGGCCTTTATCATCGAGATAAAAAAGACACACAGATGCGCAACCATACCGATAGCTTTTTCTGCTCTTGCCCTTCTCATCTGCTTCGTCAAACTCACATTTGATTACCGCGGTCGGATCCAGCCCAGCAGCCTCGCGAAAGTAGCTGTAATCTTGCATGTACAAAGACTTTCGACAGCTTTTACTGAGATCGGCGATGGTCTTCTTAACCGCTTCATCCTCTGGTGCGTCTGCGGCTTGGATAAAGTGCTGTAGCCAGCCTTCTGAAGCCAGTTCGATCGTTGTAGGATTCGTCCCTGTAAACTGCTGCTGGGCAAACCGGGCATCGCTGTACCAATCTGTCAAATCGCCCACGTTGGGAAAATCGAATATATCGTTATGACATGACCCACGAGCCTTCCTGTTATACTTTTCCACATCTTCGAGCTTCTTCCCCGCATCGGGTCTGCCCAGAGACCCAAACCAAACCCATGCAGTTCTATCAGCAGCTGCTCTTATGAATTTATTTGGCACGACGCTAGGTAAGAGCGAGGCTAACTGAAGCAGGCGCATCTTATTAAAAAGAGAAGTTGGCTGAAGTGTTGATCTCTGGTTGATTTTATCCTTCTCTGCTGCTGGTACATTGCCAGCAAGGTTGAGATGGGGCGGGTAACCGTCTTTGCCATCTGTGAAGGCGAAGAACTTGCCTTTCTCGTCCCTGGTCAGAGGCGACGGAACTAAAGGTTCGAAATTGGCTGTATCCATGAAGGATATAAAGCTGTGGAGCATATTAGCCATCTCCGAGGAGCGAAAAAGGTCCGATGCAAGTACCGCTGTTCTATAAGATCATAGATCTTTGTAAGCGCCAGTTGAGTCCCCCGATATGTTCCTTCCTCAATTGGAGACGGCCCTTGTTCATAGGCTTTCCAATGTAGGTTCTCGGGGTTCTGCTCGAAGTCTTCTTTCTCCCCGTCACTCAAGGATTCGAGCTTCTTCGGCAAAAGTTCAATATCCGCCAATTCATTGATCAATACGCCGGTGTCAATGTTATTGACAGCAAGTTTTTCAGGGTTCCCTTGGCCATTTCCCCTGAACCTCGGGATAGCCAAGCACGACGCCAGGAGTCAATGTCGTAGCGTTTTGAGCCATAACTGCTGGAACGGAGTTGTATTGTTCGGCAAAATCAGGCCGAACTTACTTAGCCTAGACTCTCAGATGTAATTAATCCAACCTAAGATGTAATCCAACATACGATGATTCGGTGCATGGAATTGAAAAGATTTAAATATGCCGAAGCCTCCAAAGAAGAGTGTGGATTTCATCAATCTGACTACTGCCTCGTGATGTCATGACAGTGGCCGCGAACTAACATCCAAGGTTCACGTAACATACTGCGTTGCAGCCGTATCTTACATTGACCGTAAAGTTAAGCGCAGTGAACCCTAATCAGCTACGAATATGGGCGAACTACTGCTTTTTCGATACCGTGGGATTGATTGGACCAAAGACTGGGAGATCCAGTGTGGCTCCAGTTTGGAGCACCCGAAAACGTTCTGCACCATCGCGGAAGTTCTAGATCGGTGCGGGGACGGGGTTCATGGTTGGGGGAGACTTACATGCAACCAGGGGTCCGTAACGTTAGTAGTGGATGGCTTGTGCTATATTCCCAGCTAATGCTAGCCCTCGCCAGAACCCGCAATCGTGTCCGAGGTCTGGACCCTCAACCGTTACCCGCCAACCCATGGGGGTGACATGTGGGTCACCCGCAATTCACCCTAAATAGAATACCTAAAATGAAGATTCATCTTCATAGATTACGCCTATTAATCAAGCTTTTCTAATTAAGAAAGATGCATCTAATCCTAATTGTGATAGCAGGTGCTTCTTACTATAGGTTGTTGGAAAGAGGAAGGCGGTCAAATTGTGTATACTATTGAAAAACTCTGGCATTATCTAATCCATGAGGACACCAATTTAACGTGGTCGGTAAGCGAGTGGCCAATGTAAACGAGTGGCCACCCAACCCACTTTTTCGTCTTTCTATGCACCTACCTATATTCTATCAAGCACTATGCCTCCAATTCGCGTCGGATCAAGCCAGGATTCTATCCAGCAAGAAGGTCGCCTCTTACTTGCTATACAAGCGATTCAAAAGAAAGAAATTCGCTCAGTTATCGAAGCTGCACGTCGCTTTAATATTCCTCGGACAACCCTTCGTCGCCGCATCGCTGGCACTACAAATCGCGTGAATACTCGCGCAAACAACCATAAAATAACCTAAATTGAAGAGGAAGTGCTAAAGGAACGCATATTATCGCTAGATACGCGTGGAGCTGCCCCTACGCAAGCTTATATACGAGAAATAGCGAATATTCTGCTTGCGAAGCGCGGTTTAACCCCTATCCAGACTGTCGGCGAAAAATAGGTATATAACTTCACCTAACGCTATCTAGAGCTTAAAGCTCGCTTTTCTAGACAATATAATTATTAGCGGGCAGAATAAGAGGATCCAAAGATTATTCGGGCGTGGTTTAACCTCGTATAAGTCATAATTTAGGAATACGGTATCCTAGCGGACGATATCTATAACTTTGATGAGACTGGCTTCGCGATAGGCCTATATACGGCATAAAAAGTGATTACCCGAGCAGAATACTACGGTCGGAGATCAGTTTTACAGCCAGGAAATCACGAGTGGGTAACTGCGATTAAGTTAATTAACGCTTCGGGGTAGGCGCTTCCACTAACGCTTATCTTTAAAGGTAAGCTATATAATTAAGTATAGTTTAAAGACCTTCCACCCGACTAGCGCTTCGAAGTTAGTGTAAATAGATAGATAACTGACGAGATAGGCCTTCGCTAGCTTCAAAAATAGTTTATTCCGTTAATAAATCACCATACGCGTGGACGATATCGCCTTTTAGTCCTTAACAGACACAGAAGTTATCTAACGCCAGAGTTCGATTAAATCTGCGCAGATTATAATATTATTCTAATCTGTATGCCGCCGCATTCCTCGTATCTACTTTAGCCTTTTAATATCGGATATTTCGCTATATTAAAGCGTTCGTACGGCAGTTTAATTGACTAAAAGATACGGCTCGGGATTAACTATATCGACAAACTTAACTTCCTTTTTATATACCTATAAGCTCGCGTCGACGCCTATAAACTAACTATAATATAAAATAGCTTCCGAGCAGTAGGATTAGTGCCAATTAATTCTTAATAAGTGCTATCGAAGCTTAATATTTAACTTCGGACGCTAACACCCCCCGTAAGCCGCGGTAGTTAATTAAGCGCTTTTTACCTATATACGCCCGCGAATATCGATAAGCTTCTAAAGTAAGCATCCTTAATTAAAGCTTTCTTAAAGCGACGCTCAAAAAGTCCGCTATCGCCTTCGTAAACCGCGCTAAACTAGCTTATTAAAGGCTGTCAGATCGTAATACAAAACGGTATACTTCTCGAGTAAGAAAAATAAGTAGCTACGTGCCGCAAACGCTATATAAAAGCAAAAGCGAGCTCGTAAGAACAAATAGATAGCCCACGATGACGGTCTATCCGTACGAGAAGCATTAGAGCTCGAGGAAGCTTATAAGGAGCCCTCGCAGGTAATACTAGCTCCACTAAGCCTACTACCGCAGGACACACTAATACCGAAGACGCGGCGTCCACCCTAATGTACCAATTGCGGACAGATCGGACATAAGAGGAATATATGTAAAGCTAGAGATTAATTAATATAAAGGCGTTGTGGTCGATAAAAGTGTCAAGATATAGAGAAAAAGTGGGCGGGTGCGCCGCTCGCTTACATGCGCCACTCGCTTACCGACCACGTTAACTTAGTTTCGCTTATATAAGCGTATCGTTTGTGCCGGTTTTTGCCTACTAGAATGAAAAGTCGCTGGCTCGTAGCACCTCCAAGAAGCTTCTTTAGCCGAACTTGCCTATACTACGAGAGCAGGTCGGGAATGCCAACCCGGCCGTGCCGTCTGGTCGTACAGGTCGAGGCTAAAGGATGACTGGATAGGAGCATGGATTGAATGGCAGGATCTCCGCGGAGGATAGGGAACCCAAGGCAGCAAAGCTTCCCCCCTCGGGAGACTGCAAGATGCCCAAGACGGCACCAAAAGACCCTCCTCCCTGCCTCGGTAGGGACAATGAACAATAAGAATGATAATAATTAGAATTAAGTAACGCAATAAGGGAGACGCCAAGAGGCATATAAGTGGGCTTTGACTCAGCCGTTCCAACCGAAGGTGCGTTTGGATGCCGAGCAAGGCTGATGACAACTTATAATGCAAAGCATTGCACTACCCAAATCAGCCTCGTGCAGCGCAGCTGATCGTGAAGTCACGTCTACATCACTGCTTTATCCTGGTCGCTCATATTGATGCGGGGTGGGAAATTAAACTCTCTGCTGTGGAGGAGAAGAAGGCGACCATAAATGGGACTGTTTCTCCTGCAAAAATTGTATTGACTGATGACCATAAATCTCTCATCAACTCCATACTTCAAAAGGTTTTTATTGAATCCCATTATGAGTCGAGAACAGATTATTCAAAGCCACGATCCTCGCACGGATGCGCTTAACTTTGTGACCAACCGTGGCCGATATACTCTCAGGGTGGAAGAGTTCATCGAGGCCGGCAGACCAGATGGTAGCGAGTCGCATGGCTCCCCAGTGACGCGCTATATCACGTCCAATGTACGGATTGCTTATGTGTGAGATCCCGTATATTCGTATTCTGATCACTCGTTTCCAGGGACAAGTAGTAGACGCGCCTGCCATCAAGGGCATCTCGGGCCACGTTATCGGCACCGGACAGTCGTTTACTATTCGCGACGACTACGACTTTGTCAACACCTCTGTTACCGGGAAGGGGTACCATGTGAATGCACAGCTAGGCAAGATGACGGTGGCCTTTACTTCGGGCCAGAATAGCCTCCAGGCATATTATGATCGGACGAATATGGCTGGAGAGAGGTTGTATTACGATGGGATGCAGGCTGCTGCCTCCTGGTATACGCAAGGTCGTTCGCGCTGAATCGTTCGCACGAGAAAATGGTATTAATGTATATACTCTATATATGTAGGAAATGAAGTGCCGACTGTACTTCGTAGCCCACATCCAGTTCTACAGTAATTTCCGAACACCGCCAGCTCTAATAGTACGGAGTATCGCTCACACTTGATACACAAAATCAAGTATCAAGTGATCATCAAGACATCATCTGAATCCTTCTGATACTCGTAAACAACGCTCACCGATCGCACCAAACCGGTCTCGATTGCACGAACACGAAGCACAGCCAAATCCAAAGGAAATGAATCTCGCAAAAACCTATTATAGGACTCGGGAGTGTCCACTTTTCACTTTTCAGTAGAGGGGTTGAACCGGGGGCAGCCCCAGTCTCGCAGCTCTCCGTGAGTGGATCTAGAAGACCGGTGTTTAAACTGAATGTGTTTAAACTGAATTTGCGAGTTGGATCTTTTCGACTGAATCGTAAATCGTAATTGTAAATTGTAAACGGCGGACCTGTGAATTACTGTATGGGGTTGGTTTTACCGTTTCAAGTCGCGTAACCTCCCTTCAATGCTCCCGAAATAAATGATCCGTCTTCGCTGCTCGTCCCCCCCCCTCTCTCACTTTTCCATTTTCCCTACCTCTATCTTGCACTCATAGCTGCGCCCCCGCAATTTCGCCCGCGCAATCGGACAAGCCGGTTGTCCCACCCGCACCTTGCGCCTTCTTGTTTTCGGTCGCAAACTGCGGCTGACCCCTTGTCGCCTCCCCTCGAGCTCTTGGGATCGGCATAATTTAGCCAAACCATACAAGTAGTGCCTTGGAGATATTTTCTTCCGGTCTTCCCGAGAAGCGTCTTCTCGCCCAACGCGGTAAAGGTTATCTTTCACAAAATGCTCACTCATCTTTGAGCCCTTATGCCACAAATCCTACTTGGTTGTCTATCACGTTTCACTATGGCCTTGCATCCTCGATCGCACGATTTACTACCTCGTTTATGCCTGTCCTGGTGCCGCGCCCGCGTGACCCGCTTCTTTTCGTCTATACTTCATCGTCATATCTGATACGTTCTGTCGTGGCTTTGTTGCCTAGTGACTGCAGGTACTACGCCCAGACCGACCAATGGCAAAATTCCCTCTTCGATGATCGTCTCAGGCTCGTTCTTGAATCCTGCGGTCTAGAACCAACAGTCACAGCCGATCAGCACCCTCGAGCTTCCGACCCCGAGAATCCTGTTAAGACCCGTGGCCCACTAAACACTTCTATAATCAATCCCGCAGTTCTGACCCATGATATTTTTCAGTGTATTGAGCAAGCCTATAAAAGGGGAAACATCGCGGCATCGCGACAGGTTTCGAGCATCCTGTTACATACAGACATCGATATCCTTCTGTTACCGACCAAGACGAAGAAGAATTCGTGTATCATTAACAGAAGCAACTAAACTGGAGAAGAAGAAGAAGAGAGAAAGAGGGAAACGAGCATCTACGAAACAAACCCACTTCTATCCCGAATCGGGTTAGACCCGCGGCTCCTTCCAGATCACGTTCCCCCTCAGGCCTCTATCAGGCCACAAGACATTCATACGTTATATAGTCCCCCTATTTAAAGAGGCTCGCCCCGAGGCTCTGGTCTTCTATTATCTGGATAATTATCTATAAAGTAATTATTTAAAGTAGCGTCTAACCACACTAATAACCGTATAGGCGGTCCGGGTAGGGCTAGGTAACGCTTATAGAAAGCTATTAACTTATCCGGAGTATTTTTAAAATCCCCTACGGGATATTAGTCGTTATCCTTAATTCCGATCTACTTAGCCTTATATTAAAGCTTCCGATAGCGTAGTCGGACGTCCACGATTCTATTAACTTCCTATTCCTATTAGTCGTTAACTTCTATTAGTAAAGCTAGGTCTGCGATCTGATCTATAAGCGGATCGGAACTCGCCGTACGGCGGAGCTTATCTAAAGAAAAGACTAAATTAACCTTAATAGAAGACAGTAAGTTAAGCTAATAGCTATAACCTTCCTTTAAGAGGATTTTATAGGTGTAAAGGAATACTGAGGACTAGCGGTGAAGGTTTGCCCCGCAGTGGAATAAGCAAGTCTCGGACCCAATTCGTACTTAAATCGAGAGGGTTTCCGATTAATCTAGACTTAGCAAGAATCAGTCTTGCTTCTACAATACTACACCTAGTCCAGACATCCTTTCTTACCTAACCGACAGGCTTTCTATCCTGAACACATAGATCCTTTACAATAGGGGCCACTAAACTAATTAGAGAGTTTTTTACTTGGCCGGTTAAGTTTCTAATTCCTAATAGTAATAAAGATAAGATTACTAACGTTAAAATCTACTTCCTAGCGATATTTATTAGCCTAGGCGCGCTAACGCTCCTAGGTTTATTTAATCTCCTTTTGGGTGTCTTTTTAGACCTCTTAGAGTCGCCGAACGTAGTCCTAAGTATCTTACGTTAACTAAGGCGATATAGACGGTTCCGTAGGTACGTCCTAGTTAAAGGATATCCGGGGCTTATATTCTCGCTTAATAAAGAAGGGAGACCTCTTAGTAGAATCCTACTATAGAGCTATAGCGGCGAAATCTATTATTAGAAGCTAGTTAGATTAGTTATCTTAGCGTTAATTTACTAATATATAAAGTCGCTATATTATATATTAGTTCGTAATCTCGCTCTAGCTATCTATTTAGGGGTAATATACTATTAATAACTTACGCTTAATTCTTAGGACTTAGTAGATCTCTATCTAGAATTCTGAGATAAATTAGCCTCCCTAATCTAATATAATTAAGTCTAGTAAGCTAAAGTATTATATAATATTAGAGATAGATTATTAGGCTATTTTTAGAGCTCTAATTATCTTATAATATAGAAGGGAGACTAGCCACTTACTTAATTAGTTAACTATTATTAATACTATATTAAAACCCCGCTTATCTTTAGGGAATAATTAGAAATCTATTATAATATACTACTATAAATAGTCTAGCGGGGAAGAGATTATAATAGACCTAGGGGCTAGTCTCTCTATATCTTTATACGCTTATAGACTAGACAGTTATCTATATAATATTTAATATTAGTAGACTATCTAAGCTAGAAATATTATATAAATTGAGAGCCTTTATCTTATTCTATTAAGGATACGCTATTAAGGGCTACTAATAGATCTTATTAAGTAATTAGGCCCGTAAGTCCCTATTATTTAGTATTACTAAGCGATCTATATTTAATAGTAGCCTATCTTATAGTTTTTAAGGTCTATCTAGATTAGTTCTTACTAATTCTTGGTATTCCTTAAGACTCTTATATTATTAGTTTATAAGAGTTACTTAGGTAATAATATTAGAGTTATTAGTAGCCGTTAAAATATATTCGGAGGTACTAATTAGGGTAGGGGTAGGGTCGTCGCGATTCTTAGGGTATATATTATACTTAAGATATAACTAAGGGAGAAGAATTTATTTTTATCCGTTTCCTAAACTAAGATCTTTTTAGGAGAGGGTATCTACGATAATATTCCGCTTCCCTATAAAATAACGGATTAAGAAGTAAAATTAGGATAGGAACTTAGCTTAGCGAGCCTAACGCGAATTTAGTTTCTTAGTAGTTATAAAATACTATAAGGCTTAATAATCGGAGAAGATACTAAACTAATCCTCTCGCTAGAGGCCTTTAAGCTCCGCCCTTTACTCCTTAAGTACGAGGACAATTATAAGTATTTTATAATTATATATATTATATTATTACTAAGCTTAATCGAGCTTCTTCGAATAGAAGCTCACTAAGTACTAATATCTATTAAGTTATAATTAGGATATTACTTTACTAATATACCTATCAGATACGTTAGTCTTAATCTTAGTTAGAGCGGTTAGGTTATAATATATTAGGATTAGGGCCGAAGTAAGCTTCTCCTTAAGTCCCCGGAAGGCACTTTTATAGGCCTTACTTTATTCGAAGGGTATATTATCTTCTATTAGGCGGTTTAATAATTTCGCGATTTAGTTATAGTTCTTAATAAATCTCCGATAAAAACCGCAGAAGCTAAGAAACAATTATATACCGCGAACTATTATAGGTTATTACTAATCTTAAATAACGGTAGTCTTAGTAAGATCTATATAGACCCCTTCGGTATTAATAATAAACCCTAGGAAATAGATACTCTGCTAATAGAACTTATACTTACCTAGACTCGCCTATAAGCTAGCCTTATAGAGTTATTATAGGACTTTCTTTATATATTAGATATATTCTTTAATTATCTCGCTATAAATTAGGATATTATTAATAAATATAATAGCGATATTATCTAGGTAATCGCTTAGCGTCTTATTAATAAATCTCTAAAATATAGTAGGCCTATTTATAACGCTAAAGGGTATTACCTTATATTTAAAGGATCTATAGCGCGTTTAAAAGGTAATAAGATCCTCTAAGTTAGGATATATCCGGATTTAATAGAACCCTTAATAAATATTAAGTCTCGTAAGTATCTTAGCCTTCCTAAGCTATTAGAGAATCTTATTAATAAGTAATAGAGGGTAACGGTCTTTTTTCGTAAGCGCGTTAAGCTTCTAATAATCTATATAGAGCCGTAGATTACTATTAGCTTTCCTAACTATTAGGATAAGAGATACGTAGGGGGGCCTTACTAGGTATAATAAAGCCCTAAGTAAGGTTCTAGATAATATAGGCTTTTATCGCCTAGAGTTCTTTCTCGGACTACTTATAAAGAGGGCAGTATCCGGGCGTTATTCCCTTATTAAGAAGGATCTAATAATCGGTTATACCTTAGTATAGCGGTAAGGTATTTAAATCCTATTTTAAGAAAATATTAGTATACTTATAGTACTTCTCTAGGATTATACTCTGTGTCTCTTAGTCTTTAGCCTATTATTAGGTATCCTACTTCTTTTTTAGGATATAGTTAATCTTATAAAGAGAAGTAAGGAAAACCTTATTATTTTCTTTTTTAATATATCGGTAAAACCTAGTACCTCCGATAAGTATAACTATATCTAAGGGACTAATATAGTGTTCTTAAGATTTTTATAGTTACTATAGAGGCTCTAAGTTACGGGCTTAGTTACCCCTAAATAGAAGAAGCTTTCTAGCTATCCGCGATTAGGGGAAGTTATAAAATAACCTATTTTATCGGTGAGCGTCCTCTTAGTATCGAGAATCTGGCTTTAGTTTTCTTAGAATAGCCTAAGAGAGAATAATAGGTGTTGGAGCATAAGGGGAAGCTACCACGAAGCAGATCGTGGCCCCTTAAGTCCGTGGGATCAACCTTAGTCCGACTGGGTCAGTCGGTGCTAGACAAAGGTAGAAGGTCAAAGGTCGTAGGATAGACCATAAGCAGATATAGCCTAAACGAAGGCAGAACCACAGTCCTGAGGATCAAAGGAAGAAGGTAGAGATGACTTTTTGGAAAGTGGAAAATGACTTCAGGAAAGTAGAACTGACTTGATTCTTTCTGCTAGAAAAGAAGGACATATTTATAGGCTAAAATAGCCTAGAAATGACGTCTAGAATAACATACAAATACTAGACAGCAACATAATAAAGGTGGCAAAGAAGGGAACCGAAGAAAAGCCAAAAGAATGATGTCAAGGATCGACGGTTTCAGCCACCCCGAAAGCTTCCCCGCAGTATCTGGTTATGCATACCCAAAGGTGGACCATTTTATCCCTAAGGGAAAGTGGTCCGCCTATCCTTGAGGGGACTGAGGGTCGAAGTCTGTTCACCGAGGTTCGAAGACCATGGTCGAAGTCCGCGGGCAAGATATGCCCGAAGGCACCTCCGAAGGAACGGACCATTCATGCCTGAAGGCGGACCATTTACCTCTGAAGGAAAATGGTCCTGCCTATCATTCGGGAGAGGGCCGCGGACCAGAATCAGAAGTGGTCAAAATATCATTTTGATAGAAGGAAACATCTGGTCACGTGATCAATACAATCTGGTCTTATATGTTGAATATAAGGATAGATCTTTCTATGTAGCATTGGTCTATATTCCAATAATAGGTATCTTTATAGTTACGTTATCCTTAAGACTAGGCTTCTCGGGCTAAATAAGTCGTCCTTTTTAGTAGTCTAAGAGAACGCTAAACTCCTTAAATTATATCTACCTAAGAATTAGATTATATTATCTAAGATTAGTAATTAATATAGATAGGCGAAGGAGTCTCTGGCTATTAAGAATTAGGGTTAATTTAAGGGTATAAGTAATTAGTTTTCCTAGGTATCTATTATAGCCCTTAGTTAGGATTAGGTAAGGTAAGGGTAGAGTATATAGGCTAAATACCTTCGCGGCCTATATCGCGAGGGATAAATTAATATAGATATAATTATTTACTCTAATATCACTAAGTGCTATAATTAAAAGAGAATATCTATTATAGGCTATCTAAGCGATAAAACTAAGACTTTCGCCTAATCTAAATAATCTAGTGAAATCTAGAGAATAAAGTAATAACTTCTTACTACCTAGAAAGAAGACTTTTTTTAGGTTTAAACTTTTCCTAACTAATTATCCTAAGGGGGGTTAGGCGGCTATTTAAGTGCCTAAAGTTTAGTAATAGCGATCGTAGAGACAGTATTCTTCTTTAGGTACTCGCGAGTTATATACCTTTACTCACGGTAGTTAAAGTAGCGACCTTCCTTTATTAAAGCGTTATATTTATTAACCGATAGTAGCTTATATAGAGCGGCGCCTATACTCTCGCGCTTTACGAATAGTGACTATAAGATATAGGAATAGGTTATACTAACTAAAGCTACTATAGTAGCTTTAGAGAGGGTAGTTACTTTATAGGACTCCTTAGCCTTAAATTAAAAGATAATATTATAAGCTACGCTTTAGTAGGTATAGATAAACTTATTAAAATTAATGGAAGTCTTATCTATAAGTAATATTATTTAGGTCTATAGTAAGTTCGGTAGCTTATTATAAAGGTCTCGCTTCTAGCGATCCTCTGATTAATTTACTTTTTTAGCGAGATAAATAAATTTAGCGAGGAAATTATAGAAATTATCCTTTAACTTTATTATTAGACACTAATATTCCTAATAAGCCTTAGTAGTATAATTTAGATTCTAGAAGATACCCTTTAGGTGCTCTATAATATTTAAGATATCCTAATAAGGGTTTAAGGTATCTTCTTTTAGATAAAGGTAGATATAAAGGAGTGCCTTCCCTTTATAATAGCTTATAACATAAATTATACGATATTCGGTAATAAGATAATAATTAGCGTTTATAGCTAGCTTATATTTAATTATTATAGCCTAAGCGTTAAATCAAACTATCTTATTATTATCTAATATAGGAGTATTAGGTATTTTAGCTAATAGATAGTCTTAGGCTTTAGGGACTTAGGGGGTCTCGATAGTTTAGAGTATTTTAAGGGCTCGGCGCTAAGGATTAAAGGAGCTAAAAAGTAAGGTTATTTTATTCGCTAACTATAAGATCTCGGTAAGCAGTAGCCTTATCTCACTCTTAGGTTAGATTAATAATAGTAGCCTTACGTTACCTATTATTAATCCGTAAAAGTTATATTAGATATATATCTCTAAAGATCTATAGATCTTATTAGGTCTAATAGGTCTTACGTTAGATTAGTTATTTTAATAGGCTATCTATATTCTCTTAGACTTTTTTTTGGAACTAATCCTTAGAGTAAAACTCCTAATAGATAAGGTCCTTAGCCTTTAGGTTATTAACCTTAAAGCTAATTATATTATAGTATCTTAATAGGTTCTAAGATAGGGTTAAGAACCTAGGTAGCTCCTATTCCTTAGCGAGCTTCTCTTAGATATTCTCCTTATTATCCCCCTCCTTAGAGAGAAGATTCTTAGTTAATATAGTGCGTCTCCCGCGTCAGTCACGCGACTTAGACTTCGTATAGGTATCGGTTCCTTTAACTATAATATCGTTCCGTCGTAGCGTTCGGTAAAGGTTCGGTTCGGGGTTCGTTTGTTCGGTTCTAATTTATTAAAGGGTATTATTAGTGGGGCGAGATAGCAATAGCGAAGTATCTAATATCTAGACTGTACCTAGAGGCGACGAGAAAGAGAAAAGACAAGTTTAGTTATATATTACCGACTAAGACGAAGAAGAATTCGTGTATTATTAACAGAAGTAACTAAACTGGAGAAGAAGAAGAAGAGAGAAAGAGGGAAACGAGCATCTACGAAACAAACCCACTTCTATCCCGAATCGGGTTAGACCCACGGCTCCTTCCAGATCACGTTCCCCCTCAGGCCTCTCTCAGGCCACAAGACATTCATGCGTCACACGCTACACATCTATTACAATCACCAGGATCAAAATCTTTGATCTTAGCCAACCTAAAGCAAGTGTTAATTTTTTATGAGCAAAGGCCTCTACGTCTGTTTCAAGTTAGCTTTTTTCCGGTGGCAAATATTCGTTAAGTTCGGCCCACTACATTAGAGAAAGCGTACTTCCATTAGAAGTACGTTCGTGAACAAACAGTAATCTACCACGGGTCGGGGATCAGCAAAATCGGCCATTCTGTTAATCACTATGGGCTGAACAAGTTCGATATCGAGAATAAACTGTCACAACAGTTTATTTTTTAAGTTTCTTGAGACCAAAGGGCTATTGACTCAGCAAGAAAGGCTCTACTACACGGTTCGAGCCGTAATAGTACGGATTATGCGCAGCCAGAACAAGTGGGGGATGAACTTGACCGAAAATTGAAAATGCAACACCAGAACGCAAGCGTTCTTTATGCCATCGCTCTTGATGGAATGGGTGGTGTGAGTAAGTCTCAATTAGCTCTCAGATATGCGGAGAGAAATATGAAGCGATTTAATCCGATCGTTTGGATTGATGCGTTAGGCGAAGAGACAATACGTTTTAATTTTGCAAGATGCTGCCGAAGCTAGGATGCGAGGCAAGTATGGGCGCTCACTCACGTTCAAATTGTCTAGCCGGTACATCAGTGACTGCTTGATCGAACAGAAGCGGACAATGAGTGGCTAGTCATCATCGATAAAGTGGACGACATCGGTTGGGTAACAGAAAGATTAATGTAAAGAGGAGGACGATGAAGAATTGACATTACAAGCCGAGATGACCGAAGCACGAGTTGACTTGCGGGAGACTGTGAACGGATCCAATTGATATCATATCTTCATTGGAAGAGAGGATGGTTATCACCCAGCATCTACCATGGGATGTGATTTCAATTACAGGAACCTTATAGCAACACTGTGATGAAGTCGTGCCAAGGCTGAGGTTTTTAGCTCTGCTACGTGCCTATCCAGGGAATGACCCCGAACCCAAGCAGGCTCTGATGCAATACTTGAAGTACTTGAAAGACTTCGACAGACATCGTGACGAGCTTTTGGAGTACAATGTTTTCCACATATGTTCAATAGCAAAGACAATACAAACGATGTGGAACACCATGTCGGAGATACTCGATTTAGAGCATGCAGCTTTTCAACCAGGTCTTGCATACTTCAAAGGCAAAGTCATTTGGACTGATATGTTCCGCCTGTCAAGCCTTGATATGCCTGCTGTGCAGCGTGAGTTGGGGGAAGGAATGTCCAATGAGCTCTAGCAATTAATCGCTATTGATAAAGGAACATGGGATGCGTTCTGGTATCGACGAAGCTTGAATGTGTTAATCCGTTACGACCTTCTCAGGTCAAGGTACATTGGTATGAAGTGACAATGCATAGCCTGGCTCAGTGGCGGGCAATACATGGCAAGCAAGGTCAAAATCGCACCGGTGGTATGCGTTGTTTGTACTTGCAGCGTGTCACCGAATAATCAAACTTCCAGAGCAGGCCCAGTTCCTTCAGCACCTGATAGTGCATCTTCCAGATCTTGAACAGTTGCAAGCTCAAGGAACAGAAAGGGTGAGAATGAGAAATTGCTTCATCTGGCCCATCATGGCAGAGTTCTTCATAACGAAAGCCGACGGGAACAGGCCGGGAGAGTTGACGCCCAGGTGGTGGAGATAGAGAAGACAAAATTTGGCGAGAACGATCCCTTCGCGCTGACGAGTAAGGCCACTCTCGCGTCAACATACCGAAATTAGGGGCCGGCGGGAAGTGGCCGAGCAGTTGGAAGTGCAGGTGGTGGAGACTCGCAAGACGAAGCTGGGCGAGGAGCATCCCTCCACGCTGACCAGCATGGCAAATCTCGCTTTCACATAGAGATATTCATGTGAGGGGAGATATTGCGACAAATTTTTCCCTGATTCGAGACCTTCGGACCCATTCTTTTGATTTTCTATTGTTCTGTCCGCTTGCTTACTCTGTTTGTTGCAGTTTAGTATTCCTTCAATCGCTTTGATGCTTTGTCTCGGAAGAAGTCAAATCACAAGTCACAAGTCATACGAAAGTAATATTTGTCCAATAGAGCGATCGACTATGTTCATTCTCTGTTTCCGGGGTTGAGTTTTCGCTGCAGTGAACTTCTCCTCAACGTGGCTCGAAGCCTCTCCACCTCGGACATCACGACGGTTCCACCGGAAGACAGAAGCGCACTGGAGTGGAATGCTCGCGCGTGGGACGTTCTCAGTAAAGATTGAATATTACTCGATCTCACTCCACCACCAACGATGATCCGTAGAGGGCTGCAGCTTAATTGGGAAGGACCTTGTAGTTGATCAAGTTGTTGGGCAAGGTTGGCTATTTTCTCAACGCAGTCGATTGCCCTATCACTCGACGGGCCTCCACTGGTCAGAACTGATGCAAAGCCACACCTGATCAAGTCATTCAGAGCTGTGTCCCAGTGAGATTCCGGAACGCAGTCAAAGGCGCGGTGAAAAGTGCACGGTCTGCCTTCCGCAAGCTTGACAAGCTCCCTGTTTCTGGCGACATCAATCCATGAGGACAAACCTTTCGAGCGGTCTTCATAATGTGGGTTGAGAATACCGAAAACAAACCCATCCGCCCCGAGATCCCTCATAGTGGACACTGTGGCTTTCATGATCTCAAATGATGCCTTATCGTAGCAGAAGGTCTTGGAATGTGGACGAATCATTACGTATATTGGAATATCAATCAGATACTTGAGTGCCCTCAAAGTTGTGGCGGCTGGCGTAAGCCCCCCAGACGCGTAGTCCCGGCAAAGCCTGCGAGAAATGAGCATGATGTGGTCAAGAACTGCTTCAGACACCTTTCAGGAATGGGAGCAGAGCAAAATCTTAGATCCCTGGGGGTTTCGAAGTGTCACTGAACCTCGAAACTTACTCAATTCGATCAGCGCCACCATTGGCTGCGTTGATGGCGGATTCCTGATTGAAGCAGGCGATTTCCAAGACAGGGGTTGCTGGATTGCTGCACTGGTCCATAGAGCCTGTTTATTTATCGTTTTGTTGAAGATATTAGCTTGAATCGATCATGCTGGGGCGACAGACAGACTGGGGCGACAAGGCCAAAAGGGGGATAGCAAACAACGGATAAGGATTGACTCATTTAGGTGATGGCAGGGTGGTATCGGCCCGCGATCGAGCGGGGCTGAATCATATCAGGCTGGCTGGAAAATGGCGGGACCTCAGCAATTGTTTTGCCTCGTCTAACCTTCAGTCGGCCTTGCTGAATGACGACTCCTCCATGCTTCCAACTCTCATTAGTTTTCAAGCACTGGAAATACTCTCAATTTCTCATTATTGGCATGTATTGAATTGAAGGACGATATAGTCTAGTCATCGGCCACTTGCACCGACAAGAATGCGACACAGAAAACATCACATCATCTCTGCATAAATGCGGCTTTGACTTCACGACGCCCTTCGCTCTTACTGGATCCAGTTCTGCCACTAGTTGCTCCTCGAGAGCAAGGAATATCGCCCTTCTCAATGTCTCCAACATCTAGAACAGAGGAATGTTTCTTTCCCACGAAAACAATGCGTCGGTTCCTTCTACTTTTAATCGCCAGGGGTAGGGGGATAATATGCCAATATGAGTGTTCCTCACCAGAAGGTCGATCAGCGAGGTTGCGTTCGCGGACCAGAATGGGGCTGTCTTATCTACCTCCTGTCGCTCATCTCAAGGCATCTCCGTATCTGGAGCGACCCCCCCCCCAACAATTAATTGGAGTACTATTACCCCGCTCTTGTCTTGATTTCTAAGACGCTTGGGAGTAATTCAAAGTCATAGGGCTGGATGACGCATATTTTGAATGCGAAAAGTCGCATCAGATTAACACGTGGTCGGGTCTTTCTTACTTGCTTGTGAGCTTATGCTGGAAAAGCGCTTTGTGAGTATTTTTTTTGAATTTATTTATGATATGTTCCGAGAGAAGCGCAAGCGGGAGTAAAGTGGTTGGCGTCTCGAAGCGATCTTGCATGGTATTGGGCGCATCAAGCAGCGGTAAGGGAAAACTTCGAAAATCGCGGTTACCTTGACCCTGCATGACCTTTGGCAGCACTTTGCTGATGACAAAGGAATCTCTCTTTCACAGGTGCAAAGCTCGTTGTACCACAACTTCCGCCCAGTGGCCAGCAAGTCATCGTTGTAATGCCATGGCGAAACATCCAGTCATTGCTATTGCGGGGCTTGCCTGCGAAACGTCTGGATTCTCTCCGGCTCGGACCTCCGCAGCAGCCTTTCACCCTCTTCGTGATATCGAAGTAATTGAGAATCATCACTTTATCCACCCCGGAACGCCACTCGGAGACGCAGCGGATTGGCGAGGTGCACTCATTGGCCACGCCCTTCCCGGCGGAATTGTCACCAAAGCGGCATTCGAAGAGCTTGTGGGGGAGATCCTGACCCGGCTGACAGACATATGCAAGTCGAACCCGATCCATGGTTTATGGTTTGATATCCATGGAGCAATGTGTGTCGAGGATCTAGATGACGCCGAGGCGAAACTTCTTCGTCGAGTCCGGAATGTCATCGGATCCCACGTCATCGTATCGGCATCAATGGATCTCCATGGCAATGTTTCACAGGAACTTGCACACCAAACGGACCTAATTACATGCTATCGGATGGCTCCACACGAAGATGAGATGGATACGAAAGAACGCGCATGTCGAAATCTTGTCGCGTTATTGGTCGAGCGTTCATCGCCAGAACGACCATTGAAGGCCTGGGTTCCGGTCCCCATCTTACTGCCAGGAGAGCAGACTTCGACACGAATCGAGCCCTCAAAGGGACTTTATGCACTTGTTCCTGAAGTTGAATCAATCGCTGGAGTGCTTGATGCTGCTATCTGGGTTGGCTATGCTTGGGCGGATGAGCCACGAAATCACGCGGTTGTGATGGTGACGGGATGGGATGAAGATGCCGTGACCACAAGCGCGCAAAAGCTTGCAACTCATTTCTGGGACTCCCGCGAAAGATTTCACTTTGTTGCACCAACCGGATCTCTGACGGAGTGCATTGACACTGCCCTACAGTCCAAATCACGACCGTTCTTCATTTCAGACTCGGGTGACAACCCAACTGCTGGAGGCGCGGGTGATGTGACATGGAGTCTTTCGAGGGTGCTCTCTCGGCCCGAATTCCAGCACGAAACAGGTCCTCGTGCCATCTACGCCAGTATTCCAGGACCAAAGTCGATCGAGCTAATCGTTCGGGCCGGCGTGGGAGCTATTGTGACAGTCACGGCTGGCGCCGAGGTTGACAACACCCACGGGGGGCCGGTCTTCCTGACAGGGCGAATACATGCGATCAAACATGGAGATCGAAATGCCATGACCGAGGCTGTCGTTCAAGTCGGGAGTGTGTTTGTGATTTTGACTCAACTGCGCAAGCCCTATCATCTCGAGAAAGATTTCACTGAGCTCAATCTCGAGCCCCAATCGGCAGACATCGTGATAGTCAAGATTGGATACTTGGAGCCTGAACTTTTCAACATGGCAGCGGATTGGATGCTTGCTCTGACACCAGGAGGTGTTGATCAGGATCTTCCCCGCCTTGGGCACCGACGCATCCGCCGTCCTATGTGGCCGTTTGATCGGGCCATTTCTAAGCCGCCCGACCTTACTGCTCGATTGATACCAGCTTCTGATAAGCCACTCAAGATCCATCCTTTGATGGAAAGCCATTCGTGCTAGCTCCTGGATGCATGATTATTTATATCCACCGGGATGGCTGATTTGCATGGCCTGATGTCGATACCTCTGCGCCTGAACAGAATCCCTCGCGCTCATCCAGTGGCCAAATTTGGACCAGGTTTGGTACGAGGCCCCGTCAAGTAAGAGGTGCATCGCAATATCTTGGTAACTGTATAATTCATGGCCAAACTCGGCTCCAGCTTGCACCCCGTTTCGATCTTAAAAGCTTTAGGTATTTCTGGTGCGATCAATGCTGGTGCCGACTGGAGGGCTTGTTTGAGCCGTACGAATGTCTGACCACATTTGGGTGGCCATTCGACCGTTGAATTCTTCTTCTGCTGCATTGCCTCGCTCTACTTGAGTCGGTCGTGTAGCGGGGCTACGATGGTCTAGAAGGTTTGCCATATTGCTCTTCATCAGGTGCTCCATAATTGACAAATGTTCTCTCGAATCGAAAATCAGCAACCGCCTGAGCGCGCTTCAAATGGTGAGCATGACGATCCTGCAGTCATGCTGCAATGTATGGCGACTTCCTGCTTGCTTAGAAGAAAATGAAATTGGATGTGATTCCTGAAACGAAGTTTTGTATTCGTCCAGGCCAATATTAGCCAGTAGTGCACGTGGAAGAGCCTTCCCCTCAATTCAACTCGGAAACAAAGCATTCTTTAATTCCATTCCGTCTTGCGTGACCACATCAACCGTTCCTGTCGCACTGGATAGTCACATCCGATGTAAGTTTTCAGATGGCCCCACGTCGCCGGGTGATCGGCAAGAAACCAAGAAAAACGCGCTCGAACAGCGCATACACGAGCCGAAGTATTGAGATTGCGTCTAGACCGTCAGCCTGTCAGAGCCTTGTCCGACTAGCGGCATAATCCCTACGTTGCTACCTAGAATGAATTTTCCTAGGGGAGAGAAATCACTCGACTTTTCCCTCTCCGTTCACTCTTCCCCGCGATTCAAGACGCCGAGGGGATTTTCCAGATTGACAATTCTTCTTCTTCTTCATTTTCGTTCTCAGTATCGTAACAGAACTCATCCTTATCAATCAACGCCGTCGACACATCATCATGCATCATCTCCGTGGTTCGCTGCTCAGCCCTTTGCGACGGGGCATTTCTCACCTCACCACATCAGAAGCGGTTCGGATAGATCAGGAGGACACGCGTCAGTGCATCGCTCGCGGAGAACTCCAGGAGATTCGAGATGCGGCCTTTAGTAACCGAACCTGGATCATCACCTCCCGATACTGCGAGCTTGGAGATGGGGTGGATTCTCTCGAAGAGTACCTCCATTCTATGTGATATGTATTACCAGCTAGGCCGGAATATTACCTACGAAATGTCTGACCACAAGGGCCTGTCCTCGACATCGTCCGCATTCAAGGAATGGGACCGCTCACTCGACCCGTGCGGGGGAATTATGGTATTGATCTCGCACGAACTGTCGAAGGCACACTGTGGAATGATCTGCCCTTCTTGGCCACCCACATGACCGACTTCTGGAACAGCGACTGCTCGACGATTTCAGGTACACACCGACTTAACTTTGCGATCTTTCTGGCCAAATTAGCATCAACTCGCGTTTGCAAAGATAGATTGTGCCAGATTGCCTTCATTCTATTCCGCAATTTGTTCGAAGGAAGACAGGGACTTCGGAGCAGGGAGGAGTCGGATAATGAAGATCCAAAACAAAGAATGCATCAACTTGAAATCTTCCACTTGTTACCAGCTGCCGTGGCTTGGTTCCGCCATGCAGGTCACAATTTTGTTCCACTTTCAGAGGCCTATTGAAACGATTGCCCGGCGGTCATCAGCCGATGTGGCGAGAAGTTCCTCGAGTCAGAGCTTGGGCAGCGAGCACCTACAGGATTTTCGCCAGGAGATACATCTACTGTCTCCACGCCGATTGCTCTCGCAGGTTGTTTTGTTTCCGCAACCTCGAGAACAACCCGAGAATGGGGACGTGGGAGGCTTCATAGAGGCGGCCGGCAAAAGCCTCAAGATCCTTTACCGGCCCATAACTTTTCCCTAAGTCCCGTTCATGCGCTTTTTCGCAAGCTCGAGCGGGATATTCACGCTTGAAGTGCCCTGGTTTGGTACAGCGGGCACACGAACGGTTCGTAACCGGGGCTAAAATCCGTTTCATGAGGGGCCTATTGATGGCCCGTAGTTCATTGATAGCTAACACTTCCATAGCGTCGGGAGCGAGCCAGTCCAGCGTTTCTGGTGCGAGACTCACGCCTCTTTCCAGCTAGCAAAACCGATCGATAGTGTCCACTAGGCTCCTTGGGGAATCCCGTTCCTGAAGCCATTTGGCCTTCAGTTCAGGCTTAGATGCGTTGATTAGGCGAAGCCGGTTGACACTTTCAGGGATGGCGTCTACCACCATATTAGCTAGGTCTTGCAGGCGGGTGGAGAAGATCTTGAAGAAGTTACGGCCTTCTAATTCGTTCTGGAAACGGTCGTAGCGCGACTGTTCCCCTAGTTATTCCCTAAATTACTAGAGTGTCTATTCGCGGAATTCGTCCTAGGTGCGTATGGGTTCGCTGCGGCCTGCTTCGGTTCTATCCCGAAAGGTACACCAGCAGATTAGGGCCTTTCTGGTCCGCACATTGCTCGCAGATATGATCTTTTGGTCGTCCGTCATAGTTTGCGCTGACAGCTGGGCCACCCGCACGAAGTATTCTTCTCAGGAGCGACATTCAGACTACCCGAGGTCCGAAGCCACAGCTCGTACTGCAACTGTTGCAGTTCGTTCCGCAGTCGAGCCAGCGTCATTATAAGGTCAGGCGGAACAGAGTGGTTCAAACGTCCATCAGCAACAGCTTCCTGAGGGGTACTTGCAGGAGTGCTATTGGCTACGGAAGCCGCAGTGTCTTGGGTTTCGGATGCATTTAACGACATGGTTGGTGTGCCTTGTTCATACCGCGTTGCTATGGCTTTTATTTCTCTTGGTTGCAAATACTAAGCCCCTTTTGAAGCCCAAGGCTTCGAATCTTGTATACATACATGTACAATGTGACGACCCGTTTAGAACTATAGCCTCACTTCAACTTGGAAAATGATGACACATTGTTGAAATTAGACATGAAAACCGGAAGAAAATTTGTTGTGTTATACAAAGCTACACATAGATGCATGTTTCTTTTTTCTTCATTTTGATCCACTGCATGTATGATATCTGAGGAGTCTGCACAAATCTCACGACAACCTGTGGTCTATTCGCATACCTTTTCTTTGCTGAGAACTTTTCTCTTGCCTCGACACTCTGTTTAACCCTTTGCACACATTCAACACATAGCTTCGCCGTAAAAATAGCCCATGTCGAGATCGATGTTAGGTCCAGGTGGGAAGAAGGACCCCGTAATCTGGCCTGTGGCTGGGTCGCAGGGAAAATAGTCATCGTAGGATGGCTTTTCTTGTTTTATGAAAGGGTCCAGCATATCTAGACGCTCAAAGCTATAAGGCACTGTTATGCCGAGTGGAGAAGTCCCTGACTGCTCCATCGGCGAGTAGGCAATTGAGTCTAGCTCCCCACCGGTGGTATCCAACTTGGCCGTATTGATGGGCAAGATCTCTGAGGCTCCGAAAGCAAAATCATCCACGCCTTGGTCATTAGACAATGTGCTTAGCTCGGCAATGTCGGGTCCAGCCTGCTATGCGAGGTAGCGTCTCTTTAGATATGCTAGCATATATGTGAATTGAACGAAGTAATTGATTGTCTTCCCCCGAAGGAGAAGGACTAGTCTAAATATTATCTATGCTGGTGCTATGTAACATAGTGCCCGTACAACCGGCGTCGCCCCCGACTAAGACCGTACGTGCAGAAGACATGCTATAAGATTCCCGTAGGCCGTAGGCTTGAGGCATCCCCAGTGTCCGTGGGACCACAGCCTCGGGTTCTGCACTGATAGATTAAGGCTCCGTCAGAGAAGATCACCACTTCTTTGATCCTGTCCAGGTGTTGTTTTGGCCAGTTTTCCAGTTATTTGATTGCCATATCAATGCCCGTGCGCTCTGAAACGTGCCTATTGGATTGATCCAGGGTTCAAGATGTCGTTGCAGCCAGTCCGCACTCCTTGGGCCTACTGCGGATGTACCCACGAGTCCAGCATACCCACTGCCATCAGTGAAGACACGCTGAATCATCACGCCGGAGAGTGCAGCCTTCAATTTGATACTATCATGGGTCTGAATAGCGCTTTCAGAATCCTCTATGGCGCATGTGATGCGTCTCTCCCGTAGGGTAAGCACTATTTGCAGACCTTGATTCCCACTGCATCTCTTGTCCTTGACCCTAAGACGCCAATAGGCTGCTTTTCTTTCAATTCAATGCTGCTCATGGCACCTGGTTTTCAAGGCGTATCTACCTTGGTTTCCGTTTTTCCGGGACGCCCTCGGATAGTGCACAGGGAACCCATTCCAGATTCGACGTATCTCTTCTTATGGGAGATTGATAGAGGTGCTATACTCGGATATGCAATAAAGTTTTGTTCGTAGAGGCGAATCCGCTTTGGTGACTAGACTGCCCATATTTTTTGGGGCAATATTCTGTACCTCATCATGAAATCGGATGGAAAGATTTCCAGAGTGAAAATTGTCCAACATATTAATATTAGATCTCAAGAGCGTTGAAAAGTTCAGGAGAGATGCTCTTGAAAATTTGGTTCGCTGCAAATTCATGTGCAAAGTCAAGCCCGCGCTTCTGAATGACAAAGATAAATTGAGGTTATCTTGACATCGGTTGGAATGTATCCGATGCCACATGCGAGTGGTCTATGATGTTATAATGATGAATTTCTGACGGCCTTCACAGGAGTATGACAGGCTTATCACAAGGCAGTATCAATGCCAAGTTCACTTATCTCGTGTTCAGGCAGTGGAGTAGGTCAGAAACTTGTTGTAGAGTCGTCATGTCACCATGGGTAAACTCGGTTTGCTCGAAGTCTCCCCATATCGTCCGGTAAAAGATCTACGCAAAAAGCCACAACCTGTTCTTGCTAGGCAATATCTCAATGTCTTGTTCGCTCGCCAGTGCTGTTATCGAGCTAATCCTCAAAGGAAATTCGGTGATAATGTTACTCCATCTCTGACAAAGTTTTTCCCGCATCGTTTTATGGAATGGACACTCCATGGTGCTCTGGCGTAATTCAACCATTCATTCAAAGCCCTGGAGACATCGCATCTTCGAACAGGAATAATGCATAGCGGTGTCAAGTATACAGTGTGCGGACTGTGTTGAATATGACGAGAATGTTCTTAGAAGGAGCGAAGCTTACTCGCATTAAGTGGCCCATTCAGTACAAACGATGAACAGCAAGACTGCTGGGGGCATTCCGGTGGTCTCGGACATTCACCTTTTTCAAAAGCAGCAGCAATTCAACAGGTCCAAGAACCTTGAGATAATGGTGCATCGTTGTACTTTGCTTACTTGACCTCGGCGCTGGTGTTCTATGGCTGATGATTATAAGGTGGAAGTGGTGCCTTCGGATACTTCGAAGTGACGAAAGATGTTTCTTCGTTGTGCAAAGTAAGTCCTGTTCTGGGAATAGTCTTAGCATACATAACACGTTCATAGGCCGGTTTCTTGAAGTCAACTGGCATCAGAACACCCGTTTTTGTACGGCTTTCGACTGAGACTCTCAGGCCGGGAGTTTCCCGATCTTGCTCGAAACCCACGTGGCTTCGCAGTCAAATTCTACACAGGCGAAGGCAACTACGACATAGTTGGATTCAACTTCGTATGTACCTATTGCATTTCCAGTCTGTTTGTCTTGGTTCAAGATACTGATGACGGCGAAGCCTGTCTTCTTTTGCCGCGATCCTATTCAGGGCCCGGACGTAATCCGCTCTCAGTATCGGAACCCCCAGAACTTCCTCCTAGACCTAAACTCACTATTCGATCTTCTGGGTAATACCCCTGAAGGGTGCGTTATGTGTAGCAAATGGTACGGAGAATTGCTATACTGACCTATCCAGTAATCATGTAGGTATAATGTTTTTCAGTGACCATGGTACGCCTCGGGGTTGGAGAGCCAATCACGGATACGGTTGCCACATTTTCAAGTGGTAAAGTCTCCTAGCATCGCCCGTAAAGATCGCTTTTTGCTCACTCTTTTCATATAGGGTCAATGCCGAGGGAAAGTTTGTGTATATCAAATACCACTTCCTCGCCGACGACAGGCGGAAGCAGTTCACCACTGACTAGGCCATGCGCCTCAGGGGCGAGGACCCTGATTATTCGAAGAGGGATTTATGGAGAGCCATCGAAAAAGGCAAAAAGATATCCTGGACAGCTCACGTTCAGAGGACGCTGACCCTGATAAACTCGGGTTCGACCCTTTCGATGTCACTAAAGTCTGGCCTAGAGCCCAATTCACAGTACGTGCGCTCAGACAGCACCCTACCACACTCAATGCGCTGACAGAAGGCTAGCTGCGAGAGTTGGGAAAGCTAGTTCTGAATCGCAATCCCGAGAACTTCCACAGAGATGTTGAACAGGCTGCATTCTCGCCAGGAAGCATGGTCTCTGGTATTGAAGATAGCCCGGATCCTCTTCTTCAATTCAGGACATTTTTCTATTGTGATGCACAGCTTCACAGGATCGGAGTGAACTGGCACCAGATTCCCGGTGGGTGCATCTTGTTTTCTTCTATTGAGTAGGCTAATCAGTGACTGGTTTTGAAGTGAATTGTCCGTTCATGGCCTCCTCTTATGCCTCTTTGAATTTCGACGGGCAAATGAGAGTGGACGCGAATCATGCCATGAACCCCCAATACGCACCAAACAGCTTCGTGAACAAGTTCCTCCCGACACCGCTGAAGCTCCGTACCAACTTACCGACAATACTGTCAGCCGCAGGTTCCACTTCTGGCATGAAGGGAGCGATACCGAGTATGAACAGCCGCGTACGTTGTACAAGAACGTCATGACTGGCCATGCTCGAAATCATCTTCATAAAAACACTGCTAGCCTTCTAAAGAATTGGACTATCCGGAAATTCAGGTGAAAAGATCTTGCTCAGCTTTACCGGATCGACGCAGGATATGCAGAGGGGGTTTACAATATGCTACCTGAGAAGAAGTTTGATTTTGACGATGTTGAGAAGCGTTCTCGCGGCGCAGAGAAGCTGGGTAAAAACACCCATTTTTGTCCAAGTTCCAAAGCCCACAAGCTACTAGGGAGATGTTCTGTCGCGGACGTGTAAAAGATACAGTTCCAAATGGTTGCACACCCAGTTTTTACAGGTGAAATGCCATAGATCGATCTTTCGCAAAATCTCGCTGTAGTGTTCATAATACGATAGTCACCACAAAAATATAGGCATTAAGAAAACTGCTACGGTAAAATCCCTACGATACTTTATTTAAGGGATAGATATTAATAGCACAGGCATAAAATGGAATCACAATTTTTCATCCCTGTGAGGAATTCATGGCAACACACGAATGTTGGGCCTGAAGGTCGGAAAGACATAAATGCAAACGGTACCAACATATGATATATTGATCTTTCCGCTTCACCGGGGTTTTCCTCCGACAGCTGACATCGAACCATGCGTCACATATTCCAGAAAAACCACCACGTCAGCGAGATTGATTATTCCCTTTCGATGGACTGTCAGTAAGTTGCAGTCCCTCAGGCAGCTGGTTGACGGCGGAGTATCTACTATCACAGCTTGCTCTGGGAATCGGAATTGAAGCAATTAGCTGGCCTCGTCAATCGCAAGGTCCTGTTCAATTTACATTAATCCGACGGGGCATGGACTTTGGTCACCGTATTCTCACTTCGAGCTTAGAGCTATCACGGCACATAGAGAGGAAGTTTCAAAATTGGACTAATATGTGCGGTTTCTCAGGAGTTGGGTGTTTCGCTTTTTCGCTTTGATCACATGCTCGTTGGTATTGAGGACCCCGTTTGCGTGGTCGGGCGATGTGTCATGCAACCTCATGAGAATCTAGTCCGGGGATGTCATACGAACATTGCTTCATGTCGTATGATATAACCGTCATCTTTCAGAATTGACTTCTGGGAACCATGGTAGACCCAAGTCTAGTGTCGACATTTGCCACACGAGCTAGTTTGTCGACATATGTAACTGACATGTGTAGTCGAGTAGGACTCGCGGCTTATTGAATGCGTATTGGATCTTACCATCACCCACCTTGAAGAGCGGATCAACAAAACGATGCCCTTCTTACCCTTTTCTCATATTGTTGACTTAAGGAGAGAGTTGAACGGCACAGATGCCGATATATCAACATGGGGATGTGATGATTACGATTCTCGTATTAAGCAATGGAATGACTCGTCGGATACAGAAGTTGTGAGCTATCACAAGCCGAAAAGTTGTTCTTGCCAGGATTTAACACTCACAGGGCGCGGTGGTCCGAATCACTTCAGCTGAAGAAGCAGCCACTGTTGTGCGTTTTGCCACATGCTATGGGGTTCCGCTTGCTATCAAGAGTGGTGGCTGCTCTACTAGTGGCGCCTCAACCACTCACGGTGGTATCGTCTTGGACCTAAGTAATCTTCGAAAGGTTCACGTTAACCCGGCACGCCGAGTAGTCGTTGCGCAAGGTGGAGCTTTGTGGGAGGATATCGATGTGGCATCAGCCCAGCACGGACTAGCAGTTGTTGGCAGCACCTTGAACCAAATTGGAGCTGCAGGAGCGACATTGGGAGGAGGGTATGGATGGTTGACTGGGCAACATGGCCTAGCAATTGATAATCTTCTCTGGGCGAGGATGATTTTAGCCGATGGCAGTATTGTCACTGCCTCGGATGAACAACATAAAGGACTATTTTGGGCTATTAGAGGCGCTGGTCAGAGTTTTGGTGTGGCTGTCGAGCTGGCTTTCCGGGCCCACAAACAAGACCACCCTGTGTTTGCCGGGACTCTTCTCTTTTCCCCTGATGTGTTGCCTTCGATCGTCCAATTCACGAACCGATTCGAGACACTCAACGATGGTAAACAGGGCCTCTTATTTGGGTTTATCATGCAACCTTCCATGTCCCAGTGCTCCATTTTAGTGGCTCTTTTTTATAATGGGGACAAGGCCGCTGGGGAGCGGTTTTTTTCACCGTTGCTATCTTTAGGTCCCATCTCGAACAATCTACAAATGATTCCCTACGATGGAGTAAACGGTCTCCTGAACCTTTATCATACACTTCCTCGTCATGGGAATTCGGGGAGTTTCGACATCGCATACCCTGTCGATAACAGTACGGGTCCTCGCAAAAGCCTTAGTGGTTCAAATGTTACACTCCCCTTGGATATTGCTCTTGTGCAATCCATATACCACATATTCAACCAGATGTTGAAGGAGTGTCCACAGGCCAGGGACAGCAAATTGCTGTTTGAGATTTTGCCAAATAAGGAGATAATGAAGACTTCCAATGAAAGCATGGCCTTTGCCAGTCGCGGTCCATACTTCAATGTCAGCTCTTTGTTTAGATGGTCCGATGCACATCTTGATGTGGGTGTCCATTCGTGTCAAAGAAACTTGATGAAATACATTGGAGAACAAGCAGGTATCTTTCGGAAATCTCAATATTCGACCTCCGAACATGGGGTTGGGCTGTATGCGAATTATGCGGGTACGCTGCCTACACGAATAATGCAACGAGTTACTTGATAATTCCGCAACCGCTAACAAACAATAGGTCACGACCTGCCCATCGAGGCACTATTTGGACCTAACCTTGTGCGTCTCCGAGAGCTGAAGAAGACATATGATCCGCAAAATACATTTCGGCATTGGCACAACCTCGAAGCACTGCCTGAACCTCCTGGATAGGATTTAGCCAGCGTGAGAGATGACCTCCGGCCAATTTGTTGGATTTGAATTTTTGAGGCAGTGAGGTCAAGACCAGTCATTATTGATCAAAGACACTCTCCTACGTGCTCCATATCCATGTTCATTTCAAACAATAATTCGCAACCTTTCCCAGCCGACTCCCGTCAGTATGTAGGATCTCGCCGCTACACAGTTGCTGGGAAATTGGAAGTCATGTGAAGAGAGCTCAGCAAAAATTTTCCCAAGTTGCAGCAGCTTGCCGTGGTGGGAATCTTGGAACAAGGATTCTATAAATCCGCCCAGTCATAACGGTCAGGATCCGCTGGAAACGAGATTGCTTTAATATTTGTCGGACCATCACACAACGTATAAAGTGCATGCAGAAAAATGGTCATGCAATGTGAATCTACGTCGTTTGTGATAGCCGAGACCGTGTACCATACATAAGGTCCGCAACAAGTTTATATATCATAGGTACCTAAATCAATCTGTAGCCAGTACAATTAATCGTGTGGTGTGACAAAACGTGGCAGATATGTCGGAACTAGCCAACTTTCTCCGTGGCACAACCATTCGAACTCGAATGTTACATATATAATATGATGACATCTTCGAAGGCGCGTGACGATCTCGATGATGATTTTTTTTGACAAGGAGACACTGGAGTTAAGACAGGGCTAGATCCCATCCCGGGTTGTGTGTTGCTCATCGTGGCAATTTTGGTTGCCACTTTGCCACGGTGGTTTGATCAATGAAGAAGAATTCCTGTTCGACCCCTATGTAATAGGAATAATAATATACAAAAACTGCGGTGAGGACCTGGACAATCCAATCTCTCCAAGTATTCGCATATTTTTCGGCGAAGCAAATATCGAACATGCCTTTTTTATCATACAAACGTGCTCTCCAATTACGACATGAGCTGAAAGATACGCGGGCGACAGTTATCACACCAGATGAGGAAGGATATACGGAACTTATCAGTCGGTGGAACGAAGCTTGTGAGAAAGAAGCTGTAGGCTGGCACTCCATTGCTCTCCCTTAAGATCATCACTGCGTTATTGTGCCTTCTCGTGTTTTTGCTAGGCTAACTGTCAGCTTCCACTAGGGCGCAATCGTACTTGTAACCACGTCCCAGGAAGTGTCTCTGGTGGTCGCGTTTGCAAGCCGTCATTACATCCCTTTGGTAGTCCAGGGTGGCGGCTACAGTACAGACGGCGGATCCTCAACCCATGGAGGTATTGTGATCAACTTATCCAGGATGCGGAAGATTCTCGTCGATCGTGCGTCTCGAACCGTGGCTGTCCAGAGTGGAGCTACCTGGGGAGAGGTCGATCAGGCGGCCGCATGTGAGGGGCTCGCCGTGGTCGGCTGCACATCAAGTGCCTTGGGCGTCGGTGGAACGACGCTAGGCGGGGGATTTGGCTGGCTCACGGGACGCCATGGGCTGATCATCGATAACCTGATCAGTGTGAAAATGGTTCTAGCCGACGGTCTCGTCTTGACGGCGTCCGTGGCTGAGCACCCCGACCTCTTCTGGGCGGTTAGGGGCGCCGGCCAGAGCTTCGGCGTGGCCACAGAATTCGTCCTGCGTGCACACCTCCAACGCTCGTCTATCTTCGGTGGCTTGATTTACTTGACTCCTGACCGTCTGGACTGCGTGGTCGATTTTGCGAACCAATTCGATCTACAGGCCACAGGCGATGAGGGCCTGTACCTCGGCTTCACCACCCACCCACCGTCCATGCCCTCTACGGTGATTGTCGCCCTGTTGTTCTTTAATGGCCCCAGAAACGCCGGTGAATCTTTCTTTGCGCCACTTCTGGCTCTAGATCCTATTCAAAACGAGACGCGTGAGATGCCGTACCCGGAAATCAACACCATCCTTGGACCACTCGCTGCCCCTGGCGCCCGCAAGTGCATGAGTGGCACAGCAGTGAATTTTCCGGTTGACCCTCAACTCGTACATGATGTTTATGACAATTTCAACCAGATCATGCAATCGTACCCACGCGTCGAAGGCAGTGTAATTTTCTTTGAATTGCTACCGTACTCACGTGTCATTGAGGTGCCACTCGACGCGACCGCTTATGCCAATCGGGGCGCATATCACAACGTAGCGACCATTTTTCGCTGGCATGACCCAGAACTTGACGCTCAAATGAAGCGTCGGGAACTTGCCTTGCTGCGCCAGATTCGAGAGCGTGGTGGTGTTGCGATCATCGCAGGGCACGGGGTGGGTGTCTACGCTAACTTCGCTGGTACGATAAGCCCCTTGTACAAGCAGTTCAATGATCTCCTGACACACTTCTAGGGCACGAGTCGAATGCTAGAGAGCTATTTGGTGACAATTTGCCTCGCCTGCAGCAGCTGAAAATGCACTATGATCCTAACAACATGTTTCAAAAGTGGCACAACCTGCACATTCCTGCTAGTTCGGTGTGAATTTGGACTTATATTGAGCTTCTTATTCTTCCTTCGGATCTTACTTACCTGAACATCAATAGTGGGGATTCTACCATTGTACGACCTCAAACATCAACACAGAGTACTAATAGACCCAAATTCGCAGGATCGGCCTGTCGTCTTCTTTGTCTTTTTTTTACTTCTGGCCAACTCTTATCGGTTGAGATGGAATCTTAAGCATGCAAGTACCTTAGGGATGTGCTCTGGCCACTAAACGCAGAATCCTGCTTCAATATGTCCAAAGCAACATTTGTTCAACACTCTAGCTCAGATTGGAGATTATTACCCAAAACAAGATTTTAAAAGATTGTTGACCGGGAAATATGTTGAAAAATCTACTTTGGTCTCCATACGGAGCCAATATATAACTTGTAGAGATGTGTCGTCTTCACAATTCTGGTAATTCATCGGCGCATCTTAAAACACCAGCTTCACAAAACATCACGAAGGTAGATACTCGGCTTATGAAGAGACACATTTCTATAAAGGTGTCAAAACATGAGACCCAGCGCCATCAGGAGGGAGGAGCTGCATCAAGCACGGCCAGGCTGCAATTAAGTCAGTGCAGAACCCGAGGCGACCGTTTGGCCAATACGTGCTCCGAAGCATTTACAAGCACGTACGGGCCATCCAGTCGCGGAACACGCCCACATCGATCACACTCCGGTGGATCCTAGCCCATATAGGTGTGTCCGGCAATAAATGCACAGACGAGGCTACAAAGTCCGCCGCACTGTAGGGCGCGGGGGATTCTCTTAAGGGTGTAGGCGTAGGCTCAGAGAAATACTTTATCCGCCTTGCCTCCGCGACGAAGCGTAGCAGAATAATTTTAATTCTGAAAGTGAAAAATTGGAGGTTTGATTACCTCAAAGAGTTCGACGTCATGCGAACCTAAATTCTTACAAGAAAAAGAATTGTAATAATGCCACTCTGACTGACTCAACTCGACGCCAAGCGTATATCGGAGCCTCCTTCAATCAATAATTTCAAGCCTCCGTCCAGATTAGCCACCTGAAACCCTGACTGTACCAGAATTCGATAAGCAAGGTAGCCATGATAGCCCACTCTCGAGTATGCAACCATTGGACGTTTTTTGTCAAATTTGTCCAAGTTCTCACGCAGTTCATCAATGGGAACGTTCACCGCGGATGGAACATGGCACGTGGCAAAGCTTTCAGCAGAGCGTACATCGACAATTTGCCAATCGAGCAGGTGATCGCTAAGATCGCGTGGTGAGACGACATGAAGGTCTCCTCTGACTAAATTGCTCGCTATCATACCGACCATATTGACTGGGTCTTTTGCTGAGCCATACTCAGGAGTGTATGATAGTTCGAGATTCTCCAAGTCAAAGACAGACATGCCAGCTTGCAACGCCGTGGACACGACGTCAATTCGTCTCTCTACCCCCGAGCGACCAAGGATTTGAGCACTCAAAAGACGTCCACTGGCTTGCTGAAATGCCAACCTCACCGTCGTTTGTTGAGATGTTGGATAGTACCCAGGGTGGTCAGGGATATGAGCTGTTACTGATAGAGGGTAAAAACCAATTCTCTTAAGTGCCTGTACCGAAGGCCCGATGATAGCCACAGTGAGATGAGGTACTCTGCAGCTGTAGGTGCCGATAGGACCCCGATATGGGAATGCTCTTTGCATAATGTGATCAGCTGCAACGCGACCTTGCTGACTTGCGGGACCGCCGAGAGGTGGCAAATTTAACCTAGGCGAGATGGAAGCCTCGGTTTCTGCAACATCACCAACCGCATAAATATCAGAATCACTGGTTTGCATAAATGGATTCACCAAGATTCCATTTCTGCATTCAAGACCGGAGTCTTTTGCAACCTCGATTCGGGGAGTAAGCCCAGTGGCTAATACGATGATATCGGCCGGGATGCTGATATCGCTGGCCAGTGTCACGACACAGCCACCTTCACTATTTCCAGGACAAATTTTCTGAATACTGGCATTCCGGTAAAATTGAATCCCATTTTTTGTGAGTTCCGATTGTATCAGATTCGCAATGTCGACGTCGAAGTCTTCAAAGATGCGCTCCTGGGCGTGCACAACGCTGACGTGAAGTCCAAAGTGGTAAAGACTCTCGAGAGCTTTTAGAGCGAGATATTCTCCCCCGATGATCACAGCCGATCGGCACAGATTTGCTTGAACGAACTTATTGATCCGTTCTAGATCCGCCATTGTTTGAAAGGAGAACACGTTGGCGTTGTCGATGCCCGGGACGTGCGGTAGAAGTAAATAAGCGCCTAGGGCGAGGATCAATTTATCGTACGGCAGGGGATAAATTTCATTAGTGTCCGATCGTCTCACTAGAATCGAATGCTGTTCTTTCGATATTTTGACTAGCTCAGTGTTATCACGCACATCCAAATTGAATCGATCTTTCAGCCCCGTGGGTGACTGGTGGATGAGAAAGGTATCTGTCTGAATCACACCACCCACCGAGGAAGGTGCACCAGAATTGGCGTAACACGTGTGGTCATCTTTCTCAATGAAAATGATCGAAGCTGTCTCATTCAGTCGCCGCGCTCGAAGAGCTGCTGACATCCCGCCAACGGCGCCTCCAACAATGATTATTTTGACCGGGGGCACCTTTTGAATTATTTCGTTTCTCTCCATCATGAATGAGTTCATAGTCGAACGTTTTTAGACTGAAGTTTTCTCCATCAGCTCGGTTTAAGTCTGCCTGAGATCACCATGAATCACATATTGTGATAATGAAGGCAACCATGGAATCCCAGGTAGTGGCGTGCCAAGGCCCCGCTGTGTAATGCGTGTGCCGTCATAGCCGATGGTTATCCAACCTGTCATGATGAATGATGTTCTCAGCAATTCTTTTTCTTGATCGGCAGCTGACTGCCCTTCTCTAATTAAGCTACTGTTTCTCGGTACACACCTAGAATATCTGAAAATCCTTTCCTTCAACGTAAGCTTATCCAAACGGACGATAGCGTTTATTTTGAATTTCTGGATGTTATGCTCTGCCAACATATTTGGTCCAATTTCATGACAAGACAAGACGTTTTTGCTAGGAATGATGACTAGGCCATTCTGAATGACGCCTCGGCCAACCTCACACTCTCCAACTCTTGACATGTGATGACACTGACAAAGTAATTTTCCTCATTTGCACCTGTAGCATGGACGACGACATTCTCACCGTATTCGCAATCTGTCTCATTTGGACCAGCCTCGGTGTATTCTAGGTAGCTTGAAGTTACGATCCCATCCTCTTCTGACAGAAGCAAAGTGCTTGCAAACTTCCTAGCCTCTGCGTAAGTTCTAAACGTTCCTTCAATGTGTGTGTCGTAGGCCGGTTTCCGCTCATGGCTGCAATAAGGAACATTTGTCTGCACGACATAGTAGAGAGGTGTCGCAATTCGACCATCTTCATTATCTGTTGTGAGGTGAAGACTGTTAGGCGTTGTGGAAATGCGAACTCGGAACACGGTGCCATCTACTGCGATAGCATGCAGGGCAAGTCCCGTTCCTTTGGACGCGGTGAGTTCCTCCAACGCCGCGGGATCTGTTTGGAAAGTTGAAAACCATTCACGCTCATAACCTCCATCGAACAGACAACTATGAGCCGCATTTTTGGCTTTGCTTATGGACGTATAAGTACCGAGAATCCGTACCTTCTCGGTCCGTTCGCTTGAGGACCCTTTCGATTGGGAGGTCATTAAAAGGACATGGTAAACGAGATCAGGCTCGGTTTGATGTGTGTGCGCCATCTTATAGTTTGAAATCCTCTCGAGGTTGGTCTTCAGGAAGGCGAAATTCAATAGGGATTTTTCACTTCTCTCAGGCTTGTTGCGATACCTGGCCCTTATCAATGTTCCGGGGGACCCGTGACACCCGGCCATGAGCCTGTCTCCTTGGGAAACATTAAAGCTTCGTCCCTGAAAGTCATACCACCTTTCATGAGTGGTACTGGTACACACGTAGTCCATTCAAAAAATTCCAGCTTCGAGCCCGGCTTTACTCACAGGGCCGGTTCCGGCCGGGTGGCGAAAATTCTCGTCTCGAGAAGAGCTCTTTTTAGTTAGCGTATCTTGTCGGTCAGTAATGCGTAATAGCTCGTATTCATCATCATCAATCAATCAGAGTTCTATTAGCCTGATCGAGCCTAACTACTTGCGTCGAGCCTATGCAGTGGCTTCGTCCAAATCCGAAGCAGATCTTGTTGTTGGCCATAACTCCAGACTCGCGGCTTGCAGTAGACAGCAATACAAAGGAAAACCGTCCTCTGCAAGAGGCCGCCACAGAAAAGAGTGTCTTTAAAATCCATGTCCCGCGCACAATCAAGCCCATATAAAATTTTACCGACCAAGAGAAGAATTCGTGTGCCATTAACAGAGCAACTAAACTGGAGCGAGGAAGAAGTGAGAAAAGAGGGAAACAAGCAACTACAAAAGAAAACCCCCTCTATCCCCAATTAGGTTAGCACAGTGGCTCCTTCCAGATCACGTTCTCCCGCAGTCCTCAAGATAGTCATGCGTCATATTTACGGCTACGTACGGGCCGTCCGGTTGCATACAGCACTCACACCTAGACCTGGCACTGACGCCAAGGAAAGACTGTTCAGTACTTTACCGTCCTGTTTGGGAGGCTTGAAAGTGGTCTGTAAACAAGTTGTATTGTATGTCTTGAAACTGGTAAGGATAATTATTAGACTAAGTGCTGTTAGGCATATTTCTCCGGACTCTTCACCGCCTAAGTGGGCAGTATCCAAAGTGGGCCGTAACAAGCGTAATAACTATGTAAAACACCCATGGTATTTTCTGTCCCGACACTGGGGCCCGAGCCATAATTTCATAAGAAATTTTGCCTATTAGGGCACTCCAGTATAAGATAGCATAGGCAAAACGTAAAGGGATATGATCGCAATCAATAAGTAAAAGGAGTTATGATATGATTTCTATCTCGAGAATATGGACCGTAATTTCCACTTCCCCTCGCCAGTCCCGATTATCGTTGCCTGCAGATAATTCATACTGCGGCTATATAATCATCGGGAGATCTATCACGGCCTAGGTTAGGCATATTTCCAGAGCCAGAGCTAGAGCCAGAGCTATCTGCCCTTACTATCTTACGCTAGTTTAGCTTACGTCGCTTATTAGGAGGCTCCAGATTCCCGGCGTCTTCGTTGTTATCTTCGGCTTCAGAGTCGACTACGAAGCGTTCCGATATAATTCTATACTTAGCAGTAATAGAGTTTAATCTATTTATATAAGCGGTAAGTCGTGTTTGGATACGGTTAATCCTCTGCTATAGTGCGGCGACCTTAACGGTTAAGTTAATAGCTTCGGTACGGAGAGTAGTAGCAGATCTCTTCTGTATCCTCTTAACCTTCTTATATAGCCCTAGCTATACGCTCTTTAAGATTACGAGAGCTATCTTAGAATCTATTAAGGATCTCCTTAGTAGACTAAATAATTAGTGCTAGCGCCTTAGTTTACGCTTTTATAGTGTCCGCTCTATTAGGAGTCGTAAACTTTCTAGATATCCCCTAGGTATTCGATATACCTTTCCGATTACGTAGGCGTAGATTATTACCGGCTATAAGAGTCTCTGGATTTTCTTTAGCGGTCTTAGTAATTATATACTCTCGTTAGTTCGATTTCTTAATACTAAGATCGAAGCGAGGTTAGATAATATTCTTAACTATTATAGTGGCCTCTAATAAATAATAATACTTAGCAAAAATATAAATAATTAATACGCTAAAGTGTTTCTTAAAAGTCTCTCTAATACGCGGGGTTTAGGGAATAACTTCTAAGAGCTAGGTATCTATTAATTTAACTTTCGCCCGGTCCTCTTTACTTATAGCCTATAACTCCTCTAACATAATAGTCTCTATAGCGAAAACTCGACTTCGCGAGTATTAAGTGATAGTAATTAGAGTAGGGTCTATTAGCTACGATAATAGAGTCTCGATTATATTATTATTCTTAACGGGGGCAGGCACTTAGCGGGGTCAAAGTCTAGATAACTTTATTAAGGAGCTAGACGTATTCTGTGTGGCAGGATCTAACTTAGGCTTAGCCGTTACTGTATCCTAGGGTTCCACCATAGCAGATAAGTTATTCTTAGTTATAGGTTTCTCTAGATCTTCATATATATCCCTATTATTCTTATCTATTATCGTAATATTATTAGGAATCGTAGGTCGTTCTATTATATTAGTAATAACCTTAGCGGCGGCCACAGTTAATATTAACTTATTAGCAGTAAGGCTAATAGGGTCAGTAAGCTCGTTTAAAGTGTCGCATTAAGATTAAGTATCTATAATATAAGTTAAAGATAAGACTGTCACTTTAACTTCGGATAATAGGACCGTAGGTTAAGGGCGCTTAGGATCGTAATCCTAATTTACGAAAGAACTAAATAAATTATCTAAAGATAAAGGTAAGCGGGGGTATAGGCCTTTACTGTCTATATTCGAGAGTAATAGAATATAAATTGTTGGGATATAAGGGGAAAGCTACCACGAAGCAGATCGTGGCCCCTTATGTCCGTGGGATCAACCTTAGTCCGGCTAGGTCTGTCAGTGCCAGACAAAGGTGGAAGGTCAAAGGTCGTAGGATGAGACTATAAGCAGATATAGCCTAAACGAAGGCAGAACCACAGTCCTGAGGATCAAAGGAAGAAGGTAGAGATGACTTTGGAAAGTGGACAATGACTTGAGGAAAGTGGAACTGACTTCAGGAAAGTAGAACTGACTTGATTCTATCTGCTAGACAAGAAGGACGTATTTATAGGCTAGGATAGCCTAGAAATGACGTCTAGAATAACATACAAATGACGTACAAACACTAGGCAGCAACATAATGAAGGTGGCAAAGAAGGGAACCGAAGAGAAGCGAAAAGAATGATATCAAGGATCGACGGTCTAAGCCACCCTGAAGGCATCCCCGTAGGATCAGGCTATGCATGCCTAAAGGTGGACCATTTTACCCCTAAGGGAAAGTGGTCCGCCTATCCTTAAGGGGACCGAGGGTCGAAGTCTGTTCACCGGGGTCCGAAGACCATGGTCGAAGTCCGCGGGCAAGGCATGCCCGAAAGCACCCCCGAAGGAACGGACCATTCATGCCTGAAGGCGGACCATTTACCCCTAAAGGAAAGTGGTCCCGCCTATCGTTCGGGGGAGGGCCGCGGACCAGAATCAGAAGTGGTCAAAACATCATTTTGATAGAAGAAAAATCTGGTCACGTGATCAATGCAATCTGGTCTTATATGTTGAATATAAGGATAGATCTTTCTATGTAGCATTGGTCTATATTCCAATATAAATAAACTTAATAAAGGGAATATATAAAGTGATAGTGAATAAAGAAAGGTAGATAGGATAAGTGAGGAAGTAATATATATACCGTTATTAAGTAAAATAAAAGAAGAAATAATTAGGTCTCTCTGTTACTAAAAGTAAAGGATATAATCGTATTAATATTTATGATATAATTAGATTTATATTTTAAAACTATGCGTCAGTTATGTGAGGATATTCCTATTTAGTGCTACTCTTTATAATTGTTATCTTTTTTGCTTATCTAGTAGCTTCTCTGAGGACTTTTTACTATAATTTATTTAACGTAGCTACTGCTTATACTTTATCTATAGGCTAGGACAAATATAGTATAAATTATTTAATATAGTCGAGGTAATACTTCCCTATAAATAATCCGAATAATAAGTCTGCTAGCTTTACTAATCGATAATTCCTTAGCACTTTCGTGACTATATATAAGCCGGACTATTGAGTCTTAAGCTTACGGCCTTTTACTTAGTCTAAGATAGATTTACGAAGTAGCACTAGGTCTCCTACGGCTATAGTTCGCCGATTCCCCTTCTTAATTTCGCTAACGCTTTTACTAAGCGACAATTATAATATAACGGACCAGATATAATCTAGTTAGTGAATATAGATCTTAGAACTCTGCGAGAGGTCGACCTAGTTAGGGTTCCCGAGCTCTAACTCTTAATAAAGGATATCCCCTAACGTCTATTTATTAAAGGGAGGAGGACTAAGATAGTTTAGCTAGAACCCTATTAATACCTAGGTAGGGCTAAATCTATAGGCTAATAGCTTATAAGAATTAATAGCTAACCTGATACTGCGGGGAAGCTTTCGGGGTGGCTGAAACCGTCGATTCTTGACATCATTCTTTTGGCTTTTCTTCGGTTCCCTTCTTTGCCACCTTTATTATGTTGCTGTCTAGTATTTGTATGTTATTCTAGACGTCATTTCTAGGCTACTTTAGCCTATAAATATGTCCTTCTTTTCTAGCAGAAAGAATCAAGTCATTTTCCACTTTCCAAAGTCAGTTCTACTTTCTTCCTTTGATCCTTAGGACTGTGGTTCTGCCTTCGTTTAGGCTATATCTGCTTATAGTCTATCCTACGACCTTTGACCTTCTTCCTTTGTCTGGCACCGACTGACCTGGCCGGACTAAGGTTGATCCCACGGACTTAAGGGGCCACGATCTGCTTCGTGGTAGCTTTCCCCTTATGCTCCAACAATAGCCTACGTTATAATATCGATAAATAGGTTCTAACGCTCTAAGCCTAGTAGATAGGACGTAGTAGTGGCTCTTAGGATTCGAAGGACTTATATCACGAGCTATTTAGCGAGGCTAACTGACTAAGGTACGCGAACTCCGGCTAATATATATCGAATACCGTATATTTAAAGAAGGTCCGTAAAGTCCCTCTTAGTGAAATAACTGCTATT